TTAGTGAATTCCATAAACAGAAATCACAACAGCCACTACAATCCCAATTGCCGTTAGTATCTTAGACTTTTCTATCATTAAAATTAAGCGAATTTTGTTTTGCTTTTGCTTTTTCTTTTAATTTAATTATTTACTTTAAATAATAACTTATATTTATAAAAAACCTTTTCCACAAACGATGAATTATAAATTTAGAATAATTGTTCAATAGGCATCCAGAAAAAGATGCTTTTAATTACATTCTTTATTTTTAAAGTAATTTTTATAATTATCACATCATTTTTGTTACTTATTTAAAATTTAATACTCTAAGTTTACAAAATCAACAAAATCTTACACTTTTCACTCCACATAAAAAATTAATTATCTTAGTAACTATATTCTAATCAATTTTGATTTTCTTTTTATTTTCTTTAAAATTTAATTTTTGGTGTATTAGATTATTTTTTGATATTCATTAAAACCTATTTATTTTTTATAAGTATAAAATGAGTAAAAAAACCTAAATTTTTTAAAATAAATATTAATTTCAAATTTTGATAAAAAAACAGTTATATTTTTTTAATCATATTTTAATATATGTTTACACAAATTAAATTATAATTATATATTATTTTTAAGGTAAATTATTTTATTTTTAATCCAATTTATTTCAATTGTGAAAATTTTATTTGGCAATTAAAATAACAAATTTTTAAAAATAATACACATACCATATTTTTAAGTACTAAAATTAGATCTTCTAAAAAATTAAATATATTTATTTTTGAACTTTAGATTTATTTTCATTTTTATGATATCTTTTAAGTTGATGATCATTAAATTGCTGTAAAAAAAATATAAATATAGAAAGTACTAATATATTTAACCCTAAATTTTTTTATTTACTAAGTATTTATTGATTTTTTTTATTTGAAATTTTTTTATAAATTCATTTTTATTTTATTAATGAATGCATGATGAAATTATTTATTTGTTTTTTGTTAGAAAAATTAAATTTTAATTTATTTTTAACAAATTTAGATTGTTATTCAATTAATTACTTTTTTCCCCTATTTCTTCATATTTTGTGATTGTATGAATAAAGTTTAAAATGTTTTGAATTAAATCAGATTATTGAGCAAAATGAGGCAACACTTTAGATTTAACTTGCAGTAATAGCTAAACCTATGTATATATAAATTGATAAATTTTCAATAATTTAAATAACAGATCATTATTTAATTAGAAAGTAATGAAGAATCTAATTTATTAATATATCCAATTTTAAATAATCTTTGAGAATATATTTAATCACTTATTGATTTACAAAAGCTCTTCTAATCCAATCATAATAATTTTATAACTAATTTTAAATATATTTTTTTATGCGTTTATTCTAATAAAAAAATTTTTTCATTTACTTGAACAAGAAAAAAATATATATAATTTATCTTAATTTTAGTTTTTAATTTAAATCTATGTTAATCCTTTTCTCTTACTATAGCTCATATTTAGAACTATAAGTCTAATTATATTTCACCTCCATCAACTATTAAAGGATTTTCTTCCAAGAAAATAGTCTTTGATTAAGATTTACCATCAACTTTAATTCCTATAACTACTATCTTATCAATAATAACAGTTTAGAAGTTTGTATTAATCTTTTCTTTTTGTATTCTGAGATCAACAGTAAATGATGAATTATCTTCACCCATATTGCCTTAAGCCTTAATGTCTACAATACAATTTTGTTGCTCAACGCAGTTAGAAATGATATTTTCGTCGTTGTTATAGTCGTCAATTGTAAGCATAGAACCCTCTGCATAATTATTTTAATCTAAAGCAATCAGTAGACTAAATCTATTATCAAGGAATCTGCTTCTTAAAACTTTATTTTTATCTTATATGTGCAAGATTTTACCAGATTTTATGTAAAGGGGTAAAACTGAGTCAAAAGGAACTTCATAACAGTGCTCACCTTCCTAGTATTCAGTGTAATCATAAAAACTATAAAAGACAGCCTACTTTGGGATATAGACACAAGAATGTGTAGTTTCCTTAATTTCATCACCACCCTCTACTACTGGAGCAGCCATAAGATAATCTCCGATCATAAACTAAGTTTCATATTAGTATGCATTATCATCGCTAGGATATGACCAGAATAAAGGCCTAAATATAGTTCCAACTCCATTAGCCTTAACAAACAAATGATAATAGAATTTCAAAAGTTAATACCTATTTGAAATATAGATAAATCAAATGAAAAATAAAAAATTTGATTACCTAACATTAAGAGTTTTTATGGTAGAAGAAAGTACATAGGGATGGTCTACAAACACATAAGGCTCTTAGGAAGAAGCATCAGCATTATTGTGATTTCTTGCAAAAGGATACAAAGAGCCCAATTATTACCATCTAGCACATATTTAAGCTGTAGCATTGAACATCAATCCACAAATATCATCTCCATTAAAAGGAATGCCGTACATGTTAAAATTCATAATAGAAGGGATACTTAATTTCATATACTCCCATGTTGAAAATCCATCACCATTCCAATGCTAGACATATCTAATTTATATTTTATATTCAATAAATAAAATTAATTATGGTTTATTTATTAGGGAATTAATTAATTACTTTCCACTACCAACAGTAGTAGATCTAGAAAGAATAAAGGTAAGTTTTTTGCCTAGTTTTTAAGCTGCTTTATAGGTAGCTATACCTTCACCAAATCCATCAAGATTATGCAAATCGTATTAAGTTGGAATGTAGCCGTTAGTTGAGTTATACAAAATACCATCCTATCCACTATAATGATAAGCATCTAAAGAGAGAGTGTGGTACTCAATTTCTTAATCACCTTTTTGATAAATAAATAAATAATTAATTAATGAATGAAATTTAACCAAAAATTTTTATTCTACCTAAAGGATTGAAAGGCAAAGAAGAAGACAAATCAGAAGTTAAAAATGGTTTTGTTTTTTTATTTTAATCTGGAACAATCTCTCCATTAACAAAATTAGAATATTCATTCATATCGATCCAAATACCATCTTAGATGATTCCGAAGCTGGAGACATTTTTCAAACCCTCATACCAAAATTCTGTTGAATTTGGATGGTTAAAATCAGGGAAATAAGTTTCACCTGGCCAAACTTTACCAACCAAAGTATCGTTTGTTTTAGCACTCTTAATGAACACGTTCATATCTAGTCCTTTTTGAGCAGCGTAGCTGTCTAAAGAGATTCCTACATCAATTATACTACTCCAGTGTACACCTCTGCTGTCAGATCTGTTTGGAATAATAGTTTTTATTGATGAATATTATTATTACAAAAAGCTTACAAATTGTAGATTTGCTGCATTTGAGTAATGTTGAATCTTTCAAAGTCAATTGTGAAGTCTTAATATTAGTACATGTAATCAATATCAGTCCAAAGAGAGTCAAAAGGAATTCCATACTTATTAAAGTTATCCCAAACATCCATGAGCATATCAGAGTTTTGATAACCCCATCTGCACTAGTGGAAACCTTTTAATTAAAAAATTTAGTTTAGCAATTAATTTTGTATGAAATTTATTAATTTAGTTGTAATTCTTATCCTTTCTGTTAAAATATTACTAAGTTACTTTATTAATAAAAGAATTAAATTATTTCCTAAATTAATTAATCAACATTGTAATTCATTTACCTGAAGACCAGAAAGGATGCAATATCCACCCGTTAGCATAATTGTGATAGAGCTTAATTGAAGTTTCTGGATTAGAGTCACCTATGAAAAACTTAAAATCAATATTTCCTCCAATAACTTTGTAAGTTAAATGTGAATTCTGCTCATAATCAACTTGCATTCCATAATAGTTTCTGAAAAGAGTCACTTAAAATTAATTGTTTATAATATCTCTTCTGAGATACATAGGATGAAATCCATATATTTCTTTTCCGGGGGTTCCGTTATCAACATCAGCTGCATCTCTAGCCCATAAAGAGTATTTGCCTGATTTAAGAAGGAAATCTGTTCTTCTATCTCCTAAGCCGAATATCATCGAGTCTTTCATTTAAGTAGAAACTTCAATATACTTATCAGTAAAGTAGATAGGATAGTCTTTAGTTGAGAAGATAACTTCTTGGGTGCTCTTTCTTCTTAATTCAAAATAGAATTTCTATCCAACTTAGCTGATTTCTGTCTCAAACAAATTAAATTCTTTTTGTTTTTTGCTGTATCTTTATTTGGTATAAGGATATGGTTCGTTCTCAGGAAGATGGAATCTGGAATTGTTAAGATCAGTTATTTTGAACTCACATTCATCATTAGCATCAACTTGGAAAGTTGCTCTTAAGTCTCTAATAACTGGAGATGTTTTTAATTCAATCTCATTAGGAGAAGGGATCCATTTCAAAATAGCACTAAAACTACCATCAGATAACTACGATTCAATGAAATCTAGTTGATAGTACCCAGCATTCTAAGTAAACTCATCTATTGGATCATTGTTATTAGTATTATTTATTGAATTTTGAAGTTTTGTGATTCCAAAAAATGAGCTCACAATAAGGATAGCAGTGAGAGCAATTATTGTTGCTGATTTATTTATCATACTTTTAAATTAAGCAAAAACAAATTTATTTTTTGTATAAAATTAATTATGGAAAATAAGTAAATAAATAAATTATTAATAACAAATAAAGTAAATTTTATTAAAAAAGTAACAAAAAGAACAAGTTTTTATTACGTCATAAAATAATTAATTAAAATTAAAATTATAAAAAAATTAAAAATCAAAAGATATTTATTTATGACTCCAATAGATTTTTAATAACATATTTATTTTAATAACTTAAATAATTATTTATAAATTTCAAAAACCAAACTACATAATAGTCTTGCTGAAAATGTCCAGATACATAGCAGTAAGAAATAGTGAAATTTATATTTACAATCAGATACAAAACCCCATTTATTATTTTTCACATTTTTGGTAGTTCTGAAAAATTGTAGAGCGTGTGTAGAGTGGTTTTTAAAATATTTGACAAAATAATATATTAATAAAAATGTTTTTGAATATATTTTGTAAAAAAATAAATATATTTTTATAATTTTAATAGTTTTAAATTTAGAAATAGGCTAATCAAAATCAAACAATATTATTTACTGTATTTATTTATATTTTATGGTTTAATGATGCTTTCTAAAGAAATTAATCTTTCAGGAGTGATCCTTTTAAATTTTGAAATTTTTTAGGAAATGGGAAGGATAGAATCAGAATAATTACAGAATATTAGAATAATAATTTAATCTTCAAAAAATTAATTTGATAAATCAATATATTCATTCATTTTAATTCAAAACTTTTTAATTAAAATTCATTCACTTTTGAGTTCAAATTTATAAAAAAATTTAATTCATTTTGGAATGAAAGGTTATTCAAAAAATATTTCATTCATTTTTGAAAGGATAACACAACACAACACAACACACACTCTATTTATCAAGAATATAGCAAGCAGATTTTAATGTATATCAAAAAATAATTATTTAATTTTATATTTTAAAGTTATTGTAAAAATATTAGTATAAAGCTTCAAAAATAATACTAAAATAATTGGGTTATTATGCTAAATTAGAACTAAATAATATAAACTTAACTTGTTACTTTTAAAAAGAAATCTTTAAATTAAAAAATAAAATTATATCAAATGAAAAATATTCTAAAGTAACTAAATAAATTATAAAAGTTTTTTATTTATTCATGTGTCATTTATATTTTAAAAAAATAAAAATAGAATAATTATATTTATATTTTATTTATAAAAGGTAATATTCACTTTTAAATAATAACCAAAGCATAATTTATCTTTAAAATAAGTCAAATGTTTAATAAAGATGTTACTTACTCCTTTATTTTGTCAATAAGAATTAATTAAATAAGATTTACAGACAATTAAAAATTCATTAATAATATCTAAAATTTTGGGCTTACAAATTTAATTAGAGCAATATCCATAATTATTACTGAATTATGTGATTAAAAACAAAAAAGATACACTTATTTTTACACAAATAAATAATCAATCTTATTTAAGATTTTATCAATGCCACAAGTATACTTATTTAAGAAAATAAATAATTAAACAAACAATATATTGGAATTAGTTTTTTGAAAAATTTAATTGTACAAATGAGGACTAAAATTTTTTATATACACAAACTTATCAACAGAAAAACAAAAATATAATTTCATTATTATGAAGATTGCACCTAATAATAAATATTGTTTATTTTAAATATAATTTACCTTACTATGAACGAAATCAAGCTGTTTCCTTTAGAAAATAAAGTGTAAATTAAAGAGTATTGCCGATTTCATTAAATATTTAACAAAATATTCAAATTATTAAATAATTGTTTATTTTTCTAAATGCTTCAAAATATTTTTGCTTGTTTTATATTATTGAATTAATTTATATATTGACTTAAAAATAAACAAAGTTTACGATAATGAGTAATAGAAAATAACTTCGAATTAATTTTTAGATAATTTTATTTGCAATCTTTAACGTAAGAGTAATTAGCGTAGGTTGTCCGTTTTGGTAAAATGCGGTGTCTGGTACAGATCTTTAAATTCAGCAAATGGCTTTACTGAAGTCAAATCCTATGAACTAGTAAGAGGATATTGCTGTGATAATTTATACACCATTTTAATTAAGAATCTTCAATATACAAACTAATTAGTAGTACTAGCAAGAACAGATTAAAGAAGATACTATCTTTTATCAAGTGGATAAAGACGATAGAATCACTTTAAAAATATCTCTATTACATACTCTTGATGGTAAGGGTAGAATTATTGATTGGAATCCTATGAATGGTTTAAAGTAAAAAATAATGCAAATACCTATGGATATAAGCATAAATAAAGAATCTTGCTTAAACTCACAAGAATCTCTTGTTTTTACATGGAATTCTACACATGTAATTACTTATTTAGATATACTTAATATTAATATATATATTCATTTATTTAATTAAAAAAAGATATTTGTAATAGATTTTTCGAAATAGCTAGATTAAAATGGAAGTATTTTAATATAAAAATTAAACATATAAAGGAATTTGATTAAATGCATCAATGATAAGTAAAATAGAAGATTTTTAGTGGTTGATTCTCAAGGAGGAATCAACTCTTATGATATACTGTCAAATAATTTTTAATCACTATTCCAGATCAATTAATTTGCTTCTCTATTATCAATATATCTGACTCAAAATCAAATAGCTGTGTTGTACCAAACTTAAAATAATTTAAACTTTGTTATTTCATATTAGAGTTAATAAATATAATTTTAATAACAAATAAATTAAGTACCTAGATCTGTCTTAGTTAATTAGCAAGAAGACTAATTAATTGTTATAGGAGATTCAAATCTATTCTAGGTATGGTAAATTAAGTAAAATAAGATTATTTATGAGCCAAATTTTTAGTCATTAAGCTGTGATTTCTAAGATTCTTAATATAATATTGTAGATAAAGTGATAGATTTTAAATTTGGATATATAAGTTAACTTAATGAAGTGGTCATAGTTTCGAATTAGTATTTTTTTGCTTATTCGCTTGAAACCTAAAAGCCAATAGTTTTTAAGACAATATCATTAATCAAAAATATCTTTATTTAGGCTTACATAATAGAAAATTAAATAATTCTAGCTTCTTAATAAACAATTTCTGTATTCGATTAAATAAAAATGAAAATTACTTATATTACAAATTATTTATAATATGGAGCAACGAATTACGATTATTACTAGCAAATCTAAGTCGATCCAGAATTAAATAGGTAAACATTTATTTATTTTAGATTCTTAATATTCTGAATATAAATAAATAAATATAATAAAATTATGTAGAATTATCTTGCTCAACCATAGTGGTTAGATTTAATACTGGTCTTATTTTGATAATATCTTAGAGAGTAATATAATTTTTATTACATAACCATCTTTTTTTATTCTAGATAAAAAACTTAACAAGGTAAATAAATAAATAAATAAATTTTTATTTTTATATTATAATTTCTCCTTTTTAAACTCCACAATCAAAAAAATTAATTAAGGCTCAATTTACAATTAAATACTTGAATCCTCCTGTTTATCTTAACAACCTAAGTTGCTAAAAAAATATGGAATTCAAGTATATGAATTTAATTAAGTTATTTATAATTTTTCTACTCTACTTACTATTCTCTCAATTTACTTTTCATAGGTTGCTTAAACTTTTAAGCTTTGTTAAAAATAAGATTAATTTTATTTTTTTAGATAGCTCAGTATGTTACAAGTGCCTCATTAGAATAGGAAAATGCAGTAGCAATTATTAATTATAGAACTGGTCATCTTATAGAGTTTCTTAAAATCCCCTTTAATAATACTATGCATTAAGATTTTTAATTTGTTTAAGATAAAACAAATGGATTTTTATTAGGTATTGGGTTGGTTACTACTTAATATATGATATTTAGATTTTAAAATGACAGTAACCATACTTTGATATTTAATGGAACTTTTGTTTAAACTCAACCAAATCTATCAATTCAAACAGTATATTTAATAGAGTAAAGTTAGCAAATACTGATTTAAATTTAAAATTAAGTTTTTCTCTTTAGCTACTTCTATCAAAACGCATAGTTAAATAACCCTATTCCTATTTAAAGCTTACAAAATCCCTTTTTGTATTTACACTTTAATAATGTAACTCTCAGCTTATTTGTTTTACATTAATAATACATCTAGGTAATTTCAATTTATTCGAGGATTTATTTGCTTCCTAACAAATTTTATATCAGTAATTATCAATTTATTTTAAATATTCTTTTAATTATAAAATTTTAAAAAGATTTTCTCTTATACAACCAATCAATTCTAGCTAGCTAAATAGATTAATTTTTAAGCTATCTAGAATGCCTTAATGATTTAGTTAGTTGAGGAGCAGTAAGTTCTAATTTAATTTATAAATGATCAAATAAACTTCTATAATTACTTGTTGGATAAAACAATGATATTTAATTTATAAAATTAACCAATTCTGAATTATATATGTGATAATTCTAAATCCATTTTGATAGCAATAAACAACTAATACACTTTATATGTGATAAATATTTCTAATGCAGGGTTACTTTATTATCTGAAGATTGACTCTAATTTAATTTACAAGCTATATATTTATACTGATTTAAATATTGTTATAGTAACCTATAAAAATGGGAATTCATTTATATTTAACTATATTAATTACATAGTTAAAGGTATTTTAAATTACCTGATATCATTAGTGCAGATTATAGACTCCTAATATAATAATCTTTTTATTATGTCTAATGAAAAAGTAGAGCTATTTATTATTTAGAAATATAAAATTATTTTAATATAATAATTTTTTTTTCTTCAATAAATAGATTTTTTAAAAGCCATTGTAAAGTTTAGGTATCATCCAACAGATATAAATCAATCATATCATCAATTACTACTTTGAGATGTAGAGTGGCCTTATATTTATATTAGCTGACAAAGTATATATATATAATTCGTTAACGTAATTGTATCTCTCTCCTTTCCCAAGTATTGACATATCTGATGCAAATTATATCTTTGGAATTCCATCATAAAATTTGCTTTTTATACAATTTGGGACTCTGACATCAAATAAAATATCTGTTTATTAGCTAAATACTTACCAATATATAGGCGATCTTAGTTTATAATTCCAAGACTGCTAATAATTAAACTTTTTGGTTTATGACTAATATTTAAATAGATTATTTGCTAGCTGCTCTCCACAAAATTCTTTAGTATGGGACTTAAATAACAATTTCAAATTTATAAAACTCATTAAATGCGGTTTACCTGTTTAAATAAGCTTTGATATTAAAACTAACAAAGCTCTTCTAATGCTGGTATTTAATTAACTAACTAAAAAAATAACTTACTTTCTTTTTTAAAATATTGAATGATTTAATTATATTTTATTCTAGTATACATGGTTCTCATATCAAATAGACTACCAAAGTTTGAGCATAGGACTGGTTGTAACTGGTATATATGGGGACTTTGATCATTTTAGAGGTTTTCAATTTACATGGGACGTAATTAATTAATCTATATAAATAAAACCAGCATCTGCTAATAGTTTTTTTTTTTTAAATTTAGTAAAATGGAGATATTAGAGTATATGACTCCTAATCTAGCCCACTCATCTTTTAGCATGCACATAGTGGTTGGGTTAATCAAGTGATCATAGATAGTACAAGGATGATTATTACTTCTATCGGGTAACAAATGTTTAATTAAATACTTATTATCAAAATATTGGGTTATTATCATTTTATTTATGGGCATATTTATTAACACCTTTTATGCCGCCATCACTTTCTTAAATTATATTTTATTTTATGAATTGATTCTTAAATCAAAGTGAAAGAAGATCTTTTAAAATAAAAAATATATATTATTTGCTATAAATAAATTTATTTCTATTCCAAAAATCATTTACACTCTTTACTCACTAAAAGTATATTAAAAATTTTATTAAAACAGAGACGACCTCAAAGTCATAACATGGGACTACTCTTCTTTTAATTTTTTAAATCTACTGTATATTTTTATAAAAATTTAATAAGTTGATTTGAAATTTCTCCTAATTTTATAATTAATTTTTAAAGCTATCAAAATACACTTTAGGCGAAACTTAATGTAGAATGTCTAGATTTCAACAACAACTATTTATTCATTGGAGATAATAATGGAAATATCTATCAATTAACTTATCCAAATTTGATTTTAAAAAATACTCTTTAGGTTTGCAAATAACAGATTGACACTTTATATTTAGATTTAAATCACAATATTCTTATTTATGGCTCTTAATAGGCTGGTTTATTTGGTTTCTATAACTTATTAGACTTTATTGTGCCATATGGAAATTCATAATCTTATAAAAAATCAGGTAAATATGAATTAAAAATATTTTATTCAAGTAATATTAATTAATTAATTAATAATCATTTTAATTTATTAGGCGTTTAATCAGTTTTGAAAATTGACAATGAAACTGTTATTTTTCATTAAAATTAAAATTTTGTTTAGAAATGGAATTTTAATACTCAGAAATTAGAATATGGCTTTTTTATCTATAACACAAATACTGATTTTTATAATAGTTAAGGTAACATTGTTGAGCCATAGAGCAAATTTTTACTTTTAAAAGGACAGAATTAGAGAGCATGTTTGATTGTCGAGTAATAGCTAATTTTTTTCGACACTAAAAGTTTTAGCATCTTAAGTAATAAAAGGTATTATTGCTTGAGAAACACTTTACTTTTTTCATATCTTATATGTTCCTTCTAAAATGAGTTAACAATTTTTAATACTGATGACTACTCCACGTTCCAGCAATTTATTTTAAATGAAAATCAATCTATTATTAAGCTATAAAGTATAGATGAAATAAGATCTTTTATTGTTACAACCACTCAAGGAGAAGTTATTTTATACTCACTTAATTAAATAGTAAATCAATTTTAGTAATAAATATATACTAAACTCAATGGCTAAGCTATTTCTAATTTCCTTTTTGTAGCATAAAGTGATCAGTTCTTAATTTATGTATCTTTTTTTGATGGATAATTTGCCATAATTTAAATTTCTAAGTAGCTCATCATTACGGAATAAAAGTTTATACAATTTTAAGGTATTAATTCTTAAGTTCATATAATTAGTCAGTTCACAGACAAGGTAATTAATTTATTTAAGTATAAAATAAATAGGAGGTTATACTGAAAAATAAATTTCTTTTTTTACTTCTTTCAACTTTCTATAATTATTATTCATTCAAAAATAAATTAATTATAAAAAAATTGTTTACACCTCCCAAATAGGTTAATTAAAAATTTTTTAAAAAATCTGTAATTTATTTTTTTTTAGTTTTTTAGTAAAATTAAATTAAATAAAATTAATATTAATTTTTTATTAAATTAATAAGATTTTTGTTAAAAGAGTAAATGATTTATACTTAGGAATATATAGTATAGGGTAATTTAATTTGATTAGTCAAATATCTAGTCCTTGCATAGGATACACATTTAAATTAGATGTGCAATCAGATTTCGATATTATTTTATAACACTGTGTAGGTGTATATTAGGTAAACTCTTTTAAAAATTATAAATAACTCGCATATGGAAGATTTACTAATAGCTTAAATTTTCCTGAATTATATACTCCAGATCAAAACTAAATTGTATTCATAAATAAAAACTATTTTATTGATGCTTACGATTACAAGATATTTATTTACTAAATAGATTATGCTAAAGCTCAAGTAATTATGCTAGGCAACTTTTCTTATTTAGGGTATATTTTAGGAAAAATTTCTAATTATTTTGTTATTGATACACCTCAAAATACCTATATTCAACTTTTACTTTACTCTGCTACTCAGCTAGGAAGAATTTAACTACCAATTCAGGGAGAAAAAATTTGCTAAGAAAATATTCCATAAGAGCTATTTACTTAAACATTATTTTAAATATAATTACTTTTCGATTATTTAAAAAGCTATTATTTAATTGAAAGGCTTCTTTTCAAGCTTGCAATTAGCAGCTAGACAATTATATAACCATTACCAAAAGCCTCATTTTCATAAATAACTTCAATATAAATAAATTATGAAACAGTTAGCAGTGCAGAAACATAATTTCAGGTTGTATATGTTTCAGAAAATATTTTCTAATCTTTTAATTAATATTATTAAATAATATTGGAAAACCTCTAACTCCAACCATTAGAAACGAAAAATGACATTTAAATATATAATGTAAAAAATATTATGTCTTTTCAGCTTAATAATGTTAAACTCGCATCGTAAATCTTATATTCATTTTAAATATCTTAAGTATAATCAGTTTAATTTAATAAACTGTATTTACAAAATATTACCTTAGAAAGTAATTAAATCTTGAATCTTTTTAATTTTACTTAAGTTAATAATATGAGTTTCGATTAAATAAATGTTAAAAAATCATAATTTAGCTAGGTTATACTTTTTAACTTTTAGGAAGATATTAATAGCAACACTACTTCATAAATCTCATTTACAAATTTCTTATTTGAAAACTCAAATATAACATTTAAACAAAATGACTAATAATAATTAGCTCCTATTTTTATTTAAAACTCTAATTAAGTAACATTTAATAAATTTACTTTGAGTGGTAGCAGAGGTTCTTCTATTCCTTTTGTGAAAAGCTTTACCATATAAAATTATTAATTTATGAATATTTTATTTTCAAATAATCAAGATATGATGCTCTTCTAATACTCAAATAGCATAGATCATTACCATCAATAGTAAGTTATCACTTAATAAATACTAAATGATACAATTTATTTGGAAAAAGTTGAAATTTAAAGTAGTAAATAAATTTAACCTTCTATCTTCTCTATAGTTTCAATTAAAAGCTCCTAATTATATTTTAATTCTGGTTCAGCTTTGTTAAACATTGCAAATTTTACTAACTAAAACTCAATATTTAGTTTACAGGTATAAAATATATCCATGAAAAACATCAGTTTGTAATAGAATTAAGGCTTTTAGAATCTTATGGTCTTATAAAATTCACAACTTGGAACTCTTTAAAATTTTACTATATCTGATAATATAATTGTGTCTGCTTTGCTTATAACTTAGTCGAATATAACTTTATTAGGTTCTTAAATAAAATAAAATAATTCAAAGCCTACAAAACAGCAAATCTCAGTCTTTACTGTAGCTTAAAAGTCTTAGGTAAATATAATTAATGTAATCTTTGAGTCGAATTAGTCAAATAACGGAGGTTCTCTAATTATTTTATAGAGTTAACTGTTTATCAGTTAATGTTCTTTTAAAGGGGATAAAAGTACTATAAGCGGAGGTTCTATTTTTTCATAAGAGTCCTAATTAAATATTAGTTAAAGCTAATTCTAAAAATGTTTTTCTCCATTAGGAGGTTGCCTATTCATTTAAGAGGGATTTTTGAACATAATTTAATCATCTTCTCAAAATACATCCGCAAGCTAACTTGGAGGATTTGTGTATATTAGCTAAGTAGATTCATTTAATCTAGAGGATGTCACCATTTTTAGCAGTTTCTCATCTGGTGATGGAGGGTCTGCTTACATTTCATAATCTATAGGAGAAAAATCTTTATTTAAGAATGTCAGCTTTTAAAATAACTTAGCAAAAGGGTATGTTTGTTTTTATTTTTGCAATTAATTGCTATTTTTTTTGATTGAATGGTTATTTTATTTTAAAAAAGGAGCGGAGGTGCTATACTTTTAGACAGCTCTGATTTTTAAATTGTTGATTGCAAATTTATAAATAACAAAGCTGGTATTGGTGGTGCAATAAGATATTTAAACTTAAAACCTTCATTTATGAAAAATTAAAAGTCTAAAATTAAAGACTCATGTAAAACATACTAGAACAACATATGCTAAGATAATAGTGCTATTATATTTGGAAACACTATTTCGAGCTATCCCACAAGTGCAACTATATTACCTAGCAAGAACTTTAATGTGCTTTCTGAATTTCCTTAATTTACTTTTAGTGATTTTCAAAGTGGACTTACTGACTTCGATCTGACCATTAACTTTTTTGATGAATTTTCAGATCCTATCAATTAAGTTGATTTTTAGGATAAAGGTTATATATATATATATATATATATATAAATTAATTTTGAATATATTGTTTTCTATTGGTTAAAATTTATTTTATAAATTAAAAGCTATTACTGATTAATTAAGTTAGTAACTAATTTAAGAAATAAGCTAATATAGTTGCAAAGCTTATTTGTAAAATATAAATTCCTAACTGTAGTATCAGAATATAAAGCTAGATGGAGCTACATTAGTTGGATACTCATATAGAAGTGATAAATAAATAGGTTGCTTTATGAATAACTTAAAAATAACAGGAGTCCCTTCTTCACAAGCCACGATGTAATTATAACTTAGCGGTATGAAAGCTGTCAATAAAACTAATCAATATAATGATATCGACAACATAGAGGTTAAAATCGAATTTAGAAGTTGTAAAACAGGAGAATTTTATAATTAAATTTGTTAAAATTGTCTATTGTAGGAATGTGTATAATGTCAAAACGGTACTTATTCATTAGTTTATCCTACCAAAGATAAAAAAATTGAGTGCAAAAATTGTGATATGAATTAAGTCTATTCATGCTATTCAGACTAAATACTTTTGAGAGAAGATTATTGGTAATTAATTCTCTATTTTAAAAATAAATATATTTCATACAAAAAAAAATTTTAATAATATCATATAATTTCTCAATAATTAAAAACAACTAACTTAACATTTAGGTGATTAATTTGAAAAAATAAATTTAGTATTCATGGCTATCTAAATAAATAATATTTATTCACTATATATGTGAATACTTTTATTAATCCATTTGAAAATAAACATTAATATTGCTAATCCAGGTATTGAAATTCAGCTTAATTTCAATAAGTTTTTATTTAAAAATTGAATGATAAGTAGTTAGTTAGCCTTCTTGCTTTTTGTCAGAAATTATCAGATCAATCAATCAACCTGTGATTTTATTTAAAAAAATGAATGATAGTAAACTCTTAAAATTAATATATTTGAATAGTAATTTTAAATCAAAATAAAAATTTTTATTCTTTTCAAAATTTTATTTCTTTTTTGGCATTATCATCATTTTTATTTTCTTTATTATTAAACTGACTCGAATTAACCCACAAGATAGTATTTTTGAAAAATATGAATATTTTAACATAAAATCAAATAAATCCCAAAAAATATTTTTCAGAAATTAGTTAGTTTGTATTTGTATTAATTATTGAGAAATTATCCTAATTAAAATTAAACTTTATGATAAATAATGAATAATTTTAAAAATAGGAGAATAGATAATCGTTCTGATTTAATTTATAAATGTGATTTAATTAATCATTCATGTAATGGAAATTAGTAAAGAGGATATTGCTCTGAAGGATTTACAGGTGCATTATGCTCAACTTGTGATATAAAAGGAAAGGTATGGAAAGAATCTTATTAACTTGATAATACAATTTTTAAAAATGGTATTAAATGTATCAAGTGCTCAAAATAATAATCTATAATATTTAACTAAATTATTACATTTTTGGCTATAACATTATACCTAGTTTTTTTAGTTTTTCAATCTTAAAATAGCAACTGTAATCTATGCTCAATGAGAATATTATAATCCTTAGAATTAATGTACGTTGGTGTTTCATCTTTTCTTTTTGATAACGAGGTTATATCTAAAATATTTATTAATTAGTTCTAAATTCTATCAACTTTGTAATACAGTCTAAGGATTAGCTTTTCTTAGATATTCTCAAATATATTATCAATACCTTAATCAGCATCATAACCAATTAATGTGTTTACTTACTCCTTCGATTGCATTTTAAATCTCATTTATGTAGACATACCGATACAATATAAAAGATTTATCTACGCCTCTATAGTAATCCCACTAGCATTTTTTGTTTCCTTTTTAGCTTTAGTATATTTCATTCTATCAGCAGTTAAAAGTTGTATACCTGATCAATACTTCTTTTATAAAACAAAATATCTAAGATTAAATGTACTGATTAGCACATTAGTAGTATTTTCTTATATTGCTTCACAGAACATTTACCAGGCTGCTTTAGAAAATATATTTTGTAATTATTACAGCAATACATATTTCATGAAAAGTTAAATGGATTAAGTTTGCTATACAGATGAGCATTATTTCTATATGTTGGTTCTAATTGGTCCTGTTCTATTCCTAGTATCAATAGTCTATCCTTTTTGTATGCTGTTTATTCTTTATAGAAACAGATTTAAATTAACTGATTAGAAGTATAAATCTATTAACTTAATTAGAAGGTATGGATACTTATTTAAAGGTTATAAAAAAAATACATGGTGGTGGGAAATATTAAAAACTTAGTATAAATTTTTAATAACCTTAATGGCTACACTTTTCAGCTCTTAACCTTTGCCTTAAATATTGTGCATTATATTTATTTAATTAATATATCTCTACTTATTAATAAAATACTAGCCCTATTAGCATTACAAAATTAACTAGCTTGAAATTAAATCTGTGATATACACTATACTCATATTTTGGATATCCATTGCTTACTTTTACAATTCAAGTGGTTTCTTATCAGTTTTAACATAAATTGGTTTCGTTTATCTTATGATAATTTTGTTTGGTAATTAAAAATAAATAAATAAATAAATCATTTTAAAATTACTTTCTTATTGTTATTAATTATATAAATAAATAGGAAGATTAGTCTTAAATTTAGTTGAAAATAATACAAGAGTCAATTTCTTTGCAATAGATAAAATTAATTGTATAAGTTGGTTAAGAAGGTTCTTAAGAAAGCACTTATCAGGAGAAAATAGATGCTAGTCTTCTATAAAGAAATACTTCTACAATAACTCATGGGGTTTTTATAATTTAATATACAAAGAAAATTATACACCTTACAGAGTTTTTAACAAGTACAATTATTTATTTTTCATTTACTTATATTATTTAATAAATAAAATAATTTTTATGAGGTTATTTAAAAAAAACAAACATCAATTTATTTAAAAAATAAATAAAAAAATAAATAATTAATTAATTAAATAAACAAACAAATAAATAAATAGTTGGAAAAAAGCTAGATCAGCTTTTCAAGGATAAAAACTCTTGCTAATGGGCTTCAAAAATTCATGGAATTAAAAGTATAAAATATTAGAGAAGATAGCAATTTAATAAAGAGCTAAATAACTAGATTAGTTCTTAACAACTTAGATAGAAAAATAAAAGTTAAAATATTAAATTAAAAGCAAGCTATTTGTGAAACCTGAAGCAAAAAAATAAAACTAAAATAATTAAATCTTTTCTTTTTGTTAAAATTTAATTCCTAAAATACAAAAATAGCGTTCAAAAAGCTTCTTCAAAAAAATTTAATATCAGAATCCAAATTCTTCTAACAAAAAAAGCAATTCTATAAAAATTTTAGAAACTACATAAACAAGATAGTAAAGTTAAAATTTTCCTACAGTTAGTTAAAATGAAAGTAATATTATACTGCTTGAAGATTAGAAATTTTTGTAAAAAAATAAGTGAATTTTTTGTGTTATTTATGATTTATTTTTTTGTAACTCTATAAATAATTATATATATACTAAATTTATTGTAGATTATTAAATTTCCAATACTTAAATTTTATACAATAAATATGGAAAAAAATTTTCATAAAAAAATTCATAAAAACAGTTTTTAAAATCCTAATTTATCATATCATAGTCGTTTATATTACAAAATACAAACAAAGAAAAAATAATATTTTAAAATTTAGACTGTTAGATAATAAATAATCAATAATTTATAAACTAAAAACTTTTATACAAAAATAATTAATTATAAATATTCACTCACATACTATTAATATTTGTTTTCATACATTTAAAATTTTTTGTTTCTGGTAATTTTTGAATAGTTTATTCAGAATTAAGTTTTTTGTCTAGCATCATTTCAGATGGAAGGCAGTCTTCATTTGGAATTTTTATAGGTTTAGACAGTTTTACTGAATTTATTGATTACAACTATTAATCAGAAGATATTATTAAAGAGGTTATATTTTTAATATCTTCTTTGGATTGTGTTTCATAGAATAAACTTTTTTTAGAACATTTGCTTTTGCTATTCTAAAGATTTATGATTTCATTATTTTATTGAGGCTTTATTTATTTTACAGATTAAACAAAAGGTGGCGTTTGAGAAGAATTTTTATCCCTTTTAAAAATATTCTTGGAAAATTATACCATTTTAGAATCTATGAAGTAAAGTGCTAATGTTTAGTAACCTATTTTTCTTACAGTCATTTAAACTTTTTTCCAACCTTTATGCGACATGTATGCATTCCTTGGTGTATGTAAATATTTTTATGTGAACGGGATCTTCTAAATTATTCTCTAAATGCATGGATAAATAAGCATGTCTTTGTTATATGAAAACTTTTCTTTAAACAGAGCAATGATGAAAAAGATAAAAAAAAGAGTATTCAAAAGTATAAATGAGGCAAACATTAGTTTTTAAATATCTTCATCATCAGTGGTAATATAAATCATTCCTAATTATATGCATATTAATTAGATAAAACTAGCTGCTTAATCTAGTTAATTTAAAAAGAGTCTCTTATATGGATTTGATAAATGCTATTTTCTGATATAAATTATCATTATTACGCTTAATAATGCTCCTTTTGTTATTTGACTTTCATTGTAAACACTTAATGCTAAGAATAATAACCCTTTTTATATAATTTTGACTAATTCCCAATAATAATACTGTGATTTGTATTCAGAAAAGAAAAACCTTTGTCTCAAGTAAAAAGAAATCTTATAAAAATTATTTTTATTTGCTTTGAGCTCAAATAAAATGTAAATAGGAAATTTAACTAAGAGTAAGAATATTAAAGGAGCAGCGATAGGAAATCCTATATATAAATGCTGATCAGAATAGCATAAAAACTAATTGTCTGAATAAACATATTTTTATGTGCCTATCTGTTCACAGGATAAAATGGTTATTAGCTAAGAAAGGAGACTTGGAAATATCATAAAATAGAGATAGTACATACAGTTTCTAACAAATCTAGTTTTAAATTATGTAAAGAAATTTAATTATGTTTAAATATAAATAAAATTAAAAACATGTTTGTTTGGATTTTGATGTTGATGGAAGTAAAATTCTATATTAAACAATAGAATTAGCTTATTTATATTTTTTTAAAATTCAGAGGAGATAAAGAGATAAAAAGAAATATTTTAGTGAATAATCTCCTATTAATTTTGATGAAAAAGTAGATCTTTTTGATATAAAACCGAGTTGAGCTTATTAAAGTTGTTATGACATTAAAAATAGATCTGCCAATCAACATTATATTAGATAATGAAATTAGATTATTTAGATTTTTTTTTTTAATAGAGAAGAGATAAGGAAATATTTAATCTAATAATTTCCTACCAATTTTAATGAAAAATTAGATCTTTTTTTATATTGGGTTTTTTAAAGTTTGTTTTTAAGGCATTAAGAATAATTTAACCTTCATTAAAGAATAAATTTTGTTTATTTTAATTGAATATCTAGTCAATAAAATTACCTTTTGATAGCGTCCTTCGTGTAATAAGATTTTTTATATTTTAAGTGTGCAACAAAGTAGGCTATTATATTAGAAAAGATTATGTAAAGAAGTGTATTAATTATTAACCATAGAAGCCTAATGTAGATTATTTCAATGTAATTCGTCCAACCATTTTTTATAAAAAAGCAGTCCAAGAAATATTAGCTTATTTATAAAGGATTGCCTAGAAAATAGATTATTACTTCTAATATATCTGGAAGTCTAAAGTTAAAATATAGAACTATTTATATGATCTAAATGTAATTTATAATAAATTTAGCTAAAATGCTAAAACTCACATCATCTATTGAGAGCCCTAAATTAATTATACCTGCTCTCTTTAGGTAATATGCTTTCAGAGTTGCTTCAGCCTCAAAGGTAACTTAATGAGCTAGATATGTGAAAAAAAATGGAAACAAGACAATAAAAAGTGAAACCAAAACTAATCTTAAATTCTAATCATCACCACATTCCTAACATTCATAATCTCGATATTTCGTGTAACCTTGGCCTTTCCAAATTTCTCCCTGATAATCACAACTCTCACAGCGAGGGCCAAATCCACCTTAGCTACAACCATTTATTCTATAAAAAATAAATAAAATTAAATATAATATTAAGTTTTTTAATTAATTAATTACTCTCTAGGCTGACACTTATTAGGATTGTTAAAGCAGTAATAAATGTTTGTAGTATTTGGCTCAATCCAATATCCTTCTTTGATTTCGATAACATTTTTATAGCATTTTTTTGCAATATCAGGACACATTAAACATTTTTGCGTAAAAGAACTTGGTTTTACTAGAGAAAATGTATTATCTTTACATTCAAGGCACTCATAGATTTAACGATCAAAGGAATTAAAGACTTCACCCGATATGCATTCTCGGAATTAGATGGTTATTGTTATCTCCTTCTAATCTTATCTCTTTCCCTCATCTCCTGGAAAATTTATCATAGTTCTAACTTTAATTTCGGCTTACTCCTTTGGCCTTAATAAGTAACTTAATTTTGTAAGTATGTACTGAAAGCCATCATTGCTTCGAAAAATTTCTCCTACGATTTCTAACTCTTTTTTACTCCTGTTGATTTATATTTTTTCTGAAGACATCATAAGCGTAGAATATTGAATTAACTCTCTTTGCAATATTTAGTATTTTGTGTTTGTTAAATCTATCTCTTTAGATAAATAATTCAGTTTCTAATTTTGTTCATCCAGCCAAAAAAATTAAATCTATTTGATAAAAATATTTATTTATTTATAAATTTAATAAATGACTTTAAAATATATAATTTTTACTTCTTATTAAATATACGAGATACTTGAAACAACGTCATCTACCTCATTACTATTTTAGGAGTTTACAATCATTAACCTTTATGGAAAATTTGTGTAATCTTAACCAAAAAAAATAGCCTTGTTATTTTTAAAACTACCTTTTACCTAGTCTATTGTTTACTTGAAATAGCGTATTCCACCTCCTATGGCAGCATAATTATATTATATTAGTGTCTTCTCAGTTGAATTAATTGCATTTTCTTCTATTATTTGAATAGTCGTATTTATTGAAAAAATAGCCCCACCTGAAAATGTAGCGTTATTGTATTCTATGATTGTTTTAGATAATGTGATAGATGAAGATTTAGAATATATCGCACCTCCATTTAAACCAGCTGAATTTTTACTTAATTTAACATTTGAAAATCTAAGAGAAGCTTGGTAAATTTAAATTGCTGTTCCATTGCTACTGCTGCTTTTAAGGTATTAAATTAATGAATCTTAGATTATAACTAAGTTATTTGCATCTTATTTTCCATAAATAAGTATAGCAGTATTAATAATTTTAGAAATAAAAATTTTTTATTATTATTGATAATTTTTTAAGACGTAGGGATAAACTGAAATATTTTTCAATAAAGAATTTTAACATTAAACGATACCGAAAAAATGATGCAATTAGTTGTTTTGTTAGATAGTTGCGTTTTCAACAGTTAAATTTTAATTTTAAGAGAAATAAAATAAAAAGTTAATATTATCTGCTAAAATAATATTGGAATTGATAATTTTAACTGCATTAGCATTTTAACAACGAATTATTGACTAAAAACACTTTGCCTGGTAAATATTTAAATCTTAAATGGTTATATTTTGAGCTTCAATAAAAATATAATCACTGAAATGGCATACATAAGGCTATACTTACTCCAATTGATAAGATGTGATATTAAATATTTGAATTTGGAGCTTGTTTGATTCGTTCAATTATGAAAATTTTTAATTGGCAGAATAATCTATTGTTATAGTTTTATTAAAGTGTATTAGCATAGATACATTACTCTTTTCTAAAAATATGTTCATTATCTTCAATTAAGTTTTGACATAAATAATTCTGAAGATGCATGTTATTAATTAAGAGTTTGTTGGTAAATTAATGTATTAATCAAGATAATTTGAATCTGTTAGATTAACTATTTTTTAATTGTTTATTTGGCTATTTGGCTATTCATTTATTTTATTAGAATCATTTTCTTAGAAATCAAATTATAAATTTAAATTTAAGAATGAAAAATTTTGGAGTAAGAGCTGATCGATGTCCTGTAAAAAGAATAGATCAATAGCAATATTTACATTAGTAAAGTTGACATCTGCAATCACAACCTCTTAGCATGAAATTAAACTTATCCACCCATAATTTTCAATTTCTTCTTAGTCAGGATATTTAAATGAATTATTATTAGCATCTCCATAAACATTAAGCTATGTTATGTTCAAAAAACCAGAAGCTTCTACAAATATAAATTAATAACTTAGAAAGGATTAATGAATTGTTAAATTTTTAATATATATTGTCGATATATTTTAAAATTAGATTAAAATTTGTTCTTCGGAATTTATTAAAATATTCTCAAGTATTACTTAATCACAATCATCAAAAAACAGACTTTTTTTGAGTTCAATATTTTCAAAATGAACGTATTTCAAAGATACAAATTAAATGATCTCAGAAGTATTGTTTTCATTATCTTCACTATTATGTTGCTATAAAGTCCCATTCATTACCTTTAATTTATTTATAACTGAACTCTTAATTGTTGAGGGAGGAATATAAACGTTATTATTGCAGAGATCATAAACGAAATAAGAATACATTTTAGTTTTAAACTTCAAAGAATTTGGAATAACTAGATAGTTTTATTATTTTGATTTTAAAGAATCCTCATCTGAATTGTCTTCTTCTTCAACAATTTAAGAAGGAAATCTAAAATTAATCTAGTTATACAGCCCTTCATTTTGAGAATAAATATCATCATATTAAATTAATTATTAGTACTAACTTTTTTAGATTACGTAATTAGCCACACATTATTTCGATTCAAAAACCTTATAGTTTGAGTTCCATTCAGAGTTAAATTTTATTTATCTAGTTATATCAATTAAATTGTTAAAATCAGCACCTATTATTCTGATAAAAACAGAATCTTCGTTAGTAAAAGTTTCTACCTTTAAAATCTAAATAGACAAGTAAGCTTAATCATAGATAGGTATTGCTATTTTTCTATTAATTATTTTTTGAGAGTAATATTCAGAATTATCTCCTTAGTTACTTTTATAATTGTGAGTATTAGAAGAAGTAGAGCTATATGATGAATAGGAACCACCACTTTTAGTGAGTGTTTTTATTTATGTTTCAGTTTAATCTGCTAATATTTTGTAGATATATAATTTATTTACATCCGAAATAACTACATATTCCTATTCTATCAAAAATATTTGCTTAATTTAAACAAAATCTTTATTTTTTATGTATAACATCAAAGTAAATGATTTTTAAACTTCAAAAATATGAATTTTCGAAGCACTTAATGCTGCCAATAAATTATCATTCAATTTTTAAAGTTTGACTTGAATTCGAGCCTACAATTGAAATTAAGCAGCGATGATATTTCTCTCTTATTCTTTTTTTAGCAAATCTTGATATTTTATCACATATATGAAATAGCTATCTGCAATATAAATTTATTGAGTGTGATTGTCTTCAATTATAGCTTATACGGTATTGAATATATCATTTTTTTACCATAAATTACCACATTAAAAGTTATATACACTCAGTACTTATTCAGTAGATATAAAAATCAATTAAACTCTCTCTTAATCAATGATTAAATTCAAATTTTAAATACCTTTAACATTACCAATGAATTATTGAGGGAGCTATGCTCTACAAGGGGTATCTAGGTTAGATTTTTAAGCTATAAGGTTGAAATTATCATCAATAAGAGCAAATTAAACTTTAGGACCTGGGCAGATTAAAATGAAATTTTAAAAATCAAACTATTACAAATTAATTTATTAAGTTTAAAAGTCTAAGCTATCATTATCGATATTTATGTAATAGAGTTAACCATTTTTAAAAGCATAAATAAAAACAATATTTTCTTCACTACTTAAACTTACATGTATCTCTTAATAATCATATAGATTTAATGATTTAATATATTAATTCCTATCATATAAATAAAACTCTCGATCAAAATTAATGATTGCTATTGACTTTAAGTCACTTTCATTCAAATACACTGCATATTAAGTATTTCGTCTTTTTAGTGATTCTAAGTTTTAAGAATCCACCTATATAGGTAGATTTAAAATGTTGTAGTATTGCATTTCTGTGTTATAAATGCAAATACTACCTAGCTTCAAATTCAGAAATATTAAATCCCCATTAAAGAAATGCTAAATCTAAGAAGACTTTTATTTAGATGTAGTTCCTTATTGATTTTATTTAAAGGAAAAACCATTTTTTTATTTTTCATAAAAGAAATTCTTAAAATATTATTTATCTTCAAAATAAAATCGTTCAAGCACGAATGGAAAGATATAAGATAGATCCAGAATTTGGATATATTTTTCTATAGATTGCTAATGGATAAACGCTATATCGAGAGAAGGAGAGTAATGAAACTAACTTTCAGAGAAAATGTAATAAAAGTTTGATTCACTAGTTGAGATAAGAATATTGCCTATTACAAGAATGGATTTATCTTCAATTATTGCCGTATTAGTTTGATTTATAAAAAAATCAATATTTATCCTCTCTAAATCTATATTTAGAGATATTTCTTTAAGAATGCTTTGTTTTTGATATAAAATTATACCAATTTTAAAAGTACTGCTTGAAGTTTGTTAATAAAAAACTAGGTATGTACTACTGCATGCTCTAGGGATGCTTGTCTTTGTTTTGAATATAAAAAAAGGTTCCTAATTTTAGCTGAATGGAAAATCATATCCAACAATATAACTCTCATATCTTAAAAATAACTTCTAATACTGCCAACAATAGAAATAATAATTTTCTTAGTGAAAAGTTTATTTTTTGAAATCTTTAAATAATTTGATGGGAGATAGAGTTGAATATGCTACTATTTAAATATATTGTTCATTCTTTAACTAGATTAAACCTATAATGAAATCTCTTTCTAAATTTAATTATCCACCCTTATTGTTAAAGGAAAAATTTACTAAATCCTAAGAGAAATTGGCATTTAATTATTGCTTATATTTTTATTTATCATAAAAGTAAACATTTTAGTTAAGAGTATAGTAAAGATGTGTTTTACTTTCAAGTAGATAATTCTTTTCTTACTGATTTTAATCATTAATCAATAGTTCTCGTTGCTCATAAAATTTGTTCTCTAAAAAGTCATAAACACCATACAAGTTTAAGATGATTTAAGGATCTACTTACGAGAAAAAAGCAAATTGATCTGCTTTTTCTGGGTAATCCATTTAAAAGCTATGAATAAAATCAGGAAAGAGAAAAATTTATTAATTTGTTCCTTAAGAATATTTTTTATAATTCGAAGAAATTTCTTGCAAACTATAAACTAATATATTCATGTTATCACAAATAATAAGAGTATCATATATTCCTACCATTTAATATGTAAATATCTCGCAAAGTACTTTAATAGAATAAGAAAAAATGATTTGCTTTTCAGGATATTTAAATAAATCTATCCTTCTGTTTGCTAATATCTATTTATCAGCATTTTAGTAAGCCTCGATAGCTAAAATCTGCCACTTATCAGAGTACATAGTATTTTAATAATAATCATCTAAAAATATTCTATCCGAAAATATTTGCTTAATAATATAAGGAATTTTCTAATTTTTATATAAAATCTAATACTTTTCTATATTTTCTGTGTATTGACATTAAAAGCTGCAGAGAACACTTATTTATTCTTTACTGTTAAGTTAATTGTAGAATTGAAGTTTGTTTTAAGAAAATGGACCTTCTATTAATTAATGATTTTCAACACTATCTTTCTATTGAATTCTTTTTTTATCAATTAATTTTATCTCACTGTTACTAACTACCTTGTAAGTCATAATACTATTTGAATAAATTTCCATTTCATCTATTAAAATAAAAATGATATTATTTTGAAAGAAATAACCAAAGTAAAAAAAATATTTATTTCATTGCTTTTAATTAATATTTACCACTTCCTAAATATTTAGATGCAACTATTTGAAAGTAGTTTCCTTCATTGTATTGGCTTTAAGGAAAAACCTAAAATGTGCAGTTTAAATCAGAGAGGTAAGGAACGTAATTTGTATCGTCTAAAGCAATCAAAGGTATAATTTTATTATCGATCTGTTAAACTGCTGTAGAAAGTAAGTCAATAAAGTGAAATATAAACATTTTTTACTTGAGTTCTTAAACAATCATCCAAGTCTTTTACTATTCTATCTGATATTTAAATATTCTGCCAGTTATTTAATTTAATGTGTAATCAATTTAATTTTATTCAATAGTTTCTAAGTTAAACTTGGCAAATTTTCCAGATGAAATGATAAGTATATTTGAAGTATCTAAAAACTCTAAATTAAATTCTTCGATTTCAATATCTATCTGCTTGTATAACTATAAACTATCTTTTTCAATTATTTTAATCATGCTTTATTTATTTTAAACATCAGAAATAGATATAGCGATATATTTATTGTTGTCCTTTATCTCTTTAAAATTTTGCAATTCACAAGTAATTAATTTACTCTTTTAATTGTTTACTAACTAAAAATACAAGCAGCTGCTTGATTCTCTGCTCTCTTTAGCTAAAAATATTTAATCAGAAACGATTCTTTCCACTTAGAAATAAACCTCATAATTTGGGGATATGTGAAAGTTAAAATAATGTATTGTTAATATTAGTTCTTGTTCTTAGCTGTTTAAAAGACCGAAAACTTTGATTAATCTGCTACTTGAATTAATTAGTATTTTGAAATTCTATCGTATTATTTTTAAACCATTTATTATTTCATCACCTTTAAGCTCTTTTTGAAAAAGTGCCTAACCATTTTTACTCATTAAAATTATTAAATTTCCTTTCATACTTATTGCAACATTAATTAATATATGTCTTTCTTAATCTATATTAACACCTCCATACTCTTATATTCTTTACACCTCAATATTATTTTCATTACAAAAGCTAAATAATTGCTTAGGCTCCTAATCAGGTTGAAGAATCAAAGCATTATTGTCATAACTAATTACCAAAAAGCTTTTTTACTATTCTAATTTAAATTAAAAAAAATTATTTTTTAATAAATTTTAAAAAATCATACCTGATTAAATTTATTCATTATGAAAAAATGTATTTTTAATAGGCTTTTAAATATCTGAGAAAATAGAATTAAGTTTGAAATTTCTGTCATATACTGAAAGCTAAAAGGAATTTTTAGTTGATACATAGATATGATTATTGAACTCGGATACAAAATAGAATTCCTCAGAAAAGATTTAGGTTTTAAATAAAATTAAATCTTTATTTTAATTCAAACAATCTATTTCATTAGAGCAATTTAAAATCAGGTCTTTTATACCTACAAAATACAAATAATTTTAGTAAACAAAAGCTATTTAATTGGATTGCTCAAGTAAATAACCATAATCACTTTTAGCTGCTACTCTAGTTAAAGCATAAGAATTTGAGTTAAATATAAAAATACTTAAACCATTCAATAAAATAAATAATATCTATTAATCTTATGAAGTAGGGATTAAAGAAAAGCATTTAATCCAGTCCACTTAAGTTAGTTCATCAATATATTATTAATCGATAGGTTCATTCTATTCTAAAAAGGAAGAATAGGTAAAAACCCTAAACTCAGTAAATATAATTAGTCTATTCGTTTCAGGTATCACATAGAATTCAATTATGTTCTATCCTATCTCGAATTGAAACTTTATATTTTTCATATCCATTAAATCAAAGACATAAACTATTTATAAATTTTTTAAATAAAATTTTAAATTTATAAAATAAAAGTTCATTATTAACTTTTATAAGTTAGTTTTTTTCAAAAAAATTTATTTTTATCATGGTTTTTATATTAATTCAAAAAAAATATAAACATCAAAGAATAAATAAATTATTTTTAACAATTTTTGTTTAGTAATTTTTATTTGTTCAAAAAAAGAGATATTTTAATAATTTGAAAAAATCTGATTTAGCCTTAATGGTTTTATTTATTTAATTAACTTATGATGCTTAATATTAGTTTATTCTATATTTATTGTATGTAATAAATGATTGAATCTATTTAAAAAATTATAATATGAGATTTTTATGCAAGTGATTTAAACAAACAAGATATTTTTTGTATTTTTTTTAAATTTCTTATTATATTGATTGTTTAAAATTTTATAAAAAATCTTATTGCTTTAAAATAATTCTAATTTATAAAATATATAAGACTATTTATTAAGTTTAGAATTACTATTTTAAACTATTATTCAATTTATTTTTTATAATTGAAATTATCTTAAAAAAATTAAGTTTGTTATTAAGTTTAGAATTACTATTTTAAACTATTAATCAATTTGTCTTTTATAATTGAAATTATCTTAAAAAAATTAAGTTTGTTTAATCTGAATATTTATTTGTCTGTTTTAAACAAAGAAGAGCGTTTAATTATATAAATGAATTTACTATTTTATAAAGATGATGAGTATGTTATCAGTAGAGTAATATCATCTTCTAGTATATCTTTACTAATTATTTTAGTACAGTTAGTATTTAGAACTATATTTGGCATATCAATAGTTTATATAAGCTCATTATAACCTAAGGAATAAACAAAAATAGATTTGTCATAGATGACATATAAATTATTAAATATTCCAATTATATTTAAAATGTCTTTATCTGTGTTTAGATTTTATAAGTAGAATAAGAACTTTAAACTTCCCCTGGAGAATTATTAAACTTCTTTTTTTGTGTAGAAAAATTAATAATACTCTAAAGTATACACCTTTAATCCTTCTATTTTTTACAAAGAGAAATCATTAAAAAATTTATATTTACATAAAATAAATAAAATATTTTTTTTGTTTATTTATTTTTTTGTTATTTTACCTTCATCTGGATTAAAGCAATTGGAATTAAATTCGCCTATATAATTATCTTGTGAACATATTTTAGGGTATTTACAAATATGTTATTCTTCGTTTTACTCTAAATTGTCTGGACATTTTTCAACTTCTACTATTTAATTCGTAGTATAATTAAAGTATGCATATCTAGATTAATTGCTGACAGAGAAAACGCATTCAACTTTTGATATAGAAAGTTAGAAACCTTTTTCACAAGCTTCACATTTATTTTTGTCTATACATTATTTACAAAATGGTATATTACAGATAGCACAATTTTATGTTTAATTATCTTCATAATATCCAGCTGGACAAATATCTAAGCACATTTATTAATACTTATAGCCTTTGCATTTAAAACAGTCAGTTTTATCTGCCCCAAAACAAGAAACACAACTAGAATCACACTTATTGCACACACCTTTACCTTAATAGAATTCATCGTATTTGCAAACTTAGCAATACTTAATACAAAGAGATAAAAAAATGAGTAAAACAAATTTAAAACTACTATCTAACATAATTTAATATTTTGAGATTATTTCTCTTTAATTAATTAAATATTTTTTTTGTTTTGAATTGAAATGAGAAATTGATTAATTGACTGATTTATGTATCTATCTATCTTTCTATTTATCTCTGATTATCATTTATTATCATCAATTTTAAAAAATGTAATTGATATTCAAACTAATTCGTAATTAGATATAATCATACCATTAATTAATTAATTAACTAATTATTTTTCCTTTCATAATGTACACATTAGCAAAAAAAAAAAAAAAATTAATTATCAAGTTAATGATTTATTCAAAATTGGTTCTAGTTTCATCAAATTTTGTTATTTTGGATCACTTCTTTTACACTAAATAAATAAAAGATGTGGCAATAACATTAACTATTGATGAGGATAAAATTTATCCATTTCTATCTAAATATCTTCTTTGAAAACATAAATTATAAAATTAATATTTTATTAAATTACGAAATATAACTTTGAAAGAAAGCTAATTATCGTTAGTTAAAATTATGAATTCTAATTATAAGTTTCAGCTAGATTAAGTTATCAAAAACTTAGTTAAAGGTAGATGATGAAAAATGAAACTCTTTAATATAGTAAAAATATTAAATTAATAAAGAAATCTAAATTTCATTCATTTAAATACTTTTTATTGAAAGATTGATTACCCCTACAATTAATTATTTTGTTTCTAAATTTAAATTTTGATGAATCAAATATTTTAAAATTAATAAAAATAATAAATAAATCAATACAACTAATAATTATATGCTTAAATAATTGTTTTTTATATATGGTAAAGGTTCATATATTAAGGCCGGTTTTTAAAAATTTTTTAATATGGTTTAATTAAGGATTTCAGATTTTTAAATAATTTTCAGATTTGTTTTTTGTTTTTATCTTTTTTGAAAAATTATAGATTTTAGATCTAATTGCCTTCAATATTTAAATTTTTATTTTAATAAGCTCAGTAGTTTGAAAAGCTTAATCTCTTGACTATTTTTTTTTTGAGCTGAATTTGAGATTTTTATTTCATGAGCCAAGTCATAAGATTTTGAGATTTTGTATCAAATGTTTCTTCACTGTTGATATTTAAAGTGGTATTTGTCTCTTCTTATTTTTCTTTAATTCAACATAATGTCTTTACTCTTCCAATTTGATTTGAATATTTATTTATGAAGTAATTTAAAATATCTAGTTTTATCTCGTAATTCTTGAACAGATTTGTATTAAATGAATAATCTAATCCAGGATTAAGAATAGCTACATAACTTGAATGGTAAGAAACTGAAACAGAATCTATATTACAATATTTGTGTCAATTAAAACTATTACATTATTAAGTAGTCGATTATCAACCTAAACAGACAGAATGGAATTTTTTACCTCAGTAAATTTTGAAAGATATCTTGTTAGAGACAAATTTAAAATATTTACATAAAATTAATAAATTTATTGTCTAAATTAACAAAATTAAATAGTTTATTTTCAGCAATTCATATAAAAATACCAAATAAAATAAAAAAAATACAGAATCTATTTATAATATAATGCAAATTATCAACTATTTTTCTTGTAAATTAATTATTTCACTTAAATTCATATTTAAAATGAAAAATTAAATTGAAGGTCATTTCTATCAATAATCCAAGGATTTGTATTCAGATTGATTGTTTTCTGATAGCTTTTTCCATTTGCTTTAGCTCCAATAACAATTAATTTATCAATTAAAATAATCTGATAAGTCGTGTTTTATTTTTCTTACTGTATTCTAAGCTCTACCTAAAATAGGTTGTTTTCGTTTAATTTACCTTGAGCGAATAAATCAATAACACAATTATAATTTTAAATGCAATTAGAAATAATATTTTCATCTCTGTTGTAATCATCAATAGTTAGCATAGAGCCAGAAGAGTAATTATTTTCATCTAAAACAATCATTAAAGTAAAGGTGTTATCGAGGAATCGACTTCTTAGCACTTTTTACTTATCTTGGATATGAACTATTTTACCTGATTTTATGTAAAGTGGTAAAACAGAATCAAAAGGAACTTCATAACAGTGTTCACCTTCTTTGTATTCAGTGTAGTCATAAAAATTATAAAAACTTTCTCCTTTTGGGATATATACACAAGAGTGGGTTGACTATTTTATTGCATTTCCTGGTTAAACTACGGGAGCAGCCATGAGATAATCTCCAACCATGAACTGTGTTTCATAAGTATATGCGTTATCATCATTTGAGAATGACCAAAATAGTGGTCTAAAAATAGTTCCTAAGCCGTTGGCTTTGACAAATAAGTGATAATAAAACTTCAGAAGCTGATACCTATTGTCAGTTATAAAATATTTTTATTAAAAAAATGAAAAAATATAGATTTTTTAATAATTGATCAAACCTAACATTTAAAGTTTTTATTGTAGAAGACAGGACGTAAGGATGGTCCTTAAATACATAAGGCTCTTATGAGGGAGCGTCATTATTATTATGATTCCTAGAAAAAGGGTATAAAGATCCTAATTACTACCATCTTGCACAGACTTCTGCTGTGGCATCACCCATAAGTCCACATATATCGTCTCCATTAAAAGGAATACCATACATGTTGAAATTCATAATAGAAGGAATACTTAATTTCATATACTCCCATGTTGAATATCCATCACCATTCCAGTGTTAAACATATCTATTCAAAGTAATTTATTAATGAAAGAAAAATAGTAAGAAATATTTGTTTGCTTTGTTTTACCTTCCACTTCCTACAGCGGTTGATCTAGAAAGTATAAAAGTAAGTTTTTTTCCTAATTTTTAAGCTGCTTTATAAGTTGCTATTCCTTCTCCAAAGCCATTTAAATTATGGAAATCATACTATGTAGGAATGTAGCCATTTGAAGAGTTATACAAAATACCTTGATCGTATCCACTGTAGTGCTTTGAATCAAGTGAGAGTGTCTTATGGTCTATTCTCTACAAACCTTCATAAATCAATTAAAACATATTTATTTAATTATTTAACTAAATTTTAAATATTGAATTTTGATTGCTGAAATAAATACCCAAAGGATTAAAAGGAAGAGCAGGTTGATCAATAGCGAAAAATGATTTTATTTTTTCAACTAAAGATTCGCTTGGCACTAACTCACCTGGTACAAAGTTAGAGAACTCATTCATATCTATCCAAATACCATCTTGAGAGATACCGTAGCTTGATAGATTTTTTAATCCGTCATACCAAAATTCTGTTGAGTTAGGGTGATTAAAGTCAGGGAAATATGTTTTTCCTGGCCAGACTTTTCCAATTAGAGACTGATTTGTTTTAGCGCTTTAAATAAACACATTCATTTCTAAACCTTTTTCAGCAGCATCGCTATCCAAAGCAATTCCTACATCAACTATACTGCTCCAATGAACACCATTAGGGTCAGATCTTTTAATGCAAGTGTAAAAAATTTGTTATTTTATTTTTGTCATTTTGTTTGTAAATTTACAAATTATAGATTTGCTGCATTTGAGTGATGTTGAATCTTTCAAAGTCAATAGTAAAGTCTTGGTATTTGTACATGTAGTCTATGTCAGTCCAAAGAGAGTCGAAAGGTATTTCATATTTGTTATAATTATTCCAAACATCCATGAGCATGTCTGAGTTTTTATAACCCCATCTACATTGGTGAAAACCTATTTGTTTTTTCAATAAATGTCAATAAATAAATGGGTACTTAATATGATATCACAATAATTATAAAAATAATCTTCAGTATTTAAATGCAATTATGAATAAATTAAATTTTAATAAAAGAATTAAATTTGCTATTGAAATTAATTAAAGTATAAAAAAATTAACCAGAAGACCAGAAAGGATGCAAAATCCACCCATTTATATAATTGTGATAAAGCTTAATTGAGTTTTCTGGATTAGAGTCACTTATGAAAAATTTAAAATCAATATTTCCTCCAATAACTTTGTAAGTTAAATGTGAATTCTGTTCATAATCGACTTGCATTCCATAATAGTTCCTGAAAAGAGTCACTTAAAATTAGTTATTTACAATATCTCTTCTAAGATACATTGGGTGAAATCCGTATATTTCTTTTCCTGGAGTTCCATTATCAATATCTGCTGCGTCTCTAGTCCAAAGAGAGTATTTACCTGATTTAAGAAGAAAGTCAGTTCTTCTATCTCCTAATCCAAATATCATGGAGTCTTTCATTTAAGTGGTAACTTCAATATACTTATCAGTAAAATAGATAGGAAAGTTTTTGGTTGAGAAGATAATTTCCTTAGTGCTCTTTCTTCTTAGTTCAAAATAGAATTTCTATCCAACTTAGCTGATTTCAGTTTCAAACAAATTAAATTCTTATTGCTTTTTGCTAAATCTTTGTTTTGTAAAAGGATAAGGCTCATTTTCAGGAAGATGGAATCTGGAATTACTAAGATCAGTTATTTTGAATTAGCACTCATCATTAGCATCAACTTTAAAAGTTACTCTTAAATCTTTAACTACAGGAGAAGAGTTTAATTCTTTTTCTTTTTTACCTTTAACCCAGCTTAAAATAGCAGTAAAGCTGCCATCCTCAGATTAAGATTCTATTTAATTGAGCTAATAGTATCCAGCATGCTTAACAAATTTATCTATCTGATGTCCTTGAATGCCAATAGATATAAATTTAAATGAGTAAATGATCCCTACAGCAGCCAAAACTGCTAACAAAGATGTCAAAATATAACAAATCTTAGATTTATTTATCATAATCTCTTTTTTATTTTTATTTTTTGATTATAAATTCTTTTACAATTGTTTTACCAGAAATTCAATTAAATAAAAAAAATTGATTATTTTTTACATCATAATCCTCATTTATATAACTATACAAACAAGCAAAAAACAAAACAATAATTTAAATAATGTAAAGTTTTGTGTAAATAATTTATAAAAAATTTATGTTACAATTAAATCAATTAATTATACTTACTTTTCTAAAATTATAAATTAAAGATATTTATTTATTTTTGTTAATTACGCTTCTTCTTTCGAACAATTATTTAAAAATTGAGTTAAAAATTACCATAAAAATTAGTTTTTATATTTGCTATCTCTCTTTATTTTTCTTTTTAAAACAAAGAAAGGCTTATTTTTATTGCAAGTAATCAACCAACCAATTGCTCAACAAAAATAAATGAAAAATAATTATTTTTATTTTATTGTGAAAAAATATTTTTTAGCAAACACAAAAATTAAATATGAAATTTATAAAAATTTATTTCTAATATTTATTCAATTTTAATTCCTTATTTTATAATCAAAGCTAAATTTCTAATTAATAAGTGATATTATCTCTATCAATAACAAATGGTTTTTAATCAAGGTAAATAGTTTTTGAGTAAATTTCTCCATTCTGAGAAATGCCACTTACTATTAACTTGTCAACATAGATAGTCTAATAATTTGTGTTATTTGATTCTGATTCAACTTGAAGGGTTAACTCAAAAATATTTGTTGATTTAAATTAACCTTTAGCCAAAATATTAGCAACGCAGTTTCCAGATTCTTGACAGTTTGTGATAATGTTATTATCATCATTGTAATCATTAATAGTGAGTATGGATCCCTCTGCAAAGCTATCTTCATTTAAAGCAACCATCAAAGTGAAAGTATTGTCCAAGAATCTGCTTCTTAATACTGTGGTCTTGTCTTAAATATGAACTATTTTACCTGCTCTAATGTAAAGAGGTACAACAGCATCAAAAGAAATATTCTAGCAATATTTACCAGATTTAATTTGAGTTTAATTGTAAAAGTCATAGAAGACAGCGTTTTATGGTACATAAAAGCATGAATAAGTTACTTACTAAGATTCGTCACCTTATTCCATAACAGGAGCAGCCATCAAATAATCTCCTATCATGAATTACATATCTTATTGATAAGCTTAATTATCTGCAGGATACTACCAGAACAGTGGTCTAAAAATTGTACCTGCTCCGTTTGCTTTGACGAATAAGTGGTAATAGAACTTCAACAATTAATATCTTTAAATTAAAAAATATTTAATTTAGAACTTAGATATTTTATTTACCTAATGTTAAGCGTTTTTATGGTAGAAGAAAGCACATAAGGTGAGTCAGGGAAAGCATAAGGTTCTTAGGAAATGCTATTGTCTCCATTATGATTTCTAGAAAATGGGTACAATGAGCCGAGTTGCTACCATCTTGCACATAACTCAGCAGTAACATCTTAGAAAAGTCCGCAAATATCATCTCCATTAAAAGGAATTCCGTACATATTGAAATTCATAATAGCAGGAATACTATATCTCATGTATTCCCATGTAGAGTCAGCATCTCCGTTCCAATGTTGGACATATCTTTTATTATATTTATTTATTTTGTTTATTTATTTTGTTTGTTTATTTTAGATTTAATAAATTAATTGGAACTAACTCATTTAATAATTAATTTTACCTTCCACTTCCAAACATTGTTGATCTTGATAAGATAAAAGTTAACTTTCTTCCTAGTCTTTTGGCTGCTCTGTAAGTGGCTAATCCTTCTCCGAAACCATTTAAGTTGTGCACATCGTACTGAGTGATAGTATAGTTGTTTGTAGCATTAACTAAAAGTGCATTTTCTCCGCTATAATGCTTTGCGCTGAGTGAAAGAGTTTTATGGTCAATTTATTCCATGCCTAATTTAAGGATATGATTTAATTAAAAATGTTTTCTGTTATAGTTAATTAATAAATTTACCTAGAGGATTGAAAGGAAGAGAAGGTGGTGCAATGGCTAAGTAATCGAGTATTTTATCCATAATCGTTTGATTAGGAATGATTTCTCCAGAGACAAAGCTATCAAATTCGTTCATATCAATCCATATACCATCTTATTATAATCCGAAGCTGGTAAGATTCTTTAAACCTTCATACCAATAATCTGTGGAATTAGGATGGTTGAAATCTGGGAAGTAAGTTTCACCTGGCCATACTTTTCCAATAAATGTCTTGTTAGTTCTACCGCTTTAAATGAAAACATTCATGTCTATTCCTCTATAAGCTGCATCACTCTCCAAAGCAATACCAACATCAACTATACTGCTCCAATGAACACCATTAGGATCAGATCTTAAATTTAAAACAAATTAATTTGTTAAATAAATATTTTAGTCATTAATCTTACAAATTGTAGATCTGTTGCATTTGTTATAAGTTGAATTTTTCAAAATCTATTGTGAAATCTTGATACTTATACATGTAGTCGATATCAGTCCAAAGAGAATCTAAAGGAATATTGTATTTGTTGTAACTATTCCAAACGTCCATTAGTTGATCAGAGTTTTTATATCCCCATCTGCATTAGTGGAAACCTTTTTAATTTGTAAATTTATTTAGCCATAAATAATCACTAATTATTTATGTTGATGTAAATGTCAAAAAATGTCTTATTTAATTATTTTTATCAAAAATTTAGATTTAAAAATGATTAAAATGAATGATTTGATATTAAACTTTATTAAATTAAATGATATTTTTTATCATTCTTAAAAGACTTAGATAAGAGAATTGCAAAGAAGGATAGATAATCAATCTCATATTAAATTTTTAAAATATTGTAATAATATTTTTTCATAGATGGAGGGAGATTGTTTTAGAAAAAAATTAACAATGAATGCTCCATAAAATATAATTTTCACTAAAGTCAAAATATAATATAACATAATAAATGTAAAGTAAAGTTAAAATTATTAAGCAGTGAGATCTATCTATCTATAAATCAATCTTTGTATGTATGCAAATTGATAAAATTATAAAGTGTAAATTGAGATAAGGTAAGAGATGATATTAATTGTAAGTTTAAATTTGCCCTTTAGCATTAATTTCTGATTAAATCTAATAAATGTAAAATTTATATAAAAGAATTGTTTCTTCAGAAAATTTCTGATAGGAACAAGAAAGAAAGAGAATATAAATAAATACCTTGAACCCAGAAAGGATGTAGTACCCATCCATTAATGTAATTATGATAAAGTTTGATTGATGTTTCAGGATTAGAGTCTCCTATGAAAAATTTAAAGTCAATATTTCCTCCGATACATTTGTAGGTCAAGTGAGAGTGCTATTTGTAATCGACTTAATGTCCATAGGCATTCCTAAAGAGAGTTACATGGAATTAGTTGCTCTTAATATCTCTTCTAAGATACATTGGATGAAACCCGTAAAGCTAATTTCCTGGTGTACCATCATCAATTTTAACTGCGTCTGAGGTCCAAAAAGAGTATTTTCCTGATTTAATTATAAAATCAGTTCTTCTATCACCCAAACCAAATATCATAGACTCATCCAAGTTTGTAGATATTTCTAAGTACTTATCTGTAAAGTAAATTGGATGATTTCTTGTAGAAAAAATTATTTCTTATGTTTACTTTCTTCTCAATTCGAAATAGAACTTTTATCCAACCTAACTTATCTCTGTTTCAAACAAATTAGATTCTTTGTCTTTTGTTCCTTGTCTTTATTTAGTGAATGGGAAAGGTTCGTTTTCAGGCAACTAAAATCTTGAATCCTGTAAATCAGTAATTTTAAATTCGCATTCATTATTGGCATCAACTTTGAAAGTTGCTCTTAAATCTTTTAAGACTGGAGATATTTTTAATTCTTATTCTAAAATCCCAGGTTTCCATTTTAGGATAACACTAAAACTTCCATCATCTGATTCTTTTTCAACCGAGCTCATAATATAGTGTCCTGCATGTTTAGTAAACTTGTTAATTCTATGTCCTTGCACATAAACAGAGATATCATCTGATTTGTATAACAAAAAGAGTACCCCAATTATAGCTAAAAGCGATCCAAGTATTACGCAAATTTTTGACTTGCTTAACATATTTTTAATATTTTTTTTTAATCAAATTTACTTATTATTCCTAAAAATAATTATTAATTATACAGAAGGATTTAATTTCTAAAAAACTAATTTGAATATATCATCATAATTATCTAGAATAGTATAAATTAAGACAATACCATACTTTGATTCCTAATTCTTTGTTCTTTACCAAATTTATCAATAAATCCTTTTTAAAATATTTAGAAAAGAATTAATAAAAATTTATAAAAGATATAATTTAAAATCATTTACTAAATTTAATATAATAACTTTACAAAACTATGATCAATCTAAATTAAATTGTAAAAAAATTAACATTCACTTAAAATTTGTTGATAAAAAATTAAATTAAATAGATATCCTATTTATCTACATTTTTTATTGCTTTATCTTAAAAAAAAAAAATCTAAATTAAAACTGATTAAATCTTTATTTTAGCCAAATCCTAAAATACAAAATTTAGAAATTGATATTCAATAATTCAATTTTTTTTAATGAAAATTTTTATATTTTAAAATTATTAAATTATTAAAAGTAAAAATTTTAAAATGTTTATTTTGTTTAAACTTTCAAATAAATATTTTCAAAGTTTATTTCATTCTTTCTTGTCACTTACTAGTAAAAAATATATAAATTAGTTAAATAAATCAAATAATACTATTTATTTTTAGTTGAAACAAGAAATTCATCTAATAAAATTCAATAAAAAATATTATTATCAATTAAAATTAAAATAGCTCAAGTTGAGGGATTACTTAATAAACAAAGCAGTCTAACTTAATATAGTAATTATAAAAATATTATTTTATATTTTTTATATTTTTCAGAATTTCTTAAGATTTTTGAAGTTTTTTTCATAAATTTTTCGTTAAAATTTAATCTAAACACATAAATATAATTTGAAGATATTTTATTTAATAGCAATAAATTAATATTAATTTTATATTTTTTTAATAAAATATTTTTAATAATATAAAAGTTAGTAAGTGAATAACTAACACATCAAATAAAGATACATTTTAATTCTAAAGAAACTTTAAATTTATTAGCAATAATTCAAACTTATATAATTAAATTTAGTTAACAAAAAAACTGCTTTTTAAAATAGCTAAAAAAAATATAAAAATGTCAGTTAAATAAATAAATAATTTATTTTCTATTAAAAGCCTTTATTTTAATTTGATTTTTTAATTATTAATTTAATTGTTAAAGAAAAATTTTTAATTTGTTGGTTGGTAGATAGATAGATAATAAAAAGCAAAGGATATTTATTATATGTGATAGAAAATATATAACTTTTATAACTAAAAATGAAGGATTTATTTAGTTAATAATGAAAATATTAAATTATATTGCTAAAAAATTAATTAAAAACTTCAATTTTAATGCTAGCCATGCATTATATAAGTGTGTTAGCTTCCTAATATAGCTCCAGATTATCCTTTTGTTGGAACTTGTTCTAGCACATGATAAAGAGGAGCCTCTGAAGCAGGTTATCCTCTAATATCTACATCAGGTGTCTCAAAGCCAGCAGCATTTGATTGATTGACTGCCGCATGTTTGGGATAATTTTATTATTGTCCACCTTATTTATCGTAGGATTAGAGTTATTCTTCGAAGTCTACATCATCGTCTCCTAAGTCATCTTCATCTAAGTCTTAATCCTCAACAACTTCAGCTTAGTCTTCTACATTATGGTCATCATCTTCAATGACTTGTCCCCAATATCCTTTAGGCACTGGAATGGCATCATCATTCCCATCATCATCTGATTTAAAAATACCATAGATACCAGGCATATTCATTTACTTTACCTATTCCTCAATAGCAACTTTATTTAAAAAGCTTCCTCCTTAGTCATGATAAGTCATACCTTTATATTTATTTTCATTTTTTTTAATAAATTTTTATAAAATTCTTTCAATAAATTTTACCAATAATTTTCAAGTTTGGATAAGATGGAGGTGGACCGTAACGTTGCATACTAGCCAACCAAGGTGGAGGAGCGTAATCTGATATTTCTAAAGCTGATCTCAATGCTTCACTCATTCTTCCAGGCTTATACTATCAATAATTAATTATCAAATAAAAAGATTATTTACAATATACCAAATAAAATAGATTTTATAATTAATTTTTGAATGAAAAGAGTAGAAATAATTTTATTCAATTAAATATTTTATTTTTAATTTATAAATAATTTTACCTTCTTAGATTGACACTCATCTTCTTTTCCTTCGTAATAGATATCACCATGAATGGTAAGCTTGGGTTTAGTTTGATATTTGAAGAAAGCATCGTGAAGTACATCATAATCAATTTCAATTTTACCCATTTTAGGATTCATACGTTCTTTTAGCTTTTATTTAACCATTGTTATACCGTCTCTTTCAGAGAAAGGATCTCTTAATTTGGCAATACCAGTGTTTTCAATATATTCTGGCAATTTAAAGGGTTATTTCAAAATACCACGCTTGTTTTAAAGATATTTTCTCTTTTGGCACCAGTGACGAGGCACAGGGACAGTATTTTTTAAAGATTTTAAAAAAACTAAGGTTCTTGGATCAGGTGCAGTAATATCCCATGCTTCTACTAAATCAGGTCTCTTTACGAGAGCCTTAAGCTATGCAACTTGCAACCATCTCTATTATTTACGCTATTTACGTGATAATTTCTCCTTGTTTTACTCTTTTTCAAGCTTTTCTTAAGCTCTTTTAGCTTTTTTCTCTTCATATTCTTCTTACAATTTCTTTTACTCCTCTTCATTCTTTTCTTCTTCGATTTCTTATTACTCTTAAGCGCTAACTTACTTCTCTGAGTATTTTTTAAACACATCTTTAAATAATTCATAATATTATCCAGTTAAAACGTTGTCCTCACTTTCATAAACATATTCTACATCTTCAATATTATCATTAGAGTGCATTTCACTATTAGCAATATTATTTTGATTTTAATGAGAAAGACGTGCGAGAGTGTTATCTGAGACTTCAGTCTGCACAGAAACTGAGTCAAATGAAGATTCACTTTAAACATTACTTTGATTTGATCTTTCCTCTTTCTTCTTCTGCTTCTACTATTTCTTTTTTTTTAATCTATGGAGCTTTTCCCTCTCCTCCTTTGTCATTTTTTTTTCCTGCTCCTTAGACATTTCACTTAAATTCTCTCAACCGATTAAAATTATTATTTGAAAACTTCAAAATATTTTTGATAAATTGCCTTCTTTTCAATTAATTAATTAAATAGCACCTACTTTTTCGAAAAAAATTAATGAAAATAATAAATATATATATATCTTTTTTGATGTTAATTAAGTAAATTAAATAGACAATACATTAATTAAATAATATTTCTATTTATTTATTGTTTCTATGCAAATTAATTTATCAATTAATTAACAAGTCATTCCGCAAGCAACTAAAAACAAAGATCATTTTTAATGTAAAACATGGTTTTAATTACAATTATTTTTATAATAAAAAATTCATTCACACTCTCAATTTAATAAAAAATCATTAATCTTTCTTTAAAACTAATACAAACACTTTTATTCATTAATTAATTAATTTTTTAAGTACAAAAACTCACTAACTACTTGCTTACTTATATACCAAAAATATAATGCATATTTTTAATAGACAATAATAAATTATATAATAATTAAAATTAATTTTTCTATTATTTTTTTTAAAAATAAATAAATTCAATAATTTATAAAACAAACTTGGATAAAATTAAAATTTTTAAAAAATTTATTGTTTGTTTACTTTACAATCAATCAATTTTGATTTTTTAAAAGTTTCTTACTTAAATAATATAATTATTTTCAAAAATGACTTGATATATGAATCATAGCATCTCTAAGTAATAAAATTATTTCTTTTATTCACTTAAGAAAAATATTTTATTTGAAATCAAATAAAATTAAAAAAAATATGCAAAGTTTATTCTTTGTCTTTTGTTTGAAAATAATTTCTACATAAATAAAAAATGCTTTTAGATTTAAATTGATAATTTAATAATTTTAGTTAAAAGTAAGTCAAGATTTATTTTGCGATTTGAATAATCCAGAAGGTCAAAATTTATATTTATTGTTTGTTATAGACTTGCTTAGTAGGATTTGTATGTATGTATAGATAGATGCATATAAATATGTCTCCTTTAATGATTTAAGATAAAAGAAGCAAATAAACTAGTTGATATTGTACTATTAATCAAGCCAAAATAGATATTGCCAAAGTAAAAAGAAAGATAATTATTAATTAATTATGTATTTATTTATTTATAATTGTATCTGTGTGAGCTGACAAATATTTAGAATAAATGAAAAATTAACTGCAATAATAATTGATTGAAAATATTTGATAGATTAATAAATTTTTGCTTTATAAAACAAGAAAGAGTAGCTGTTTGCAGATTCAAGATACAATTTATTTATTTATTTTTTTTGCAATTAAATTTGTTATTTCTAAGCATAAGATAATAAAAGGAAGGAAAGCTTCTGATTAATCAAATAATTTAAATACATAGTAGAATTATAAGTTTTAAAACGCTAAAGACAAAACATAGGTGGTTTGCTCTCATTTTTAAGATGAATATTTTTAATCTCAAGTAATTTTTTCTCTCTGCTATTCAGGATATTGATAATTTGAGGCTTCCTTATCCTTTTGAGTAGTTGAATATCAAAACAAAGATCATAGCTACTATATGTTTAACAATAATAACTACAAGTCTTACTTTAAAACTCCTCAAAAAGCTCATTTTCATTATCTAAGCAAGCTTTCAAAAAGTGATATAAATTAGGAAGAATAGACAAATTAAAGACATTAGCGAAATGTTTGATGAAAAAGTAAATATTTAGGCAGAATCTGTAGATAATTTAGTCCATTTGATGGATAAATTTTAAGGCAAATCTTTGAACTAAAAATACGAATAAATGAATGCTTTCAAACAGAATCCTCAAACTTATTCTGATGCCAATTTCGCTTATAAACCTAGAAACTTTTAGCTGTTAGAAAGAATTAGAAGAGAAAATGAAGAGAGAGAAAAGTAAAATGATCCAAATATAGCAAATAGGTATAATAGAAATGGGTTCAATAAAATGAATGATTTTGCCAATTATTCAATGGCAAATGCAGATCAGTTTAATTCAAATTACAATTTTAATGATGACATGCATTCTCAGAGCATGTAACTTGCTCCCTAATAGAAATTCATCACAGCTGAAGATGGCCTTCCTTCAACTGTTCATAATAGGAATGGAATTGATTTATTCTCTTCTCCATAATTTGGACAGAGTATTTTCAAAGAAGATATTTAGAAGCCAATAAATAGATAGAACTCAGTATTTTTCTCATTTGCTGATGAACCTTAAGCTTTCCAAAACAATATCATGCAAAAGCAAGCAGAGATATATAATAAAATTAGCAATGATCTAAAATAGGCAGATTAAAAAGAGATGGAGCTAGAAGATCATGCTCCTTTAGCTGCAACTACATAAGAAAAATAGTCTCAAATAATATAAAATAATGTAGAAAGCCAACAAAAAATTGCAAATAAGAACGAAACAATTGAAGAAGAAAATAACAATTAAAATAATAAAGAGCACAAGAAAAAAAATGAAGCCTTAAAAAAGTACTTTTTTATAATTAAATTAAAAATATTTTAGCTTTAAATTTAGATTTAAGTTAATAATTTTGTTTTTAAATCAAAGGGTTATTAAAAATAAACTAATTAGTAAGAATACTAACAATAAGTTTATCAAGCCAACTAAGAGTTCAGTTGCAGAAAAGAATGAATATAGGGCATAAAAAGACTTCAAAAACGCAAGCAAGAAAAATTAAAAATTATAACTAAGGTAACAATAAGAAGAAGAAGATGATGAAGATTATTACGAAGAAGAAGAAGATTATGATGAAGAGTTTATTATTTATAAAAAGGCTAAAAAACTTCAAGCAGTTCCGTTTAAAAAATAAAAAAAGATTACTAAAAGAAGCTCTGTGGACGAGGATTTCTTGGTTAATCAAAGCATATAAAAATAACGCAAAAGTAACTCAAATCATCGTGATATGATATCTTAATCATTAAACCTCTCATAATAGCATAAATAATAAAGAAATTTGTCAAACTAACTAAGCGAGTAAAATAACTAATAATTGTAAAGTAATTTACTATCTTAATAAGCCTAGCAAAGATAATCTTCCTCATAGTCAATTTAACAATAATAGTAATAACAACAACAATAACAAATTGGTTTATAAACATAGTAATAATAATAAATTCCTTAACTGAGTTAAGAAAATTAATTCTTGAACTAAACTCAAAATTAAGTTTAACAAGAGTAAATATTAAAATAATAATCATAATAATTAAAACAATAACCTGTCTTACTGCCAAAAGTAAGCTAACCTTAAGCTGTGAACTAAGTAGAACAGTAAAACATGGACAACATCTTACAATAAGGAAGCAACAATAATGATAGTAGTAGCTTGTGTCTTCCACCTCCTAAAAATATGAGCTAAAAATGGAATTACTCTTAGAATTTCTCTTAGAAAAATTTACCATTTTTCAATGTAGAACAATTTTAGCACTAAAACATAGAAATTTCTTAAAAAGTTGGTTTCAATATATTCGATGAAAAAAATAACAAAGTAAATTTATATTAAAATATTTTTGTATTTTATTAAAAAAATTATCTAATAAAAAGGGATATAAAGCATATGTATTCAACAATTAAAATTCTTACATTATGCCAATCGATAATAGTGAAACAGAAAATCAAGAAGAAAAAAAGGAAGACAAAAGTGTAGAAGGAGCTAATAATGAACAAGAGTCTGTTAATTAATGAAAATATTTATAATAAATCAAATTTAGAATAAAAGAATTGTTTAAATAAATAAATAAAAATACTTATTAATTTAATTTATTTTTTGTTTTGTATCTATCTGATTCCATAAAAACAAACAGCATTTTTACATTTATTAATTAATTATCATTCTTTTTTTTAATTTTATTTATTTTATTTTAGATAAAATATTTTTAATTTAAACAGTTAATCTCAATGAATAAAGTTTAAGATGTATTTATATATATAGTGTATTCTCATTAATAAAGGTCAAATTATATTAAGGTAATTTTTAGAAAATTATATATATATATAAAATTTTTGGAACTAAATTTTAAAAGTAGGTAATCAATTAAATAAATAAAGTATAGTTGGTGTATTTGTTTAGAAGTTTTTTAACTTTATTTAAACATTTTTTATATTTAAATTAATATTAAATGCATATATATTTAATTAAAAATACTGTTTTAAAATTTATTTTTACTTAAAAAAGTAAAATAGTATGTCAAATTATTATTTACTCAGAGTAAAAAATCCTAAAAATCATATTTTTGTAATCAAATAATTTAATAATTGATTTAATTCAAATTAAAATACACTCATAGAAATTAAAATAAGATGAATCCAACTTTTTAAAAGCAATCTAATTATAAAAATAAAACCTAGAGTTAATTATAAATAAGAACACAATTAAGTAAGAAATTATGAATCTTTTCTTGATGAACATTCAATTAAACGAATCAATCAATGAATGGTCAAAATTATATAATTTCTTTTATAGTTAAGCTTGAAAATGAATGATGAAATGTTTAATTGAAAATGAATACTTAGAATTTTTGCAATTAAATCTTTATTTATATCCATAAAAAATAAAATCTAAAGATTTAAACAGACAAAGAAGTTAATCATAATATTGATTAAAAGAAAAATACTTAATTGTGTTATTAAAATGCCATAAAAACTAAGCAGTATAATTTTATTATTTCTTAAAATAAATATTTAATTTTTTTAATCAAATTTACTTGCTCAAATTAAAAAAATAATAAATAATATTGAGTTTTTCATCAATAATTTAATTAATAATTAATATTGACGTTGTTCAAAATAAAAATATAAAAATAATTACATTTTTAGGGATATTCTGAACATTTTTAATATAATTTTATTCATTAATTTTTAAGCCTTTTATTTTTATAGAAATATTTTGTTTTTATTGAAAAATAGTTTTATTTATTGTAAAATCTTACTCTTTATTTTACAATTTATTTTGCAATTATTTCGATTAATTAGAAAATATTTAGTTTACTTCTATTAATATCTAAAAACTTATAAATAAATAAATAATCAAAGATGTCTTTCTTTAAATTAAATGTGAATGAATTAATTTCAAAAAGAAGAAAAAATAAATTTCTATTTCAATTAAGTTAGTTAAGTTGATATTTATTTATTCATATATTTAACAAATTTCTTATTCAAATAAGTTTTGAAACTAGGAGATCTATGAGATATTCAATATTACTTATAGTTTATTTAAACGTATGAATCTATAAGTAAATAAATGATTGATTATCTATTTATTGCTTACTTTTTGATAACATTTCTTTTATTTTACAGATTTATGATTGTTACAATCCTCTTTTCTATTGCAGTATTTAATTTCTAATTTTATTTTTTTCTTTTGATAATAGTAGATCGATATATTGTTAGTTTGTTTGGTTGATTGATTAATTCACCGATGGATCAAACAGTTCAATGAAAAACTAATAAAGGAAGAAGAACTAGAAACAACTACTACTTTATATTTAAATATTTGTTATTAACAAACAAAAAAATAGTAAAGAAAAAAAAAACCTAATTTTTCTAATTTTTAATTAATTTAATAATTAAAATCCATTTCAATCAATCAATCAAGATGTTAAATTTTGAGGAACAAAAAACCAAAAAAAATGTAAGGTGCGAAAAGCTAAATTCAATAAAAGGTATAAAAATGATTGCTTTACAATATATTAGAATTGAGAAAGACTCAAATGATGAATTCTGTTTAAAATTTACTTTGAATGTCTTTCATAAATGCCCATTTATTTACTAGCTTAAATAAAATACATGATTTATATTTTATAACAAACAGATAAATTAGCACCAGTGATTTACATTTGTCTATAATTGTTTATTTTAGCTCCAACAGTCATAAGAGCAAAAGATGATTTGTTTGACTTTAGTTAAGTATTTTCATATATATTTTGGATATCTGTCGTTTTCACTTTAGTTTCCTATTTCATCACTCACTGCGCTGATGTAATTTATTAATAATAAATTCCAGTTTAGATTTAACTATCTGCTCATATAAATTTTGCTTATATCGATGAATATTTAGTATTTTTTATTATAAATTAGCCAGGATATGTACCACTTGAACTCATTTCTCTTACTGAAAATGTATTCGCTTATATTGACTTTAATAGATATGTGTTTAATAATATATTTGATATTTACATTTTATTTATTTTTCATACTTATATTCCTTTGTTTACATTTAATACTTGATATTCTATATAGAGTCAAAGTAGCAGAATATAACAGAATGGAAGAAGATCTTTTATTTCTTAGCTCTTTAAAGGTAAAAGCAATGCAAACTTTATGAATGAAGGTGCAGACACTAATAAGATAAATAACAGTCATCATTTTAAAATGGATTTCAAAGTATAATTTCACACATTTATTTCCTTTCAAGATTTCTTTTCAGATTTAAGCATTGTAGTGGGAAAATTAACAAATTGATTAACAAGGAAATGCATCTATTAATATATCTATCTATATATCTTACTAATAATCAATCAATTAATCTGTCTTCTTTTTAGTTATGTCCAAAGTAGTAATTTTAACAAGTTTGTAATAGTAAATTCTCCTTCAATTGCTAAATGAAATATAGCTCATTTATTCATTTATCTAAAAATCAATCTAATTTTATTCCTAGAGAGATTAAATATTTTTGAGGTATTGCTTGATTGAGTATGATTTTTCAGTGATAATTAATAATAATTTGAGCCTTTGAAAATAAACAAATAAAAAAATTAAGTTAAGTATTTCAGAGATTTATTATTTTCTTAAAAATTAAAAAAAGTACTTTGTTTCTTATCGTAATAATAAAGATAAATTGAAACTAGAACTATTCTTTAAGCAATGAAATTTATAAATTTACAGAAACATTTATGATTGGTTATTAGTCTACAAAAAACTTAATAGATGCAATTAAAAAATTAGCTTTTTTTTAAGCGATTGATCTTACAAAAATACTATTTACTCAATTGTTTATTTGATTGATGCATTTCTAAATTAAAAAATTAGTTCATCTTTTACTAAAAAAGGAATTTCCTTTGTCATAAAGCGAAAAATTTTGTTATTTCGAATAGATTTTCAAATTTTTTGAATACAAACAAACAAACAAATCTATAAATCTTATTATCTTTTTTATTATTCTTTTCTGAGATTAAATTTAACAAACATATTTTATTAACTGAATGAATAAATTAGTTTCTATTTTACTGAATCAAAATTTTATAAATTAAAATAAAGCACACTCAGAATGAAGATGAAGAGGCTAAAAATAGGAAATAACAAAAGTATTTAAAAAATGTGATTAAATCTAAGAAAAATAACTTTGTAGAGTTCAAAGATGAGGAGGACCATGAAGGAGAAGAGCAAAATCGCAACCATATTAATATGGATAATATGCGAGATGAAAAAACTCCTCCTAAATAGGATGAATTACATAATACTCCTAATAAAGAATAAAATGAAGAAGGAAACAACAATCTTGAAAATTACATTCCAGAGTGCGAACTTACCATGGAAATTGAGGAAAATAAATAAAAGAGTGTTTAAAAATCTTTTAAATTTGAAGATTCTTGTTAGAGTGGAGAAAAGCAAGATTTTGTAGTTGGATTAGATAATATTTAAGTGAAAGTGGCTGCATTTTCTCCTTGTCTAAGTAGAAACAGAAGTTTTGAAAAAGCAAATTAAAATGATTAATAGCTTCCAACTATTGAGGAGAAGGTAGCATCTATACAAGTTATTGGTTAAGAATTAATCTAATAAGATTAACAAAAAGAATTAAATCCTCCAACATAATTACCTAATTGCAGAAAGCACTAATCAGAGAAGCAGATTTCTTTACCTAACAGCGATTTTCATACATCAAATATGTTTAGCTCTAATAGTGAAAAATATATCTCTAAAGAAACTACTACTCAAATAGAAGACGGTAGTACTAAATTTACTTGCAAAACCACAACTCAAGAGCAATTCACCACCCAAAACCTGGAAAAAAGAACATCTCCCTTTCACCCTTTCTAGCAAAGTGAGGAAGCTGAAGACATTTAATCTCCAATTTCAAACTAAAATTAGGATAACCAAAACAACCAATTGCAATAGGAGAACAAAGTAGAACCTTTCTAATACGAAGTTCATCATACCGATGAAGTTGTGTAAAAAAATGACCATGAAAAAAACTACATTTTTGATAAAGAATAAAAGAACTCAAATGGAGACCACATATTTACTGATAATGTAAAATAAGTTTAATTTTTTTTTAAATAAACTTAAAATCCTTAATTTAAATGAAAAAAAAAACACATTTGAAAAAAATAAAATTATAAAATTTTTATTAAAAATAATTCTTGATTTGAAAAATGCATCTAGAACTTTTTGTAAATGTTTATTAATTAATTAGGACAATGAAGAAAAAAGTCAAAGAAAAATGAAAATTCAAACTCCTGTTAGCCAAATAGTCTTTACAAATAATACAGTTAATAATCCTAGTAGCATGTTTTAATTTAATATTAACAATCTATAATGCGAAAAACACAAATTCAAACAACAAAATTAAGGAGACTAAGAGTCTTATAAAGACTAATGGGTTAATAAAGGCAAACATTTAAGCAAAAGTGGTGACATTGAGAATCATAGTAATTAACTTAAAACATTCAATCCTGTAAATATTAGCAAAAATATGAAAATAAATGGCTAAATCAATTAAAACTAAATGCCTTTTGTTGAAAAGAGATACTGTACTTCGTGTTATATAAATATGCCTTTGAGGGCTAAGCATTGTAAAGATTGCAAAAGGTGTGTAGCTAGGTTTGATCATCACTGTCCCTATGTAGGAAATTGCATAGGAGAAAAAAACAAATGCGTTTTCTACTGGTTTTTGATTCTTTAACTTATTGAATTGCTAGTAGGATTTATAGAGGTAAATTATTTTAGATCACTTTATTTTTGGAAGTAATTTTTTGTTAAAATAATTAATAGGTTCTAAAATATAATGAATTTGACTAATCTGATAAACTTGCTTACAATATCTATACTATATTTTGCTTTATCATAATTGCATTCTTCTTTATTTTTGTCCTATTGCTGTTTGTTTATCACAGCTACTTTGGCTCACTCAATATTACAACATGTAAAAATTCTAAATTTATTAGTTTATTAAATTATATTTTTTGTTTTATTAACAAAGGGGAGTATGCTAGTTGGGAAAAAATAAGCTACTTGTAAGACATTCCTTATGGATTTGGTTCCCCATTTTCAATGGGGCTAGCTAAAAATTGCAGATCATTTTGCACTTTTAGGTTATTCTAAAAAGAAGTTACTGATCCCTAGTATGTAAGATATCCTCAAAATTTAATTGAACTATAAAATTTAAGACATGACAAAGAAGCTTAGTTGTAGAATGAAAACTACTTTGATCTTTAAAGTGCTAAAATAGATAATAATAAGCAATAAAAAAATAACACTGATTGATTAATTTACTGACCGACTGACTTTTTTATAACTTAATAATAACAATTATTTATTAATTATTATTAATAAATGAACTAATTCACATACTTAATTAAACCACTTCATTTCTTAGTCTTGGACTAAAGTAGACTTGCAAAAATAAACTGATTAATCCATTTAAAATATATGATTTAACTTAATTTAATTTTTATATAAATTATAAAATGAATAAAAAAATAAATGAATGAATGAATATTGTATATAAATTATTTTTATAAATTGTATCACTTACTAATTAATTTTAGAAAAAGTATTTAGTTATTTATTTATTTATTTGTTTTCTTTCTTAAACTCAATCTTATTATGTGCTTATTAATAAAACTAAATTATGTTAGAGGGTTAATCAATGTATATTTATTATGAATTTTAAAAAAAAGATCATATTAGAATTATAGATAATTAACTTAAAGATAGATTATGCTTTTAATTCAAATTAATTTTATTAGATATTTTTAAATAAAAAATAACAACTGTCTGTATCATCAAAATATTTATTTAAAAACTATATTTTTGCAAAAAATGCTTAATTTTAGTGATTTCTCAGAAGGATCTTGTTAACTAGGAATTATTGTATATTCAATATATGAATTTTATTGAATAATGTATTTACATACTTTTTCATAAATACTTTAATTTATTTTTTCTAGTTCATTATATTTTAATACAATAAATAAGTCTGTATTTTAATTAATTAACTGATTTTTAAAATCAAAAAAGGTTAAAGTGTTTTAGAAAACAAATTTATTTTATTTATATGTTTGTTATTTAAAGAACAGACAGGCAATATAAAATTGAACAAAAAATATTCAAATAATATTAATAAAAACTATGGAAACTATGAATGAATGAATGAATTTGGATAAATAAACATAAGAAAAATGAGAATTTAGTTTCATCTAAAAGAAAGAATAAATGAAGAAAATAATCAGTATCTGTAGACATTAAGTTAAGATTATCTTAAAGAGTTATTTTCTTATTTGTTTTGGTTAACCAAAGATCTAAGACTCTCAACTTCTGCGCTTTGTAAAACTATTCTCATGAGCAAATCTTAAATTTATAATTCAAGGACAGCGTATTAGGCATACCTTAATCTTACAATTTCAAGTTCTTTAGCCAAGGCTTAGTTGTCAGCAGTTAATCTATCGATTTCTTATAAAAGATATTGGATTCTGTCTTGAGTAGACTTGTACTAGATTTGAATTTCTGTGTAAGAAATGAGTTGAGTTCTCAGTTATTCAATTTCTTAGTTTTTAGAGTTGATCATGAAATCCTTTCTTTAAGTCTCAGTAGATAATAGGACTAACCTATTTTCATATTGCTCTTTTTCAAAGTTATACTTCTTAAGGAGTTCTTCATATCTTAATTCAGATTCATTCAATTATTTCTTCAATTAGTCAATCTAGCTATAAAGACTTAAGTTAGTATTTTGAGTTTCTTTATAAATATTAAGCTAAATGTTAGTTTCTTTTAATGTTATTTCTAACTAATGAACAATAATTTGTAATTCAGCAATAAGTTTCTTCATTTTTTCGTTATCTTCAGCCAGATTCTTGTTAGCATTTCTGTAGTATTCAATTTCATGATCCTTTTATTTAAATTTATTTATATTTTTTTTATCTAAAAATTAATAAAATTAATAAAATTCAAAACTTTCAATTTTCATTTTAATAAAGATGTTTATCTGATAAAATTTTTTAAAAATTTATTTAGGCAATATTCATTTAAACAATAATTCTATTTAGATTATCTTAATGCCTTGTTAATTTAATTTTGTGTAAATTATTTTTAATTTGGTGTTAATTTAAATAGGAGACGATTTTTTTTATTTTTGTAATCAAAATTATAAAATTTAGTTTTTTTAGATTTTATTTGTTTATTTATTTTATTTTTGCTTGTAGCTTTTTTACATAGTTTGTTTTGCACAAATAAATTTATTTTGTTATTTGATTGCTGAATGTGCTTGCTTTATAATTATGGTATTTTTTTTATAATTTTGTTAAATATTTACTGAAATTCGTTTTTAATAATAGAAAATAAAAATTACCTTTTGTTGGATTGTAAGATTAAGCTTGTTAATGGTTTAGTTCAAAGTTATCACTTTCAATTCAGTTTCATTTACAGATTGTCTGACTTGATTGTATTCGTTGGAAATGCTCTTTAAGTTATTTATTTCTTAGGTTAAGCCTTAAATCTTGTAGTCTCTTTCGGCAATTTGGCTCTTTAGTGAGATGGTTTCATACTCAAGTTTTTGAGCTAATTCTCTTGCAGCTTTTAAATCATTTTCAAGGTTGGTAATTTAAGTGTTCAAGTTAATTACAACTGTTTCGTTATGTTGAAGCAAATAAACTTAGCTTTGAATTTGAGTAATCTTTAATCTCAAATCTTCATTTTCAGTTTATTTTTATTATAAAGTGCGTGTGAGATTTTCGATTTCATTTGTAAGCAATTACAATTTAGCTTCATATTGAGATTTCTCGTAAAGAAGAACCTTTTTATCATCTGATTCCTTTTCAAGTTCCTTTTCACGTTTTTTAGAGCGCTTGACATCATCTTCCTTTTGATCAATCATGTTTCTTAAACCTTCATTCTCGCGTTACAAATTCTAAATTTAGTTCTACAAAACATAAATGTTTGTAACTTGACTTCTGAGTTCGTTTATCTTCTAATCTTAATCAGCATATGATTTCTTCCACTATTCAATTTCTTAATTCTTATTTTCTATAACTTGCTATAATCTTTGCTTTTCCTATTCTACATTTTACAATTAGTAAATATTAATTTGCAAGTTATTGAGCTATTCTCTCAACCTATTTTTTTTTAAACAAAACTCTATTAATACTTTATCATGCAAAAAGCTTATATTTAATGCAAATTTTGAGCTAAACACTAAAAACTAAGAGGTTTGGCTTATCAACTATAAAATAGTCTTTAAGCTAATTAAATACTAAATATTATCTGATTAATATTAATACTGCTATCTTCTGTTAATACAATGTATTTGATAGTCAAACATGAATAATTTTCAAAATAGAATCAATCTATGGCATTATATCAATAGAATATTTAGTGACGATAGAAAAATAATTCAATATTTTACAAATGAAAAAATGTATGCTTAGGCATAAAAGTTGATTTTGAGATAAAAATTATTATTATTTGTTTGTTTGTTTATTTATTTATTACCTGTCAATTTCAGCATTTTTAGCTTTGACTGTTTCGTCTTTATTCTTAATTTCAATTTGAAGATATGCTATGTTATCTTGTAAATTTTTAAGCTAAAGATCTCCTTGGTATTTAGAATTTTCAGAATTAGAGAGAGCAAAGAGAATGTTTTGCAATTCCTTTTCTTTATCTGCAAGTTTTTAATTTAATGCATCTATCTTATCCTAATATTCTTTATCTTTATTATCTTTATCTCTCTTAGATCTCTTAACGATTTCATCGTTCTGATCTTGCATGCCTTAGAGCTAATTCATTAAATTTTAAATTATTCTTTGATTTTCTTCATCCCTATTTAATAAATGAAAAAATAGATAATTTATTTATTTTCTTCACATTGCTTTTACTAAAGTAAAAAATGCAAATTAAATTTCTTACTTGTGGAGAAGCTCTTGAATTTTGTTGCTTTTCATGATAAGCTCGTTTTTCATCTATTCAATCAAGATAAGTTACTAATTGTAAATATCTTATATTTTTTTGTACTCTTGCTCAAAGATTGCTGTTTAATTCAAACGCAACTTCAACTATTCTATTTGTTATCTGTATTGTGTTATTTGCATCAAATATTCATTTATTTGTTGTGCTAAATTTCTGTTTTCAGTAAGTACTTCAGTTAACTAACTCTCTGTAATTCTGATCACTTCAAACTTTTATTTGTACTCCAAGATATGTGTTTCCTTTATATAATTAAAAATCATGAAATAAATTCTACTTAATTCAATAATTTCTATTGCATTTCCTCAATCAAAATAGGGATAAATCTAATAAAGCACTTTATCTTAAATTTACTTTTTAAGAAAACCAATTCAATTGATTAACAATTGATGGCTTTTTTTCAACAAAGTAATTTTAAGGAATGCTTTTTATTTTGACTTGCTCAATCAATTTTCTAAAATTCATTTTTTTTGAAGAAATTGAAAAACTCTTTTTAGAAAAAAAAACGACAATTTTTTAAAAATGCTTTTTTTAAAGCTAAAAAATGATTTTCAAAAAACATAAGGAAAAGCAATAGCTTATAAATATCGCTCTGATGTCTAAGAATTATTTAATAATAAAAATCAAATTACCAAGTGAGCACATTTTTTCTTATAGCCTTCTAATTCTTTGATTAAGAGCTCATCATTTGATGAATATGAGACATTTTAGGTACTTTTAATGATTTCACTTGTAGTATGGACTACAGGAGAGGCAGAGATAACTTGCTTTGTGTGAATGACGGATGGAGGAGTTTAAACAACACTTTTCACAACCTAAATATGAGAAGGAGAGTTGCTAACAAGTAAATTAGCCTATTGCTAACTGATTAATTAAGATTAAGAAGGAACAGTTGTAGTGATGATTTAAGGAACCTATTCAACTTATTGGTAAACAGCACTTTATCTTGTGGTGATGATGGGACCAGAAACAATTTACTAGGGGTGTATAACTTATTAAACTGCCTATCCTCCAATTAACTAAGAGCCTTAAATTAATTGTGTTCCAGATACTAACTTTTGATGACCTTATACGATCTAGTGACCTCCAATAACTGCCTAACCTTGCACAGCTTGCTACTATTCGTTATTAGTAATGTAGACTATTTTCTAGTTTTTAGGAGTACGAATGGCTGGGGAATTAACAGCAAAGCGAGAAGCTCCATGCACGGCATTACTTGTGCCAGAGGTAAACTTTTCACTGTATCTCTTTTCAGCGCCAACACTGTAACTATTAGTGATTTGTGGGGCTCCTTATATAATCTAGTGAGAATACACAGGATGGTTGCTATTATAATTGAGTTGCTGTTGAGACATTTTATAATTTTTAACTTGCTTAATTGGTTGTATATCTATCTATCTGTTTAGGCTTTAAACGCTCTTTATCTATTTATTTTTTGATTGACTGTAGGTATATCCTTTTGTATTTTATTTTGGATTAAATATTATATAATAATTATATTAATTGGCGAATTAGTTAGTATCTCTAGTAAATTTTTATTTAAAAAACTTTAAAATAACAAGAAAGAAATAAATAAATAAATGATAATTGGTTCTTTTGATGCTTGCCTTAGATTATTTAAATTTTTACTAATCAATCTTTGCTTGGCTTATCTTTCTGCAAATAATTTTTATTTATCTCAAATATAAATAAATCCTTGAAAAACTTACTTCGTTCAAAATAACAATAAAATAAATATATGCATACATACATACTAATTCATCTCTAAACAAACAAACAAATAAAGAAAGAAAGAAACTTTAATCTTAAAAAGAACAAGAAATACAGTTTTTACCAAACAAAACAAAACAAATTAATCCTCAAAACGAAGAAATTATAAAAATCATGATAGAAAATAAATTAGTAAGCAGTTAAAAATAGATTGTAACATTAATTAAGCAACAATTAAGTATAAGAAAGCAACTATCTATGATTAGCCTATAAACCACGATAAGTCTAGTTTATCAAATAAACATATTTCTATATTTTTTAACTCCTTTTTTGTTTGAAACTAACTATTTGTTTTATATCTTAAAAAAAAGCATATTCATTTTTGAATAAACTTCCAATTAATTATAAAATTTGACTTTGTTACTTAAAATTTAAAATGAAATAAAAATATAAGTAATAATTATAAAAAATAAGACAAAATTTTAACAAAAAATGTTTAAACTAGATCTATTTTTATATAAAAAATATTAAATTTTTTGAGAATCTTACCTAAGTTCTGTCTAGTAAGACTTAACCAAAATAAATAAAATTTAATTAATTGAAACAAAATAACTGATTATTCAATCATAAAAATGCATACAGCCTAAATTTATTATTGGAATAAAAAATTGATTTTTAAACCACGAATTTATGAATATCTTTTGATTGATGTTTTAAGCATATCCTCTTTTTATTTGTTAGGTTGGTTAATATCTTTTTGAAAATAAATCTAAGTAATTATCTTTCCAAAAAATAAATAAAATTTATTGTTTTTCTATTATCAAAAATTTTCATGTCAAGATGTATAATAAACTAAACTCATCGACAAATAAATTTTTTCAGCTAAGTAAGATTGATTTATTCATAAATCTGAAGTTCTTTATGGTTTAATTAAAATATTATTGCCTTAAACTGCAAAAATTTTACAATAATAGAATAGAAAAAAATTAAAAAGAAAGCAAAGAGAGTAAGTGTAAAGAATTTTGTGGTTTTATAAAATAAATTAATTTGGTATAATCAAATTTTTGTTATTGTGATAATAAATGAATGAATTAGCAAATACTTTTTAAGTAAATAAATATTTTAATCTTTATGATTAATTTTTATAATGGCTTTTATTTTTTTAAAAATATTCTAAAAGGTTTGCTTAATTAGTTAGCAAATCTTGAGCTTTTAAATCTAAAAATATGAATAAAATTTATAAATCTTTTTTTAAAATAACCTACTAAATTGTAAATTATTCAATGAAAGTTTTTAGATTATTATTTGAAAACTGGTATTTAAATAGAATAAGAAAAGAAAATAAATAATTGTATCTTATCAATATTATATAATAAATGATTAAATAAACAATTACTCATTTTTCTTTAATAAAAGATAAATTTTATTTTTAAAAATATCAACCAAAAATAAGAAAAAATCTATTAAATTTTAAATAATTTATTTAATTTTTAAAAACAAACAAACTAGCTATTCAGATTTAATTTCTTTCAAAATTATTTTATTGATGTAAATATGAATTTTTGAGAGAAATATAAAATTTATTTACTTAATTTGAGGATGGTTAACATAAATAGTAAGTGCTTTAAAATATATTTGTTTTAATTATTTTTAAATCTAATTTTGTGAAATTTGAAAAACAAATACAAATACTTTTAGAAAAATACATTTATGAATATTTAAAAGTAAAATATTATTAGATGGAGAAAGATTGTTGTTGATTGATTGTATGTGTGTATGTATGTAAGTATGTTGGTGGATGATAGATGAAATATCAAAAAGATAGTTTAATTTATATATTGAATTTTATCTATCAATCTATCTATGTTTTTTTGTTTGGTTTAGGATTTGATTAAGATAAATAAAGTTAGCTAGTTAATCATTTATCTCATTAAAAAACTATTTTCCAAAAATTTTAATTAAAAAAGCAAAGCAGCTAGCTCATTTAAGATTGAGTTCTAAAGCTGCACCATTAAATAGATTGTAAAAAGCAATACTCTTTTCTGATTTAAGAGATTTGAATAGGGTAGATTTTAAATTTGATTGTTCTAAGTCGACACCTAATTATTATTAATTTATTTATATAAAAACTTTAATATATTTTTTTACAAAAATATTTATTTATTTACCTATTTTTTCTGAGATAGTTTGCTTAATTTGCTGAATGGTGTTATGGGGTTAGAAAGTTAATTTTATTAATTGGCCTGTTAACTTAGCATTTCTTTCTATGTCTTCTGGAATTCTAATGTTGAGGGTAACTGCTCCTGGATTTTTTTATAAGAAAATTTATTCAGGTTCTAGGGAAACACCTTCTTCTAATTGAGATAGTTTGTTGCGGCTTAATTGTATACTGTCTTATTATGACTATTTATTTTCTATTTGATATTCAAAAATGTTTTGTTAATTTCACAAATTTAAATTGTATTAATTAATTGGTTACATTCGTCGCTTTGAGGTAAGAGTCCTTTTTGTTTGAGCTATTCTTCATATTTTCTACGAGTAGACTGAGCAAGCATTGCCACTGTAGCGGTGGTTCTTGTCATAGTTGCAGATTGACCATCCCAAATAGGTTTGCTGGGACCAGATGGCTCATTTTCGACAATCTTTTCGAATTGTTCTTCAGCATAACCGAAAATTTCAGGACGATGCTTTTTCATGTCATAAAGATTCTAAATAATTTGAGGATCATGAACTGTTGAAGATGTCTTGCTGCTAGCTTATTATTCTTTCTTTAGTTGTTAGTATTTAGGATCAAGCATTTCAATTTCAAGATGCTAGTTGTAATCATCAATAGGAATAAGTTATCCACAAATCTAGCACTTGGTGCATTCGTTTCTTTGGTTATTTTGTTATCTCTTATAGTCAGCCTTAATCTTAATATTTTCATCAGGAATAATTGAAGGTTGAATCTCATTAGGTCCTGGAACTGTAGGAATATCCTTTTTAGGAGGTTCTTCTGTTTTCAAATAAAAATAATTTATTTTATTTTTTTGTTAACAAATCAGAAATAAATGAAAAATCTCATATTAAATGTTAATAAAATACTAAATTTAATTAATTCCTTCTTTAATTCGTTTTTCTAAAAAAAATGTTAATTGATTAAAAAACTTTTCATTTAAAAAAAGCTATTAAAAACTTTAAAATTAAAATTTAATTTTAATCCTATTTGCTTTATATTTTGACAATTTCATTCATTCTTTTGAATTATTTATTTATTTATTTGTTTTTTATTTCATAATCTAACTTTAAATCCATGAATTAAAAAGTTTGGTTTATTTTAAATCAAATAGCTCTTTGGATTCATTTATTTATTTTATAAAGATATTTTTTTGTTCTTTTTTATTAATAACCACACCTTTTTAAATTATCTGCACTAATAGCTTTAATAAAAATAATTCTGGTTCGAATTCTTTCTTAAATATTTAGCTACTTATTTTTAAAAAATGAAGTTTAGTTGTTTTGTTTGAATTTTCATTTCTCTTTACTTTATTTAATTTGATGATTTTATATTCTCTTTAAAAAAAATTCTTAGACAAAATTAGCAATTTAGCAATAAAAATAACTTATTTTCTTATATAATTTTTAGGCTTTTATGCATTCAGAGCTTCTAATAAAAGTACATCTTTTAATAAATTCATTTTTATTTTCTTTAACAAAACAAATTAATTCCAAATTTAACTTTTTAAATAAATTATCTTTTAAGATAGGTTAGCATTTTTAAATTTAAAATAAATGCTTTATATTTGTTTAGCTATTATTTTTTAAAGAAAGGCATACAAGAGTAAATCTATCTAATCCAACTAATTCTAGAATGTGTGTGTAATTGTAGATAGTATTTAAAAAAATATTAATTTTACTTGGCTTTTCTTCTTCAATTGGAGTAGGTTGAACAGCTGGAATTTCTGGAATGGCTGGTATATCTTAAGCTTGAGTTAAGGTGTTGCTATTGTTGTAATTAGCAAAGCTATCATTAAAATCAATAGTTTCAGCAACATAAAAATCATTCCAATCAATTGATTCCTTGAGAAGTCTTTCTTCTTTTTCTATTTCACTCTACTTCTTTTCTTGTTGTCTCTTTTATTTCAAATGATCAAATATCCTTAGAGCTTAGCTGTAGATATGCTACTTACTCTTACCATTTCTTATGATATTATCAAGTTGACTCTCTTTGATTTGAATAATTTTCTAATAGGAGTTGACTAAACTAATGAAGAAACTGAAGAGAGAGTTTGTGGGCTTTAGGAAATCGAATTAAGGATTTTGCTTTTCTCTTTCTGTTAAAGAGATAAGGAATTTTTTACCATTTTTGGCTACAAATTAAGCTGTATGCTTGATAATATCTAATTCTAAACTTGTTAGTTGAGTGGGTATTTAAATCACATAATTAGGGTTTTCTATTTGCTAAATAACTTCCATATCAAGATCATTAACTTCCTCTTTAGGAACTTCTTAACGCTTGAGTAACTTTTCTTTATTGGCTAAAAATTCATTTTGATATTAAGGAGCTGCATTATGATTTTATTCTTAATCTGCTCCATCCGTTCTTCCTTCAACTTATTCGCTAATAACTAAAAAAATAAAAGTAAATTTAACACTCTGCTTAAATATTTTGCTTTTCCCAATTATCCATTTTCACATTTGTTACTTATTTTGTATCTTCTGTTTGTTGATTATTTTTCTAGACACTTAAAATTAACATGAATATTGAAAAATAATTTAAAATAAACTTTAGGCAAAAGTGTAAAATGGATCAATTGAATTCAGCAAGCAATTTATCATAGCATAAATAACAAAAACAATATTTACTTTGTGTAAATTATCTGGCAAACTCAGCTATTTTGGAATCATAATAAGGTCTATATGGATCATTTTGTTTCAAGAAATTAAAACTAAGATTGTTAACCTAGGCTTAAATAATATTTTCTTCAACTGCAGCACCATGTTTAACGACGAATTCTGCTGTCTTATCAATGATTGCTATAAATAACCAATTTTAATTCTAAATAAAACATTATTCGCTTGAAATATTTTTTACTTCTTATTTCAGGAGGAGGAATAATCAAACCTACAGTTTAAGACATTTATAATTAATTATGCAATAATTCAAAATAAGTAAAATAATCAAAAATTAATATATTAAATAGCGATAATACCTAAATTAAATTAACTAAACTAATTAATTCATTTATTAATTAATTTTTAATATCTTGAAATATTAATCAAGCAACAAGATATATCTATCTATTTATTTATCTGTCTATCTATCTGTATGTCTATTTACCTAAATTACTTATCAAACATTTCTTACAAATATCATATATCAATCTCTTCAATTTTATAAATTAATCAATTTATTTACTTAAATTAAATTTAATAAACATTTGTTTGTTTTGAAAAAATATTTTAAATTAAAAAAATTTATGAAAATGAATTTCTAAATAAAATGAAGTTTCTAGGTTTCTATGTCCTTATACATAAATCTATTTACTTATATTATTTGTATTGCAATTGATATATCATATCACTATAAATTCAATTTATTTACTTAAATTAAATTTAATAAACATTTGTTTGTTTTGAAAAAATATTTTAAATTAAAAAAATTTATGAAAATGAATGAATAAATAAAATGAAGTTTCTAGGTTTCTATGTCCTTGCATATAAATCTATTTACTTATATTATTTGTATTGCAATTGATATATCATATCACAATAAATTCAATTTATTTACATAAATTAAATTTAAGAAAACATTTGTTTTGAAAAATATTTTAAATTATAAAAATATATAAAAATGAATGAATTTTTCGTTGTATATCATCTGGGTCTCTATGTCCTTGTGTATAAAACTATTTACTTAAATTACTTATATTAGCAATTGATATAAATATCATATCACAATAAATTCAATTACTTCCTTAATTAAATTTATCTAAAACACTGGTTTTGAAAAAAACATATTGTATTTAAAAATATATTTAAACTAATGAATTTCGAAATAAAGTAAATTTTTTACAAATATTTGTCAATCTATTTTACAAATCAAAACCTAAAATTAAATTTTATGGTTTACGTTTTTCCAAAATGTTAATTAATTATCTTCAAGCATTTATTTTCTACTTAATAACTTTTTAAGATAAAAATATTTATAATTTCAAGTGAAAAGGTAATAAATAATATATCTCTATCATTATAACATTTTTTTCTTTATTTATTGATTTATAAAAACAAAATTGGCCTTCCATAAAAATAAATATTTATAATTTTAATTATTCTAATTTTGTATTTTTTAATAATTTAATAAATTGATTAAAATTTAGTTATATATTGTTTAAATGTTATTACTTTTTTAAAAATATTATCAAAGAATATATTTATTTATTTATTTTTCCATGATAAATTTTAATGTAAAAACATATTTTATTATACTTAAAGTAATATAATATTATTTCATTGTGTTATTGATTAAATAAAATTATGCTTTATATAAGATGTGAATTCTAAAATTCTTAAAATAGGAAGGAAGTTACTTATGAATTTTTATTTTTACTATCTTTTAAATGATAATTGAGTAAAATTCAACCATTCATATAAATTTGATATTAATTTAGTTTTTACAAAATATTGTGTGGATAAAATGTATTGTGAAAGCACACAATAATATTTGTAATCTTAATATATTTATCTAATTTTCTTATTTTGAGTCTAGAATTTTTAAGATTATAAATAAATTCAAAATGGCCTTTTATTAAGTCTGAAAAAATAAACAAAAGATTTTCTATTAATAAATAACTTTCTAAAAATTCTCTTATTTTACACTAATAAATTAGCTAATTATTGTTGATATTAAAATATATTGATCAATTTTTTTGACTGAAAACTTTTTTTTAACTTTTTGCGATAAAAAGTGAATTAAAAAATTGATATGTAATCAAAAAGAATACATATATATTATCTTATTTATTTACTGATGCATTTAAATAATTAAAAGTAAATAAATAAATAAATAAAAAATTAAGAATTTACTGCCAAAAATTACTTGCATTTCAGCTTCAAATTTTTTATTTTTATTGATAAAGTAATTATGTATTAATTTTTCGAAATCTGTCAATTTATTTTATATTTGTTTAGTATTTAAGAGAGTATTTGTTTGTTTGTTTCTTTGTTTTTTTTGCTTGTTGCTTGTGAAAAATTTTTATCATTATAAAATAATAAAAATCAGCTAGAAATAAACGATTGATTTCTTCATTATTTAAAAAAAATAAAGAAAAAATTAAGCTCCACCAATTAATTAGTCAATAAATAAATAAAAGCAGATATATTATTTATCAAAAAAAATATAAGTAAAGTAAGGTGTGATTGCAGCAAAATTATTGCTAACATGGAAGGTATATTTACTTTTTAGTTTCATAAAAATATTAGTTAAAATAGTTAGATGTCTCTCCTTTACTTGATATTTAGATTAAGATGTTTTTATCTTTACTTTATTCCATTTACTTAGCTAATTTATTGATCATTATCTTTATTAAATTATAAACAGATTAAAAGCAATTATGTAATGAATCTGATTCTGATAACAGAGAATTAATGTAAGATAGAATTTTATTAGCTTTCTCATAAGTTTAATTACAAAGCCATGCATATAACTAAATTATTTATTTATTTATTAATTAAATTCAATAGTAAAGCTATGCGTTTCAGCCAACTAGATGATGAAGCGGCTGCCAAACTTTATGAAGAAAGGTAACATTTGATTGTTTTTATCGCATTTAAAAACAAAAATGTCACTGAAAATCATTATTCTTTTTTTTAAGAGCTTAAATTTAATCATAAAATATGAAGACAATAACACAATAAATTAAATTTTTTTGATATTTTTACTCTTTGCAGTTTAAGTAGGAAATTAAATCTCGATTTTTTAATAAACATTTTCAAAAATTCAGTGAAAAATTATTTTTTTAAAGCTAAGATGGAAACAAACATAAATGTTTTAAAAAATAGATTTAGATAAATAGAGAGTGATATGATGAAAAAAATGTAGAATAAAAAGAATTATTAGAAAAAAGGTTTAGGAAATCCAAGAAGTAGCAGTAGTTTGGGGACATATGGAACTCCATAGCATTAAGCAATTTTGCAATAAGGATAGTCACCCAGTGCTACCTTTTAGAATACTTAGCTTTTTAGTGCCAAAAATCAGACAGTTAGAAGTTAGGTACTTTCTAAATTTTAGGCCACAGCTCCCTAGCAAGGGTACATGTATTAAAGCACAACTTTGAGTGGAGCAAGTAGATTGCCTACTGAAGAAAATAATTCATAAGAAGCTTAGTAAGGTTTTGTAAATTTTGTGCCTTAGAAAGGCAAGATTAAATCCTAGCGTTCATGCGAGTTTCTAGTCACAAATCAATCACCTGTTCATAATAGATAAATAGAAGAAAATAATGGTGGATTGTTTTTAAATTAGGGATTTATGAGTCCTCAGCAAGCAAAAAGTTAGGGTTAAAAATCTAAAATTGAAAATGCTTAGAATAATTCTGTAGTAGCGGTTTTATCTAATTAGATTAATTCTTATTAAAAGCAGAACAAGCCTGCTACCAGCTAGACTTAATACACTCAGTAATCACAAATAAGTTCTTCTTAGCCCCAAAGACCTTTCTTATCACCTCCTAGCAAGAGAACTCATTAGACCAACCTTAAAATTGGTTCTACTGCCAATACCTCATAGCCTGGTATTAGCAGATTCGAGATGTCGCCATCAGGTAGACCATCTACACATATGACATCTCAGGGATTCTATTCGCCTCAAGCTAGTTATCATCATCATCACTCAGCTCACATTAAATTCAATTAAGGAACTTAAACAACTACAAACAGAAGAAATCAAAATGAAGGAGAAGTTAAAAAGTTCATGGATAGAAAAAAAGCTGATAATAATAACTTTACTAGCTCTAATTTTGCAACTAGCAAATACAACAATGGTTCCCAGACAACTACAGCTTCAGCAACAATAGTACCAAGCAGTGAGTAGCTCAATACAAATAATTTACTGTTTTCTAACATCACATCAAACAATGGAGCAATCAATTCACCAAATAGCTATCTAATCTAGTCTCAAAACTTAAGAAGCTCTGTAGGATTCCAAGGAAACAATTCTTCTCAAATTCAATAGAACAATTTCGGTTAGTATCAAGTTTAAGCTAAGTTAAATGGTAGTAACTAGGCCAAGAAAAAAGAAAGTAATACGAATACAGCCAATAACAATAAAAGAAGCGAATTAGAAGAGCTCGATTTAAGAATTTTAACTATTGAAAGGGAAATAGAAAGAGACAACGAGCTCACTCAAGCCTACAATAAAAAGCAAACAACTCAAACAAGCCCTCCTTCTATATTCAAAAATAATCAAAAAATTCAAAACAAGCAAAGCTAGACACCTCAAGCCTAGTAAATCTCTGACTTACATGTAATTTATATTTAAAAATTTGTCAATTTAAAAAATTAATTCTAATTTTTAAAATTAATTTTCTTAATTTAAAAAATGAAAAATGATTAATTAAATTAATGCTTAACTTAAATAATAAATAAATAGGTTCAATAAATGGTAAATTAAGGTTTGGTAGCACCAGCTACAGCTACTCATAAAGGATCAACTAATTTATATCAAAATAAATACTTTAATTAAAATTAAGATAATTAAAATCAAAGATATTCGTCATAAAACTAAACCTACGAAGTTGCAATTGAAAGCAGCCCGATAAATTTAAAAATTAATAATGCATCAACAAAGAATTAAAATAAAACTCAGTAGGATTTTAATAAATTAAATATCCCTAAATCTGATCATATTATGAACTCTCATGAAAATTCCTCTTATAACAATACACCAAGATCAGTTAATCCCATTCATGATTTCAGACCACTGAACAAGTATCAAAAAAAATAAGTTAACTTTAAAAGTGATAATCGTATGGCAACTTCAGAGTCATTAGAAGATAAGATGTTTAAGTTGTCTCCTACATCAAATATTTTCTAAAAGAGTCTACTTGGTCCTTCTCAAATTTAAGAACTGTAATTCAAATTAGCTTTTTTAAATAACTATTTAACTTACAAATTATATTTTTTATTCATTATTTTATTAAAAACATATTTAATAGGAATGGCAACAACAATAATAATAATGCTAATCAAAACGAATTTAATTTAAAATCACAAATAAATAATCAGATTCAAATGCAAATCAATTCAAGCAGCAACAGAAAAAATTCATAAATTCACTCAAATCCTCCTTCTTAGACTAGGATTTAAACTCCATCTCACACTGTTGTCCAATATAGCATCAACAACCAAAAAAATTAAAATAACCTCAAATTTTAGAAGAAACTCAATTAAACAGTTTAATAAAATTAATATTCTGAACATTCTAATTCTAATGTGCAGTTTTAGAATTCACGTTTGGGAACAGAAGAAGGCGATCCAGAAATGAGTGAATTTGAATATTTAGAAAAAATAGTTAATGCAAAGAACACAGAAGCTTCATCTGTAACGGATGACACAAGCATTAGAAATGAGGTTTAGTTTTAAGCATAGAGAGTGTCAAGTTAAGCAAATGTCAAAAAGAATGTTACATAGTAATCTTAAAAATAATAAAGTGCAATTATTCTAAAAGGTAAAGATAATAACAAAACATCTCCTATTAAAAACTAATACGGATAGAGAAATATGGCTTACTCAAACAGAGAAAGCACTTCCATCTAATAAAATCAGCAGAGTTCGCATTTCATATATGTAGAATAATCCCCTAACACCATTCCTTTGAACTCATAAAAATAAGTTAAGGGATAAACATACCTTTCACTAAGATAATCAGATATCATCCCTTCAAATTCTTCCAATAATAAAAGTTCTACTTCCAAATCATAACAAAAAAGCGACTCAAGCCACATAACTTCCTTCTAAGGAAATTCTACCACCCAAAATAAAAAACTGTCTTTAAAAACTTTAGAAAATAATTTCATAAATATCAATAAAGACAATACAGACTAGTAAAGTAAATATTCAAATAATTCTAATAATGCTTAAAATTCGTCATCTGTGTCTTAATCTCTGTCTCCATCTCCAGTTCCTATGTATAATTTATATAGTTAATAGAACTAAGTAGCTTCTAGCTCGACTCATAAATCCAACAATAACAAACACCAAAGTTTCGAAAAGCAAATGTAGAAGAAGATGAACCGCAGCTCTGAAGTCCTAAGCAAAAACAGTCTAAACCAAAATAGTAACTCTAATAATGGTAACTTGAATACGAATATCACAAGAACACCCTCAGTTAGCTCTAATAATATATCGACAATTTCTAATAACACATCTCCATTAATATAAGTGTCCGGTTCTGCCACTTCTCTTAACAAAGGACAGCTCTAAATGTCAAACAAACAAAAAAATAGCCCTCCAGTGATGATGACTCACACATTGGATACCTTCAAAAATAAGAAAGACTTCAAAATCAAAAATCCAGAACAAGTCTCCAAAATTATCAATCTAGACTAAGGCCAGCCCCAAGTAAGAGTTGAGGCTCCCAAGAAATCCAATTTCAAATAGGCTCACTTTGAAGGTAAATAAATTATTTTGTTCAAAATAAATAAACCAAACCAAAAAATTAATTAGCAATTACAAATCACTATCTTTTTTTAAATGGTTTTTAAATCCTAATTATGATTTTTTCTTAATCAATTACTTTTGAATAAAATAAACTTGAAGAAAGATTTAATTGTTAACTTTAAAAATATTTTAATATAATTTCTATAAAAATTTTAATTTTTTAGAAAAAATTAGACAAAAGATTATATTTTTTTAAATTCAAATATGTAAAAAATATTAAATAAAATTAATTAATTTATTAATAAATTATTTAGCTAGTTAATAAAATTTTTTGTTTGTTTTACTTTTATGAGAAATAAAAACAATTTATCTTTGATAGTTTCTAAAATAATTAATTTTTGATAATTTTAACAAAAATAGATGACAAGGAGGAATATTAGCTTGAATAAATGTCTAAAAACCTTCACAAAAAATTAAATTTACTTCTTGAAACAGCAAATTAATGTAATGAAAATATAAAATCATATCGAATCAGTCATAATGTTTGATAAGAATAAATTAATTAAGTATGTTTAATTATTACGATCAAAGCATTAAGAATAGTTCAGAAATATATATATTTATATATACAAAAGCTCTTTACTACTACTACATCTATTAATAGTGTTTGATCTAATAAGTATTTCTATCTTAACATTTTAATTAATAAGATACCTCTTCTTCGTTACACCTAAAAGAATTCTTTGAAGTTCAATCAAAAAGCACAAATTTACAAAATAAATGTATTTATTCAACTCATTCATACATAAAATTTCAAGTAGAGCTTCTATTCTTAGAATTTTATTTGTTATTTATAAACTAAAAACCAACAAAACAAGAAAGAATTAGATGATATTATTTGTTGGGAAATTAAATCTCGCGATAGTTAGTTAATTGATGTTGATAATACATTTTTTTACTAAGCTATGGACTTTGTTTGTATCTTTCTGCTAAACTTTTTAATTGAATAATTTGAAAACCTATTCAGAATTAAGAATATATACATATAATTAAAGATATTTCAATCATTTATTTACATATTTATCTAACTAACCATCTATCTATCTATATATCCATATTTTATTTTATATTTCCAGAGTATTTTTTTGTCAAAAATCTATTTTTCATTGAAACTCAAATGATAAATAAATAATTCCAAATTTTTCAAAGTTAAATTAAAATTGATAATTGCTTATTGTATTTAAAAGTGATTTTTAAATAATTTAACAAAAATAATCTTCCACAATACATACATGCATACTTACATAAAAATAAACAAATCAACTTAAAAAATAATTTTTATGTAAAAAAAAAGTAGAATTAAGAATTTTTTGATAAAAAATAATAAAATACATGATTTCTTTATTATAAAATTGTATCTAAGAATTTTTTATCTTCTGCTAAATAGCTTAATTACATAATTTGATTAAAAATAGTAAGTATTAAGAAAATTTAAATATCAATCTTATATTTAAATATTTTTCTATTTATGTATCCTTTAATATATTTATTTATATAGCCAGATTACAATTATATTTAATAAAAATCTATTTTCTATTCATATTCAAATCATAAAATAATTTCAAATTTTTCAAAGTATAATTAAAATTCAATTTATTGCTTTGTCAACATAAATATAATTTTATCGTTTACAATAATCATATTTTATTTATTTAAATCATTAATTTATGAAAAAATCCTCCATCATACAACCAAATATCTCAAAAAACTATTTTATTATAAACATAGAAAATTAAGAATTTAAAGATTGATTTAAATTTTAATAAAATATGGTAAAGTTCATGACTATTTTTATGATTGATGTGATTGTTTAATAAAAAAAATTTTGAGTTTTTATATTTCTGCTAACTTTTTTGTTTGATTGGATATAATATATTAACAATAATTGAAGATATTTCAATCATTTATTTACATATATTTATTTGTATATTCCAAAATCTATTTTTTATTTATTTCGAATAAATAATTCCACATGTTTCAAAGTATAAGTAAAATTTCATGTATGATTGATTACACAATTAAATCTCTATTAAATTTGTGATATTTTGTCTATTTAAAAGATATATTAGAAATTAATTTATGAAAAATAATCCTCCACCGTATATATATATACATAAACACCATCCATTAATCTAAAAAAAACTTTACTTATAAATTTAATTTTAATGCAAATATGTCGAATTATGAAATTAAAGTATTAAATTTAATTTTGGTTAAAAGACTTTTAGGATAAAAAATAGAAAAGCATATTTGCTTAAATATAAAATTAACTTTTGTTTATTTTTTAGAAAGATTGAAAAATAAAAAAATGCTAAAGAAGAAAACAATTGATTTTATATTATAATTTTTTTTATTAGAATATCTTCAACTTTAAATTAGTAAATTAAGCATCTATATTAAAATTGATTATTAAAAATAAATTTTTTGGTTTTAAATTAGTATTTTATAGATTAAAACGTTAGATGCTTGTATTTGACGTAAATTAAGCAAGTTAGTATGAGAAAATAGTTTGAAATGTACGTCACTTTTAATTAAGGATTAATGAGGGTTTGTATTATAAAAGATGTAATTTCTTTTATTAATTTTACTATGTTTGCATTGATTGAATGTTCATATAGTAACTATAAAAATATAATTTAATAAACCTCATTTTCTTAAATATCTCTAAGATGTAATCCATCCTGATTCTTCTTAATACATATAAGTATTTTTAGTTTAAAATTTAGATTTTTTTATTAATTTATATAAAAATTAATCTAAAAATTATATTTAGGAGTATTGATTTATTTACATTTCAATTGTATATTTTATATGGTTAAATTATATTTCTTAAATAGTAATTTGAATTGAATTGAATTGATTTGATTTGATTTATTTCTTCTAAATTTATATAAATTAATTACATGGTTCCTCTCTCTACCACTTATTTCGGAGTTAGTGATTTTGTTTAGAATCACATCTTTGTAAATAACCTAAAAGAAATTATTTAGAAACCTTCTTTTATTAACCTTAATACTCTTTTAGCTAATAAGCAAACTAGCAAATAATTTGGATAACAAAAGCAAATAAAGAAAAGAATATTCAGATAATTAATTTACTCAAAAAATAAGGCAAAATTCAAAAGATTGGTCTTTTAAAAAGGGAAATATATCATAAACAAACATCCTTCTTTATTAATAAACTACAAAATTAATGAACTATAAGACCCTCCTTATAGCTCTTTGCTTGTTTGCAATTTGCACTTGCGACTTATCCTACTTGAGAATGGATGATCAAAATGTCGCACTTCCTTCACCAGACAGGAACTTACCCACTGCTGAGTACTTGGCCTACCATAAATATCCTCTTGAAGTTCACTATGTCACCACTGAAGATGGCTACATTCTCAAGTACAACCGTATTCAAGCCAAAAAATCTAAAATCGTATCTGGAAAGAAACCTATTTTCCTTCAACACGGTTTGCTTGACTGCTCTGATACTTGGATAATTAATGAAGAAAAGCTTGTAATACAAATTTATTCATACTTATTAAACTTTTATAAGTAGTACTTGTATTAGAACCACGCATAACTAACTTATAAAAAACAAACAATCCCTCTTTACTTTATTTTAGAAAAAAAGTTTATTTTAAAAATATAAAAACATACATAAAAAATAAAATTTTATTTTATGCTATGCGCTTTTATTCTTTTTGAAAAATCTGACTGACACTCATTTATTTATTTATTAGCTCTAATTTAATTTATTTACTCATTTTTATTATAAAAAAGGCACCAGCTTTCATCTTAGCTAATGCAGGTTATGATGTCTGGATGGGTAATAGCAGAGGTAACATGTTTGGAAGAAACCACACAACCTTAAACCCAGATACTGATAAGGCTTTTTGGAATTTCTCCTTCGACGAAATGTCTAAGTATGATTTACCTGCTGGCTTTGCTTACATCGCCAACGTTACTGGCTTTGATAAAATTCATTATGTTGGTCACTCTTAAGGTTCCACCACAATGTTCATCGCTTTATCAACCAGAAATCAAGGAGTTCTCAAATACCTTGACAAGGTTGCTGCTTTCGGACCTGTATTTATTAATTTAAATTTCAATTGTTTTGGATTAATTTAATTCATTTCATAATGGTTTAAACAGCAAAAAATTGTTATTTGTTCTTTCTTTAGAAATATAAAGCAAATAAAAAAACAAGCAAACAAGCAAACAAATAAACAATAGAATTTTAATTTAACTAAATTTTCTGATTTTGGTGTTTAAAATCTTGAAGTTAAAGTGATGCAATAATTATCCTATTCTTAGTTGATTTTAATTAAATTAAAAAACAAAATAGATTATTACTGAATTAATTTGAAAGATGTGAATTTGTTCTAATACAAATTATAGCAAAATTCTTCTACTTCTCCTTAAAATTTTTAATAATTAATTAAAACTCTAAGATGAAAAATAAAATTGCATCTTGATATCAAATGATTTTTTGTTTTATTTTTACATATTTTTATTTTGTAAACAGGTTGCTAAAGTTAAAAATGAGTACAGTAAGGTATTGTCTGCTCTTGCTGACTACAATGTTGACTGGCTTATGTATGCCTTAGGTATCCATGAAGTATTTGCCTACAGTTGGTTGAAGCATCCTTTCCTCGAAACTGTATGTGGTTTCTTGGGAAAAGTATGCAGAGCTTTCCTTGGTCCTATTGCTGATACTGATCCTAAAGTAGATAACTACAAGGTAAATTTTATCAATTATTTTATCTTTTATCTTTAATTTTCATTCTATAAATTAACTAATTCAATAAAAATAATTTATTTTTTTAATTAAATAAAGAGAATGGACGTACTTGTAGGACATGACCCTGCTGGTACCAGCTTAATGAACATGGAACACTGGAAACAAATGGTCAAGTAAGGAAACTTCTAAGCTTATGATTATGGTGCTATTGAAAATTTAAAGAAGTATCACTCTCTTAAGGCTCCTCTTTATGATTTAACTAAAATCCAAGAAAAAGTTTACTTGTTTGCTGGTTCCACAGATAGCTTGGCTGACCCAACTGATGTTGCCTGGATGAGAACTCAACTCCCCAACTTCTGGTTCAAAGAATATAACTATGGTCACTGCACTTTTATGTGGGGTATCAGCAATGAACACATGGATGACCTCTTAAACATTCTCCAAGGTCAAGATCCTACTCCTACTCCCTCTTCTTAATGATGAAATAAATAAAAAAATTTAAAAAATTACTTTCACTATATAAATAATCCATTTATTAATTAAAGCAATTTATATTTGAACCTTTACTCATAGTATTAAATGTTTAAAATTATATCAAAAAACAAATTTTCTAACAAAATAAAATTTTATATCATAAATTCTCATTAAACCTCCTAAACAAACTTCCAAATTGAAAATTAGTGATGGAATTTCATTGATTGAAGCTCAACAAATGATTAATTAATTAATTAATTTTGCTTTTACAAATTATTACATTATCTTTATATAATATATTTTTGCCAATTTATGTTTTTTTTATTATATTATTTTGTATGATAAAATAAATAAAATATATACTCTACACCCACCACGTAATAAACTATTTGAAATGCTATTAAACAATTTATAATAATATATTTACTTAAGTAGGATTCACTTTTTATATAAAGTTGGTTAATTAACTTAAAAAATACCAAGTTAGAATACTTATTTATTGATTAATTAATTAATTTAATTTGAATATCTACTTTAACTAATATATATTAATAAAAATAATACATTTATTTATTTATTTCCTTAAAAACAAACTTATAAATTTCATACTTTTAATTATGAGCAAATATTTATGTTTTTTAAAAAAGAAGTAATTTATTGTACTTCTTTTATAGCCTAATCTCCAAAGTAGTGGGTAGTACTATCAATGATGCTTTCTAGCTATTCAAAGCTTTCAATCCAATTCTTTTATTCATCAGATTCATCAGTTTTCAAAGATATACTAACTGCTAGACCATTACCATATTTTCTCTTAACTGTTAAAATAACATCTCTTGTTTATATGTTTTCATTAATGTTTGCTTCTGATTCAAAAACAAAAAATGGTATAACATATAAATTATCAGGTAACTTTGCAACTACTTTATCAATAAACTATTGTTAAACACTGGCAGTTGTTTCCTATTGGCAAGATTAAAATATTAAATATCTATTCTGATAATTCCAAATTGGTCCTTTGAAAGTGGAAAAATATCCATCATGAATAGTATTTAATACTATATTTGCCTCCAAAAAGTTTGATTCATTCAATTCCTTAACATGGCATTAAGCTAATACAGCTATTAAAGCAAAAAAAATTATTCCTTTTCTCATCATTTCAAAATCTCTAATTAATATTTTTTACAAATTAATTAATTAATATCAGAAAAGTATCTTTATAAAATTTTAATCAAATTAGCATTCTAAATTCCATAATTTGAATATTTTAATAAGAATTCAAAAAAATCCTAATAAAAACGAGTCTGTCTAAAACTTTATCTATTTATAAAATAAATTCAACAATTTAATCCAAAAATATTATTTATTTTTTTAAATTAATAAAAAAATAGGTTTTTAAAAATAAAATTAAAAATAATATAAATGAAAATGGATTAATTTTAACAATTAAATATAGTAGAGTAAGGCATTTTTAGAAAGAAATTAGTAAGGAAAATAAATAAATAATCAGAGATATGAAATAATCACTAAGGAAAAAAAATGAAATTAATTCAATAAGTTATATTAAAGAATAACTAAATAATCTAAAAGAAGAATTGTTTGTTAATATTGATTATTTTTTTCATAATGGTATACTATATAATATTTAAATATATATGTTATGCATTAAATTATATGAATTTTTAATGAATATAGTTAGATAGATAGATAGATTTAGATCAATTTAAACTTTTGGTATTAAAGGTTTGGTTGAAATATAATTAATGTTGGTATTAAGAATTTTTTTTATAGTTATGGAAATAATGTGTTATATTTTTAATAATTAAATGAAGCAGAGAAATGTTCGTTTAGGGAGAAATCAGAAATAAAAATCAATATTAGGAGATGGTAATGCAGTGAGAAGCTTTTTCATTATTATCAAGTTTTTATTATATAGGTAAAATATTTGTTATAATAAGCATTTTTTGCGTTATTAAGAGAAATGTAGACAATAAATGTATGAAGAGCTTACTAAATTGCATTGTGAAACCTTCCCTTGAGAAGAAATTGATTTTTAATTCTGACCTATTTTAACTCTCTCTGCTGAAATATATATATATAAATTAATATAGTTTGCTGTTATTTAAGCTAAATTTAAGATATTGTTAGCTATATTTATATATCGCTTTAAATTTGGAAATTGTGAGATTAAGGAATAGTAAATCTAGAAGTTAGCTATGTATTTTTTATTAAACTTATATTAATAAATTAAGAGCCTGTTACTTACTTAATTACTTTCTTGCTAGCTTGTTAGGTGTGTTTTTGAATAGTAATAAAAATTATTATTTGAGATTTTAAGATGAGAGAATGGAATATTTTATTATTTATTTATTTATTTATTGGTTATTATTTTTTTTTACAACAATTAATTTATGGTTTAGTTTATACGTTGGTTGGTTGGTTATTTGAGTGGATATTATAGATTTTTTTTAATTTGCTGATTATTGATTTAGATGTTTTTATAATACATTAATTAGTTTTTTAGGTTTTTAATTATTTATTTATTTATTTATTTTTAATTGATAGTATTCATTATGACAAATTATTAATATATTTTGTAATTAACTCAATAGTATTTAAACTGTTTCTATTCAGTTTTGATTTATTAATTATTTTAGATTTGTTCTCTATGTATTAATAAACAAGATGTCAAATATAATAGATGAATTCATGAATGGATATGTGCATAAGGGTGTGAGTAAGTGAGTGAGTTAATGAGAATGTATGTGTCTTAAATAAGACAATTTAACTCCTTTTAAGGATATTTAATATATATTGTAAATGGTGCTATTTGGAAATAGCTAGTTAAATATTCATATGTCTATGAATATATCTATGTATGCATTAATTAATCTATTTTTTTCGAAATATATGATTAGCATACTATCATGTTCACTGAGATTGAAACTAGAGAGTGATGTCAAATTCCTTTTCTTTTGTTGTTATTTAATTACTACTATGAAATGGTTTATAGTTTTGATTAAATTAAGTGTGGGATTAGTTTTAGCTGTAGCTTTTTAAATTTTGCTATGCTTAGCTGGCAGTAGTGAAAATTGTAAAGCTAGGGGAAGCTTTGAAGTTGCTATTCTATGGAACTTGGCAGTTGGCTTGATATCTACAAAGATCAGCTCGTTACTCTAAAAAAGGGCGACTGTTTTGGTTGTTTTAAGACTGTTACGAAATGAGTGATGGTTTATGCTCATGTAATCCTATAGGGTTTTATTAGGATGGTGAAATTGAATAATCTTTTGAAAGCTTTTTTGAGTAAACTCTGTTGAAGTGTATCAATTCACTAAATTTATTTTCATCTAATTTTGCTCCTTAGGGGAGGGAATTGTATTTGACTTCACTTCTCTCTTCAAAATATTGAATAGTTTCTTATTTACTAGAAGAGGAAAAAAATTTGCCAACTCTTTCAAAGAAACTACCACTTTAGCTTCCACTATTAACAAATTCCCTGCGCTATTTCTGTTCAACTTTATAGAATCTGCCATCAATTAGTTGTATTGTATCTATGTCACTTTGATCTTCAAACAAGTGCATTATTTACAAAAGTTATTCGTTTGTTATCTCAAATTTTTATATTGAGCTATAGACTTGTTACTAATTTATTTTAAATTAAATTTCATAAATTTATTTATTTATTATAAAATTAATTTTCAAATCAAATTAATTTTTTGATTTATAATTTCATTTTAATAAAATCATTTTTAATTATTATTTGCAATTAATAATAAAATTTCTATGATTTGAAAAATAAACAAAAAATATCTTTATTGTTTTCCCAATTTTATCTCTCTAAAAATTTTTTAATAAAGTGAAGAGAAAGATTTTTAAATATTTTTATAATATTTTTTAAATAATAAAAATGTATTATTAATATAAAATGATTGATTAGCTGGAAATTATTGTTATTAAGTTATTAATTAAATTTACCTTTGTGAAGTTGAAGTTATCATAAAAAAGCTCCATAATATCGTCTGGATCACTTTTAAAGAGAATTTCTTCTTTTAAAATATCAAATACTGCTAATGCCATTTTTATGAGGTAATTCCAATCTTGAAGAACTATGCCAGCCATCAAACTTAGAGTCTAAAAATATTTAATAAATAATGTTGAGTTTTTAAACTAATTATATCAAATTTATGGAATTTAAATATATAGCTTTCAAAATATATTGTGAAGGAGGAGTAAGTAATATGAGTTTAAATATTTGATTTATTATATTTCACCTTATCTTCAAGTTAATTAATATGATGTAAACGCTGATTAAAATTTGAGCTAGTGGAAAAATCATCAGCAAAAATAAAAAAATTTGTGTGTTTTACAAGAAAAAATTTATTTATTTTAAAAGAAAAAAATTTGAATTTAAGATAGAAGAAAATCAAAGATTTCTATTCAAAATTTAATAAATAAATAAATTAATGAGCTTGTTAAACTTTAAAATTTACAGATTTTTTTATGCGTAAATTAATATCTTCACTAACTCCATAGTTCAAAAATTTTAATTGAAATTGCATTTAAATTTTAACATTACGCATTTACATTTTTTAAATTTTAGGAATTCATGAAAAAAAAAAATTAATTACAATTTCTGGAGATAATTGCTGAGAAAATAGCACAGTGAACCATTTTTAAATGTAGATTGTATAATTTGTTTTTTCAATTTATCTGTAGACATTATTTAGATAGACTTTCATGTAGACTTTCATTGCATAAGTAAGGAAGTCCAGTTTAATTAAGGGAGCAGGTTCAGCTGAGTTAGCCCAATTATTCTCTGAGGAGTTGCTGCTTTGCTTGTCTTCAAAAGTACTGCAGCTGATTTAATGGGCAGCCTCTCTTTTGTTATATCCAACGAAATCATTTTCCTTATCATCGAAGTTGTATTTATTTGTAGATACCTTGTATCTATTTTCTGATTAGTGATTATTATTTGATTAGTATTAATTAGCTAAATTATTTTAAATAGATGAGGCTTGTTGTGGAGTAAGATGCTATTATTCTGAAGCGGATTCAGAAGGTGAAGTAGAATAAGCATTTTAAATTGAGAGATAAAGATCTTTCAATGATACTTTATGCATTAAGTGATTCATAATCCAATATACCATGTCCTCAGAAAATTCAGGATAAAGCAAAAATAAACCTGTAATTTAATTCCAACCTTGAATATAACCAATCTCTTTAATTGAATAAGAAAGTCCATTTAGTACACGAAAGAGCTTATTCTAATTTTATATATTCTAGAAGATTTCCATTTCAGGGAATGTTCTGTCTAAATCCATTCTGATGTTCTTATCATGTTCAGCGTTTACAATTTGTGTTTATTTCTATTTTACAAACAGAAATTACTTAAATTAATTTAATTACGATTGCTATTAAAAAATAAAGCAAAAGTATTTTCAAAGCATAATAATAAATTTAACTCATTTTCTTCATAGAAATTTTGAGATTAAAAAATATAAATTTTAATTTTATAATGTATTTTTGTAATAAAATTATTGGTCTAATCTTTTATCAGTATTTCTTTGTTCTATTTTAGTGGATAAATATGTTTTTGGGAGTAATAAAATAGAGATTATTTTATTTATTTATTTATTTTAAAAGATCCAGCAGTTAGTTAGTACTTAATTTTTGTTGAAATTACTTAATTATCTATTTCATCTTGGTAAAATTAATTAGTTGTTGTTTGTTAATACTATTTTATTTATTCTTAGCATGAAAAGCTTATGGTTATTACTGCTTTCGAAAAGTATTCATAAAATTAAAAATTTTATAATTAATCACTATAAGGCGTTATTTAAAGTTTTATAAAGAAAGAAGGAAGATTGATTTTAGATTTTAATCGACCAAATTTTATGGTATTAAGATGATGATGAGTAGAAATTAATAAATTTAGTAAATTTTCCAATAGTATTTTAATGAATTTATAAAAAGTAAGATTAAAATAAAATTAGTTCGAATTCATTATTAAATAAATTACTCATTTAATTATATTTTAATTTCTCTAAAAATAAACTTGAACTTCTGGCAAAAAATCCTTTTCTTTGAAATAATAAATACAAGAGTAATTTGGCTTTCTGGAGTGCTTTGATTTATTTTTTTTAGTGAAAACTTTTATGATTTTTTTAGATTTTATCACTTTCCCTCTCTTATTTATTAATGAGATATGAGATTTGGATACAAATAACTAATTGAATTTTAAATAAATGTTTCTTTAAAATCTATTTGAGTTATCTATTATGATTATTCTATATCAATTTGTAGGCCTTTGATAAAGTTTTATAAGAATTTTGTCTTATTTGGTATTTAATAGTGCATTTTTAGTGATAGACATGAAATTTATGGAAAAATCTGCAGTTAATGCAATAGATAATTTTTTGTTTGTTTGTTTATTTGATTAATTGATTAGACCAAATATTCAAATATTTGTAAATTTATTTTGCTGTTTTTTTATTAAAATATTTTGAATTAAATTTACCTCGTATTGGTGAGGGTATTGCTATCTTATGAAAGAGTAATTAATTAGAGTATCCCATAGAAGATAGTTGTCAATACGCTACTCAGAAGTCCAAATCAACTTAAGAATTTGTGCATCAATCACTTTTGTAACTGATCTGCCTAGGTAGTATTGAAGAGCCTTCTTGAAGCAGCAGATATCTTCTAGAGTAAGATAAGCTAATAACTCAGCTTTCATTGAGAATATAAGATCATTAAATATTTTTGTAACTTTTAAGGCTTTGATTTGAGAACAATAAATTTTCTAAGTAAGCTTTTATTCATTTTTAAGAAGTTCTTTGATGAATTCGCTACATGTGTCTTCTTCATCAACATCACAGTCATAATTTTCTTCTTCTTCGCCTTCTTCATCGCCTTAAGTTTCCACATTACATTGACCAATGATATCTCTCTTGATATCTGCCTTTGTTAGTTAACTTTTAAGATTATCATTGTGGCTGTTTGATGCATCTTGTTAGTTTTTGAATTCAATTTCTTACTCTTCTCCCCTTCCCCAATAGTCTTTATTTACTTATGCGCTATGACTAGAAATAATTTTGTTTGTCTTTTCATTCTCGCAAATTTACTAATTTTACAAATTCAATAATTAAGATTGCTAAGGAGTACTTGCTTTGTTATTATTATTAAAGTTAGAGTTATGATTGTTATTGAATGTGCTTGATTTATTTGAAGATGCAATCATAGTTAGGCCATCTTTATGAGAGATGTCTAATGCATTAATTACGCCTAAATTATGATAGAGCTTTGGGTCTAAGAATCCCTATTCAGAAACAGAAGTTGCCAGACGATCAGCGTTAAGATCGCCTTACATTTGTTATAAATTATTTACATTATGTGTTAATTAGTTGCTTAGTTTGAAATTATTATTATTTTATTAACAAGAATCCTTCCAAGTAGAGGTAGTTTATGCAGAATAAATTTTCTTGTTTTAATTATCACCTGGATAACTTTCATTTATCAAGGACGCTTTATCAATCATTTTCAATTAGAGCTAAAAGTTTAAATGACTAAATATTTTTCTAATTTAGAGATGTTGTTTGCTGAAAATCGAATTTTTAATAATGAATCAATCAGCCAATCTTCAATCAGCAAATAATATGATTCAAAGCACCTGTTGCTAAAAATATATTTATTAATTAAAATAGAGCTGCGAAGTAGCTGTAGTTAATCGTATCACGCGTGCAATTAGCGATGGTGCCTGCTTCTAAATGGCGGCAATAAAGTGAAATTGTCTAAAGAAGTAGGTAGTTTTAAAGAGTTATCTAAATTAATTTATATGTCAATTTATATATATTAAAAATATATGCGTGTTTCACACAAGCTTAAATCAGTATTTCTTAAAATTTACGATTGATTGATCTATTAATTTATTAATATATGTGATTCAATGATTGATTATCAAGTAAAAAAAACACTCAAAAAAGCAAGCAATTTATTAACTAAATCAATCAATAAATAAATTAAATTATTAATTAATTATTTAGCAGCTTCTCTGTTAATCAAAAACTTTACAAACCAGTTTCCTATCAGCCAAACAAACAAGCAAACTAACAAACAATCAAACCAATATAAAAATCAACCTATTATCTATCTATCTATCAATCAATAAATCAATCTATTTTTGATAATTATTAGATTTAATGCTAAAATATTAAAATTTAGATGCAGTGATTTTTTGCTAATAATAGAGTTTAATTTAGTTTATGGCTTAGCGCTTAAATCTCTTTCTACTTCCTAGATTTGATATTCTTTAGTACGCTTTTTAAAACAACTTTTATCTTTATTAAGGTCTTATTTTATTTATGATTTTGTATGTAAGTGTTAATATTGATGATTTTATTAAATTTTTTATTGACCTTAACTTCACACTATTCTTTGCTTGTAAATAGCTTGTTGTTCTTATTATCTTTATATTTAATTATATATATATATTTTTTTCTTTACTTTTCTTCCTTTACTTTAATTTTTTCTTTCTTTCTTTGTTTATTTTTTGATTTGCTTTCTTTTTAAGACTTACTTTCAAACTCTATCTATATTGATTTATTAATTTGATTGATTGATTGATCGATACATTCATTCACTTATAAATATATTTATATGTTTATTAATCATTCATAATATATAAGCTAGCAAGCAAGTAAACTCTAATAATTACATATATTCTCTTTGTAAAATTCAGCTTCCTTGATTTTTTTCTTCTTTCTTTCCTTCTTTTTAAGACAGAAATCCTTAGTAATCACTTCACACATATTATTTTTGCTTACTAATTGTTTTAAATTTAATTCTGCATTTTTGCTGCTGTTTTCTAATCTTCTGCATCAGCATTTTCCTTTTTTAACTTTTGGTCTATTATTAACCTAATTTTTATTTAAATATCACTTGTTTGTTGTCTATCCTCAATATTACTGTAATTCCACCTTTTAAACTGACCTATATAGCATAATTTTAAAAAAATGCACCTTCTTTTAAAACAAATAAACCAAAAAAGTAACAATAAAAATAAAAATAATTTATTTGATTTTTGTTCAAATACTTTAAAATAATGTCTCTATCCCATTTACAGAAATTTAAATTGAATTTTTACCTAATTTACTCTATAAATAGCTTTATATCGCAATTGCTTAATAAGTAATGCTCACTTTTACGAATAAATAATTAGATGGAAAGATCAAAAAATATCTATATCTAATCATATTTATTCTTACTCGCACAAAAATTAATTTAAATTTATCAAATATTTTGAATATTTAAATTTAGTTTAGACTTGTTCTATGCAATAAAATTTATAAATCCTCTAAAATTTAATTGCATGTCAAATTACTAATTGAACTTAAATAAAAAAAGAGTGTTTTATTTTAAAAATAAGTTGATAACTCAACAAACAAGCAAACAGACAAACAAAAGATTTACTTCTATTTTCAAAATTAATTATAAAGATGCTTTTTTAAATAAACTGAAACTGATAAAGGATTTAATGTATTATTTGACTAACCAAGTTATTTATATTCTTTATATTCTAAATGTATTATTTTCTAAACCAATAAAAGGGAACATCTCTGAAGTTCAGATGTGACTAAATATCTTTGAATAATAAAAACAGTTCCCATACAAAAATACCAAAAGAAAAATACTTATCATAGAAAATAAATTGATAAATATTGTCAAGTAAAACTTAATTAGTAATAAATTACTAATATAGAGTTATTTATCTAAAAAATACCAATTTATTGAAGGATAATTTATAACAAAGTCATACAAAAAAACTAATAGTTTATTACCTACTCTCAACTCCACTCAATTAAATAAACTAGCAAAAGATTTTTCACCAACCAACCAATTATTTATCTATTTATCCTTTGTTCATTCATTTATTTCTTTCTTTTAATTTAAAAAGTTATAAAAAGAAAAATTTTTGATTGTTACTAAGGATTTCCTGAATCTGAATTTCTTGATCTCATAATATACTTTTTTTCATAAATAAAACAATAGGAGAATAATAAGTAAATAAATAAATATTTTATAAAATACAGAATTTCAATAGATTTGAATAATTTATAATTATCTACAGTCACATACAAATATTCATCTTCTAAATATTTAAAAATACAATTAATTGTTCAATAATTTAAATTATCTTTCATTTTTATGTTTAATATTTCTATCAATATCAGTTTACCTTCCTTCCTGATAAGTCTCTTAGCAGTAATTAAAATACTTAGCTAACTAAATTTTAAAAAAATCAATCATAATTTATAAGTCTTAATTATTATTTAATTTTATAATCGAAATACTTCTTTGATAAAAGTATTAATTTATTTTATTGATAAAATATGAAATAAAATTTATTTAGCAAACAGATATCAACAAAACTTTTTAATTGAGTATTAATTTTTAAGCCATTAGTATATTTCTGCACACAAATTTATAACTGATGAAATAATAAATGAAAATGATAATCATTTTTCTATTTTAATTTATAATCGACAGTACTATTAATGTTAATGTTACTTGCTTTTAACTAATATTTGCAAAACTAATAGTGTATTGCATTTTTACTTCGAATATCAATCTAAATAAATGATAGTACAATTTGTTTGTTCATTAGATTAAAAAAACTTTCTAATGAAAAATAATTTGATTCTTCAACAAAATCTGCTAAAATAAACAAAAAAACAATCAATCAATAAAAGGATTAAACAATTTTGAATTTGTTACTAAAAGTTAAAATGTGGATTTGACCAGATAAATACAATTTATATTTTATTTATTAAAATTAGAACTAAATATTTAAATTGCAAATATTTTCCTCAATTATAACTTTTTTAAATATTTTTTGATTAAAAGGTCACACACATCGCTCTCTCTCACTTATATACATTAGTTTAACTTTACTTAATTTAGATTGATTTTGCCCTCACTTTTTTTATTTTCTAAATTTTATAAATTAATCTACTTTGATTAATTTTTTACTGAAAGCAGTGACTTTTAATTTGATTCCTCATTTGGCAGATAATGATCCAAACTATAAGAAATAATATAAATAAATAATATTTTTGCGCTCACGTTAAATATTTTTCTTAAACATTAAATTATTATAAGCTAAATCCCTCGTTTGATTTAGGTTTAATTGATCGCTTAAACTAAAAAAACATTAATAAAATGAAATAATACATAAAAAGCATTCAATTTTAATAGTTTTCTTAAAATAAATATGAATACAATTCAATTAATAATTTATAAATAAATTTTAAAAATTAATTTGATAATTCTATTTAATGTTTCATATAAAAATATGAATCTTAAAAAATTGAAGAAAAAAATAATATCTACATAAATTAATTGATTTAGAAAAAACCAAACAGATTTTTCAATTCAGTTATGAATAAATAAATAGATAAATTTAATTTTAATTCTATTTAATTTTGTTAGTTAGATTAAAAAACTATTTGGGTAAATAAATAGCTAGAACATATAAAGATTAAACAAATTATTTCTGTTTTTTAGTTATATTATAATATTTACTGGAATAAAATTCTACTAACGATAAATATCTAATCAAAAAATAGTTAATTCACAAATAAACCTTATTTTCAAGCATTGATTTTAAATTATAAACACCTTCATAAGGATAGAACCAAAACTGCAAGAATTTTAAATCTAATTTTAGTTCATTAAATTTTACTTCTAGAGCTTGTATGAAATAGTTAACTAACTTAGAACTAATTTATGTTAAAATTAAGTATAAATTTTCTAGGTTGGAGATATTTTCATCGCTTTTTAGAAAAGGACTCCAAAACTAAATCCTAAATTGATAAATAAAGTTGAGAGGAATTTAAGAAAAAAATAATAAATTTAAATCAAAAAAACAAATTTGATATCTGGTAGAAACTGCAAATAATTACTGGAAAATTAATTTTCAAAGCTAGAATTCACTTCAATTTATTAAGTTAACACTTTCTTATCTTTTTAATAAAATCTTCTTTAATTTAATAAAAAAAAAGCAAAAACCTAGTCAATAAAAAAATTTATTACTTATCATCAATTTTCTTACAATCAACAATTTTCTTTCTACTTTTTTCATAAAGGATGAAAAAAAACTCTGCAATTAAATTTAATTTTAAATTTATTCCTATCCAAAATAACTATTACAAGTTGAGTTTTTTATATTTCAATTCTTATCTTATTGTTTACCAAATCAATTTTATGTTTTCATAACATGCATATAAAATAACACTTTTATGATAACTAAAATACTTAAATTAACCGATAGTACTAAAAAAAGGTGCGTTATTTAATTAGCATTTATATTAGAAATATTTCTCATATAACTCCTTGTTTTTTTGATTTAGTTATAGCGAAGCTTTTTTTAAAAAAGAGTATAAATTTAATATAATTTATCTTTATTATTAATAATGAGCACTTAATAGTTCTAGAAATACTCTTTTTTATGGAATTTATTATGTTTACTTATGAATGTGCTTTTTTTGATGTAACATAAATATTTTTTAATTAAAAAAAAATCTTTAAAGAAATACTTTATTTATATTTGAATAATTATCTCCAAATAGTTAATATCTATCTATTATTTATATAGATTTTTTTATAAAATTCTTCATTAGTTGAAGTATGTTTGTTTGTCTAATTTATCTTAAAAATACTGATATATTTTTGTAGATTAAATTTTAAAGAAAATTAATTAAATTTGATGAATAATTTTATATTGATTTCTTTTTCTTTTTCATTTTCAAAAAATTAAAATTCAAAATGTTTTTCATATTCTTGCTCTACATTTATCTATTGCCAGTTTACATAATCTATTAATTTTATTTAAAACTTTTATATTTGCTTGTAAATTAGTTTAAATTTTAACTTAAACCATAAATATAACATAGAAAAAAAAGTATTTTATTTTTTTATATTAATATTTATTTTTATAAATTTAATTATTTATTTATTTTATCTAAATTTTAAAATAAAAGATAAATGAGGTATTATAATTGATTAAAATAAATTCTCAAAGCAGTCATTTATTTTATATTTATCAATAAAAAATTAAACTCTACTATTTCGTTAAAACTAATCTAATTATATTTAATAAAATTTATTTATTTATCATTTATTTATAAGATTAATTACATTAAATTAAGACTAAAGCATTTAAGATTTTAACTGTTTTTCAATAAATTTTTTAATAAATTTATCATAAAATCCTTTAAAATTCTATTTTACTATTTTTGATTTAAAAATTAATTCAATCCAAATTTATTTAGTTACCTAAACTTCAAAGAAAAATTAGTGATGTTGAAACACTAGCAAACATTTCCAAATAAAAATGAATACCTTGCTTTTTATAATTTGACCTTTTTAGTTTTAAGTTATTATTTAACATTTAAGCAAATTTACTCAAGGCCTAAATTGAAATATTTTAATTCTTAAAGTTCGTTTGTTTATACCTTAGCTTAGTACTTAAATTCCTAAGTCTTATAAATTTATTTTAGCTAATTAATTTATTTTTTGACAAAAAATTTAAAATAAATCAACTATGGATACTAATTGATTTCATACGTAAAAATAAGAATTAGGGAAACCATCATTTTCAAATTTACAATTTATTTACCTAAATCAGATACTTCTTAATTTTCTAGCTTATTAATTCTTTTTAAAATATTTTTGATTTGTTAAATTTAAATAAAATTACTATAAACCAATATAAAAATGTGATAGCTGAGGTAATTTAGTTAACTCTTTGCTAATTAAAGAAATACCTTAATTCAAATTTTTATTTTTGCAAATTATTTAAAAATAAATTAATTTTATTCGTTTAAATTATTATTGATAACATAATTTAATTACATTAAAATTATTTAAATTATTATAGCAAGATGCCATTCCAAAATTCAGTTGTTTGAAATTAACTTATTATGAAATAGATTTTTTAATTATTTATTAAAATAAGATTTTTATATTTTATAACAGAATTATAATTTAATAATTCTTTTTGAAAATTTTTTAAATTATTATAAACAAATTTTTTTAAATTATTTTCTTGATTTTTTAAAAAATTAAGTCTAAAAAATTATGGCTAGAGGGCACTTTTTCTATTATATGTTAAGGTCATTTTTTATTTATGATTTTTTATGGAAGTGTTAATATTGATGTAATTATTAAATTTTTTATTGACCTTAACCTCACACTATTCTTTCTTTGCTTTAAAATGTTAAAAGTTTAATGTTTTCAAGGCAAATTCAATAGAAATTTACTCAATTGGATGCTATAGTTAGAATACCAAGCACTTACCTATTTGATTAACCTTTTTCAGTTTTTTTTTCTGTGGATATTTAGATTTTAAAATGAAATAAATTAGTATTTAGTTAAATGCTAAAATCTCAAAGAAAGAAGACATAAAATAATTATTATTAAGATAAAATTTCTTTTGAAAGTAATATTTTCTAAAAATAATTAATGATGTTTGTTTTGCTCTTGCATTTAAATTATTTTCAAGTTTGTTTTATATATAAATAATTATCCTATTTAGTAAGTTATGATGTATCGAATAAAAATACTATTTTTATTATAGGGGTATATATAATTACTTACAAGCCTGTATCTATAAAATTAATAATAATTATAATAAAACAATCAATTATTGTCTGAAGTTGGAATTCTCTCTCCCTTTTTTCTGAAACAGTCTTTAACTCCACTTAAAAAACAAACGATGGTACTTAAAATACTAGAGAATGTAATAGATACTTAGTTGTTCAATATTGAGTAAAGTGTTGGATAAAAGATCAATGTTATTAGAAAAATGGAGAGAAAAAATAAAAAACAGCCACAGGCATCATCACTTTTTTTATCACATTCTTTAAATACAAGTGGCATACAAGCTATTAAAAGCAAAGGCATAGATACCCTATAATGACAACAGAAAGCCAACATGACTACTAATATAATCATCATCACTATAGAGAAATAGTAGGGAAAGAAAGGATCAATATAAAAGAAGGTAAAATGATTCTATAGACAGTCTGAATTATAGTCAATAACAAGTATTGGCATCAAGATAGTACCTAAATAATAGTTTACAACACTTGAACTATTTTCAACAAAGCTAACGCCCGTGTCAATCTCATAAAAATTATCTTTTTAACTATAAATATAACCAATAGCTATGAGGACTATAATTTGTAAAGCAAATAAAATAAAATAAACTGCAGCTAAATTCTAAAAAACATTTCGTGACCTATCATGATAGTAAGTGTTGTCCTATGAGAGAAACGTATTTACAAAGTTAAGATCATAGTTTGCATCACTAACTGATCTATACAGGTAGCAATTAGAAGAGTCTATATTAGTAATTGTGGCATTTTATTTCACAATCAAATAGCTGTTGTATGCCTAGCCTTAAAAATTCTCTGTAATTGTTTGCATTTAATAAGTATTTCCGATATAATCAAGAGCCTCTTGAAACTTCTGAACAAATACAGCTAATTATATAATATGTAGAAAAATTTAAAAAAGAGGGCATAATTAAGCTAGAGAGTAAAAGAAATTGTATTTTGAGCTCATTTTTTGTTTTCTTCTTCTATTATCTGTGGTAATTAATTATTTTTTAATTTAAATATTTCAAAAAAAAAGAGAAATAATTTAAATTTTTATTTTATCTATCATCTATTGCCAACCGAATATAAATTTTTACTTTTTTAACAAATACAGTACAAGCAAAATAAAATCTAAGAGTACTTTCCTTTATTTTTAATAAAGAAAGAAAAATTTTTCTATAGTATTTTTCATATTGGAAAAAAATGTTAATAGGGAATTTTTTTATTTGGTTTTGAATGGAAAGAAATCTTTCTAGCCATATCACACACAATATTCGAATTCCTGGAAAGGTTATTTAATAAAACCAAAGCATACCTTTAAACAAACACTCATTTAAAGGCACAGAATTATTTTACAGTATGTATAACTTGTGTTTATATTTTTGGAACTCATGAACCAAAAAAATCTATCCACACATACAAAGGTGCGCAACATTATTTAAATTGTAAAATTTTTCAAGCTTTAAATCTAAAAATTATTTTATTTGTGATCATAATATTTATATATAATTTGGTTACTATTCTCCAAATCACACATCAAACACTTAACAACCTATAGCTAATTCTACAGTTAACTCCCAATAAATCTTAGAATAGCATCCCTCACCCATTTATTTGCCCGCTTTGTATATCATTTTGACCTATTAATTCTTTTTCACATACTTTAATTGACTTATCGTATTTTTGAGCAGAACGATGCTCCGAAAATCCCAAAAAGCATAATTTTATACCCTTTAAACAAATTTTACCATAAATACAATGCTCTAATTCGGTAGTAGACAAGTAGGAAAACATTTTTTTAGTGTATTTAAAAGTACTCTTTCTTGCAACATCCCCCATTATAATTGGCTCTAAGAAAAATGAAGCAAATATTAGCATTTTGGATGTTCTCAAGTCCTCTACACTCTACAGCCATCAGCACCCATGTAACAAAATTTGAAATGTAGTGGCTATTCGTGGATTCATCCCCCAATTTTGAATTTCAGTTTCCCACCTTGAACCAGGTCATTTAAAAATTTAAGTGAAAAATGGATGGATTCCAGTGTAAAATAAATGGGTGATTTATGATCACTCAGAATTTGATTTTGCAAAAAGCTGAAATTAAAAATAAAAGATATTTTGATGTTTGTTTGTTTGATTTCTGAGTAAGGAAATTGATTATTTTTGAAGTTGTCTCATTTTGGGAATTAAAAAGTAAAAAAAATAAAATTCTTTACTTTTCTTCAATTGCTTTAATTTTTTTTTCTTTCATTCTTTCTTTGTTTATTTTTTGATTTTCTTTCATTTTAAGACTTACTTTCAAACTCTATCTATATCGATTTATTTATTTATTTGATTGAGTGATATATTAATTCACTTATAAATATACTTATACGTTTATTAATCATTCATTTTAAGAAGCTACTAGCAAGTGAACTCTAATAATTACATATATTATCTTATAAAATTCATCTTTTCTTGTTTTTTTTCTTTTTTCTTTCCTTCTTTTTAAGACAAAAATCCTTAGTAATCACATCACACATATCATTTTGCTTACTAATTGCTTTGAATTTAATTTTACATTTTTGATAATCTTCTGAATCAACATTTACCTTTTTTAACTTTTGATCTATTATTATCCTAATTTTTATTGAAAAATCATTTGTTATCTATCCTCAGTATTACTGTAATTCTAACTTTTAAACTAAGTTATATAACAGAATTCTAAAAAATCCACCTTCTTTTAAGTAATATAAACCAAAAAAGTAACAAAAAAAATAAAAATAATTTTTTTCAAATACTTAAAAATAATGTTTCTATCACATTTAAAGAAATATAAATTAACTTTTTACTTAATTTACTACTTAAATAAATAGCTTTTTAGAGCAATTACTTAGTAAGTAATGTTCATTTTTATGAATAAATAATTAGATTGAAAGATAAAAAAATATCTATATCAAAGAACATTTATTCTAACTTTGCACAAAAATTAATTTAAATTTATCTAATATTTTGAATATTTAAATTTAGTTTAGGCTTGTTATATGCAATAAAATTTATAATACCTCTAAAATTTAATTGCAAGTAAAATTATTAATTGAGCTTAAATAAAAAAAGAGTGTTTTATTTTAAAAATAAGTTGATAAGCCAACAAACAAACAAACAAACAAAAGATTTTCTTCTATTTTTCAAAATTAATTATAAAGATGCTTTTTTCAATAAACTGAAACGAATAAAGAACTTAAGGTTTTATTTTACTAACTTTTCCAATGATAAACCAAGTTATTTATATTCCTTATATTCTAAATGTGTTATTTTCTAAAACTAAAAAAAGCGATTTATTTTTATTTTAAACTTTCATATTTGTTTGTAAATTAATTTGAATTTTAGCTTAAACACACAAACCTTACAAATTAAAAAAATGTATTTAGTATTTTATTTTTTTTATTTAATTTATCTAAATATAAGGGTATAAGAGAAATTTGTATTATTCTGAACAAAAATAAATGAGATATCATAATTGATTAAAATTCTCTAAGCAGTCATTTTATGTTTTCTCAATAAAATAATGAACTTTGCTATGTCATTAAAACCAATTTGGTCAATTTTTAATAGCATTTAAATTTAATTTAGTCAATGGTAACTACATTTACATTTTAATTCAATCTAAATTATATTTAATATAATTTATTTATTTATCATTCATTTATAAGATTAATTACATTAAATTAAGACTTAAGCATTTAAGATTTTAGCTGTTTTTCAAGAAAATGTTTAATGTATTACTCATAAAATCCTTTGAAATTCTATTATTACTGTATTTGATTTTAAAATTAATTCAATCCAAATTTATTTAGTTACCACAAGTTCAAAGAAAAATTAGCGAGACTGAAACACTGACTAATATTTCCAAATAAAAATAAAATACCTTGCTCAATATAATTTGACCTTTTTAATTGTTAGTTTTATAATTTATCTATTAGTTATATATTATTTAGCATTTAAGTAAATTTACTCAAGACCTAAATTCATATATGTTAATTCTTAAAGTTCTTTTATACCTTAGCTTAGTACTTAAATTCCTAAGTCTTGTAATTTATTTTAGCTAATGTATTAATTTATTTTTGATAAAAAATTTAAAATAAATCAACTATAGAGACTAATTAATTAATTTTATACGTAAAAATAAGAGTTAGGGAAACCATCTTCTTCAAATTTACAATTTGTTTACCTAAATCAGATATTCCTTAATTTTCTAGCTTATTAATTCTATTTAAAATATTTTAAATTTGTTAAATTTAAATTAAATTACGATAAATCAATATAAAAATGTGATAGCTGAGGTAATTTAGTTAACTCTTTACTAATTAAAGAAAGACCTTCATCTGAAATTTTATTTTTGCTAATTATTTTAAAATTTTATTAGTTTAAATTATTATTGATATCATAATTTAATTACATTAAAATTATTTTTAAACTCTTTAAATTAATATTTTGAGCAAGTACTTCAAATACTAAGTTAACATCTCTATCCACTTCTTTTTAACTTTTATTAAAATTTCATATTAATTTAGAATTAACAACTTGACATTCAAATAAAAAATGATTAAAAAATAAGAAAATACAATAGATTTAAAGATAGCTCTTTAATGTTATGCATCTAACCCAATTATTTGCTTAACTTAACTGCACCCTTTATGCCAATTTTATTTTATCTTTTGTTAATAAAATATTTTAGTTCATTGTATACAATAAAATACACACATTAAATTAAGGTGGAGGGAATGAATCTTAATGCATTTTAAAAGTTGTATACCGAGCTGCTCACTCCCATTTTCATTAATCATGTTTTCACTATTTTATATAAATGTCTCAATAAACTATTCATTTTACTTAATAATTTTTACGATAAATCTAGACTTAGTTTGGTTAATTAACTACATTAGGAAAGCTCTTATCCTATTAACTATGCCCCTTATTCACAAATACTATTTTTTCTAAAAACAAAAAATAAATTACTGTTTAAAATAGATTAATCAATAAAACAAAACCTTAAATCTAACTTTATTTCAGTTAAGTTGATACATTATCTAATTCCTTAAACAAGTATGTGAGCTCCGTTAGAATTTAAATTTGCAGAACTAATTAAATAAAATATATAGAATTTGAAATAATAAAATAGAATATCTTACTAAATATCAATTTATATTTTTGTTAAGTTTTATAGTTGAGATATTACTAATGATAACGATTTAGCCCCACTATATTCTACTTAGTTCATTCTTTTCAGATAAAAATAATTATTTTTTAATCAAATTTGATATATTTTTACTGTAATCGTAAACTCAATTCCTTTAATTTGGCTAAAAATGAAAGATTTTAAGCAAATTTGATAACATCATCTGGATACAGATTATTAAATCTATTTATTTATTTGTTTGTTTATTTATTTAAGTTTTAATTGCTTTTTAAATTTACCCGAAATCCAAATAGAGATTTTCTAGTTTTTGTAATTTAGCTATGCATTCTCCTGCTTACTATATTCCTAATTTTCCGATCTAGCACATGCTTATTTATAATCATATAATTTTAAAATTATTAACTTAAATTAAATACAATAAAAATCAAAATTATTGTAATATTTAAATTATTTGCCAAAGGATTTGCTTAATGTAATTATTTCAACTTACAAAAAATTAAGTTTTAGGCTTTTAAGATTTTGGCATTATGAAATAGCTTGCAAAATCTATTAAGATCCTTCTTCAAGAATGCTAAGTTATCTTTTGTTTTATTTTATAAAGTTTATTTAAATATTTCAAAAAATAAAAACTAACTTTACTCTAATTTAATTTCCAAAGATTAAAGCTAAGTATTTTGCTCTATCTTTTATTTTATTATTGAAACTATGTCAGCGCTATGTAATACAACCCTAATTTTTGAATATATGTTAGTATCAATAAAAATAAAAAGTTTATATTAAATACCATGAGTGGTGATAAGTGAGTGAAAATATTTTTGACAAATCAGCTTATTTTAACTTTTTATAAAATATTTGTTAAATAAAACATAATCTTTTATTAATTCGAGAAATTAAATACAGAATGAATATTTCTCACAATCATTTTTTTTTTATTCTTTTATTTAATTTTTTTTCTTTCTTTCTTTTTATCAAACAAATAAATAAAAATTTATAATAAAAGAATTGTATCCAAAATTAAATTTTTGAATAAACAAATTTTACAAAGAAAGTAAATAAATATTAAATAAAATAAACTTGTTAAAAAATAAAAGATAATTTTATATTTTTTTAAAATACGATTGGAATGAGTTAAAGACAAATAAGACTTCTTAAATCTCATAAAGAAAGCTACTTAGAAGATATATTGAAGAATCTGAATTATGAAAAATCTGTTTTTATTCAATCGGATTTAGAAAATGATTAATTTGCATTTCTGATTTAGAACTTAAAAAAATTATCAAATTTAACTGAATTTGGAATACAAACTGCTTATAAATCTCTTTCAGAGTCCTCCTTGTTATCTTTACTGGCTAAAGAAATTAAAAATTTATCTTAATTAACTAAATTAAAACTAAAACTTGAAAGACCTATTGAAGATAGAGATTCAAGTAAGATATTAATTGAATTAGGTGATAGCTTGTAAAACTTAAACAATTTAGAAGATCTGGCCTTAGAATTTGGCAATATGAAACTTTTTAGTGAAATAGGAGCAATTAATTTAACAACTGGATTTAATTCATTATAAATATTAAATAAATTCCATATTTCTATGTATGTTTACAACTAGTAAGAAGAAAACTTTATAAAGGAAATTTTGTCCTCTTCTATTAAAAAAGAAGTAACTGAACTGTCAATTCACATTATAAAGTATGTAGAAAAAGGAAAAGAAGAAAAAGCTACTCTTTATTCTCAAAATATATTTAATTTATCTGAATTTGCTCAATTAAATCATTTAAAGCTATCTATTGATAAAAAAATCAAAAATTATGAATTTGATCTCAAGGGTTTTGTAAACTCTCTTGAATATTTGAAAAATTTAAATAAAATCTATTTAAACATAGATCAAATGAGTTTCAAATAAGTAAATTTCAGCGAATTTTATGACAGATTATTTTAGATTGTTTCTTTAGAAGAACTAGAAACTCGTTTGGTCATTTCTTAAATTGATAAAGAAATTACTTTAGGTGAAAAAATGTCTGAAATTAGCTAGTTGAAAACATTAAATTTAAAGCTTGTAAATAAAGGCAAGAAATCAACTCTTAAATTTGGCTAGAATATTTCTAAATATAATCAATTTCGTAAGCTTTAGTTAGATTTTAAGCAGATAGAACTGAGCGAATGCGGATAATAAGTTTTCTTTTAAAATCTTTAAAAGTTATAGTAATTTACTTCTAAATTAGAAATGGAAAGCTTAACTCCTTCATTTGTAGAAAATTTGTAATTCTTGCATCAATTAAAAGCTATAAAATTTGCAATAAATAATATTTAATAGTAAATAGCTAGTAAAATTTTACCATTTTTTAAAAGCATTAAAAATTTAACAAATTTGGAGATTATAGAAGTGTGTTGTGGTTTAGGTTATTTAGTTACTAGCTAGGAAGATTTCGAAGACTGTTTTAAAAATTTAGTTAATTTGAGAGATTTCAAAATCTTATAAACGAATAGCTATGATGTAATTAAAAATTTTTAACTTATTGCCCCTTTGTTAAAAAATTTAACTTAAGTTGAAAGACTCCAAGCTGTATTGGAAATAGTAGAAATTCCAGATCAATTAAAATTAATTAGCTAAAATTTAGGATAGTTAATTTCTTTAAAGAGCTTAAATTTAAGAGTTATAAGTTATATGCACTACAATGAGTACTAGCTAAGATAAGAAGATATCTAAAATTTACTCGATGGTATATCAAATCTAATTAACCTCGAATCCTTAAATATTTATTTTGATACTAATTTTAACAATTATAATTTCTTATATTAAAATCTATCAGCTGTAGTGCAAAATTTAACTCAATTAAGGTATCTCGCAGTAAATGGAGGTTCAAAACTACATTCTATGAATAATATTTTTAAATTGAAAAGTTTAGTTTTCTTTAATTATTTTACTTATTGGTGAATAATAAATAATTACTTTCATCTTCATAAATTAAAGAATGAATACTCATTCCCGTAATTTTATCCTGATTAAGGAGGTACTCAACTTATAAAATGATATTTATTAACCAATAAATAAAAGCTAAGCATCAAAATAGTCATGTATGAATATGACAATTAGTTTTAAAATGATCCTTCTAGTTTTAAGAAAAAATATTTAAGAAAAATGATTTGTTAATTATTAAAAACAGTGCTTAAGATTTTCAAGTAACTTAATTAAAATATCTATTATAACATCATTTAAATAAACTTATTGCAGAGCCAAAATGAAAGACTCAAGTTATTAACTTTTAATATCTTAATCGCATCTCTAGCAAAAATTATTTTTTGTAAATTTTATCAAGTTTTATTTTTGAGTACAAAAAAATTTTATTATTATAAATAATATCTTTCTTGCGTAAATTTATTATTATATTAAATATTTTAAATCAATGTTGTAAGGGAAAATATTTTTTCATTAAATACAATGAGTTTACAAAATAAATTTAAGATTTAGCACAAGAAACACCGTCACATACATGAGGCTTTTTATTTTTTTAGACCCTGATTATATAAACAATTCTATTTAATTAGAACAATTTTTTGAATTTATTTTTAAAAAATCCTTTTTGTTTACAATTACTTTTTAAAATTTAAATTGATTTAAAAATTATTTATTTATTTATTGTTTTATATTTAATCATAATTGAATTCAAATTTTAATGGATAATTTGTTTTTTGAATAAAATGAATGACTCAAAATATATTCCATATAGTGAAATTTAAAAATTTTAAATTTTATTATTAAAATTATTCTGAATTAATTACTTACTATTTTAAATTTATTTTAGAGAAAAATTTAAATATAATTAATTAATAAAAATTGTCTAGAAGATAAATTTGTTTAAGGTAAATTTAAATTAATTGTTTTTTAAAGTTTCTACTATTTTTGCTATTCAATATTCATCAAAAGTTATTTATCTAACTAAATAATTAAAGGAATTTTAATAAAATAAAAACTCTAAAATTAAAAGACAAAGCTAATGGACCCATCTTACGAATAATTGTTTGATTAGGAAAAGTAAGTGCTTAAACTTAAATAATAATATGAAGAAAGTTAGATAACTCAACTGATTGAAAATTAAAAGTACCATCTTAACTTATCAGTCCTTAGTGAATTAGATTCTACTAAATGCAAATTTTTTCTTGAATAATTTAGATTTCTGTAACACTTATAAGGATTGAATATTTAATTCTAAAGCAATAGCTTATCTGATTATCTAGCCTTTAACGAATTTACTCAAAGTTTTAGTTTTTTAAAAGAATTAAGATATTTGTCTTTAAAAATATTAAAATAATAGACTGAAGCTGATCTTTCAAATTCACTTTTCTCTATTGGGAAAGGATTATAATATCTTAAATTTTTAAACTACTTTAGTCTTTCAATAGCTTCTTAAGGCACTCTCTCAGAAGAACATATCAATGAATTAAGCAATGGATTAAATAGCTTGAAAGAATTAAAATATTTGAAAATCACATTAAATGAAAATTTAGAATAACCTTTAATTCTAAGGGTTATTTGTAGTTCCTTTTGTTAATTAAAAAACCTTGAAACACTATAAATAAGTTTGATGGAAACAAGTTATACTAATAATATTGACAATTAGATAAAGTATTTGTCTCTTAATTTGCCTTATTTAAATAGTCTTAGCACATTAGATATAGAAATAAATGATAATTTAAATATGACTGAAAGTTGTCTTAATGAATTGAATCGTTCTATCTTAGCTTTAAAGCAAATAGTTAATTTTAAAGTTAACTTTTATTATAAATAAGAATTTGAACCTATTTGCAGCTTTATCAATTCAATAATATCTATTTAAACTCTTCAATAATTAGATATTTGCTTAAGTTTAAATTTAAGAAACTAGTCTACCACTATTCTTTCGATTGGAGAATGTCTAACTTAAACATCAAATTTATAAAAATTAAAACTCTAATTAAAAAATGAATACTTTATACCTTAGTAAAGAATCTTCGCTTTCAATCAAAATTTCAAATTCTTTCAAAATTTAAGCGAGCTTTCAATTATTATTTCTGGATTAAAAGTTGATGGATTTTAAAATTTACAAAGCTATCTTGTAGATAACAAAAAGCTTAAAAAGATTTGTTTACAGTTTGAATAAGAAGACAACTAAGATAACCTAAGATATTTAGAAAAGGCCCTTGCATAAATGAGCAATGTGAAGGAATTAACTCTTTCTGTCAAAGTTAAAGATGAAAAGATTATTTTAAACGATTTATTCTCAAATTTATCAAATATAAATTAGTTGAATTAGCTAAGCTTGATTATTAATTTAAATTTTTAATCAATTGATAATTTAAAAGACTGTTTCTAAGGACTTCATAATTTAAAGATATTAAACTTATGTTTCGGAGAAAGCTAATATGTTAACATAGGATAGATAATATAATCACTTAAATATATGATTAATTTGCAAACTCTCTTTCTAAACTTTAATTAATTGACTAATAACTTTAGTTTGGAACCAATGAAAGAGAGCTTTAAGCATTTGAAAAAATTAAAGTATCTATAAATTCATTTAATGCAGCTTGACATTGGCTAGGGTTTATTTTTTTTGAATAAAGAGCAAGGAGATAACCTTATTGAAGCAGTGTCTAATTTGAATGATTTAATTGGTTTTTATTTCTTAAGTGACATACAAGCTGAGCATCAATAATATATCATAAGGAAACTACATTAAACTCTTATTAAAAATCAGAAAAAGCTGAGGGTATTCTACTCATTTTATGATTACATCAATACTGAAAAATCTTATTTAAAAAGAAAACACCTAAGGTTAGTTTAAATAGTATGAAAATACAAAATATCATCTACTCACTCACTCATTCACCACACTTCTATATTTCTATCTATTTAACTATTAAATTAAATAAATAAGCTTTTAAAAAATATTTTATTTTATTTATTAATAAGTCTCTCTTCATAGCTAAATATAATTGAATAATGATAATTAAGAATTTTTAAAAATAAAATGAAATAAATCTATTTCAATTTAAATAAATATAATAAATTTTTTGTTTAATGTTAACTTATTATTTTAGCTATTAATTTAAATTTTTTAAAATGATTATTTTGTATTTTTATTGGATGAATGCATTTTAAAAAAATTTATATAGTTTTCTAAAAAATGAATAAACAAAAACAACAAAGCACTATTCATTTAATCAAATAAATTTAAAATTTATAACAAACAATAAAATTATTCCTATATAATCAAATTACTGCTTTAAAAACAAAATTTTTAATATTTTGAAATAAATAAAATCAAATTATTCAAAATAAAGAAAAAAATATTTATGAAAAAAATATATCATATAATCTCATGTATTAACGCCCGATTATATTAACACCAAAAAGTTTAATTTTTTTTCATATAATTATTCTAATCAGGTCTGAAAAAGATGAGGGATGGTTTTAATTTATGAGGATTTATGGTATAGCAAACTTTTTGTTAATATTTTCGATTTTTTTCTTATTTGGTGATATGATTTTATAGATTGACTTGAAATTAAATTTATAAAGTTATTAATAAAAAAGCTGATTAATAATGAGCAAATTTCTCTTTGTTAAATATTTTTATCTCAGAAAATATTAATTTAGCCTAAAAATAATTAAATATCAAAAGCATCTATCTGCAATAAATAAATATTTTTTAAAATTTACTTTTTGAAATTAGTTTTTAATTTAAGTAATAAAAGAAAAGAAAAGTGCTATAATTAATTGTAAATGAGATTAATTAAATAAAATAAAATATTTTAAGATGGAAAATATATTTAATTTAAAAATTCCATGGACAAAAGTTAGATAGATTTATATTCAGTTAATTAAAAATATTACGATATTCTTTCAATAGATAGCTATTTGAACTCTTAAAACTCTGATTTTCTGGCTTAGAATGTTAAATTTTTTGAAAAACTAATTGCTTTTAGTATTAAATTTAAAGAAAGTGCGCTCAATTCCTATTCTTCGATTGAAGAACTCTGTAGGAATTTATAATTCTTAGAAAAATTAAAATTTCTTTAATTAGATATTGATACTTAACTTCAGATTATACCAAGCTCTGAATTTTTTATTGAACTTGGAAAATCTTTAACTCATTTGAAGGATCTAGAGTGTCTATGCTTATCTTCTTATGTACCTGAAACAATTAGTGAATAATAGTTAAACTAATTTAAAATATAACTAGAATAGCTACAGAAGCTTATTTGCATAAATTTCAAATTTAAATTTGTCGCATAGAATAGCCATATATTTTTAAAAGAGTTTGCTAACTTTTTCTAAAATCTTTAGCAAATTGAAAACTTGAATTTATAGTTTGAATTCTAAAATTAGTTGGCAAATGAAATAAATTGCGTAATTCCTAGAGTTTATAACTTAAACAATTTAAAGTAGATTAGAATAAGTGTTAGAGATCATAATAATTTATCAATTAGTAATATTTAACAATTTTAGAAGGATTTAATTGGCTTAAATTCTTTGAGTGATTTAAAGTTATCATTCCAAATTACAAATACTAGCTTAACATAATAATTAAATGAATTACTAAATACCTCACTTACCTTAAAAACACTTGAAAAGCTTAATTTCCAAATATTATTTTAGAAACGCTAAGAGTTTTAATTTATGATTGGAACAGAATTAACAGACCCAACAAATTTGAGTAAATTTAAAATAAAATTATTAAATAGTTGTCATGAAGAAACAAAAGACTTTCAAGTAATTTTTGATGAAAATATTAAAAATTTAATCAATTTAAATAAATTACACATTGAAGTAAAGTTTATCAAAATGTATGAACATTCTTACCATAACTTAGGTAATTTATTAAGAATAAGTAAAAAACTTCAGAATTTGAATATAATATCTAATTGCGATATAAATGAGGATTAATTTATTTAATTCGGTAAAACATTTTCTAATTTAAGTTCTCTCAAATAGCTTAAGTTAGAGGTAATGATGAACAAATTCAATCAAGACAAGTATGGTTTTATGGATGGAATTTCTTCACTAGTTTAATTGGAGGAACTGGAATTAGGGTCCTTGTATTATTTCCTTGGAGAAAATTTACTTGATACATTTTCATATTTAGTCAATTTGTAAAGTTTTAGTTTAAGTTCATATTTGAAAGTAACAAATAAGGATTTAGAATCTTTTGGGAATTCTCTTATCTATTTAAAGAGTTTAAATAACTTAAAAATAAAATTACCATTAAATCATGATACTCAAAATATCAGCAATATTTCAAGTAGCATAGGCAGCTTATTAAACCTCAAAATTTTAAATATTTAATTATATGATTTTCTTTTCTACAATTTTTCTCTAGACATTGATCATTGTGTTTAATTATTTAAAAATGTTAGTAACCTCTCTAATTTGATAGAGTTGAATTTAGAATTTTAAACAAAGTAAGAATTTTAGTAACAATTTGAGAACGCCTTGGTCAATTCAATTATGAATCTCCCAAAGCTTAGAAAACTTAAAGCAAATGTCTAACAATTAGGATTAGTAAAAATAATCAGAAAGCACAAAAGATTAGTTATATTATATTTAATTTGAAAAACCTATATCATATGATACTAAATTTATTTTTTATATATTTCTATGTTTTCAAATTTTTTTTCTTAACACAACAAAATCATACATACATACATACTTACTCATTTTTTAGTATCCAATTTTTAAAATTCTAATGTCTTTTCTAAAATTTTTATGTTAAATTTTTGGTTTTATGGTTATTTATATTGGTTGACCGGCAATAATTCCCCTTATCTACTATATACTGTTAGATTAATATCTGAATTTTAAGAATATTTTTATGCATTTAAAAATATTTGAGAGTAACTTTTTTAAATAAAAAATGTTTTAATAAATGATATTTGATGTAATTGAATAAAAATAATATTTTCTAAATTCTAACTTTAATTGCATTGTATATAAAAAATAGACAATTTTCTTGTTTAAATTAGAAGGATCATGAATTCTACTTACTTTCAGAAATAAAGTTTTCTTCTTTTATATAGGATTAAGGATAATATAATAAAATTATGTTTTTCTTTTATGAAAATAAATAAAAAAGAATAAAACTTTACTAATATTTATTATTTTTTTAGCTTATTATTATTGATCAAAAGAAGTTTTATGTATGTTTAAATAACTAAATTTCTAACTTAATTTCAATCATTTTCACAAGTGAATCAATAAATCTCTAATCTTTTAATGAAAATTCAAATAAGCCAGCTCTTATTTATTATAATAAAGATAATTTTATTAAAAAAATAAGAAGCTGGTCTACTTAAAATAGTTAAAAACTAAATATTTTTTAAGCTTTTTTACTTTACCGTTTTTTTAGAAAGAATTTAAATTAAATTTATTCACTCACTTGACTCTTTTATTCAATTTATACTTTGTTTTATATAACATAAATAACTTTTCAAGCGACATTTATATTTTTTTAAAAATTGTTAATAAATAGAAATTAGTCTCTAAGTAAAGTAAATATTTTATTTCTTATATATTAATTTTGTTTTTTTAGGTAAATAAATAGAACTTACTGCTTGCTTTATTTAGTTCTAGCAAGCAAATTTATTAATTTTTTTATTTTGTAATTTCAGTTAGCGATTTATTTATTCAATTGAGGGAGATGATGAATATAATTTTTTTGAATTGCAATAATCTTATTTAATTTATCTTGTCTCATAAAAAATGTAATAATTTCAAACAAAAACTTCTCAAAATATGCCAGAAATTTTTTATTTGAAGCAAATAGTTTGTTTAAAATGCTTTAAAGCATAAATAAAGTAATTATTTTTTTAGAAATAAAGTAAATTAAAATTTTTTATTTCCCACTTATTTTATTAAAAAGATCAATTTTTCTTTTACCAAAAAAGCCTGTTGATTATTAACACGTCATTTATTTTATAACAGAAATTGTTTAATACCATAAATTACTATGTAAGCAATTTGTTTTTATTTTATTTACTTTAAACCTTTTTTATTTCTTATTTTATATTAATAAATAAATTTTCTTGTATTATGTTATTGATTTCAAATAAAATTAAAAAATTTAAATATTGATGAATTATATATTATATTATTTGATTGATGAAAATAGTTATTGACTTTGGATTGAAGTATAATTAATCATTTATTTTAGAAGGAGAAATAAAAAAATATAAATAAAAAAGTAATAATTATTTACTAATCACCTTAAGAATCAGAAAATAATAAGTAGATGTTTCAAAATAAATCAATTTTTAGGCAAGTTTTTTAAATAAATTTAAATATATTGATAGTAAGCTGCTAGTTGAGCTATTAAGGGACTCTATGGTTTGCATCATCACCCATCGCAGCCAAGTCTTAACTTGACATTTGCTAAGGTAATAAAGGTGTTACTTTATAATAGTGCTTAGAGCCACCATTCTAGTACTGCTGTGTGATTTTTAGTGCCTAATGCGGGTTACAATTTTCTTGCCTAAATTATGAAAACCATGAAGTCAATCTGTACAGTTTTCCTGCCAACATTTAGGTTTAATAAATGTATATTCAGAGTTAGACACAAAATTTTTGGGTTGTTGATGCAAACAACCTTTATCTTTTTTAGATTTAAAATCCACTTTTAAGTTAGGTTGTTAATAAATCTCAGATTCCAAAGTAGAAATCAGGAGCAACTAATAGCTTTTTTTATTACTAAGGTATAAATAGGCTATTTTTAGTCAATAAACTAGGAGTAGATGTTTATGACATTTAGAATACTGATCAAATTAATTTTATTTTTACTATCCCTGCTAAAACTAGCATCTCCATGATAGCAATTGATTTCAGTATTAATATTATGTTCCTTGCTGATAGTAGCTTGCGCTTACTTTAATTTAATAATATATAAGATTATTAAACCTCAAATAAACAACTACTTTTTGCCGATAAATGCTCAATTACCCTTCCAAAGGCTCCGACTCTAAATAAAATAGTAAAAAGTTCATTTTTATTAATTTAAACTAGTGAGTAAGTCATATCTGGGATAGATTTATCTGCATTCTTGTAATCTGGAAATTGTCATGACTTGAAAATAACGCAATTATTTTCCACAATAGATACATACACATAGTCGATAGTTACTTAAGACAGTCAGTATGTTTTGATTAATATCAATTATTTGTACATCTAGATAGTGTAGATTAATTACAGTCCGTTAAGTGCCTAACTTTTTTAGTAAATCAATATATTTAATAATTTATATTAATATATGATATCAAAGACAACTGATTTGCTTTATGTTTCAACAGAAGATGCCATTTAAATTTACTAAATCAAAGAAACAAATTATAATTAAATTCTACCCTCAGTTGTGAACATTCCCCAAATAATAGTTTATGATAAATTTATAAGTGCTTTGTAATACGCCTATAGCTGTTAATACACTCCATATAAAAATTATCTTCTCTCTGCCAAAGGAACTGAAGGAGTGTACATCTTTTAAGAAGATCCTTATAGCCATGCTCTGTCTTTAATTTAGAATATAAATCCCCCCAACTTTACCACTAATCTCAAATTAGCTAAGACATTTAATAATGACAATAATTTAGTTATCGGAAGAGATAATCATCTTTATTTCTACGATATATCGAACATCAACAATCCTTAATAAATTTCCACTTTATCTATATCTATAGGAAATTCAATTCGTTCTGCCTACATCACTAAGGATCTAAAAAAAATTATTTTTGCAGGGGATTCTCAAGGAGTTGTCATTGCGGATATTTCTAATTTATCTGCGCCATAGATTATTGCCTCTAAATATTAAGATTTGCCTATTAGTTCTAAATGCTCAGATTTAAGTATGGATGCAACTGAGAAATACGTTTATGCATCATACAATGGTTAAGGATTAGTCATTTATGATGTCCATAATTATACAAACCCTGTTATTCTATCTTATATTACTACTTACGGAGGACAAAATGTAATTATTATTTTATTAAATTTATTTACATTTAGTTTTATTACTTCAAAAATCACCTCTTCTTTTAAAAATTAAGAATTTTTTTTTCTACTTTGCCTAATTCAAATAACAAAATTTATAATTGCTTTTAAGTTAAATCCAGTAACTAAAAAGTCATTTAATCAAAGATAAAAATTTAATAAGCTGATACTTATTTTTTCTTCAATAAGAAGTAATTAATTTTTTAATTGAGCCAGCTTTTTGGCTTTGATGAGTTTCTTTAAATTAAAAATTTTTAATCGATGTAATAACATATTTTTTTTATTTATTTAATTTGTTAGTCAATATTAAATATATCAAACCCTCAAAAGTGAATACTACTTCATTTTTATTTAAGAAAGATTTTAGGTTTAAAAAAAACTTTATAAATTTTTTAATTTTTACTTTTTTTTGTGGAAATCAAAAGTTAATAATTATATTTAAACATTTTAATAAAAATAATCAATATTAAAAAAGTAACAAAAAATAAATATTTTTAAATAAAAGATTCGAGTCTTCTAAACAAAACCATTAATAGTTTTTGCTGATGGAATATATGGTCTCAAGATCATTGATGTCAGTTAGCCAGCTTCTCCCTTTATTTTAGTATCTTTTAGAACTTAGGGATCTCTTAAAGAATGCTCGCTTATATATAAAGAGACTTTCTTACTATGCACAGCTAGATTCAGAGGCTAATTATAGCTTATTGATTTGAGGGATGTAAAAAATCCTAATATTTTGCAAGTCTTCAACTACTAAGACATTGATGGAGGATTGAATATATGCGTCAATTCTGAGAAAACAGTTGCATATCTTGGTTTAACAACCTCAGTCATTAGATTAAATCTTTTCCCAAATATAAATTTTGATATGGACATCTAGCTGGTTTCGGAAGGAGAAGTTGAAATGAATACCTTATTGAAAGTAGGCACAACATTTAAAGTAGGCTAATAAATTTAAATTAATCTAAACTAAGTATATCCTTCAAAATAAGCTTATATTAATAAAGTTTTTTATTATTCTGACTTTAATATGCAAGATCTCCCATATTGGGCTTCTTATTCTTAAGCTAGCTAATCATTGATTCTTTAACTGGATAAGAATTCTCTTCAGACTAGTTCAGCAAATCAACTAAATAGCAATTAGACAAACTCGATAAATTCGACTCAATATCGCAATTAGCTATAAATTTCATAACAACAATTTGTATTTTCAGTGTCTTAAAAGTTGAGTAAAACAGATTTTATTAACAGTAATTTAAACATTACATAGTAATAATCACAATAAATATTTGTTGATTGTATATTAGCTAATTTAATTACTCACGACTATTTTGTTGTTTAGACCTCTTAAGAAGTTGTAAATGCCCTTCTGCAAAATAAATATTAATAAAATATAATTGATTATATCTATTATATCCTATCTTAAAAGAATAATTATTATCCAATAAATTTTTTAGTAGAAAGCTCTTTATAAGTAAACATAGATGACGAAAATATTGCCCCCTCTATCTAGACAATAAGTAGTTAACTTTAAATTTCTTTGGATATAGATAGTAAATAGGGATGCTTTATTCCTTACTAGTACAGTGGAGTTTTGATCTACTTAAATTCTGAGAATAACAAGATTTAACTATAAGGAGATGTAGCTTCAATAAACTCTGTTATTAATAGTGGAATTCGGGTAGCAAATTTTGTTAATCCTTAACTAATACAATTAACAATAACTATTAATGACTCTGTCAACTATGTAATAACTAAAACTATACCAGCCACTCACAAATATCTCATTAAGTTAAACCAGCCTATATCTAATAATCCTTCTTTGAGCTTAAGAGATGACTTTGCCTTGAAATTTTCGAATTCCCAGTTATATATTTTGGAATCTTTCAGCTACACTTTTAATCCATAGGTCTTTCTGAATCCTGATGGACGTACTTTACATTATACAGCTAAAATTCACATCAAAGATGAATATTAAACCTTGCCTTAATAATATTGGCTTGTTTTTTAACAAGAATAGAGAAATTTCTTTGGTTCTGTTAGTTCCTCTTAGTTTCAAACAGTAGCAAGAATTATGATTAATGTGACGGATGGTTACACATACGCGATAGATTACTTTGAGATGCATTTTGATCTTATTCCTATTTCGTATATACTTTTATATATATTTTAGATTATGAGTCCAATCTTAGGGATTCTAGGATTGTGGAAATATAAATCATTAATGTATAATAACTTCAGAAAAGATAATTACATTACAACTAAAATTTAAGTTTAATCAGGTGATGAAATTTTACTACAAATACCTCTGCTTGGAAAAAATGTAGAAATTGCTTAATAAATATGGAAAAGCTATTTTAAATAAGTAAACAAAGCTCAAGTGTTATAGGAACTAAATTAGATTTTAGAAAAAAAAGATATGGATAACCATTCTATGTGCTAAAGCAAATAAGATATGGCTGCTTCTACAATTAAGCACATGCCAGTCTTTAGGAAGAAATAAGAAACATTTTATAAACTTTAGAATAAATTCGCTCAAACCTATTTGAGGAGCATATCTAAAGTAAAATAGAATTAAGACTCACCTAGATCTTAAATTTAAAAAAGTAGAAAAAGTACCATAAGCAGTAGTTTATATTTTAACTAGGATGGGAGCTTAAATAATTAATTTATTCTAGAATCAGTAAGAGAACATTGTTCATAAAATTTTAAGGAAAAAGATTTTATAACTGAAGCACAATTAAATAACTCTAAGTCTATGATCTCTAGGGCAATTGTAGGTTTAGCTGCTTTTTAATTCTCTGAACTTCACCAAATTAGCTAACAAATTTTAGGCTTCCTTAAGAATGTTGCTCTTTAAGAAGGATATCTAGAAATAGATTGGTATAAAAGATATGTTTAGATCATTGCTTAGCCAAAAAATATTCACTAAGATCAATTTCCTATAATACAATTTTCCGAGGATTGTTTTAATTAAATATTCTAAGCTACATTCTAAAAGTATGAAGATAAAGAAGAAAAGAAAAAGTAATCTTTATAGCTTGTTCCATTTATAAAGCAGGTAATAGAGGCAATAGCTTTAGGATTTACATTAGATGGTAAAGGGATGGTACCAAAAATCAGAGGTGAATGTATAGAAACCGAGTATCATGACATTAAAAGTATTCGATCATACCGTCCTATTTAAAGAGCAATATACTGCTGTTTCAAATATAACTATGAAGAGTTAGTGGAAAAGGAATTCCACTAGAATCAAGAACTTCCATCATGGATCTAGAGTTTAGACATTACTAACTCAGTCATTTTAATTTAAGGAAAAGCAGAAAATAAAGATATCGGAGAATATGTTTTGAACTTATATAATAAGAAAAACTTTTTAATTAAATAGATTAGAATTTAGATTTCTCCTTGTTCTCAAACTATCAACCAATGCTTGAATGTATTATCACCTCTAATGAATAAATCTTAAAGTTAATTGATTCCTATTGAAGAGAGTGTAAATTAAAAATACTTTTTAAACCCAAAATAGATAAGGTAAAATTCCATTTGTTTATCATTAACTAATTCCAGTCCTTAGAATATTAACTTTCGAAAGACTATTTTCCGTGAAGACTCTATTCAAAATAACTATACGACTAATTACTACAATGAAGAAACCGAGTAAGACGAAATAATATAATTATGAAAATATATTAAATATTTTTAAAATTAGCTTACAAATAGATAACTTTATTAATTTTTTTATGTTTATGAGTAATTGTAACTTTTATGATTAGGAATTTTATAGGATAAGACCCTAAATTTATAAATTATATTTTGCTTATAAATAAAAAATTATATTGATCATTGTTTTTGTTTTTAATTCTTTTAAAAAAATTCCATTCATTATTGAATTAAAAAGAGATTTTTTATTTGAAAGAAAAAATTATTTTTTTTAATAACCCAAATCTTAAATTTAAATTCAAATTTATAAAATAAAAATTAAGAGCTTTGTCTGAGAGGGAGGTTTGTATTTATTTCTTTTAAATTTTGAAAAAATTAAAATACATTCATTTACAATAAATAGATTTTAAATCAATATAATCTATGGATTTACTCATTTCAAAAAAAATTAAGAATAAGAATCTTAATTTTAAATTAAATTGCTTATTTTTTAGATAATCAAAAAAAAAACCAGACAAGGAATTTTTATCTTAGAAATTAATTAATAGAATATTTCTGGAAATTTTTACTTCATTTTATCAATAGGTGCAATTCTATTACAACTCTTTTCTTAAAAGAAACATGAAGAAAGAGAGAAGAACTAGGCAAACACAAAGTCAAACTGAAAAAATCTGAAAATTATAATTACAATTATTAATAATAATATATATAAAAATAAAAATGTAATGCAAAATATATAATGCATATTTGTAAAGGAAAGAAAGAATACAATTTTTACTACATTTTTATTACATGTAGAATTTTAATTTTTACTTTAATTTTTAAACTTAAAAATACAAAAAGATATAGTATTAGAGTTTACTTAAAATATTATTTCTTTAATTTTTTAGTTCTATCTGAAAAATGTATTATTAAACAATAATTGACTTATTATCTAAAAAGAAAGATTATTAGATTAGTATCTGCATTTTATAGTTCTTTTTTAGGTAATTCAAAATTTTTTTTTATATAAAATATATTTTAATAAATTATTTTTGAAGCTATTAAATAAAAATAATATTATCTACAGGCCAACTTTATTGCTTTGAGTATCAAAAATAGGCAATATCATTGTTATAATTAGAAGGATCATGTTTTCTATTTAGAAAAATAAATTTTTCTTATATTTATATAGGACTAAGGATTTATAAGAAAAATGTGTTTTTGTTGTATAAAAATTAATTAAAAACAATAAAAGCTTACTCATATTTATTATTTTTATTATAATCTTATTATTATTAATCAAAAGAAGTTTTACATGTTAAAATAACTCAATTTCTAAATTCCTTTCAATAACTCTAGCAAGCTAATCAATAAATCTCTAATATCTCTTAATGAAAGGTATACTTTTCAAATATTCCTGTTCTTATTTATTTTTAGAAAGAGAATTTAAAAAAAAAAAACCTGAAACTTGTTTGCTTAAAATAGTTATAAAACTAAATATTTTGTTAGATTTTATACTTTGATATTTTTTTAGAGAGTATTTAATTTATTCACTTTAATCTTATATTCGAATTATACTTTATTTGGTATAACATAAATCACTTTTCATACAAAAATTATATTATAAATAAATTGCTTAATAATAAAAATTAATCACTATTTTAAGTAAGTATTTTATTAGTTTAACATTTTTTTTTAGGTAAATAAATAGGGGTTACTGTATGCCTTATTTAGTTCTAACAAGCAAAATTTTTAATTTTTTTATTTTGCAATTTCAGTTAATAATTAATTTATTAGATAAAGTGGCGATAATGAATATAATTTTTTGAATTGCAAAAACTTTTCTAGATTTAACTTGCCTCAAAAAAATTTAATCAAATAAAAACTCAAAATATGCCTGAAATTTTTTTATTTAAAGTAAACAATTTGTTTAAAATAATTAAAAGCAAAAATAAAGTAAATTAAAAAATTTATTTCCCTCTGATTTTAAATAGATCAATTTTTCTTTTACCAAAAAATCCAACAGACTATTAAAGCATGATCTATTTAAACAAAAACTGATTAAAGCCAAAAATTGCTCTGAAAAGCAATATCTATTATTTTATTTACTTATAGTTTTTTTATTTCTTATTTTATATAAATAAATAAAATTTTCTGATAATATTATTGATTTGAAATTAATTTATATTGTTTTGCCTTTTTTAATTTCTTTAAAATACATGAATTTTATATTAAATTATTTGATTGATCATAATAGTGACTGACTTTGAATTTAAGTATAATTAATCCTTATTTAAGAAGGAGATATAAAAAAATATAAAGTAAAAAGTAATCTTTATTTTCTAATCAGCTATAGAAATAATAAATAATAAGTAAATGTTTCAAAATAAATCAATTTTTAGACGAGTTTTTTAAATAAATTTAAATATTTTGATAGTAAGCTGCTAGCTAAGCTATTAAGGTATACTATGGTTTACATCATCACCTATTTCAAGCAAGTCTTAACTTAACATTTGTTAAGGTAATACAGGTGTTACCTTATAGTAATGCTTAGAGCCACCATTCTAGAATTGCTGCGTGATTTTTAGCGTCTAATGTGGGTTACAATTTTCTTGCCTAAATTATCAAAACTATGAAGTCAATCTGTACAGTTTTCCTGCCAAAATTTAGGTTTAATAAATGTATATTCAGAGTAAAACATAGAACTTATGGGTCGCTGATGCAAACAACCTTTATCTTTTTTAGATTTAAAATCCACTTTTAAGTTAAGTTGTTAATAAATCTCAGATTCCAAAGCAGAATTCAGGTGCCACTAATAGTTTTTTTTATTACTAAGGTATAAATAGGCTATTTTTAGTCAATAAATTAGCAGTAGATGTTTATGACATTTAGAATACTGATCAAATTAAATTTATTTTCACTATCCCTGCTTAAGCTAGAACTTCTATGATAGAAATTGATTTCAGTATTAATATTATATTCCTTGCTGATAGTAGCTTGCGCCTACTTTAATTTAATAATATATAAGATTATTAAGATTCAAATAAATAACTACTTTTTGCTGATAAATGTTCAATAACCCTTTCATAGGCTCCAATTCTAAATAAAATAGTAAATAGTTAATATTTATTAGTTTAAAGTAGTGAGTAAGTCATATCTGGAGTAGACTTATCTGCATTCTTATAATCTGGAAATTGTAATGACCTAAAAATGACGCAATTATTCTCAGGGATAGACACATACTTATAATCAATAGTTTCTTAAGATAACAAGTATATATTGATTAATATCAAATATTTGTACATATAGATAGTGTAGATTAACTATAATCCGTTAAGTGCTTAACTTTTTTAATAAATCAATATAATAAATTATTTATATTAGTTTATGATATCTAAGACAAGTGATTTGCTTTATGTTTCAACAGAAGATGATATTTAAATTTATTAAATCCAAGAAACAAATTACAATTAAATTCTACCCTCAGTTGTGAACATTCCCCAAATAATAGTTTATGATAAATTTATAAGTGCTTTGTAATACGCCTATAGCTGTTAATACACTCCATATAAGAATTATCTTTTGTCTGCCAAAGGAACAGAAGGAGTCTACATCTTTTAAGAAGATCCCAATAGCCATACTTTGCTTTAAGTTTAGAATATAAATCCCCCCAACTTTACCACTAATCTCAAATTAGCTAAGATATTTAATAATGACAATAATTTAGTTATTGGAAGAGATAATCACCTTTATTTCTACGATATATCGAACATCAACAATCCTTAATAAATTTCCACTTTATCTATATCTACAGGAAATTAAATTCGTTCTGCCTACATCACTAAGGATCTAAAAAAAATTATTGTTGCAGGGGATTCTCAAGGAGTTGTCATTGTGGATATTTCTAATTTATCTGCGCCATAGATAATTGCTTCTAAATATTAAGATTTACCTATTAGTTCTAAATGCTAAGATTTAAGTATGGATGCAACTGAGAAATACATTTATGCATCATACAATGGTTAAGGATTAGTCATTTATGATGTCCATAATTATACAAACCCTGTTATTCTATCTTATATTACTACTTATGGAGGACAAAATGTAATTATTATTTTATTAAATTTATTTACATTTAGTTTTATTACTTCAAAAATAACCTATTATTTTAAAATCAAGAATTTTTTTTTCTACTTTGTCTAATTCAAATAACAAAATTTACAATTACTGTTAAGTTAAAATTAGTAAATAAAAAGTTATTTAATAAAAGCTAAAAAAGTATATTAACAAATTTAATAGACAGATACTTATCTTATTTTCAAAAATAATTAATTAATTTTTTAATTGAGCCAGCTTTTTGGCTTTGATGAATTTATAAGTAAATATTAAGTATATCAAACCCTCAAAAAAAATGAATAATACTTCATTTTTATTTAAGAAAGAACTTATGTTTAATTATTCAGAAAATTCCAAATTTTTATAATATCACTTTATATATACAAATATATTACCCTTGACAAAAAGATTGGACAATGAAAGATATTTAATAACTATATCAAATCCAAATGATATCACACTTCCTTCATATAATATAAATTTCTTTATGATAAATATAATTTTTAATTTTAAGCACATTGCATAACTACACTATTTTTATATCAATCAAAAAATCATGATTTGCATAAGCTATTGATCAATTTACAAGAGGTGTATTCGTTGGGCTTAACCTTTCTGGAAGAGCAAAAAAAGAAATCAAAAAATAAAATTTATTGCTGTAGACTGTCATTGGATCGAATTAAGTAATAATGGTAAAACGTAGGAAAAGAGCATGCAAAGTAATATGGGAACTCAGGAAGAAAAAAAGAAATTAATTAATAGTCTAAATAATAATTATAGATTTGTTTCATTGTAAGATATTTTTCAAGATAAGATGGTCTATTAAAATAAAAGGTATGTCATTTTAAAAATTAAGTGTATTTAATTTTCTGGATATGTTTTTTTTAGATACATTTTAACTAATTAAAGCTAAAGAAAATTTTAAACTAAAAAAATAAATAAGTAAGTTAATAAGATTCAAATCAAATAATTTTCAATGAACTACAATATATAGGATTTTAAAACAAATACTTAGTAATATAGGGGAATTTATTTATTTATTTATTTATTTGTTAATCTAGATTTAAATTGAATTAGTTTTCAACTATCGCGATAAAGCTATTTTAGTTAATACTGAGTTTCAAAATCTTTGCATAGATTTACAAGTTTTTTTTTATTATACTTGGTCATTCTTTTTAGATTAATAAAATAAACACCGTCTTTATTTTCAAAACGTTATTTTTTACATATCTTGTAGAATTAGAAGATATGATTTTGTAGTTAATATGTTATTTGTTAAAACTTATTGCTATTAGGTATTTGCTTTTATGCAAAAATTAGCAGCTTATTAGTATTAAGAGTCAATTCAATTTTTACTTATTCAACTTTAGCAGGAATTTCAATAATTACTGTAAGCAACAATTCATCTTTGGAGGGGATTAAATCGTAATTCACTTCAGATATAGCTTTCTTTTGAAGTTTATAATTGTAGTTTTTGACTTCCTAAAACTTATATAACTCTTCATCCAGAATTAAATCGTTTTCATTTTGAATAAATAATTTTATAATTTAATCGCTATCAGGAATAATTTCTAAATTGTTTTAAATTTCTTAATTGCTTTAAATTTCTTAATGTTTTTAAATTTCTTAATTGCCTTAAATTTATTAATTGCTTTAAATATCTTAATTGCTGGAAAATTCATACGATTTGTCTTGATCTTTCTACTTTAAGAACTACTCTTCTTAGCCTTACCCAATCATTTAGCGCTAAGTATCAGTTTCCTTCTAGGAGATTCGAACATAAAATGTATAATATTAATTTAAGAATTCCTAAATTCTATCATAGAGAGAGTATCCATCAATAAACACTTCTTCAAAAATTATCCTCCTTATTTTATTGATAGGAAAATCGAAATATTTTTCTTTTTCTTATAGATGTTCATTACCTACAATAAAATGAGATACATTTTTGCACTCTTAATCTTTGAAGTATTAATTGTTTTCCTAATATATTTCAGTTAATTTAAAGAAGCCTTGGATTTTTTCTGAATATTACTCAATTTACTTTTCATCATACTTTGTAAGTAAATGGATGATAATTAGTTATTTTTAATCATTTATTTGTTTGCTTAACAAAAAGTCCTATTTTAGTTTCATTATCAAATTTTACTCTTGCTCAGTAACTTCATTTACAATTAAGATTTAGATGTCGCTAATATTTGAAATCAAGTCAATTAAGAAATTTTGAATCATTAAGCGATTTTGTATTTCTTTTTCATCGAAATGTAATGATTGATTGTTTTCACTTCTTTTATAGCAAGTAATTGGTTATCCCATTTTTTTAGTGTTAAGAAATAGGGAACTTTGTTTTTTGTTAACTTCGTGATTATAGATGAAGAGGTCATTTTCATTGTTTTTTTGTTTAGTGATATTCTTTTTTAAAATCTAGCTTAGGATTTAGGATGAACCTTTTGAGTATGACAATAAGCTTACTGTTTTTTTTTACATGCCTTCTTCATATTAATAGTTGAAAAAGTCTTTGATTTTTGGTTTATCCATAAAGAGATCAGATAAGTTTATTTATTGGTTGTAAGAAACAGTCTAAAATTCTTTGATGCTTTATGGTCCTCGAGATACCACTTAAAGTTGATTCTAGAATCTTTCCTTTTCTTCTGTGATTAATTTAATTCTTTCTTACTATTAGATTACTTGTTAGTTTAATTCTTGGCATTCTCTAGAAATTCTATCTAATGCCTATTAAAGTTTATCATTTTAACTTTATGTATCATGACATTTTTATTCAAGTTATTTATATTCTGATGATTTTAATTCTACTTACTCAATACTATTATCATTTTGACTTTTTAGTTTTGAGTTTTCTTTCTCAATTTCTGATAAAGTTTTTTTGGTATCTTCTAATTATGTCTGCAGATCGTTAAATTCTTAATTTACTTTTTCTAATTCTGCATTTAAATTATCATATTAGTCTTATTAGTTTTTCTAAATTTGCTTATTTTTCTCAATCAGAGTATTTTTTTCAGATTTTGCAACTTCTAATTCTTTTTAAACGATAATCAGAATTTTCTTTTCATCCAAGAACTCTTTTGTAAAATTAGCAATTCTCTCTTTTTCTGATAAGAGTTAGTTATTAAGATTGTCAATTTAGTTATTAAGAGTTTTCTTTTAGTCTTCTGTTTGCTTTTCAAGATGATTTACTTTCTCTTTTTATTGTTCAAGTTCAGTATTAAGGTTAGTAATTTAGTTAGTTAGAGTTTTCTTTTCTTCTTAAGATTTCTTTGTCAGACTCTCTACTTTACCTTTCTCAGTAGTTAAATTTTTTTTTTCTGATTCCAATTAAGTAGTAAGATCTTTTACCTTGTTTTTTTCTTGTGTTAATTGATTATTTAGAGAGTTAATTTAATTGTTTAAATTTGTTTTTTCTGTTGTAAATTTTTAATTGTCTTCAGTAAGCTTTTTTTAGAGGTCAACCTTCTCTGCATTTAGTGAATCTATTTATTTATTTAGCAATGCTTTTTACTCTTCCATTCTTTTCTTTTTTTTATATTTATTCATTTTATTTTGTTTTGATTAATTAATAATTAAATTTAATTAAAATACTCAAAAATATAAAGAGATATTTTAGATTATTAGGAACATATTTAATAAAAATTAGAATATTAAGTAGATATTTAATAATAATTTAGAATATTAATAAGATATTTAATAAAAAATTAGAATATTTAGAGCATTTTTTAAAAGTAGAATAGAAAAAAAAGAGCATATATATTTAATAATAATTTAGAATATTCTTCAAAATTATTAATTTTGATTAAATAAATATTTATTTAAATATATTATTTTATTCTATTCTAAAATATTCTAATTTATATATAAAAGAATTTAACTTAAAAACTTAAATTTATTTGCTTTCAAAAATTCTGGTGGAACTTCAAATGATGAATTTTTAAAAATATTTATTTATTTGTTTGTTTGTATGTATGTATGTATGTATGTATGTATGTATGTATGTATGTATGTATGTATGTATGTATGTATGTATGTATTATTTTACTGAATTAAAACTCATTTAATCCTTAAAACAATGTATTAAATAGAATTATTAATATTGAAAATAAACTCAAAGAGTATAGGAAAATTTCAATTTTTAATTAAAAAAAAATATTTATTTTAATATATTATTTTATTCTATTTTAAAATGATCTAATTCATTTATAAGACAATTTAACTTAAATTTATTTGCTTTGAAAAATTATGATGGAACTTCAAATAATGAATTTCAAAAAAATATTAATTTAAATATATTCACATAATAAATTGTAAAATATTCTAAAAATTTCATAGAATTTTTAGTTAATTTATTGTTATAATTGTGCAAAAATTATATTAGCAATATTTAAGATAATCTAATTCATATATAAATAAGAATTTTTAACTTAAATAGTAACTTAAAAATTTTAATTTATTTGCTATGGAAAATTATGATGAAACTTCATATAATTAATTTTTAAAAAATATTTATTTGTATGTATGTATTATTTTCCTGAATTAAAACGTATTAAATAAAATTATTAATATAGAATATAAACTCAAAGAGTATAGGAAAATTTGAATTTTTTATTAAAAAACAATATTAATTTAAATATATTACTTTATTCAATTCTAAAATAACCTAATTCTTTGATAAAAGAATTTAACTTAAAAACTTAAATTTATTAGCTTTGAAAAATTATGATAAAACTTTAAATAATGAATTTTTTAAAATATTTATTTAAATATTATAAAATTTAAAATATTCTAAAAATTTCATAGAATTTTTAGTTATCTTTGTAATTAGTTAGTTATCCTTGTTTACCATTAATTTATTTTTAAACCCAAAAGCAATAAAATGAGATAGATATTAATTAATATTTAAAAATAAATGAAAATGCTAGGTAGGGAGGGGTGTAAATATATGAGAAAAAAAATATTTAAAAATAAATTTAATCAATATTATAAAATTATTGTTATTTCCATGCTTTTTTAATCTTTAAATGTCCCTCTTTACCCTCATCTTTTGATAATTTTAATTAATTAATTTTAAAATAAATAATAAAAAACTAAATTACAAAATAATAAAATAAATGGATATGTACTGTTTACCAGCAATAGACATTTTTTTTAAATATTAAAGGACTATCTATATATGAGAATATATTTGTTTATTATATTTTATCAATCTATCTTTTATTGAGTCTTCAACAATTAAAATCAAACTAGTTTAGCTAATAAAAAGATTCAATGTTCCTACATAATTAGGCAAGTTTAGATTACTTATACTTTTCTAATCTTTTTAGAGTGATAATATAAACACCATCTTTATTTTCAAAATGTTTTTCTTTAAATAGTTCGTAGTACTCGAAAATATGATTTTGAAGTTAATACATTATTTACTAACACTTACTACTATTGGGTATTGATTTTTAGGCAAAAATTAGCAGCTTATTAGTATTGACACTCAATTCAATTTCTACTTATTAGACTTTAGCAGGAATTTCGATTTTTACTTAAAGCTATTATTCATCATTCGAGAGATTTAGATTGTAATTTACTTCTGTTATAGTTTTCTTTTGAAGTTTATAATTGTAATTTTTGACTTCCAAAAAATCATATAATTCATCATTCAGAATCAAATCGTTTTCACTTTGAATAAATAATTTCATTTAATCCCTTTCACAAATGTTATGTTAATCATTATATTTTGAATTAAATATTTTTTGATTTATATCATTTTATTGTGAGCATTATTACCCCTACTATTTGCTCTTGGTAAAATTTTATTTATGAGAGATTTGAACATAGAAGGTGTAATATTTGTTTAAGAATTCCTAAATTCTATCATAAATAGAGTATCCATCAATGATCATTTCTTCGAAAATGATCGACTTTATTTTATTGATTGGAAAAGTAAAGTACTTTTCTTTTTCCTATAGATATTCATTACCTATGATAAAATGAGATATACTTTTATAATCTTGATCTTTGAAGTACTTATAGTTTTACTGTTGTTTTTCAGTTAGTTTAAAGAAACCTTGGATTTTTTGAGAATATTCTTCAAGCTATTCTTCATTATACTCTGTAAGTAAATGAATGACAATAAGTTATTTATCATCCTTAACATACTTATTTTGCAAAAAATCTGATTTAAGTCTTGCTATCAAATTTTATTCTTGCTCAGTAACTTCATTTACTACAAGGATTTAGACATCACTTATATTTGACACCAAATCAATTAAGAAATTTTGAATCATTTATTGATTTTTTTTTTCTTATTCATCAAAATATTTATTTTTAGTTAATTATTATGAGTTATTGTTTTCATTTTTTTTATAGCAAGTAATTGGTAATCCCATTTTTTTAGTGTTAAGAAATCGCGAACTTAGATATTCATTAACTTTGTGATTATGGATGAATAAGTTATTGTCATTATTTTTTTTTTTTGTAATATTCTTTTCTAATATTTAGCTTAGGATGTAGGATGATCCTTTTTAGTATGATAATAAGCTTACTGTTATGTCTTACATGCTTTCTTCATATTAAAAGCTGAAAAAATCTTAGATTTTTGGTTTATCCATAAAGAGATGGGTTAAGTTTATTTACTAGTCGTAAGAAGTAATTTAGAATTGTTAGATGCTTTGTCGTTCTCCAGATACTACCTAAAGTTGATTCTATAATAATTGCTTTTATTCTGTTATTCCTTGAATTTATTCTTACAATTCTATGATTTCTTATTTAAACTCATTTTGTTTTCTTAAAAAATCATCTAATGTGGATTAAAGTTATTTATTTTAACTTTATTCATCATTATAATTTTGTTAAAGGTGCTAATAACTCTACTATTTTTTCTTTAATGCATTTATGATTTTTGTTTATTTTTATTTTAGGAATAAGATTTCTTCATTATAATTTAATAATTATTTATCAGCTAAATTTAATTTTTCATTTTTTTCTTTTAGATTCTATGTCATCTCCTATAATTATTTCTTTAATTCTTCATTTAAATGTTTCAACTGATTTATTAAGTGAACTTATTATTCTTCTGTTTTTTTATTTTTCTCAAGAATGGTATTTTTTTCAGATTTTACAACTTCTAATTCCTATTGAGTTGTTTACAGAGTTTACTTTAGATTTGTCTTTTTATCCTTAAATTCTTTCGTCATATTAACGACTTTCTCTTATTCTAACACAAGTAGTTTATTTACTTGAGTAATTTATTCATTAAGAGCTATTATTTAGTCTTCTGATTACTTTGTCAGATTACTTACTTTCACTTTTTCTAACATGAGTAGCTCATTTGCTTTAGAAATCTAATCAGTGAAAGTTTTTTTTTAGTCTTCAGATTGCTTTGTCAAATTACTTACTTTCTCTTTTTCTAATATGAGTAGGTTATCAGCCTTAGTAATTTACTCAGTCAAAGTTTTTTTTTAGTCTTCAGATTGCTTTATTAGATTGCTCACTTTCTCTTTTTCTAACTTGAGTAGCTCATTTGTTTTAGAAATTTACTCAGTGAGAGTTTTTTTTTAGTCTTCGGATTGTTTTTTCATATTGCTTGCTTTTTCTTTTTCTAGCACGAGTAGATTATTTATATTAATAATTTACTCATTGAGAGTCTTTATTTAGTCTTCAGATTGCTTTTTAAGATTGTTTGTTTTCTCTTATTGTTGAGATAATTAAGATTTAAGGTTTTCAATTTAATCAGTTAGATTTGTGCATATTCTTTTTTCTGCTGTTAGCTATTAATTTAGCTTACTGTAATCTGTCTATAATTCAGTAATAAGAAATTCATATTATTATTCTAAATATTATTCGTAGTTAATCTTATTTGCTTGTTGATTCATTTGGGGTTCTTTGGTAAACTTTTTTTAGATCTCTAGATTTAAAGTCTAGTCTGTATTTGAGATCTAATTTTTTTTGTTTCTCTAGTTGATTTATTAGTTGGTTATTTTATTTTGATTATTTAATGATAAAATTTAATTAAATACCTCTAAATATATAGAACCATTTTAGAATATTCAACATATATTTCATAATAGCTGGTATTATTTTTATTAATGTTATTATTCTTATTATTATTCTAATATTTTTAAATATTCTAATATCAGATAAAAATTATCATTCATTTGAAATTTTAAAACTTAATAAATTTATTTTTTTTTCTCTCTCTCTCTATGTATTACTTATTTTATATTTTTTTAAATGTAGCTAAAGAGATGATATAAAAGTATAAAAATAAACATCTCTTAGTCTAAGTAGCAATTGTTTTAATATTTCTATTACTAAATTGAAAAGATATTAATTCTAATATTTAAAAGAGGAAATCCTCTATTTCTTCCTAATTTATATTCTGTCTATAAAAATAATTATAAATATCCTATCATATTAGAATCATTAAATTTTACACAGCCTAATATACATACAGAGCCAGATTCTCCCCACTGATTGCGATAAATCTTAAGAATAGAATGAGAAATTGAAGAATACCAATTAGCCTCTTCTTCAAGATTCACAGATTGGTACTTAATTATGTAGTAATATCTGAAAACATTCTATATAACTATTTATACAAGAGTATATTGTTCTCTCTAATCAGGAAAAGAGTTTATAATTTAATAAAAATTTAGAATTTAATGATTTACCCCTAATCTAAGTTGTAAAATATTCTAAATCTAAAAATATAAAAGAATTTTTATTTATCTTAGGTACTTGATCTTAAGGTGCAGATATTAAATTAGCAGAAAAAAAAATTTCATGATCTCAAAAAAAACAATTTTTATTCAAAATTTAAATCAATACTAATCAGTGATCTTAATGATGACTTCTTAGCAATAATATTTTATCTTTGCTGATAACGATTTTCATAAAGTATTTTAAGCTTAATATAAATAAAATATTAGTAAGATTTAATATCTATGAGCAAGCTATTTTTTTCAAATTATTGGTAAGAAAAATTATTTTATAAAATTTATCGATAAATTTCTTTTTTTAGATTCTCGATTATAAAAAAAAATTTTTAGAATTATTGATAAATTAAATTAAAAAAATTAATAAGTAAGTTAATAAGATTCAAATCAAATAATTTTCAATGAACTACAATATATAGGATATTAAAAACAAATACTTAGTAATATAAGGGAATTTATTTATTTATTTATTCATTTGTTAATCTATATATAAATTGAATAAGTTTTCAACTATTGTGATAAAGCTATTTTAGTTAATACTAAGTTTCAAAATCTTTACATAGATTTACAAGTTTTTTTTTATTATACTTGGTCATTCTTTTTAGATTAATAAAATAAACACCATCTTTATTTTCAAAAGGTTTTTTTTTGCATATCTGGTAGAATTAGAAGATATGATTTTGTAGTTAATATGTTATTTGTTAAAACTTATTGCTGTTAGGTATTTGCTTTTATGCAAAAATTAGCAGCTTATTAGTATTAAGAGTCAATTCAATTTTTACTTATTCAACTTTAGCAGGAATTTCAATAATTACTGTAATCAACAATTCATCTTTGGAGGGGATTAAATCGTAATTCACTTCAGATATAGCTTTCTTTTGAAGTTTATAATTGTAGTTTTTGACTTCCTAAAACTTATATAACTCTTCATCCAGAATTAAATCGTTTTCATTTTGAATAAATAATTTTATAATTTAATCGCTATCAGGAATAATTTCTAAATTGTTTTAAATTTCTTAATTGCTTTAAATTTCTTAATGTTTTTAAATTTCTTAATTGCCTTAAATTTATTAATTGCTTTAAATATCTTAATTGCTGGAAAATTCATACGATTTGTCTTGATCTTTCTACTTTAAGAACTACTCTTCTTAGCCTTACCCAATCATTTAGCGCTAAGTATCAGTTTCCTTCTAGGAGATTCGAACATAAAATGTATAATATTAATTTAAGAATTCCTAAATTCTATCATAGAGAGAGTATCCATCAATAAACACTTCTTCAAAAATTATCCTCCTTATTTTATTGATAGGAAAATCGAAATATTTTTCTTTTTCTTATAGATGTTCATTACCTACAATAAAATGAGATACATTTTTGCACTCTTAATCTTTGAAGTATTAATTGTTTTCCTAATATATTTCAGTTAATTTAAAGAAGCCTTGGATTTTTTCTGAATATTACTCAATTTACTTTTCATCATACTTTGTAAGTAAATGGATGATAATTAGTTATTTTTAATCATTTATTTGTTTGCTTAACAAAAAGTCCTATTTTAGTTTCATTATCAAATTTTACTCTTGCTCAGTAACTTCATTTACAATTAAGATTTAGATGTCGCTAATATTTGAAATCAAGTCAATTAAGAAATTTTGAATCATTAAGCGATTTTGTATTTCTTTTTCATCGAAATGTAATGATTGATTGTTTTCACTTCTTTTATAGCAAGTAATTGGTTATCCCATTTTTTTAGTGTTAAGAAATAGGGAACTTTGTTTTTTGTTAACTTCGTGATTATAGATGAAGAGGTCATTTTCATTGTTTTTTTGTTTAGTGATATTCTTTTTTAAAATCTAGCTTAGGATTTAGGATGAACCTTTTGAGTATGACAATAAGCTTACTGTTTTTTTTTACATGCCTTCTTCATATTAAAATTTGAAAAAATCTTTGATTTTTGGTTTATCCATAAAGAGATCAGATAAGTTTATTTACTGGTTATAAGAAACAGTCTAAAATTCTTTGATACTTTATGGTCCTCGAGATACCACTTAAAGTTGATTCTAGAATCTTTCGTTTTCTTCTATGATTAATTTAATTCTTTCTTACTATTAAATGACTTATTATTTAAATTCTTGGGATTATCTAGACAAATCATCTAATGACTATTAAAGTTTATCATTTTAACTTTATGTATCATGACATTTTTATTTAAGTTGTTTATATTTTGATGATTTTAATTTTATTGATTCGAGAATTTTATCTTTCTAACTGTTTAAATTTTAGTTTTCTTTTTTTATTTCTGATAAAGTTTTATTGGCAGCATCTAATAACTCATCTTTTTGTTTAAGTTAATTCTACATCTCCTTTTGCAGATTGTTAAATTCTTATTTTTCTTTTTTTAATTCTGCATTTAAATTATCATATTAGTCTTATTAGTTTTTCTAAAATTGTTTATTTTTCTCAATCAGAGTATTTTTTTCAGATTTTACAACTTCCAATTCTTTTTGAACTGAAAACAGAGTTTTCTTTTCATCCAAGGCCTCTTAATTCAAATTATCAATTTTTTCTTTTTCTTACACCAGTTAGTTGTTTAGACTATTAATTTAGTTATTAAGAGCTTTCTTTTAGTCTTCTAATTGCTTAGTCAAATTATTTACTTTCTCTTTTTATTGTGCAAGTTCAGCATTAAGGTTAGTAATTTAGTTAGTTAGAATTTTCTTTTCTTCTTCAGATTTCTTTGTCAGAGAGTTTACTTTACCTTTCTCAGTAGTTAAATTTTTTTTTTCTGATTCCAATTAAGTGGTAAGATCTTTTACCTTGTTTTTTTCTTGTGTTAATTGACTATTTAGAGAGTTAATTTAATTGTTTAAATTGGTTTTTTCAATTGTAAACTTTTAGGTGTCTTCAAGCTTTTTTTAGAGGTTAGCATTCTCTGCATTTAGTGAATCTATTTTTTTATTTAGTGATTCTCTTAAATCTTCTATTTTATTCATTAGGTTGTTATTTTATTTAATTTTGATTAATTAATAATTAAATTTAATTAAAATGCTTCGAAATATAAAGAGATATTTTAGATTATTTGGCAAATATTTAATAAAAAATTAGAATATTAAGTAAATATTTAATAAAAATTTAGAATATTAAGAAGATATTTAATAAAAAATTAGAATATTAAGATGATATTTAATAAAAAATTAGAATATTTAGAATATATTTAAAAATAGAATAGAAAAAAAGAACATATTTATTAATTTTTATTAAAAAATACTATTTAAAATAATTTATTTTATTCTATTCTAAAATAATCTAATTCGTAGAAAAAAGTAACTTAAAGTTTAAATTTATTTGCTTTGGAAAATTATGATGAAATCAAATAATGAATTGTTTAAAAATATTTATTTATTTTTATGTATGTATTTATTTATTATTTTACTGACATAAAACACATTCAAATCCTTAAAACATATTAAATAAAATAATTAATATAGAATATAAGCTCAAAGAATATAGGAAAATTTAAATTTTTCATTAAAAAACAATATTTATTTAAATATATTATTCTATTTATTCTAAAATAATCTAATTCATCTATAAAAGAATTTAACTTATAAAATTAAATTTATTTGGTTTGAAATATTCTGATGGAACTTCAAATAATAAATTTTTAAAAAATATTTATTTAAGTATATTATTTTACTAAATTAAAACTCATTCTAATCCTTAAATTCTATTAAATTTAATTAGAATATAAATAAACTCAATGAGAAAAGGAAAATTTCAATTTTTTATTTATTAACAATATTTATTTAAATATATTATTTTATTCTATTAAAATAATCAAATTCATATATAAAAGAATTTAACTTAAAAACTTAAATTTATTAGCTTTGAAAAATTCTGATATTTATCCTTAAATTCTTTAATTATGTTAACAACTTTCTCTTATCCTGACACAAGTAGTTTATTTACTTTATTTAGTCTTCGGATTGTTTTGTCGGATTTCTTACTTTCTCTTTTTTTAATTTGATTAGCTTAATTGCTTTAAAAATTAACTCAGTGTGAATTTTTTTTTATCCTTCTGATTCTTTTGTCATATTGCTTACTTTTTCTATTTCTAGCACGGGTAGTTTATTTACATTAGTAATTTACTCATTGAGAATCTTTATTTAGTTATCGGATTGCTTTCTAATATTGTTTATTTTCTCTTATTGTTGAGCTTATATTAAGATTTAAGGTTTTCAATTTAATCAGTTAGTTTTTTTAGTATTCTAAATATTAGGTTAGATTTGTAAATTTTATTTTCTCTGTTGTTAGCTATTAATTTAGATTACTCTTTTCTGTCTCTAATTCAATAGTAAAATCCTTTATTTTCTTATTTTAGAGTCTTAGTTGAGCTTTTAACAAATAAAATTATACTTCGTAGTTAATCTGATCTTCTTGCTGCTTCATTTGGGTTTATTTGGTTAACTTTTTTTAGATATTTGCCTCTCTAGATTTAAAGTGTGGATTCGAGATATAATTTTTTTGTTTCTTCTATTTGATTTATTAGTTGGTTATTTTATTTTGATTATATAATTAAATACTTCTAAATATATAGAATCATTTTAGAATATTCAACTAATATTAAATAATTGCTGATACTATTTTTACTATTATTATTATTCTAACATTTTCAAATATTCTAACATCAGATAAAAATTAATTGTCAGTTTATCAATCATTGAAATTTTAAAACTTAATAAATTCATTTTTTATGTAAGTCTGTCTGTATTACTTATTTTTTTAAAATGTAGCTAAAGAGATGATCAATAATTTAAATAAAAGAATAAAAATAAGCATCTCTTAGCCTAAGCAGCAATTGTTTTAATATTTCTATTACTAAATTATAAAGATATTCTAATATTACAGAGATAGATTCTCCCCGCTTATTGCCTTATTGCGATAAATCTTAAGAATAGAATGAGAAATTGAGCTATACCAATTAGCCTCTTCTTCAAGATTCACATATTGACATTTAATTATGTAGCAATATCTGAAAACATTCTATTTAACATAATAAACAAGAGTATATTTTTCTCCCTAATGAGGAAAAGATTTTATAATGAAATAAAAATTTAGAATTTAATGATTTGCCCTTATCTAAGTTGCAAAATATTCTAAATCTAAAAATATAAAAGAATCTTTATTTATTTTAGGTACTTCATCTTAAGGTGCAAATATTATATAAGCAGAAAAAAAAATTTCATGTGCTCAAAAATAATAATTTTTAATACAGATTTCATTAACTAAATCAAAGGACAAATAATAAAAAACAAAAAAATACATTAATAGTAAAGAGCTATCTATCTATCTATATATGAGAATATATTTGTTTATTTATTTATAAATTTATTTATCAATCTTTTATCTATTGAGAACTGTTAAAATCAAATTAGTTTAGCTAAAACTAATATTCAAAGTTCTTGCATAATTGGGCAAGTTTTTATTAACTATACTTTTCTATTCTTTTTAGACAGACAATATAAGCACCATCTTTATTTTAAAAAGGTTGTTCTTTAAATATTTCGTAGTATTAGAAGATATGATTTTGTAGTTAATATATTATTTTCTAAAACTTATTACTATTAGGTATTAACTTTTAGGCAAAAATTAGCAGCTTATTAGTATTGACACACAATTCAATTTTCGCTTATTCGACTTTAGCAGGAATTTCGATAATTACTAAGAGCTATTATTAATCGTTGGAGACTTCTAGTCTGTAATTTACTTCAGTTATGGTTTTCTATTGAAGTTTATAATTGTAATTTTTGACTTCCAAAAAATCATATAATTCTTCATTCAGAATTAGATTGTTATCTTTTCTTATAAACAGTTCCTTAATTTAATTGTTTTCACAAATGTTATCTTAATCATTCTAATTTGAACTCATCATTATTTAATTTCTGTCATTTTTTAATAAAGGTTATTATTCCAGATATTGACGCTTGATATCATCTTAGTTATCGATTTGAACATAAAAGGAGTAATATTTGTTTAAGAATTCTTAAATTCTATCATAAATAGAGTATCCATCAATGAACATTTCTTCGAAAATCATCTACTTTATTTTATAGATTGGAAAAGTAAAATACTTTTCTTTTTCTTGTAGATATTCATTACCTATGACAAAATGAGATATATTTTTATAATCTTGATCTTTGAAGTACTTATTGTTTTAGTGATATTTTTCAGTTAATTTAAAGAAACCTTGAATATTTTGAGAATATTCCTCAATTTGTTCTTCATCATACTATGTAAGTAAATGGATGATAATAAGTTATTTATCATTTTTTGCATACTTGTTTTGCAAAAAATCTGATTTAAGTTTCATTATCAAATTTTATTCTTGCTCAGTAACTTCATTTACAACAAGGATTTAGACGTCACTTATATTTGACACCAGATCAATTAAGAAACTTTGGATCATTTGTTGATTTTATATTTCTTATTAATCAAAATACTAATGTTTCATTTTTAATGATTAGTTATTGTGTTCATTTTTTTTATAGCAAGTAATTGGTTATCCCATTTTTTTAGTGTTGAGAAACAGCGAACTTTGCAATTCGTTAACTTTGTGATTATGGATGAATATGCTATTGTCATTATTTTTTTATTTAGTGATATTCTTTTCTAAGATTTAGCTTAGGATGTAGGATGATCCTTTTGAGTATGATAATAAGCTTACTGTTACATTTTACTCACTTTCTTCATATTAAAAGTTGAAAAAATCTTTGATTTATGGTTTTTTCTTAAAGAGATCGGTTAAGTTTAATTGCTAGTCGTAAGAAGTAGTTTAAAATTGTTAGATACTTTGCGGTTCTTTAGATACTACTTAAAGTTGATTCTAGAATCTTTTGTTTTCTTCAGTGAGTGCTTGAATTCGTTCTTAAAATTGGATGATTTCTTGTTTAAATTAATTTTATTATCTTAAAGAATCATCTAATGTGGATTAAAGTTTTTTATTTTAGCTTTATCCATCATTAAATTTTTATTCAAGATTAAAATAAATCTACTTTTTTTTTTTTATAGATTTGATGATTTTTTCTTTTTGCAGTTTTAGATTTAAGATCTCTTATTCTTATTCTGATAGTTTTTTATTAGCTAAATCTAAACCCTCAATTTTTTCTTGTAGATTTTATTTCATCTCAGATAATTATTTATTTAATTCTTCAATTGAATTTTTCATGGTTTTATTTTCAGATTTTAGAACTTCTAATTCTTTTTGAGTTTTTTACACAGTTTAGTTTAGACTTTTCTTTTCATCCTCAAACCCGTTTTTCAACTTAACTTAATTATCTTTTTCTAATGCGAGTAGGTTATTTGCGTTAGTAATTTACTCGGTGAGAGTTTTGTTTTAGTCTTCAGATACCTTTGTTTTCTCTTTTTGCTGAGCTAATTCAGATTTAAGATTGTTAGTTTAATCAGTTAATTCTTTCCTTAAGTCATCAAGCTATTTAGTTAAATTTGTATTTTTATCTTTCTCTGTTGTTAGTTATTAATTAAGATTTTTCTTATCTGTCTCTAATTAGGTAGTAAGGTTACTTACTTTGTTTTTTTCTTGTGATAGTTGACAATTTAAAGTGCTAACTTAATTGTTTAAATTTTATTTATCAGCATTACTCTAAGTTAGCTTTTGGGTTTCTTCGGCAAGCTTTTTTTCAAGATTTTTCTTCTGTTGAGTTAAATCCACTATTTGAGTTTCTAGAATTTCACTGTCTTCCATTTTATTAATTAGGTAGAAATTTTAGTTTGATTAATTAATTATAAAATTTAATTAAAATACCTCTAAATATAAAGAACAATAATAGAATATTCAGCATATAATTAATAATATCAATTATTATTAATATTCTAATAAATTTTATGACATCATTTGATAAGAATTGTCACTTTATAATTCATTTAAAAGTTTAAAAATGAAAAAACTTCCATTTTTCTCTGTATGTAATACTTTTTGTATTTTCTTTAAAAATGTAACTAAATAAAGTATTTATTTATCTCCCAAACACTCAATAATACAGTTAATTATTTATTGAAAAATATTTAAATAAAAGTATAAAAAGAAATATCACTTTGTTTTAGCAGCAACTATTTTAATATTTCTATTACTTTAATGTAAAGTTATTAATATTCTAAAAAAAATATTTAAAATTTATCAAATAAATAAATAAAACATCAACAAAAATTGTGAATTAAAATTTAAATAAATACATTATTTAAACAAATTCTTTTATTCTATTCTAAAACATGCTGATTCATAAAAGAATTTTTAAAAATTATTAATATTCTAATAAATATTCTAAAATCAGATAAGATTTGTCAGTTTATAATTCATTTCATTTGAAATTAAAAATTTAATAAACTTCCTTTTTTCTGTCTATATTATTAATTTTATTATTTTGTTTAAAGTAGCTAAAGAAAGTATTTATTTATCTTTCAATCACTCACTCAGTAATACATACAATTAATTAAAGGAAAATTATTTAAATAAAAGTATAAAATCAAACATCACATAAAGATATTATAAAATTCGAAATATAATGTTTTATGTTTATTAAACTAAACATAAACTTAAAAAAATTGTGAATTAAATTGTAAAATAAATATATTTATTTAAACAAATTCTTTTATTCTATTCTAAAATATTCTAATTAATTCTTAAAGAATAATAGAATTTTTAAGCTTAAATAGCAACTTAAAAAGATTAATTTGCTATCCATAAATAGTAGAATAAACTAAAATATATTCTAATAGTTAAAACATTGTAGTATTTTTATTCTTGAATACTAACTTAAATTGTTGATTGAGGCCAAGACAGACTTGCTTGCTTATTAGACTTTGAAAATAAATAAAATTCATATATAATTTCAAATTATTATTAATATATTCTTTTACTAAATTGTAAAATATTCTAAATCTAAAAACAAATTAGAATTTTTATTTATCTTAGGTACTTGATCTTAAGATGCAAATATTATTACTGTAAAATTTCATTAACTCGCAACCAGCAAATTCAAAAAAATTTTGATTTAATGATATTAAAAATATCTAAAGATATTTCATTTAAAACTTTAAAAAAAATATAATTATTTTATTTTGAATAAAATTAAAAAATTATTAGCTTAAATAAAATTAATCATATCCAACATCAAGAACAAAAAAAGATCATTGTTAATAAAATCAAATTTTCATTATTGCTAAGAAAATCAAAAATAAAATTATTAATATAAAAAAATTTGTTTATCTTATCAACAAAATGATTGTTAGTTATAAAAAAAATTATCAAAATATATTGTTATTCTCTGATAATTATTTCTCTAGTAAGAGATAAATATTTTGTAGATTAATATCTGCATTTGAAAGCTCTTTTATTTGGTAATTCAAAAATTTTATTAAATAAAAAATGTTTTAATAAATTATTTTTATGATATTAAATATAAATAATATTTTCTACAGTTCGACTTTATTGTTTAGTATATCAAAAATAGGTAAGTTGATTGTTTTAATTAGAATGATCGATCATACATAAATTCTATTTATAAAAATTAAGCTTTATTATTTTTATATAGGACTAAGGATTATTATATTTCTATTGTATGAGAATGAATTAAAAACAATAAAAGCTTACTAATATTTATTATTTTTATTATAAGCTTATTATTAATCAAAAGAATTTTATGTATGTTAAAATAACTTAATTAGTAAATTAATTTCAATCAATCTAGCAAGTTAATCAATAAATCTCTAATCTCTTAATGGAAGATATACTTTTCAAATATTCGTGTTCTTATTTAGTTTTAGAAAGAGAATTTTTTAAAAAAACTGAAACTTGTCTGCTTAAAATAGTTATAAAACTAAATATTTTTTTAGCTTTTATACTTTAACATTTATTTAGAAAGATTTTAATTTATTCACTTTACTCTTTTATTTCAATTATACTTTATCTGGTATAACATAAATTACTTTTCATGCAAAAATTATTTTATAAAAAAAATTACTTAATAATAAAAATAAATCTATATTTTAAGTAAATATTTTATTTCTTTTAAATTTTGGTTTTTTTGGCAAATAAATAGAGCTTACTGCTTGCTTTATTTAGTTCTAGCAAACAAATTTATTTGTTTCTTTATTTTTTAATTTCAGTTAATAATTTATTTATTAGATAGAGGGCGATGATGAATATAATTTTTTGAATTGAAAAAATTCTTTTCAATTTATCTTGTCTCATAAAAAATTATATCAAACAGAAACTCAAAATATACCTGAAATTTTTTTATTTGAAGTAAACAGTTTGTTTAAAATAATTTAAATCATTAATAAAGTAAATTAAAAACTTTTATTTCCCTGCTATTTAAGATCAATTTTTCTTTTACAAGAAAAGCTTATTGACTATTAAACTTTTACTTATTTTATAACAGAAACTATTTAAAGCTGAAAATTGCTCTGAAAAGCAATTTCTTTTATTTTATTTATTTAAAGTTTTTTTATTTCTTTTTTTATAATAATAAATAAAATTTTCTGTTTATATTATTGAATTTAAATTAATTTATAATGTTTTTACTTAATTTGTTTAAAACACATGAATTTTATATTAATTTATTTGATTGATGATAATAGCCACTGACTTTGAATTTAAGTATAATTAATCCTTAATTTAAGAAGGAGAAATATAAAAATATAAAGTAAAAGTAATCATAATTTTCTAATCACCTAAAGAAATAAAAAATAATAAGTAGATGTTTCTAAATAAATCAATTTTTAGAAGAGTTTTTTAAATAAGTTTAAATATTTTGATAGTAAATTGCTAGTTGAGCTATTAAGGTACACTATGGTTTGCATCATCACCCATTGCAAGCAAGTCTTAACTTGATATTTGCTAAGGTAATAAAGGTGTTACTTTATAGTAGTGCTTAGAGCCACCATTCTAGAATTGCTGCGTGATTTATAGCGTCTAATGTGGGTTACAATTTTCTTGCCTAAATTCTGAAAACCATGAAGTCAATCTGTACAGTTTTCCTGCCAAAATTTAGGTTTAATAAATGTATATTCAGAGTAAGACACAGAACTTATGGGTCGTTGACGCAAACAACCTTTATCTTTTTTAGATTTAAAATCCGCATTTAAGTTAGATTGTTACTAAATCTCAGATTCCAAAGCAGAATTCAGGAGCAACAAATAGCTTTTTTTATTACTAAGGTATAAATAGGCTATTTTTAGTCAATAAATTAGCAGTAGATGTTTATGACATTTAGAATGCTGATCAAATTAATTTTATTTTCACTATTCCTGCTAAATCTAGCACTTCTATGATAACAATAGATTTCAGTATTAATATTATATTCCTTGCTGATAGTAGTTTGCGCTTACTTTAATTTAATAATATATAAGATTATTAAGCTTCAAATAAATAACTTCTTTTTGCTGATAAATGTTCAATAACCCTTTCAAAGGCTCCTACTCTTAACAAAATAGTAAATAGTTAATTTTTATTAGTTTAAACTAGTGAGTAAGTCATATCTGGAGTAGACTTATCTGCATTCATATAATCTGGAAATTGTAATGACCTAAAAATAACGCAATTATTTTCATCAATAGACACATACTTATAATCAATAGTTTCTTAAGACTACTAGTATATATTGATTAATATCAACTATTTGTACATCCAGATAGTGTAGATTAATTACAGTCCGTTAAGTGCTTAACTTTTTTAATAAATTAATATATTTAATTATTTATATTAATTTATGATATCCAAGACAAGTGATTTGCTTTATGTTTCAACACAAGATGATATTTAAATTTATTAAATCAAAGAAACAAATTACAATTAAATTCTACCTTCAGTTGTGAACATTCCCCAAATAATAGTTTATGATAAATTTATAAGTGCTTTGTAATACGCCTATAGCTGTTAATACACTCCATATAAGAATTATCTACTGTCTGCCAAAGGAACAGAAGGAGTGTATATCTTTAAAGAAGATCCTAATAGCCATACTTTGCTTTAAGTTTAGAATATAAATCCCCCCAACTTTACCACTAATCTCAAATTAGCTAAGATATTTAATAAAGACAATAATTTAGTTATTGGAAGAGATAATCACCTTTATTTCTATGATATATCGGACATCAAAAATCCTTAATAAATTTCCACTTTATCTATATCTACAGGAAATTAAATTCGTTCTGCCTACATCACAAAGGATCTAAAAAAAATTATTGTTGCAGGGGATTCTCAAGGAGTTGTCATTGTGGATATTTCTAATTTATCTGCGCCATAGATAATTGCTTCTAAATATTAAGATTTACCTATTAGTTCTAAATGCTAAGATTTGAGTATGGATGCAACTGAGTAATACATTTATGCGTCATATAATGGTTAAGGATTAGTCATTTATGATGTCCATAATTTTACCAACCCTATTATTTTATCTTATATTACTACTTATGGAGGACAAAATGTAATTATTATTTTTTTAAATTATTTAGAAAAATCACCTATTCTTTCAAAAATCAATAATTTTTTTTCGACTTTGTCCAATTCAAATAACAAAATTTATAATTACTGTTAACTTACGTCCAGTAAATAAAAAGCCATTTAATAAAATCTTAAAAAGTTTAATTGACGGTGCTTATCTTATTTTCAAAAAGAATTAATTAATTTTTTAATTGAGTCAGCTTTTTTTGGCTTTCATTAATTTTTAATTAAATAACATATTTTTTTTATTTAATTTATAAGTCAATATTAAATATATCAAACCCTCAAAAATGAACACTTCATTTTTATTTAAAAAAGAACTTACATTTAAAGATACTTATATTTTTAAAAATTAAATCTAAATTTAATTATAATATCCAAAAAAAATATATTACATTAATATTTAATAAAAAAGCAAATATTGATAAATACCATTTTATTTTTAAAAACATATTCCATGTATTTTTAAATGTGATTTATACTATTATTGATGAATTACTATGAAATAAATATGTACTTCCTTAATTTTAATTTCCACAAAAATTATTTTTCCTAATATTAACTCATAAAAATACAAAATAACTCCTTCCCCAACTCCCTTAATTAATTATAATAAACTCTTTAAATTTTTTTAATTTATTAATTTTTACTTTTTTTTTGAGGAAATCAAAAGTTAATAATTTATTTTATTTAAATATTTTAATAAAAAATATTTAATATTTAAAAGTAAAAAAAATAAATATTTATAATAAAAAGATTCGAGTCTTCTAAACAAAACCATTAATAGTTTTTGCTGATGCGTAATTTGGTCTCAAGATCATTGATGTCAGTTAGCCAGCTTCTCCCATGATTTTAGTATCTTTGAGAACTTAGGGATCTGTAAAAGAATGTTCAATTATATATAATGAGACTTTCTTACTATGCACAGCTAGATACAGAGGTTAATTATAGCTTATTGATTTGAGGGATGTAAAAAACCCTAATATTTTGCAAGTCTTCAACTACTAAAATATTGATGGAGGATTGAATATATGTGCCAATTCTGATAAAACAGTTGCATATCTTGGTTTAGCAACCTCAGTTATTAGATTAAATCTTTTCCCCAGCATAAATTTTGACTTGGACATCTAGTTGGTTTCGGAAGGAGAAATTGAAATGAATACCTTATTAAAAATAGGCACAATATTTAAAGTAGGCTAAAAAATTTAAATTAATCTAAACTAAGTTTATCCTTCAAACTAAGCTTATATTAATAATGTTTTCTATTATTCTGACTTTAATATGCAAGATCTCCCATATTGGGCTTCTTATTCTTAAGCTAGCTAATCATTGATTCTTTAACTGGATAAGAATTCTCTTCAGACTAGTTCAGCAAATCAACTAAATAGCAATTAGACAAACTAGATAAATTCGACTCAATATGACAATTAGCTATAAATTTCATAACAACAATTTGTATTTTCAGTGTCTTAAAAGTTGAGTAAAACTGATTTTATTAACAGTTATTTGAGCATTACATAGTAATAATCGCAATAAATATTTGTTGATTGTATATTAGCAAATTTAATTACTCACGACTATTTTGTTGTTTAGACTTCTTAAGAAGTTATAAATGACCTCTTGTAAAATAAATATTAATAAAATATAATTGATTATATCTTTTATATTCTATCTTAAAGGAATAATTATTATCCAATTAATTTTTTAGTAGAAAGCTCTTTATAAGTAAACATAGATGACGAAAGTGTTGCCCCCTCTATCTAGACAATAAGTAGTTAACTTTAAATTTCTTTGGATATAGATAGTTCATAGGGATGCTTTATTCCTTACTAGTACAGTGGAGTGTTGATCTACTTAAATGCTGAGAATACCAAGATTTAACTATAAGGAGATGTAGCTTCAATAAACTCTGTTATTAATAGTGGAATACGGATAGCAAATTTTGTTAATCCTTAATTAATAAAATTAACAATAACAATTAATGACTCTGTTAACTATGTAATAACTAAAACTATAACAGCCTCTCATAAGTATATTATTAAGCTAAACCAACCGATCTCTAATAATCCTTCTTTGAGCTTAAGAGATGACTTTGCCTTGAAATTTTCGAATTCACAATTATATATTATGGAGTCTTTCAGCTACACTTTCAATCCAGAGGTTTTTTTGAATCCTGATGGGCGTGCCTTACATTATACTGCTAAAATTTTCATAAAAGATGAATATTAAACCTTACCTTAATAATATTGGCTTGTTTTCTAGCAAGAATAGAGAAATTTCTTTGGTTCTGTTAGCTCTTCTTAGTTTCAAACAGTAGCAAGAATTATGATTAATGTGACAGATGGCTACACATACGCGATAGATTACTTTGAGATGCATTTTGATCTTATACCTTTTTCGTATATTCTTTTATATATGTTTTAGATTATGAGTCCAATCTTAGGGATTCTAGGATTGTGGAAATATAAATCATTAATGTATAACCGCTTCAGAAAAAATAATTATAGTACAACTAAAATTTAAATTTAATCTGGTAATGAAATTTTACTGCAAATACCACTGCTGGGAAACAAAGTAGAAATTGCTTAAAACATATGGAAAAGCTATTTTAAAAAATTAAACAAAGATCAAGTGTTAAAGGAGCTAAATTAGATTTTAGAACAAAAAGATATGGATAACCATTCTATGAGCTAAAGCAAATAAGATATGGCTGCTTCTACAATTAAGTGCACGCCAGTTTTTAGGAAGAGATAAGAAACGTTTTAGAAACTTTAGAATAAATTCACTCAAAGCTATTTGAGGAGCATATCAAAAGTAAAACAGAATAAAGAGTCACCTAGAAATTAAATTTAAAAAAGTAGAAAAAGTACCATAAGCAGTAGTTTATATTTTAACTAGGATGGGAGCTTAAATAATTCATTTATCCTAGAATCAGTTAGAGAACATTATTAATAAAATTTTAAGGAAAAAAATTTTACTACAGAAGCACAACTAAAAAACTCTTAGTCTATGATCTCTAGAGCTATTGTAGGTTTAGCTGCTTTTTAATTCTCTGAACTTCATCAAATTAGCTAACAAATTTTAAGCTTCCTTAAGAATGTTGCTCTTTAAGAAGGTTATCTAGAAATAGATTGGTATAAAAAATATGTTTAGATCATTGCTTAGCCTAAAAATATTCACTAAGATTAATTTCCTATAATATAATTTTTTGAGAATTGTTTTAATTAAATATTCTAAGATACATTCTAAAATTGTGAAGATAGAGAAGAAAAGAAAAAGTAATCTTTATAACTAATTCCATTTATAAAGTAGGTAATAGAGGCCATTGCATTAGGATTTACATTAGACGGTAAAGGGATGGTCCCAAAAGTCAGAGGTGAATGTATAGAAACAGAGTATCATGACATTAAAAGTATAAGATCATACCGTCCTATTTAAAGAGAAATATACTGCTGTTTTAAACACAACTATGAAGAGTTAGTTGAAAAAGAATTCCACTAAAACTAAGAACTTCCATCATGGATCTAGAGTTTAGATATTACTAACTCAGTCATTTTAATTTAAGGAAAAGCGGAAAATAAAGATATTGGCGAATATGTTTTAAACTTATATAATAAGAAAGATTTTTTAATTAAATAAATTAGACTTTAGATTTCTCCATGCACTGAAAAATAATAAAATTTAAATTCCAATTTATACTTAAATATATTATCACCTATAATGAACAAATCTTCAAGTTAATTAATTCCTAATGAAGAAGGTGTAAATTAAAAATACTTTTTAAGCCCAAAGTAGATAAGATAAAATTCCATTTCTTTATAATTAAATAATTAGAGTCCTAAGAATTCATATTTTGTTAAGACTATTTTCCGTGAAGATACTATTCAAAATAATAATAATAATACAAACTACTTCTATAATGAAGAAATCGAGTAAGACCAAAAAATATAACTATGAAAATAAATAAAATATATTTAAAGTGCTTTTATAAGCAATTTTATACCTTTATTACTATTCTAACTTTAATGATTAGGAATATGATTGAAGTGGGTCCTAAATTTATAAATTCTATTTTGTTTATAAATACAAAATTATATCTTTGTTTTTATTTTTGATTATTTTACACACTGCTCCTTAAATGGATAATTAATTAGAAAAAATAATATTTTTGTTTTGAAAAAATAAATTCTTAAAGTTAATTTAAAATACTTAAACATCTTAAAAGTTTAAACTAAATAAAAATATCTGTCTTTTAAATTATTAGATAGAGTAAATTAAAACTAATTTTAAGAAATAAAAATGTATATTTGATTAGAATTTAAGAATCTTTTATTTCCTTCAATTTACAACCATTTATATTTTTTCCTTTATAAAAAAAATTTAAGAATTTAGAAAATAAATGTTTTATGTTTAATAATAAATACTCATATAAGCAACAGTGGACTTATAAAAATAGGTATTTCAGATCAAAATTTAAATAATTCAGATATAAGAAATCTTCACTCTTGCAATAACAACAAAAAAAATAAATCATAATAATAATTATCACTGATGAATTTTTAAATATAATGTTATCTAAAAAATACCAAAACACTGATAAATCTATACCAAATTCTGCTATTGATAAAAATTATTTATTTATTAACCTCCTTTTTAAATGTTTAAATATTCCTCTATACCCTCGTTTTTATAATTTTAATTATTTTAAAATTTATGATAAACAAATGTAATAAATACAAAAAAAAAAAAAAAAACATAAAATAGCAAAGAGCTATTTATATATGCGAATTAATATATTTGTTTATTTATTTATATATTTATCAATCTTTTATCTTTAGAGACTATTAAAATCAAATTAGTTTAGCTCATACTAATATTCAAAGTTCTTGCATAATTGGGCAAGTTTTTATTAACTATACTTTTCTATACTTTTTAGACAGACAATATAAACACCTTCTTTATTTTCAAAAGGTTATTCTTTAAATATTTCGTATTATTCGAAGATATGATTTTGTAGTTAATGTATTATTTTCTAAAACTTATTACTATTACTGCTAAAGTAGAATAAGCAAGAATTGAATTGTGTGTCAATACTAATAAGCTGCTAATTTTTGCATAAAAGTCAATACATAGTTTGGAATTTTTAGATGCTTTGCATTTCTCTAGATACTACTTAAAGTTGATTCTAGAATCTTTAGTTTTCTTCAGTGAGTGCTTGAATTTGTTCTTATAATTGGATGATTTCTTGCTTAAATTAATTTTATTATCTTAAAGAATCATCTAATGTGGATTAAAGCATTTTATTTTAGCTTTCTCCATCATGAAATTATTATTAAAGATTAAAATAAATCTATTTTTTTTTTTTTATAAAGTTGATGATTTTTTCTTTTTGCAGTTATAGATTTAAGATCTCTTATTCTTATTCTGATAGTTTTTTATTAGCTAAATTTAAATCCTCATTTTTTTCTTGTAGATTTTATTTCATCTCTGATAATTATTTATTTAATTCTTCATTTGAATTTTTCAACTGATTTATTAAATGAACATATTATTCTTCTGTTTGTTTATTTTTCTCAACTCTGGTATTTTTTTCAGATGTTAGAACTTCTAATTCTTTTTGAGCTGTTTACAGGGTTTAGTTTAGATTTTTCTTTTCACCTTCAAACTCGTTTGTCAACTTAACGGCTTTCTCTATTTCTAACTTGAGTAGGTTATTATTTGTGTTAGTAATTTGCTCAGTGAGATTTTTTTTTTAGTCTTCGGAATCCTTTTTTAGATTACTTAATTTCTCATTTAGTTGAGCCAATTCAGATTTAAAATTGTCAGTTTAATCTGTTAGTGTTATCTTTTAGTCATCAAGTTACTTTGTTAAATTTGTAACTTTATCTTTCTCTGTTGTTAGTTATTAATTTAGATTTTTCTTTTCTGTCTCTAATTAAGATGTAAGGTTGCTTAGTTTGCTTTTTTCTTGTGATAGTTGACAGTTTATAGTGCTAATTTAATTCTTTAAATTTTATTTTTCAGTGTTATACTAAGTTAGCTTTTGGGTTTCTTCAGCAAGCTTTTTTAAGAGATTTTCCTTCTCTCTATTTAAATTCTGTATTTACGTTTATATATTTTATGTTTCTTTCATTTTATTTATTAGATAGATGTTTTATTTTGATTAATTAATTATAAAATATAATTAAAATACCTTTAAATATAAAGAACCATAATAGAATATTCAAAATATATTTAATAATAACTATTATTATTAATATTCTAATAAATATTATAAAATCATCATATAAAAATTTTCACTTTATCATTTATTTGAAAGTTTAAAAATTTAAAAACTTCCTTGCTTCTTTCTTTCTGTATGTATGTATTATTTATTTATTTATTTATTTTAAAAATGTAGATAAATAAAGTATTTATCTCTTAATCACTCAATAATAAAATTAATTTAATAAAATTATTTAAGTAAAAGTATAAAAACAAACATATTACTCTTACTAAAAAGTAAAGATATTCTAATATTGGAAAATGTTATTAAATAAAACATCTAAAAAAATTGTGAATTAAATTTTAAAATAAACAGATTTATTTAAACATATTCTTTTATATAATTCTAAAATATTCTAATTCATAAAGAATAATAGAATTTTTAAACTTAAATATCAACTTAAAAAGATGAATTTCCTAACTAACTAACTAACTAACCATGAATAATAGAATAAATTAAAATATATTCTAATTGTTAAAATATTTTATATAGAATTTGTATTCTTGCTTGAATACTTACTTAAAATGTTGATTGAAGTCAAGGATTACTAGCCTTTGAAAATAAAATTCTTATATAATTTAAATGTTTATAAATATATTCTTTTATTAGATTGTAAAATATTCTAAATCTAAAAACATAATAAAATTTTTATTTATCTGAGGCGCCTGATTTTAAGATTTAATTAGAAATTTTGATAATCAAAATAATATTAGATTTTAATTAGAATATTTAAGGTAGTTAGTTAATTACTAATTTTGATATAAAAAATTAATTAACCTTCACTATCATTGATTGGTCACAACAACATAATCTTTATTATCAAGAACAACTTAATAATTTAGAACTTTAAAAAATTTTAACTTTAAATTAAAAATACTTCTTAATTAAGTTTTTTTTTAATAAATTAATTAATTACATATTTTTTACATAGAATTTTATTTTATATTAGATTTAAATATATATCATTTAGGAAGGAAAAAATAATTCAATTAATTATAGTTAAAAAAAATAATCAAGCTTCTTCATAGTATTTCTCAAGGATTTAAAGATTCAATTGATAGATGTTATCTAAGGGGTGAGTTTGTAGGCTGTTTAATAGCCTTTCAAGTGACATTCTTTATAGTTTTATTAGGTATTGCTGATTTGAAATGGCTATCTAATAAGCTATAAGAAGAATTTAAAGAGAAAGAATAATATTCTAAGGAGCACTTTTTTCTCCATCTTCTGAGTATACAAGAGTTGTTTCTAATACCGATAATAACCCTGTATCAAATACCCTTTTTATATCAAACTCATCGCCTTATTCAAGAATTTTTAATATGCTCTGCAGGATAAGCTGAGTAAACTTATCAGATTATTTTTGTTCAATAATGAGCATAAGTTGCTTTAAAATGTCATCATATTGAAGAAAATCTTTAAATTTACTCTAGTAACAAACTTCATTTAGGTAATTTATAGCATAGTATTGATTATGAATTAATTTGCTTTTCAAAACTGGCAATATGTATTTTATTTATTCAGGACTATATATTTATTCTATTTAATTTGGTGTGCTCAATTTCATTAATTTGTTAAGTCCTCTAAAAGTTTGTGCTGCTATCTTCTTGTTTTCAATTCTATTCAACAAATAATTAAAATTAATTTAACATTTTTAAATATTTTCAATCAATTAAAAATTAAAAAATTTTCATTTTATTTATTTGTTAAAAAATAAAAAAAGAGCAAAAAAATAAATTTGATAAAAATTTACTTCACAGTTTTTTAGAAAGCTTCACTAAGCCCAAGACTAATGAGCTTTTAACTAAATTAGGGGTCTGCTTGAATAGTTGTAGATTTCTTCTATGGTATTTGAGTGAGACAAATATCAATAATCCAAATGACATCCTTGATAATTTTAATATTTCCTGTATTCAAGCAAGATATTAATAGTGGAAGAGTGTTAAAAAGCTAGTTAAATTCTGCTTCAGTTTCAGGCGGATCGAAGCACAAAACGCTCACAAGCCAGACTCCGTTTTCAATCATCTGTCTATAATCTTCTTAGCCTAATCTATTAATGTTGTTCGCTTTTTTATAATTAGTTAACTAAGTTTTTTAAATTCATTTTAAATTTTAAAAATCGATGATAAGAAATCATTTTTTTTAATTTATTATTTTTTGAATAGAACTTTTAATTTATTTTAAAGTGGTGAGTTAGTTAGTTAGTTAGTTATTTATTTATTTAGTTACCTACTATTGTTTATAGATGCTCTATAACTCCAATACTTTTAAGATGTTTACGAACTTCTTTCCTATCTAAGCTGCATAAATTAACTAAACCTAAATAAGCAGAAGACTAAAGCAAAGGGTCATTATCTATCTAGAAAGTGTAATCTTTGAATATTGTCAATCCGTTTTTATTAATAATTGAATTTGTAAATTAATCATCGCCTGAAGCTATTATTGCTAGAACATAGAGTCCATCTGCCTAACAAAAAATAATAAATATATCATTTATTTATTTGGATGCGAAATAAATTTAATTAATAGCAAATGTTGTGAATTACTGCAATGTCATTAGGGAGGAGATATTTTCCTTATAAATCCTTTGTAGTGTTAAACAAATCAATGAGTTCATAAATTATATTAGAATCTACCATCAATCTAATCGTGTTTAATTCAACATCTTACTTTGCAGCTATATAATTACAAGTAATAATAACTATTTATTAATTAATATGATGGTTTAAATTACCTTTAAGAGCCTAGCTTTTGAAGTATTAAAGTGCCTATCTGATTTAATCTAAGTCCTAAGACTTCAACTTCTTTATGTTATTGCAAATTATTTAATCTTCCTAAATGTTTTCATATTAAATTTTTTTTTCTTCTTAGAAGTTCATAAAATGCTCCTATTTTGTAAAAAGTTCCTAAGCCATCATCTTAACTCTTTTTTTCTAAAATATTTAATCTCTATCTAATAAAAAAAATCATTTTTAATCCATTTTTTATCGCTTTAAAAGCAAAAAATTATAAATTGTTTTGCTATTTTTGAGATTGAATCATTATTGAAGTAATTACATTATTTTCTCGCTTAATTTTAGAACTATTCCTTTTTAAAGTAGATGAGTCTGTGTATGTCTTCACTTTCATTTGCTTTAGTTTTAAATTTAAAAACATATGCTCCAGCTACTTACTAGTTTGCTATATTTCTAATAAATAAATACCTTAAGTGTCCATTTCTATAACTCTAATTAATTTTCAATCTTTCTTTCTTTCTTAATAAATTCACTATAGTAGTTTGTATCTTTTTTTATATTGATTTCCGACGAATTATTCCGCTAAATTAAATGTTTATAAAACTTAATTAACCTTCAGTCAAACACACTCTAATTTAATTAATTAGAATTTAAACAAATACACAAAAAATAATTAATCAAATAATAATTAAAAAGAGATTTCATTTAAAATCGATCTATCTTTACTCTTAATATAAATTCTTATTAAAAAGAAATTCTAATTAATCAATAAATTAAAACGAATACTTCAACAGTTTAAATTATTTAAATCAGTAGTAAAAGTAGTAAAGATCATTAATTATTTCTTTAGAAAAGGAATTATTTGACCTAACCTTCTAAACTCAAATAAATATATCACACAAAAAACTAATTTATTTATTTATTTTAATATATAATTAATTTACTTGTGGATATTTATTTTGGAAAATAATAAAAAGAGATTTTTTTTTCAACATATTTAATTGGATAATTTATTATTCAATTTATATTTTATCAAATAATGTTTAGCATCTAATTTATTAATTAATATTAGCTTAATACTCGCATTCAATATAGCTAAACTACTCACACTCAATATTCAATGATAAACATTAAAATTTTATAGATAAGTTAATTTTTAATTTCATTCATTCTTAATCACTGTCACTAGAATAATTAAGAATGGATTACAGATTATTTTATTTATTATCATTGCTCTTTGCCTCGTTGGAGACTTCGCCATTATTAATAGATTTTACTTTAGATTCTGTTTCTGAAATTTTTTATATTTTTTTAACAGTGAATACATGTTTAAATTATTTTTTACGGTCATCTTACTTTTCATTTTAATCACTTGCCAAAAAGCTGACAGTGCTTAAAGTATCATTAGTTGAGTCATCATTATAATCTTTTATACGTTTAGTTCTTTGACTTTACAGGAACTCTTCTAGTTTTGATTGCTCATCATCATCTAGCTCTTCATATATATTTTGCTCTATTTAGTTCTAAATTGTTAACTTAATTAGCTCCTCTGGTGTAACATACAGCATTTTCTTACTGTTGTGTCTAATCTCATCCAAAGCATCTAATATTTCTAGCTCTTTTCTGCTATCGTTTGTTCTGTTTTCCAAGAATTTCATTGCATTACCCTAAATTAATTCATTAAAATTAAATTCTTTAATAAAAATTGATTTTTCTTTATAAGCATTTGCAAATAAAAGCAAGATATTTATATAAAAATTAAATTACTTCTTCATCGTTTTCTCTCAATTTTTTAAGAACTTCTTCAGCCTTTTCGTTATCACGCGATGCTTCATAATTACGGGTAGCTAAATAAATATTTATTTGAATAAAATTTAATTTCAAATATTCTTGCAATAGAAAGTTTTTATTACCTCCAAATTCAGCAACGTAGTCATGATTTTTGGGATCTGTTTTGAATGTAAGTTCACTATAGCAGTGAGTGCACTTAAAATAAAAACGATAAATTCTTATTCCCAAATAACTTTCATTTTAAACTGTTTCTTTTCTCATATTAAATTTAGTTCCTATATAAAGATAATTTCCACAAGTGTTGCAACGAACTCTATATTTTAAAAACATTTTAAAAATAAATAAATCATAAAAATTATATTGCAAAATTAAATCAAATTTATAATTAATTATTTATTTATTTACGTCATCGGAAGCATCATACGAACATTATCCTATTTGTCTAAAGGACGCTTATTCTTGATTAATTTTGAAGGATCAAAATCAGGAGGATAATACTTAATTAGAACTTTTCTTTCAGCCATTTGTTTTGTTTTAGTACTTAATTACCTACTTTTTTGGTTATTTCTTTCAAAAACACCTACTATAGATTAATTTTGAAATTTTTTTGTGATTTATAATTAATCAAGAATTAAGTTTATTTCTGATTGTCTATCAGCATAAAAATAGCTAATATTATGAATTGGTGATTGACTACATTAATTGGTAGATCTTTATAAATATATAAATAATATTTCTATAAAATTATCAAACAAAGTAGTTAGTTAGTTAGTTATCAAAAATAAATCTAAATTAATTTGCATACATTTATTTACAAATAATATTTTTTTAAATAAATCATAATCCATCTTCCATATCATCATCACTGTTTCCTTAATACTAAATTTTTCTATCTTTAATGTTGTTTCTCTCAAACGAGTTAAATTTTTACTCTTCTTCTTCGTCCTCAACTTCGTCTTAATATTTTTAAGTTTACCTATTTCTAGCTTAATACTATTCTTCAATATCTGGTTTAATATTAGTTTGTCTTTGCTATTGACTCAGACATTCCCATTTAGTACCTTTTTATTATATTTACATTTCAATAATTATTTAAAATTTATTCACTATTTATCTTAAAAACTTTCCAACAATCCATTCAATCAATCAATAAATCAATCAATAAATAAATTATTTATTTATTTGTTTGTTTTAAAACAGTAACTAAAATGGAATTATTATTAACTAAAACTATTATCCAAAAGATTGTTTATTAATCTAGACTTGCTTATAAAATTATTGTAAAAAATTTATTAAATTGGTAAGTATTTGCAATTAAATCACTCATCAAAAACGTAAAATTTAATAATAGCTTGATTTTAAATTACTGATTTTAAATATTTTTAGGGGCGTCAAAAAAATAAATAAATAAGTTACCATCATGGGGTAAAGCTCGTATACTGGGAAGTAGCATTTTAAAGTAACTGTAGGTTCCAAATATATGATATAGATTTTATGATATGGTTGGGTATTAAAAGGCATAATCAGAAGGTTCTTTTCCGTCTGAACGACTACCCCAAAATTCAACAGCTGTATATCCTTTCATAGCAAGATACCAATTCCATCCATTAAATGCTAATAATACAAATGATAAAACGTAACAGAGGAGCTACACAACTGGGAAAATTTTAGTTTGTACACGCTTTGCTTCTCTAAATCCAGCAGAGTGATGATCAATATAGAAAAACAAACAGCTTAAATAGAATGTAGAAACCATCAAATAAAAAATAAAAGAAAGGAAATATCTATGATTCTCATATCCTACGCAGTTATCTAGCCACGGGCAGTGGTGATCCATTTTATAAATACATTCATTGCAAATGCTGCAGTGGTGAGCTCTTAAAGGCTTGAAATCATTGCATTTACGACATATCTTAGGTCTAGTATCTTAAATATTTACAAAATTGTTAGGATCGTCATCCTCATCACTTTCATCTAAACCATTTAGTTGATAATTCCTATGCCTTTTAACATTACTTTTACCTGGATGAACAAATATTCCCATAGCATAATTAAAGATGATACAAAATCCCAAATAATAGCCAACAATAAGCATTAACAAGCCTACAGCTAAGCTTTTCTCAAAATATATATAGTAAATCTAGCATAAATCATAAATATATGAGTAAAATATCATAATGTATAACAGCAAGAAGAATATTATTAGAGTAATTCCAATGAATTTCATGCATTTCTAAAAAAGATATTTGAACATCCTTCCTTCCCTTTTATTTATTTCTGGCTTTTAATGACTTTTAACAGCTAAAATAGCTCTTTTTTATCTAGTAAATCTATATTAACTACTTAATTGTATTTATTAGTTAGTTTTACAACAAAAAGTATCTTTTAAATATTAATTAAATCCTTACAAAAATAAATTTTTTTTGATTGATTGATTGATTGATAAATTGATTAATTTCTGATTTCACTAGTTAAATTTTACATAATAATTGAATATTTTTTTTGATTTCAAAAATAGAAACAATTAAACAAACAAATCTATATTTTTTATTTTAAAATACGATAAATGCTAATTTTATTTAATTTAATTTATCTAAAATATTTTATTTATTTGGCAAATAATAAATAAATAATTAAACAAATATTGGGAACAAATTGTTAATTTATCTGTTTAAAGTAAATTTTTTTAACTTAAATGAGAGTTCAGAAAATTTAATTCAGCGAATATTATGAATTCAATTTATTTTTGGTTAAACATCTATAATAAACTTTTTTGGTTAACATAAATAATTCCAATAAAAATTCTAATTTAAAGATGCTATAAAACTTAAAAGTAGACAGAGTATTAATGTATGAATGAATGGATAATGAGGTAATTAATTATTTCATTGTAAAATAAATTAAAACAAACAAAAATAATTGGTGAGAAGAGTTAATAGTAACACAAATAATGATAATAAAAATAGCATTTATTAACACTTAAAATATCTAGCTAGCAAGCAAGCATCAGTAAAAAGTAATGTGTTATTATACTAATTTAAGTATTTTTTTAATATTTCTCTTCATTTATTTTTCCTAGGACAAATCAATATTATTTTTTCTAATAAAAAATAAGAGTTATTTATGATTACTTAAAAATTTAAATATTTAACTTAATATTTACCTTAAATCTATTGATAAATGTTAGAGCCTTTTAAATCTGGCCAAATGAGTAACTAAGCCAGATGAATTTTAAGTTTAAATTTTGTTTCCACTTTTAGAATTTTAAAAATCACGAAATTAATTAATTAATTCAATTCTTCAAAATTAATAAATTAATTAAAATAAAAATTTAGTAAATTACTTTAAACCCAGAGTTAAAGATTTAAGACTTATGCTATTTGTTAGAGCTTCAATAAGCTTAGATGCTCCTTATTCCAATATATTATTTTAGCTTATAAAAAATGATTATTGTTAACTTTAATACTGAACTTGATAATAATAAATTTTGTTTCATAAAGACATGAAAAATTAATAATGGAAATAAATTTCTTAAAATAATCATATATGATGAATTTACAAAAGATTAACAGTTAAAATCTCTAAATGTTTGTAGCTTGATAAAGCTTCTCCTAAATTAGATGCACCTTCTGAACCAATTTTATTCTCTCTTTTTTTATTAAGAAATTACTTATTTTTATCAGATAAAATATAAAATTTATATTATTTACGCAAGGGCTAGAGATAATTCAGTTAAATTGTTACAACCTATTAAAGAAAAGCCAAAATTAGATATACCTTAGGAATCTATCATATTATAACTTTAAAACTTGTTAGATTCCAAGAAATATTTATTTATTTAATTTTTTTTTTAATTTTATCCAAATATGAAATACTTCAAATCAATAAATTAGCACTTATATTTTAATGAATGAATTAAGAAATATTTGGTATTACCTTAGCCAAACAGTTAACTTTCTTAGATTTTTGCAGTTTGCTAAAGCAGCTCCGATTTAAGATGCCTTTTAATCATCAACTCTATTACACCTTAGTTTTTTTTTAAAAGTTATTTTTTATTGTTAAAATCATTTATGTATTTAAGTAAGTCAATATGTACCCAATCTAAAGAGTTAAAGATGAAATATTTGTACAATTTGATAAAGAAGAACAAAAGGCATTACATTTTTATTCATTCATAATCTAATAGCTTTTTTAAAGCAATTGGTTAATCTAAGTAATTTAAAGCTTTAAAAAACTATTAAAATTTAAAACAAGCTATTTATTTGTTTTTTTGAATTATTACTCAAAATCAAGCTGAAGCTTATTATGGGATGAAAATGATGATTTTTCAAACTGTTTTTTAGAAATAAATAAAATTTTGAACATTTATAATTAGGAATTAATTTAAATTCACATTTTCCACAGTCTTAAAATAAGATATTTAATTTGACATTTTTATTCTTTATTTTTAGGTTATTAAGTAGTTAAATAAATTATATCTTTTTAAATTAATTTATTTGGCTTAATAGTCTTTTGTAAATGTATTTGTTCAACTTTACATTTTTATTTTTTTATCACCTAACATGATTGATTGCTTGTAAAATAAGTTAGTTAGCTTTCTTTTATTCAAAAAATATTGTTTAATTTTACTAAAATTATTTGGAATTCATTCTTCTATTTATTATTCATATTGATATGAATAAACCATTTTTTTTTTAAAGAAAAATCTTAAATCCATAGAAAAAATTGATATTTTCGAGTATTAAGCAAGCTAAAAGCTTAATATTTTAATGATTATTTAAACGAAAATATACAGTCATGTACAAAGATTTATTTATAGATTTTAACCTTGATATATTTATAAGGTATTTAAAAAAATTAGATAGGCAGATAGATAAGAAAATATAGAAAAATAAAATGAGACTATAAAATAAGATTTTTATAGATTTTTAAGCTAGATTTAATTTATTCTTTGAAAATTCTAAAAATTCAATTTAGGGATCAGAATTAATAAAAATTGATTAAAAATTCTAATTTAAGTAGAATGTTGTAAATGGAGAACAAAAGAATTGAATAGACGGATAGAACTTTAGTAAAATTGTGATCAGAGTTGATTAAATATAATAAATAAGATTGTCTAGAATGTTCGTATTAGATTAGAACAAAAGAAAAAATTAATTGATAATAGAAAGAAGTTTAGAATATTAGAACTTTGACTTTGAAATTAAAAAACTAATTGTCTCTCTATTTATTTATCTATCTATCTAACTAACTATCTATGTATTTATTTACTTATTTAATTATTAGTTTTAAATAGAAATAAGAAAGATATTCTGCCTTAGCTTCAGAATAGCTACATAATACATAATAAATAAACAAACAAACAAAAAAAAGCTTTTATTTTATTAGAAAGATATTAATTAAATAATTGGAATGTATCTGTTTTAATTAATTGATTAATTAAATAAACAAATAAATAAATAATTGATAGTATTTTAGTTTGATTTCTAAAAATTCTATAGGAATTGCATCAGAAACTTTAAATTTCTTGTTATAATTAATTAATTATATATATAAAGTGATTCCTCTTTTTGAGATAATTATAATTTAATTAATTAATTTTTGAAAAAGTAAAAAATATATTAAAATATCAAAGTAATTTCACCAAATTAAATAAATGTCTCTCGAACAAGCTACTGCTTTCAAAAATGAAGGAAACAAGGCCTTCTAAGAAAACCGTTTCTAAGATGCCATTGATGCCTTCACCAAGGCTATTGAAATTAACCCAAACGACCACGTTTTTTATTCCAACAGAAGTGGTGCCTATGCTTCTCTCAATAAGCTTGATGAAGCTCTCGCTGATGCCGTCTAGTGCATTTCAATAAAGCCAGACTGGGCCAAGGGTTATTAAAGAAAAGGTAAATAAAGCTCAATAAAACCTTATATTATTATATTTAGTTCCTATTAAAAGCCAATCAGAATAATGAGAATTCATTTTTCTAAAAACAAACTTTAATAGGAAGTTGATTTTCTATCATTCTAATTTTGAATTAAAAATTTAAAGTGTTATGAAAGTAAGTAATCATGATTTTTATCAATAAATAAATAGGTCATGCCGAATATGAACTCGGTAAGCTATCCGAAGCTGTTGCTACCTTCAAAAAAGGTTTAGAAATCGAACCTAACAACGCCATTTTGAAAGAAAGACTCTAAAAAGTTGAAGAAGAACTTAAAGAAGGTAAATAAATAAATAATTTGAATTATTCAAGCTATCCATTTTGCTATGAATGGATGAGTGAATTAAGCTTAGACACACTAATGCATTATCACCAATAATATTAAAATTACAAACTTTGTAAAAGCATCATGTGGTTTTTTTTTAATATGATAGCAAATATTAAATATTTTAAAGCAACTCATAAATTAAATAATCTAAAATTTAAATAACAATTTGATAGATCTACAAATCTTATTATAACTATCAAACACAAACACACACACACACATAATAAATAGCATAATACAAAAAAAGATATTCTTTATAATTCTATAAAAAATTACATGCTTATTCGTTCTTAAAAATACAAATTCTAAAAAAATTATTATTATTATAAATAAAGAATCTGCTGGTGGAAGTGGTGGTTAATTTGATAGCATTGCCACATAAATTATGATGAAGCTTGCTGCTAATCCCAGAACTGCAGAATGGTTGAAAGACCCTTCTTTCATGACTAAATTAGAAATGCTTAAGAAGAGCCCTCAAATGTTCTCAGTCTTGATGTAATAAGATCCTCGTTTGGGTGAAGCTTTCAATCTTCTTCTTTCTGATTTCGGTGGTGGTGCTTTCGGCTAAGGTGCTAACTTCAATTTCTAAGACAAGAAGAATGCAGAAGAACAAAAGCCTGAAACTAAAGAACACACAACAACTTCTACTACTAATCAAGCTCAAGATGACTTCAAGATGGAAGAAGAAATTCCTGAACCCTTCACTAATAATGCAAAATAAGAAGCTCCTAAACCTGCCCCAAAGAAGGAAGAATAAAAAAAGCCAGCTCATGCTCCTGCTCCTACTTCCAATCTCCCCGAACATGAAAAGGTGAAGAATGAAGGTAATGAGTACTACAAGAGTAGAAACTTCGACAAGGCTTTGGAATGCTACAACAAAGCTATCGAGTTATAACCCACTGAAATTCTTTATTACAACAATAAAGCTGCAGTCTACATTGAACAAAAGAACTATGATGCTGCTTTAGAAACTGTTGAACTCGCCTTGAAAGTCGCTCAAGACAACAACATTAAAGATTTCTAAAAGATTGCCAAGATCTTTGCCAGAAAGGCTTCCATCCTCGCTAAGCAAGAAAAGTATGCTGACTCATTATACTGGTATGACAAGTCTATGTTGGAAGACAACAACCCTAAGGTCAAGCTTGAAATGAAGCAAATTGAAAAGATCAAAAAAGAAGCTGATGCTAAAGCATACATTAACCCTGCTTTGGCTGAAGAACATAATGAAAAAGGTAAAAAAAATATTCTAAAATAAATAAATAAATTTAATTTGGATGATTTAATAAAAAATTAAAGATTTATTATGGAAAAAAAAAAAAAAATGAATAATTAATGATTAAATAATTTTTTAAATAAAAAAAGCTAAGGCATTCTTCACTGATGGTAAGTTCCCTCAAGCTTTATAAGAATATAACGAATGTATCAAGAGAAACCCTACTGAAGCTAAGTATTACTGCAACAGAGGTATTTGCTATTAAAAGTTAATGGAATTCCCTAGTGGTTTGAAAGATTTAGATAAGTGCCTTGAAATTGATCCTAACTACATCAAGGCTTACATCAAGAAGGGTCAATGCCATACTGCAATGAAGGAATTCCACAAGGCTTTGGGTGTCTATGAAAAAGGTTTGAAGATTTAACCTGATAACCAAGAATTAAAGGAACTCTTAGAAAGAACAAGAATGTAAGCTTACATGGGAGGTGGTGATGAAAAGGAACAATAAGAAAGAGCTGCACACGCCATGGCTGATCCCGAAATCTAATAAATCTTAAGAACTCCTGAAGTTTAAAACGCCCTTAGATCACTTCAATAAGATCCTAAAGAAGCAACCAAGATTTTAAGCGATCCCACCCTTGCTCCTAAAATTGCTAAGCTAGTTGAAGCTGGTATCTTAAGAATGGGTTGATCAATAAATAAATAAAATGTTATTTAGAATAATTATCTATTGTTTATATTTTTTATATATCAAATATTTTCTAATAATTTAAGTTATTAATTGTTTTACCTTAGTACATTAACGTTCAGCTTAAATTAAAAATTATCACCTAATTAATCAATCAACTAGCCATTTAATTACTTAAAGCATTCATTCATTCATTCATTTTCAACTCTTCTTTTGCTTAATGTTTAGATTTTAATTAATAGATAAGATAAGATTCTTTTATTCTTTTTCATTTTAAAGTTTTTATGAATGGTAGGCATGCATTTATTTTCATATTTATTTTTGCAAAATATTTTTTTATAATGTCAAATTTAGTAGAATCTATCTATATATTATCTATCTCTAAGCTTTATTAATTAATGTTTTTGATTTACATTTAATTTTAAAATATTTAAGTAGCAAATTAAAATTGTTATTAAAAACTCTAATATCATCACACAAACACACACACACACAGATACACACCTTCATACTTATACCATCTAATTTTTTATATGTATATTTTAGATTCTAATTTTATAGATATGAAATATCTTAGAATGATTTAAGGTTGTAAATATTTTATATTTGATATTTAAAATTTAATTTAAAAAATATCAACTATAAAATCGTTTATTTACTAATTTGAGTATAAATTTAAGTTACAAATATTCGAACCAAATCAAAAATGCTACTTAAACACTTTTAAAATCATATATATATATATATACGCCTATTCCAAAATATATTTTTTTAAATATTCAGATAATAAATTATTTTAAATTTTTTATTTAATATTTTGATTTATTTATTTATATTAACTGTTTAAGTACTATTTTTGCATTTTATTTTTCATAATTTTGAATAATATTTTTAAATATTTATACTTACATTTTAGCTTTTAATTTTAAAATAGTTTAAAGTTAAAAATGGTGACATTATTTAATTGATGAATGTTTATTTAAATTTAGCGGTAAAACTGTAAAATATAATAATTCATATTAAATTACCTCCACTAAAACCTGTTTCTTAAAAGAGTAGAAATTATAATATCAAAAAAGGATATTTTTGGTTGTAGATAATAGCAATAACAAGCAAACAATTAAATAAATAAATAGATAGATTCAATTTAGTTTTTCTTAAAGTTTTCTAAAGCATTATTTATCAAAATGAGTTAGGATTATTCTGATGAAATGGAAGAGGTTAAAAAGCAATTCGATAAAAAAGTTGTCAGGAAAGTTACTAATGAAGACGACGATGAGGATGAAGACACTGAGAATTTTAGTAATCGCAAGCACAGCAATATTTTAAGCAACAAATCGAAAAAAGGAAGAAGATAATAATAAGATATTTCAAATGAATATGATCTTTATGATGAGTTGGGAGACTTAGCAAGCGAAAATCTTGATAAAAATGACAATGAAGAAGAAGATAACAATTTGAATTAAGACATTGACTTAATAATCAAAGTTATCACTTAAGAAAAGTATTGTCCTGATATTATTCTCTACTAGCAATAGATTATTGATGATTTATTTGAGTTAATACAAAATTAAGTAAATAGCATAAAAAACCTTTTTTTTAATTACAAAAACAAACATTTTTTCATGACAATCAATTAATCAACCAATCTAACATTTATTTACTAATTGATTCTTTTTTGAAAAAATAAAAAATAGGAAATGCAAATAAAAGAATTCGAATAGAGCATAAATGATGATAAGAAATTTTAACACCCTAAAAATAAATTTTTGCAAGATTTAATGAAAGAAGAGTGTGACAGAGTAAAATATTTGATAAAATTGTATACAAGAACAAGACTATACAAAGTAATTAGTTAATTAATTAGCCAAAATAGAATGCAAGTTATTTTATTCATTTTTACTAATAAAATAAATATATAGATTTAAAAGTATTACATGAACATTATAAAACACAGTAAGTATGATTACCTCAATCTCTAAGAAAAGGAATTTGTAAAAAAGTAACTAATTAATTTTAATCAACATACATTTTGACTTTTATATAAACAAAAAACAATAATTAATTTAACTTGTTTTTTACAAAAAGTTATGCTGCTCTCAGATAGTAAATTTTTTAAAACCATTTGCTAAAAACTCTGCCTTAAAGTTTCAGAGATATTGGAATAGAAAGCGAGGATTAAGAAACTAACTCTTAAGTTCAGAAATAAAATTTTGAAAAAATATGTAATTTAATTCATAAATTTCAATACATACTAGTGTATTAAAGATTTAACCTCTTATAATTAATATTTATTTATTTATTTAGAAATTGATACACCTAACTAAGATAAAGTAGTATTTGTTAAGTTTAAGCAAGGTGGAAACTATGATATAGATGGAGAACAAGTGTAAACAAAGCAAATATTTTATTTTACTTAATTAATTAATTAATTATTTCAATAAATTTAGAAAAATAGAAGAGGGGGAGATAATTATGGTACCATATAAGCACATAAAGTAAATTTTATTTCAGAGCCAGAACATATTTACTTACAAGGAATTAAATTTTTTTAAAATAGAACTTTGCATTAAAATTTAGATGTAGATCTTGTGTGAAAAGCAAAAACTGTTCAAATATAATTATAAAAATAAATAAATAGCAAGAATGGAATCTTTGCTTAACAATATCAATCACTATTTATTTCAACAACAAAAAATCTCAAAAAAATTAATTATTTAATATGAAAAGCAAGTTAACAAAAAGCCAGTAAGTAAGTGTGTAAGTAAGTAAGTAAGTAAGTTATTTAATAAATGAATGAACAAAAGTGAGGATAAATTAATATATTTAATTAATTAATTGTTTTCAAATTGTAAATATAATAGCTATTTTATAATGTATATTATCAATCTTAACTTAATTATGATCATATTATATTTTACAAAAATTATCAAACAAACTATTTCAATTCTGAAATCAACCAATTTATTAAAAATCATAAATAAGTTAAAAGGCTAATCAGATATTCAATTAAATATAGTTAGTTTATTTTTGAATTAAATATATTATGTTTTATTCCTTTTAAAAATTATTTGTATTAATATGTTAAATTATTATATTAGGACATAAAAAGTAAGTTAGCTTATCTACCTACCTACCTAGCTATTTTAAAAAATTGTTTGTTGCTTTTAAAACTATCCAAATTAATTAAATTATTTTTAAAATTACTAATTCATAAATAGTGTATATAGCATATAAATTAAGTAAAATAGATATGGAAAATAATAAAATGCTCAATTATAAATTTTAATATTAATAATAAATATTACTGCACTTTTATGATATAAATACTTAAACATAATTATAGCTTATGATGGCAGGTAATAAATTTAATTTTATATTTTAGTAAATCAATAATTTTTTATTTTTATAAATAATTTAAAAATTTGAAAGAAAATAATGGCATGTTATTTATTGTAGTTAATCAATCAACAAATTATTGAGCTTTTAATTATATGATTCAATTAATTATTTGGTAACAATTAAAATAAAATAGTATTCACTCTTTTCTTTATGTTAACTAATTAATTAATTTTGTAGAAATTCTCTTTAAAATAAATGGTAAAACAATTGAAAACTTAGTATTTTTTATCTAACATGTATTTGACAAATTAAATTAAAAACATTATTAATTCAATGTTAAAATTAAATTAAAAATATTATTATTTCAATGCTAAAATTAAATATTAAAATTGTGTTGTAAATTTTTAAATTAATTTAAATATTTCGTTAAAATTAAATATTTGTTAGTGATTTTTTTAAAATGAATTTTTTACTGGTGACAAAAGTAGATAGATAGATAGATAGATAGATAGATACTTTTTAATAAATTATAAATAAAAAATATATAGATAAAAAATTAATTAATAAATTAAATTAAATAGATTGATTTATTGATTCATAAATAGATAAATTGTTTTTTAAATGGATCTTTTCAAACTGTTTAAAACTCAGCAATAATTTTTATTTAGCGACAAAAAAAATAGAAATTAGTGAATAAGAAATTTGTGAAGGTGATTTTATTTATTGATTGATTGTTAGTACATACATATCTTAGTTTAAAAATTCGAAAATTTGCAATTAGTAAATTAAAATCAAATAAACCTACCTAGATGAAGGAATTGATTGAGTTATTATGATGTATATATACATAAATACATATGTACATAAAAATTATTCAATATTAAGAAATCAAGTAACAAAAATTAAATCAAATTATTAATTAATGTTTTTGCAAAGCATTATTAACTGTAAAAAATTAATAAATTAATTTATTAATTATTTGTTTGTTTGTTGGTATTATCATTATTATTCTTAAAAAAAAAGATTTATTTAGTAAGTAAATATCGTACATACATACATACATTCATACATAGATAAAATGAATAACAGCTCAAGTCCTCTTTCATAAAAATATTCGTAAAGAAAAGTATTGATTACTGAGTCAGAGGTTGACCCTTTTTCAGTAGTTTTAGTTGAGGATCTTCTATCTGTAAAGCTTTTAATAAATTTTATTAGCTCCTTTACTTGATTTTAGTTATCTTTGAAATATAAAATGTATCAAATAGCAAATGGAAAACCGCTATTTATTTATTTTATGATTAAATATATATTTTATAATTCTGGCAATATGAAGCTAATTTTTATCATCAAATAAATTTTTGAAAATAATGCTTTTAAAAAAAGGGAACTAATGATTGGAGAAATGTTTAAGATATTATAAGATTAACTTTCAAAGCACTGACTGATGTAGTAAAGAACTAAGGAGAAGCAATCCGTGAGTTGGAAAGACAAAATATTTCTAATGTAAATATAGCATAAAATATTAATTGCATGAAGCTCTTTATATTTTTAGATTTATCCTCAAGAAATGATAATTAGCTTAGCAAATATTTATAATTTAAAGGTTAAAATTGTCAATCTCCAAGACTATTTAGATAGCAAAGCAAATGTTGAAGATGTAAAAGAAAGTTTAAATGAATTAGCTCAAATTTTAGAAGGAAGACCTTCATTTGATGATTTATAAAACAGATTTTAGCAGTAAATAAATAATTAATTCAAAGATTTCTATATGTTAAATTTAATGGCAGAAAGAAAGATAAATAGATATATAGATAAGCAAGTATTTCCAGTCTTAAACTCTCAAAATTGCACTGACTGGCAAATTAATACTTTATTAATTAAAACTTATCTTTAAATATTTTGATTGCTACTTCAAAAATAATTACAAAAGATATTTAAAATTAAATTTTTAGATGCACTTTGAAGGAAGATTTTGATTACATGATGTCCTCTAAAGTCTCTCATTAAGAAGTAATTCATTTCAAGCAAACAAGCATTTTAATATTTTATTTCTTTGTGATAATTTTTTGTGTTTTTTTAAAAGATCAAAGTCATGCTAGAAAACAAAGTCAATACAAACTAATTCAACAGTGAAATTGATGGATTATATGCAAAGTTAGATGAACAAGTTTAAGATTTAAGATCATACAGAAATATTTTCCAACAAGATATTTTAAGCATTTCTAATTAACTTGCATAAAAAGCCAGCTTAGAGGAAGTAAACGAATAATTAGATCAAAAAGCCAATAAGCAATCAGTAGCAAATGCACTTTAAAGAAAAGCTAATAAAGTTGAAATTGATGCCATGTTAGGTAATAAAATCCTTTCATTACTTATTTCAGAATAATTATTTTATTTTACATCAAAAACAACAAAAATTATTTGAAATCTATTTTTTTAAAAATTTAAATAAAAAATGTTGGCAGTGAAAATATATTTCAAACTTAATTAAAATTATGGCTAACTATTTTTATGATTCTTTGTATGGAAATTCATTAAACAAATTGATAAAGAAAGAATGAATTAATTATAAAAATATCACTCATTAAATTAGAATTAAATTTTATTTTATTTTTATGAAGCTAGGAAAGCTGAAACAACTGATATTTAAAATCTCTTAACGATGGTAGAAAGCAAAGTCGACAACCATTAGCTTGAAAAGATAAATTAATTGCTTGACTGCAAAGTAGAAAAGAATGATTTTAATTTGTTAGTCAACTCTCTCTCTAACAAAGCAGATAGAACTGATGTTGAGGTATGAACAATAAAATTAATTTATTTATATTTTTTAATGATAATTAATTTATTTAATAGATCATTTAAAGTTAAATTTAATAAGCTTCCAATGAAATAGAAGCATTTAAATAACTTTAAGATAAGGAATTGAGTGTTGTAAAAAATTTATTGGAGGATCTTCGTTTCAATACCACTCAAGCACTTAATAAAAAAGCAGAGCAAAAGGAATTAGATAAAATCTATAATTAAGTAGCTTAAAAAGCTGATATTGATTTATTTAATTAAATGTCAAACCAACTCAGGTAAAATAAATAACAAATATAGTTTAATTTTTAATGTTTATGAATTATTTAAATAAAAATAGAAACGAACTCATTAAAGATATGCAAGACATGAAAGACTAAACTATAAACTTTAGAAAAGCTTAGGAAGAATTAGTGACAGATAAATTTAAAAAGAATGAATAGCTGTTTGATAACTTGAGAGAGGAAATTCTTAAAGCTCATGAAAACATTAAGAGCGTCAACGAAGAAAGAAGAAACGATTAAGAATAAATGCAAAATTTCAATAAAGGACTTTTAGCAAATTATAAAAAAGAAATCCAAAAAGAGATTCAATATCTTTTGGATGATTTGGAGACTTTAAAAAAGGAGTTTAATGAAAATTTCCTTTTGAAGCTAGATAAAAATGAATTCATCGATTTTAGAGTCAAGGTATTAAATGCTCTTGAAGAGAAAACAGATTTAATGGAAGTTTAAAATGCATTAAACGCATGTTAGAGTGACATATCTCAAAGGTTCTTAGAATTAAAAGATGAAATTAAAAATTACATTGGCGAAAATGAAGCCAACCTTCTTCAAATTTTAGACAAAAAAGCCAACTTTGTTGATGTATAACAAGCCTTATCTCAAAAGGCTGATAACACCAACGTACTCAATCTCATAGCAACAAAAGTAATAAATTATTTTTATTATTTAAAATTTATTTTTTTTCTCTTTTGATAAAAAACCAAATAAATATTTTTATAATTTTTCAGTTTGATTATTTATTAGTTAATTCAAAATTATATTTTTAATAAAATTACTTAGAATAACTTCAATAAAAACAAAATAATTTTTAAATTGCTTACTAAAAAAAAAATAAGATAAAAATAAAAACTTTTTAATTTTTTTTCAAAATTATTTTAACTTAAAAAATTAAAAGTTTATTTTACTTAATTAAAATAATTCATTCATTTTTATTATCTAATTAGGTAAGCAGCTAGGAAATTGAGGAAATGAGAAAGATGGTAGAAAAGGTCTTCAAAGAGTGTGAGGATAAAGTTAATTTAAAGGAATTCGATCATTTTGCTAACTAAGCTAATTTAGCTATTGAGGAACTTTAGCGCGATATGTTACTTAAATCAAATATCAAAGATGTTTGCACTCTTTTAGATGCTAAATCTAGTAATGAGTTAAACTTTACTTTGTAATTAATTTATATAAATTATTTAAATAGATATTGATGATGTAAATAGAGCTTTAAGTGATATCCATCGCGAATTAGAAAAGAAAAGTTATCAAGAAGATCTTAATAATATAGTGAGCGATTAAGCAATTATAAATGAATAACTTTGTACTGAAAATATAGTTGGTAGATGGACTTGGAAATCTGGTGAAATTAAAGCTGGTTCTCTCATTCCTTGGGAAGTGTAATTAGTAAATACTCTTCCTGATAATTACTTGTGGGAAAAAGAAAAAACTAGCATTTTAGTAGTTGCTCCTGGCTTGTATGAAGTAAGCCTTTTATTTAGTTTTTTACTTAAAAATGAGGATTAAAATTAACAATATCATATATGTATATATATAGGTTACACTTGGATTCTTTGCTAAAAAGAAACCAACTATATAGATTCTAATCAATGGAGAACCTATAATGTCTGCAGTTAATACTGCTTCTTATGTTATGCATCATTCGTCAGGAAAAATCAAGGATATTAAGCACTCTGCTGGCACCATCACAGGTAAAAATTTATTTTAGACTTGATTTGATGCTAAAATTAAATTAAAAAATAGGTTTAACCTTAGTGGATTTCATTATTTTACCTGCTAGAGCAAGAATTTCCCTAACTTATACAGGTGAATTCGGAGGCGAAGGTTTCTTTGGTCTAAAGCGTTTATGATGATGAAAATTTAAAATAAAAAATAAATAAATAAATATTTAATAAAAATTTTAATTTGATGAAAATAAAACAAACATAATTAAGAAAAGTTTTTTGAATTATATAAAAAATAAAATAAATAATTCTATCTATTGTTTCCTTCCTTCCTTTTATCCATACATGCATATTTTTATTCACTTTTGTAATTCATTTTGAGTTTTTGTTTAATTTTTAAACTAAATAAATAAAATTAATAAATTCAGTTAATCTATTATTTTTTCATTTTATTTGGAAAAGCAACCCTTTTTTGTGACATCAATAAAATCCAATTTAAAAAGTTATTAAATCAGAACATACTAATTAATAAGTTTAATTATTACAATTTTTTTAAAGGATTTAATAATAAAAGTAAAATTTAAATTATGTTAACATTTATTAATATAGTGTAGATCCTCGTAAATACTTAATTTAAATTAAGACCAAGATTTCATTTTTAAAAATATTGTAATAAAAATTATTTAAAACCTAAACAAATAATTAAATTAAATAAATGTTAAGTATTTACAGTGTAGTAACAATATTAAGTTTAAGAAATAAATAAATATATTTATAATTGTCATAAAATTATTTATTTTTTATTTAATTTTTGATTAATTTTAATATTTTCTATATTTTAAAAACAAACTCAATTTTTTGTTCTGTTATTCTATTTTTTATTAAACTTATTATGCTAATAATTTTTAGCTGATTATTAGTTATTATTTTAATTTTATTTAAATTTATTTTAGTTATGTTAGTTGTTGTTTAACTTTTAAGAAAATTGCTCTCCTTTATCTCGATGCTATTGGTTGTTAAAACTTTCATCTTTTTTGTTAATATTTTTGTTTTTTTTCCTCTTAGGGTAACTCTTATTAATAATTCTATCTATAGACCAAAATTTTACTGTTTAATCATCAGAACCTAAATGAATAAAAAAATAATAATTAAAATAATATACAAATTTGAAATAGATTTAGGAATTTACATGTTATCAAAAGATTTTAATCCAAAGGAGAAAATACTGCATCATTGATGTACCCTTTATGACCTCTAACATTTTTGAATTCTAAACTAATCTGCTAATTGTTGTTGTTCTAAATTAAATTTATATTTTTTTACATTTCAGATAAATTATTTTTTTAATTTCCATCTTCTTCTTATAAATCTTAGGTAAGTAAGTTATTTTAAATCTCTGTTTTTATTTATTATTCTGTCTTAACAAAATTAGTAATTTCTTCATTTTCTTCATCACTTTCATTTTTATCTTATTTTGAAGTATTATTTGTCTATGATTACTGTTGTAATTAGCTAACAGAGCTAGGCAATAAATTGTAAATTTATAATGTGTTATGATTTTGAGCTATAGAAAGCATATAATAACAATCAGACACAGGAGAGAACATTACTTTTTCAATTGGATATTCATGCTTTAGATATGTTACAAATTAGAAGGATGAGACGTCATCAGGGTTACCTAAATAAATACTTATTCTCCTATCCAAGCAAGCACAAGCGACTATCAATTATGAACTATCAGGTGTTTACTTAAATGCTATGCTTTTAACAACATTTTTGTGCATATTTTAGAATTATTTATACTGATAGTCGTAATAGAAACTAATACATCCTAATTAAGCAAACACAGCAAATACTTAACTTTTAACAATGTCAAATTCAAACTATTGCACATTGTTTTTATTTTCGCAAATTAAATAATCTTCAATAGAAATGCTACAATCAGATAGATCAATCAAGCTAATATATCCGCCTTTTTTGAAAACTAGCAAATAATGATCGTCATTTTAAGTTAGCAAACCTTTTTCTTTGGTTTCAATATGATCTTTTTCTACTTTAATCTATTTTTACAAAGCTTTTTCCTATCCTAACTCTTCCTTTTTTCCTATTCCATAAATAAAAATGTTAATAAATAAATATTAAATTTTTAATTTTTACCTTCATTCTAAGCTGTGTTAACTGATTAAAAGAGAATGTTTTATAGTTCATCAACTTATTCCTTTTTTATCCATTTTAAGTTCAAGATGTCTCTGTTGCTTAGATACTCAAAACTGATTTTCTCTTTAAAGAGGTCATATCCAACTTTAAATAACAAAAATTAAATTATTAGCCAATTTAACTAAAATCAATGAATTACCTAGCTTTTTTGGATTGTCTTCTAAAAAAAGAACCATAACATTTTCAAATTATGGATGAAGAAGCATTTGCTTCACATTTATTTGATCAATCCTTTTGTAATACTCTTTTACGTAAAGCTGGTCATGCTTATTTATTATTAAAAGTTAAAATTAGTATTTTCAATTTTGAATAAATAATTCACTTACTATTTTAGAGGAATCCCAAACTCTTACTGTGCGGTCTAAACAACTCATGTAGATTAACTCTTTTTCTACCTAAGAAATTGCTAGAGAATTCACTTTAGCTCCTAAGCAACTGAGTTACCATTCAAATTCTAATTGATAAGGTATAGTTTAATTAGATTATTCTTCTTTATTAACATCATCATTTTCAATATTATTATCTTCTTCTATTTCAAATTCATTTGCATTTTAAGAAATGCTTTATCTAGTTATGTTAAAAAATGAGATTCTCCTGTCGATAGAAAGAGTTATCAATTTTTTATCTTAAATTGTCTAAATAGAAAAAATTCCATCATAATGGTTAGTGTCAGGAACTTTAGAATAATAGGAATCGTCAAACTGTGCACTCAAAGGATTTATAGTAAGTTTTTAGTTAGATTTAGAAAAATCAATAAATTTAGAAACATTAAAGATGTAAATATCTCCCATTTTACCAGTCAAAATAAAGTTATCATAATCCAAGCTCTTGATTGTAAAGCTAGATTGAAGCAAATCGTTATTTTTTTTATTATAAATGAAAAATATCTCAATATCAACAATGCTTTTAACCTAAAAAATATTTTTGCTTTAGGTTTTTTCTTAGATTTAAGCTTCACCTTAAACTTAATTGATTTCTTCATTATCAGTTTTTTATTTATTTTCTTAGCTTTCTTCATTAATATTATTATTTTAATTTTACATTTTTTCAAAGGAATTTTCTTGAGTTTGAATTTTATTTGCTTGATTTAGATGTTCATCTTAAGATATTAACTAGCTTGAGGAATTATTTATTATGTTTTATCCTATTTCTATCAAATTTAGAAAGACATAATTTTTTATTTTCTTGAGTAGGATATATCTTTAATTTTCATTTTCTGACTACTTTGGTATTTCATCCAAAGTTAATATCTTTCCATCAATTTGGTGAGTAAAAATTTTATTATTATTTTCATATAAGAAAATTTAGCCTTCTTCAAAGAAGTTGATTGTGTACTTATTTTAGATACACTAAGTAGAAGAAGAATTATTGGTATGAGAATCTAGATTGGAAAGAAAAGAAGAAAACTTTAATTTTAAGTTAAATTTCGATTGCTGGATGTTAATTTTAAATGAAATAATTTTCTTTTTGATAAGATCATATTGCAGATGAAAAATAGACCCATTTTATAATTTGATGATTATTTTAGCAATATATTTATTAAATTCATTATTGTCTACATTAATTGAGATAATTGTTTGGTTTAAAACAATATTTTGTTGTTCTAACAATTCAGACTTTTTGCTACCTTGATTATAACTATGAATATAAAAAGTCCCACTAGCACTACCTGCTAGTATTATAATATCTTCTTCTTAACTTTCGTGATTTTCTCCTTAAGTTTTATTTTAATCTTTATAATTTAGATTGATTGGCAAAAAAGCAACACATGAAATCTTTTCCCTCATGTTAGAATTATATAAAATGGTTTCGTATTTTTTTTGTTAGTAATTAATAATGTAAATATCGCTGTTTGATCCATAAGCAAACAAGTCTGTGTTAACATCATAAGCAGAAATTTAATTAAGATACCAGTTTGCAGAATAAGCTAAACACTTTTCAGGAATGTCTATTAAACTTTGCATTTGTTTATTACTTGATTGATCAAAGTTTATTAATAATATTAAACAACAAAAAAAAGATATCTCTTTAGTTATTATTTATAATCCTTTCTTTTTAACAGCTAAAAATGTTTAAGCTAAAAACAAAAAATTCGAAAATAAAAAAAATAGTATTAAAATAAAAATATTAATATATTTTTTAAATTAGAAAATAAAATTTAATGAGTGAATAAATATAATAATCTAATCATAAATAAATAAATACCTTTTTATCAATTATTTCATAAATTAATTGAAATTCCTAAATAGACTTAATCTTTATATTAGAAATATCCTTTTTTTGTTTTCTAAACTTTAAATTTTATTAATTTTTTAATAACTAAAATATATTTTTTATAAAGAAATATTTTTAAAGAGCTATTTAAATAAAAATTAAAATCATTTTGGTAATTATGGTTATAAGGATTTGTTAACTTAAATCATTAAAAATTCACTGAAAATTATCAACAAATCTTTAATATATCTTTAATTTATTTTAATTTTAGAGATTTTTACTTCATTTTTGGTTGAATCCAATTTTTCTAAATAAAATCTTTTCATTCAAGCTTAACAAAAAAATATAAAATATTTTGTATTTAAAATAAAAAAATGGCTCAATAAAAAATGTAAAATACTTCAAATAGTTGTTTAAAAAAAGATTTAGACATAATTTTATTAAAATAAGAATCATAAATGCTCACTAAAAATATATATTATTATCTTATCTTTTAATAAGTAAGTATAACTAATATAAAGTCTAAACACTATAACTTATAGGTTATAATTAATAATTTTGATTATTATTTTTGGGTTCCTCTCCTGATTTCTTGCTTTTCTTGGTTTTCTGTTAGAATACTTAGATATTTTTCATATAAATAAAAAAATATCCAAAAATAATTCTTAAAAACTCACACATTTATTTAAATATAATCTATGTTATAATAATTAATCATAAAATTAATATAAAGAAAATTAACTCAAATAATATTTTATAATTTTACCAAAAAATTAAAAAGTAACTTAAATTTTTTATAAAATAGATTTAAATCTTAATAATTTTAATTTTATTCAAATTTCCATATTAAGTTTAAAAAATTTTAGTAAAATATAAGAAAAATTAAATTTAACTTAAATAAATAATCAAATTTGCCTTAAATGTCTTTTATATTGAGTAACTAAATAGAAATTTATTAAAAAGGAGTGAGAGAATTAATTATCTATCTATCTACCTAAAAATTAAATAGATTGGATATTTTTGAGATAAATACTTTAATTTAGAGATTTTTATTTATGCATTTTTCTATTAAATGCTGTCATTGAATTTAATTTAGTTCAAGAGATATCAAATAAATGCCGTATTTCTTATTTTTGTTTGAATATTATAGTGTGTACTAAATAAATAAATAATTGCCAATCAAAATTGTATGAAAAATATTTGGTTTTCTTTTTAACTTATGTAAAGACTTTTTTGGTAGTTTGTTTCTATGCATGTATATATCTATGTATGTGTATTAATACAGCTAATTTATAAGAATTGATTGAAATTTAGCAGAAAATAACTCTCTAAAGAAAAGCAGATTTTTATAAAATTTAAGTTAAAAATTAGAAAAGGTGGAAAGAGTTTTGTTAGATTGAATAGAAAAAACCTTTAAGCAATTACAGTATTTTATAATATCAATAGCACCAATACTGTAATAGATTGAGTAGACTTACTATTTTCTAGTTACTTAATAATTTTTAGTCAAATTTTCTAAGGGCAATTCATTATTGATACATATTTGTGAATCATTAACAACGTTTTACTCATGCAGCAAGAAGCGGATTTCAAGAGAAAATATTAAACCAAAATAGATTTTTTATAGAAGGAAAACAATTAACTGAGAGACGAAAATTTGAACTTATAGAAGCTTATCAAATTATAGCATGAAAAATAAGAAATTTTAGAAGAAATCAAATAGATTCAGTGCTAATATTCATAGTCTTACTTACAATATGAAAGGGCTGGATCATTATAAAGCAAATCAAAATCAATTTAAGCAAAATGTAATTGCCAAGAACTTCAAAGAACAAATAGCATGCTTTAATAGTTATTTAATAAAACTATGATCGAAAATAAAAGAATGGTAGCTCTTATAAGTGTTATTCAAAATGAAAGAGATACTGCTCTATCAAAGGTACTACTTATATATAATAAGTTAAAAATATAATACCTCTACAATCAATTAAAAATTAACTCTTTTCAATAGCAAAAAAATAATCTTTCGATTGCTCATCAAAATAAACTAATAGGCTTACTTCCTTACATTCATTCATTTAGTTTTTCTAAAAAAAACACATATTTAAAAAAAAATTTTATAAATAATAGGCTCTCATCCACGAATAAATTATCGAAGGGTTGCAGTTAGAGGAAATAGATTTGATAGAGTCATTAAACGGATAAATAATTGCTCAGAAAAGCTGTATACAACAGTAGTGCAATGAAATAGACACACTAAACAAAAAATTACAAGAATTTAATGTTGAAAAAAAAGGTCAAAATATTATAGAATTAGAAAAATTCTCAACTTTACAATAAAAAGTAAATTAGAAATTGTTTAATATTATTTTAAATCCTAATTTCAAACAATAAAAAAAAGGGTGAAGATAAAAAAACTTCATAAAAAGTAATAGAACTAAATAGTTTGTTAGAATAGAGCTTAGAGTAACTAAACAGTAAAAACGCAAAAATCAAATTTCTTGAAGAACAAAAAAATGAGTTAATTATGATTAATTCTGTAAAGTTTTAAAATATTTAATAAAATTTCATTTTATTTTAATTTAGATATCAAAAGTTTATAAAAATATAATTCATTTTATTTTCTCACTTCGAACTTTTAAAGGAAAAAGAATAAAAATTTAAATATATTAATTGGTTATATACTAATTATATTTTCATACATACTAAAAAGCTGCTAACGTCTGAGCTGCAACAACTTAAATTCAATAAAAAAGAAAACCTAAGTCTCTCTAAAATAATACATAGTAATTTATTTATAATTTCTATTCAGTTGTGTGTTTTTTTTTTTATTAATGTAATTGAATTTAATTTCTTGAGTTTTGTTAAGCAAAAAAATGAGTAATTTAAAAAATAAAAGAATCTTTGATCTCAATCTTGATTAGCATTATATTTATTGATTATCTTCCATTTTAAATTTCGAAAACGATGAATATTTAAATTTTAAGATTCAAATTCAGACAGATAGTCAGTCAACTATTTTATTAATTTATCAATGAAAATGCTGATTAAATTTTAATTGAAAAAAATAAGTTGTAAATAATTTCATGAAAATATTTGCTTATTTAATAGATTAGTACAAAATATTTGGTGATGAGGACATGTTGAGTAGCAATTATTCAAATTTAAGCTATAATGAGGAGGTGCTTCCAGATAAAGTGAATTTCAAAAAAGATAAGGAAGATGGGGTATCTTAAAATCAAAGATAATATTCTAACTCGCCGATGTACAAAACGTTGAAGAAAAATCAAAGTAATTAATAAGGGGGAAACTTAAATATCGCGAATAGCAATAACAACAATATCAGTAACTTATATTTGATAACAGAAGGACAATAGGGATAAATAAATTCTCAAAATAACATGAGTTATATTAAACCTAATGAATAAAATCAAAGCACTAACCCAAACTTAGCCATTAATAAACTGAACACTCTTAATAATAGCTTCTAAAATGCTTCTGTAATTTCTAATTTGAATGTACCCAAGTTAGATCTAACCAAAGCTTTCAAGGTGCAGTAAATAAGTGTAAATAACTAAATGAAACAAGAATAAATTAAGCAATAAATATATAGCTAATACAAATCTCTTATTGAAAAGAGAAAGCTTTTGTAGAAGCGCAGACAAGAAAAACTTATTACAGAAGAATAGTATCTATTAAATAATTTATAATTTATTTAACAAGATGAAGAGTTAGTATAGGAGTTAAAACCTATCCTTGAAGAGAGTTCTCTGCTCCAAGAGGAGATTAAGAAAAGCAGAAAGAGTTTGGAGACTAGTTATTTTAACTTAAGATAATAGGAAAATTTGATTGACACTTTGAAAAGAGATCTAGCTGATGCAGTTGATAAAAATACGATTCTAATTTAATCTAACATTTAATATGAAAATAAGTGGAAAAAATTTTAAATTTATTTTAGTGCTTACAAGGATTTCTATTTAAGTCAACAATCTACTTCTTTGATGAATACTTGCTCAACAAGGAATCATAATTTAACTTCAAATTAGAATGGAAATAATAACAATAATAATAACTAAATAAACATAAGTAACAACATACCACAATACTCTAATACCTAATAGCCATATAGTCCTTACATTTTAAGTAATTCTGAGAAATAAAATAACTTCAATCAAAGCCACTTAAATCATCAGTACACTTCCTAAGTAAACAATGTAACCTTGAATAATAACAATTATTCTCATTAAATAAGCATAAACTAAATAAATCACACAAGCAGCATAAATCCTTTCATTCCTTCTGCTCATGGAGCTATTGATTTAGAGTAGATCCCATAAAATTAAAACTATGTAAATTGCGCTTAAAACTAACCTTACTTTTAGTATTATGAGCAGCTTGGATAAAAGGTATTTGATGAGCAGGATGTTCAAAATTCTGTTTTTGTCCCTTTGTCTCTTAGAAAAAATAATGAAAAACATTATCTCAATATACATACATAAAGAATTAACAAAAGATGCAATTAATACTAATTTATCTCCAATTCAAATAATCAAAATGAAGAGCAAAAGATAAACATTATGCAGAGCACTGTTGCTGCAGCTCCATTCTCATCTAATAATTTTTAAAATGTTTTTAGCAATCCGCAATCTTAACAGCTAATTGCTTTAAATGTATTTAATGAGGAATAATTTGGCTAAAAGTATAATAAATTTAATCAACCTTAAGTTAAAAACATCTAAGAAGCCAAGAGCAAAATCATCTCTCTTGCTTAAGAACTTTATTTCTGTCTTGGTCTAAATAAAATAATTCCAAATTAAATGGAATCTCCTATTTAAAATTTCTAAAAACTTTACAAAACTTTAGATAAAAGCAATCAAAATCCTGCTCTAAATGATAAATAAAAAAAGCCTTCAGTTGCATAAAAAAAAAAGAGAAGTAACAACTTCAAGTCAAGAAGCTTTTCCCCATAATGGAGAAATCATAACAATCGTTTGGTGCCATTGCCATTTAGATGTTTTCTTAAATACAAAAATATACAGCCCCTTAGAGCTTTGCATGTCAAAACCATGTCAATGCATAACGAAGATAAATTAAATTTTAAGTTTTCAAGTACTAAAATTAACTCAGATTTTCAAATTATTTGAAGATATCTAATATCCATCCATCTATCCATCCGATAATTATATCATAAAAGCAATATCGAATTCTCCAAACTTTATTTTTAAAAAAAATCAGTAATAATTTTATTACCAATTAAATAATTATATAAATCTATAAGTAAGTAATTCAATTAATAAGTAAATAAGTAAATAAATAAATAAATAATAAGTTTATTCCTATTTCTAAGATTATTTTGTGTACATAATATATTTAAATTTCTTAAAATAATATTTATGTTATTCATGTAATACATTAAATATTTACTATTATTTAAAGAAGCTATTCAAACCTAAATTTTACAAATAAAAGTCCCTTTAAATCACTAAAAATAAACAAATTTTTAGCATTTATTTTTGAAAAGAATAAAAAGGAGGATTTTCTTTTTATAATTAAAAAAATTTAAGATTTAAAACACCACTAAACTTGTTAAATAAATAGGCACTAATATGAAATAATTAAATTTTCATTAAATAAAATTCTGTGGGTATTTATTTTACAAGAAAATATGATATTTACATTTATTAACAATTAATGTAACTAAAAACACACTAATTAATACCTAGATACAGACAACTTTGATTATTATTAAAAAAGGAGTATTATTTCATATAAATGATATTTTTAGATATTTATTTTCTCAACAAATTTTTTAATTAATTTAATGTAAAACGAAAAATTATTTATTTATTTAATTATTTTATTGCTAAAAAATAAATTTTTTGTTTTTTAATATTTTTTAGCTTGAAATTTAATTGATATAAAAAATATGATGCTTTTTCCTCAAAGTAAATATTATGATTGATTGATTGATTACACTTAGATAAAAATAATAAAAAATGAATTGCACATTCAATAATATGAAATTAGTTAAGTAGACTCTTCGTCATTGTACAAATAATCATCATCCTATATTAATAATTTTAAATTTAATTGATTATTTTAAAACATAAAACAATAGTTTATTTACATCTATTTATGAATTACGCCCTTTGAATATGCCGTAAATAAAGAATATGGTTTTCAAAAATAAAAAGGCTACATTTGAGAAAAAGAAAACCATTGCAAATAAGGGGAAACTAAGACTCATTCTATTAGTAAAGTATTAAATAAATATTTTGTTATTAAAAGATATTTAAAATATGTTTTGATTGTGTAGTTAGTTTATTGAAAAAAATTTTACTTATTATAAAAAGTAGAAATATTAGACATTGAGCAGACATATTTTATAGATGAAGAAACGCTACCCAAAGTACATTGATCTCCTTTAACGGTCCTCTAGGCTCCGAATGTCGTATATTAAGGTGATATATACATAATCTGAGATGTCATTACCATAATACAAATAGAAACAAAGAAAGCAAAGATTATCAATGCCTAAGGTTAAGATGTAGACCTTCTAATTTCGTAATTCTTTAACCAAAGGTAGTTAAATCCTAGCTTGATAATACCATATAAAAGTGCTATATACATATATCCTGCAATTATAAAGAAAAAGAAGTAATCCAAGGGATAATAACTGCTCAAGTAAACTAAAATTTAATCTAATGGATTGAATGTTTATTTTCTTTCAGTAATGTAACCACATCTTAAACCACAGCTTGATCCTTAAATCTTTTTTTATACAAATTTTGATATTTTATAAAAAACATTCTATTAAATTATTTATTTTGATTACTCTGTCGTATGTTGAAAGGAACAAAGAATAATAAAGCATAAATGAAATGACAAGTGATGATATTCCTAACAAAATTCTAAAGGGAGCAAGAATTTTGAAGAGAGTTTATAGATTGTCGTTAGTATTTTCTTCTAGCTCGCTGATCCTCGAAGTCTTAAACTGAAGAATTCTTTAAACATAATTTAAAATATTAATTAAGCCAACTTATTTATTTATTAATTAATTAATTGTTTACCTTTCCCTTTTTCTTAAATTAGCTAAATTTTTTTTGTCATGGTTGGAGATTTTTCCATGTGATTTGGCATATTTTCCTTAAATTGTTTTTTATTATTGTTTTACTTAATCCAAGTCTGAAAAAACTTCATCTTTTTCTTGACTCAGGGATTTTGTACCTTTAATAAGGTAGAGAGGAAGCATAATTAATCCATAACTTCCGTAAATTATCCATAAAATACTTCCGAAGCTAATAAATAAGGCTATACAAAAAGATATAGCAGACTCTCCAACTAATAAATAAATTCAATTAAAGTGATTATTATTTTAATTTTATTAACAAATAAATTAAGAAATTACGATGTTCTACATCAAAAAGTTCTTTAACCCAATCTACTTCATCAACACCTTCACTCTATGCTGATCTATCTTTTTCTTTAATAACTAATCCTAGCAAAAGGAGTACACTCACAACGAGTATAAAGAAAGTCTAATTTGTAAATAATCATAAATATAAATTGAACAAACAAACAAACAATCAAATTATTTATTTTTAAAGATTTTAAGTTTTTTTAGCTGTTGGTTAAAAAAACTGAAAATAAATAAATAAATTAATGATTAAAATAATTTACAGTGTTTTGTAAAGCTTTAAAGAATTTTGAAGAAGTTGAGGTTGTGTCCATCGAAACATCTTCATCAAAATCTTTCTATTTTTACTCGCAATAGAAATAACTAAAGGGTAATAGGATAAATGAACATAAAATCAGCACTCCATATATTTCTAAATTTCAAAAAAGAAATAAAATAAATATTTTTGAATTATCTAAATGCATTTATACTTAATTCCAATTCTTTCATGAATGTTTGATTCACATTAATTTCTAGTGTTGAAAATGTTTTTTCCTATTTTGTATTTTAAAAAATGAATGTTTGCTGAAATATTAAAATTTGTTTGTTTGATTGTTACCTTATTTTATGTTACAAGAATATCAATAGGGATAATCAATAAACATATCATGCTGAGTACTAAACTAATATTTTCATAATGAATTTAATAAATTTATTTGCATTGAATCAAATATATTACCATATTATTACTGAATATTTTGTAACAAAGTACTACTCTGATGGATCTATATAATATTTATAAATCATCCTTGCGAATAAATACAGGACCTTTTAAGTAAAAAGGGCAATCAATATTTTGAAATGAGTTATTAAAATGTTTTCGTTACTGCCATAAGGAATCCAAATAATATCCAAGTGAGATACATTTATTTTCTTGCTCTATTTTATTTTTATCTTAAAATTTTATTTGATTATTGCTTGTTGCTTGATTGTTTTTTAATCCTAGCTTGTTGGTGTTTCTGCTTTTTTTATAAATATCTTTAATAAGTATTTAATAGAATTTAATTATTTAGTAAATTTTAATCATTTTTGATGGAATAAATCAACATAACAAAAAAATCAGTCATTTAAAGTGATTTTTAATTAATATTCAATTAAAAAAACACAAACAAAATGTTCCAAGAAATCGTTTTAGAAAAATTGATTGTGTTAATTAACTATTTAATTTTCTATTTTTGATTTCTTAAAGAAATTTATTGTTGTTATTAAATTACTTCTAATTTTCCTTTTTTAACAAAGATTTTCTCATTATATTCATTTTCTCAATCATTTTACGTTTTAAGATTTTCTTAAAAAAAATTAAAAAATAATATCCCTGCTAAAGTAACCAAATAACATCTATTTATATTTAGATTTATTCTTTAAATTCAAGAAATATCTAATAAAATTATTTGCATTATCATTATTTTTGTTTGTCTTTTAACAAAAAATGAGTTATTTTTTTTATAAAAGATAGTAAGAGCGCTAATTGAGCAGCCATTTGTATGCTAATAATTATATGGAATATTTTTTGAAATACTTGATTACAATTGACCACCAATCTTATTTTATTTTAAAAAGAAAGAAATTATATTTTATAAGAATTATAAAAAAAAACCGGATTGATAATTTGAAAATTAATTTTATGTATTTATTTATTAAATTAATTAATGTAAATTAGAAATAACAAAAATATTATAAAAATATTTGATTTAAGTTAAATTAACAAGTGTTTTGTTAGCTTTTTTGATATTTTTTAGTACTTCTGTCAAAATGCAGCTTTTGTTTGATATTTTAAGGAATAATAATTTAATATTGGACAATAATTTACAGATTATAGAACATTTTTTATACAAAAATAAAGAGAAATTAATTTCAAACATTATTTTTCAAACAATTATTGTGGAAACTTTAAGCTCTTCTATTAGAGTTGAATTGTTGAAGAAGTGGGTCTTGTTAATTGTTAGAGGTTTAGCTATCATAGACTTAGTTGAGAAGATGTTTGCTTTTGGCAGTTAATTAATTTATATAATCTTATTGGATATTTAGTTTGTCTTCGTTGATGAGTTCATCTCCAAAAGAGATAGCTTCTTGAAGGTTGTTGTTAGAATAAGGAGTAAATGTCGAAGCATCATCTTTATGATATCTGTTTTAGTTTGTTCTAGTAAGACTTTGTGAAGGAGAAGTAATATTTGCAGATCTATTACTAGTAATTATTTTTTGTTTTGATGAGTCATCTTATTAGCTTAATCTGTTAGTCGAGTAGTAAACAGTATTATTAATTAAATTATTGCTTCCTTCATTAGATTAAGCATCCTTGTTGTTATCCTTATTTATTGTAAATTGTTTCGAATTCAACTAAGAGGGATTAGAAGCATTAAAGCTTATTCCAGAATTATTTTTTTCTGCTTAACTATTTTTAAATTAGATATGAGGAATGTTAGCTTGGTTTAGAGCACTTTTTACTGATAAAGTGTTTACATTTGCATTACTGCTTTGAGATCTTGAACGTTGTAAAAATTAATCAAGTTATTAAAGTTTATTTAACTTTTGAATAATATCATCATTTTCACTTTATATTTTTTGTGCTTGATAAGAAGGACCATTCGTATTAATTTACTAATTATTTTTACTCATTGAATTTATTAATTGATTATTTGTATTGTGTTATGGACTTGATAATTTTGTTTATGGATTATTCATATTCAATTATTATGGATTGTTCACATTATTAGATAGATTATTATTTAATGAAACAATTGCCTTATCGTATTTGCTTGGCCTTTAATTGTTTGATATTATTTAATCACTTTAAGATTATTAAAAGTTCATTTAGTTTTTGTTGAGCTCTTCTTTTATTGGGTGAGGATTGATTTCTAGATCTCTACTTAAATTTAAGTTTTAAGTAAATTAGTTAAATTGTTTAGGACTCAGCTAGGTTTTATTACTTTTCCTAACATCTTCCAATTTATTTTCTTGCTTGTTAGAAAAATACTGTAATTCTGCATTGCTGCTTAAAGATTTTCCTCTACCTTTTTCTTCCTAACATGCCTATGAGATATGTTCTTAATTGAATTTTTAGTTTTAAAAATCATTATTTAAGAAATTTTTTTAAATCAAATTGCCTTGCTTTATTATTTAATTGTTATTATTGATATTATTATTACTATTATTATAGTTGCTGTTTTAGCTTGCAAATTGATTTGACTGAGATTTATTGTTACTTTGATATAACTTTTAATTAGATTGATTGTATTCATTTTATTGAACGCTGCTGTTAAATGTGTGGTTAGGTGGAATATTGGTAGAAGTGCTGCTGATGTATTTATTTTAATTGTTTAATAGTGAAGATGTAGAAGCTAAGTGATGGTTATTCTTTAAATTACTGTATGTCATACTTTATCCTCTAATGTGACTCTAATTATTAGAAGTATTTGTTTGGCTGTTGTTGTCACTCTCGACCATATTATTTGTCTTGATAAAGCCACTTCTTACGAAGTTATTCTAGAGCATGTATGATGGATTATTAACATTACTGAGTTTAGAAATGTATGAAATATTTTAATTGTTGTTGTCTCTATTAACTTAGTTTTTGTTATTATTACTAAGATTTTAATTTATTAGATTGCTATAACTTGATGTATTGTGGTTAGGAGTCTAAAAGATTGTATTTGTTGAATGCAAACTTAGATTTTTTTATGATCTATTTTACATGCTATTTGTAATATTTTGTAAATGGTTCTGAGAAGATTAAGCTATCAAGCCTTATTAGTTAAAATTAGAGCTTATCATATTAAAACTACTTTATAAGTTATTTTGAATAGGAGAGCAACTGATACCATCATTCAACAACTTCAAAGACTAATTATGATGCAAGGTTTAATTGAATTATAAATTGTTTTAATTAGGATTATTTAATTAAGATTGCATTAATTAAGTTTAAGCGAGGCTGGTGTTCTCCGAGTTGTTGTTTGCTTATGCAAAGTTGCTTGTGAGCTGTATGCTCGATTTATAAGTATGGAAATTTTTCTTTTTTAAAGAAAGACAGGAACTTTCAATCATTTGATGAATTTCTTTAATATTTTGTTATTCAAGTTTTTCTTTCATGAGTTATCTTTCTTTTTTAATTGTTTGCTTTTGTTTCATTTTTAGCTTTTCATTCGCCACTTCGAGTTAAATCTCATTTAATTGATTAGAAACTTGCTAAACTTTTAAATGAGCTGCTATAACTTCTTACTGTAATTACTAATTCTAATTAGTAAGCTGATTTTCTCTTTAATCAGCTATTTGAATTTAAATTTTAGCTTTTTCCAGGCCTAAATGAAGTCCTTCGATGTCAGTTTGCAGTAATTAAACCTACCTAAGAAGCTATGAATTTTCCTATAAAAGTACTTAAATTTCATCTCTATATTCTGTAATTTGTTTGTCTTGACTGTGGAATTGAGCCATTTATTCCTTTTATTCAGATAAAAGTCTCGTTTTGAACTCGAAATTAGCCTTTTGTTACTAAGATAGTGTTTAAAATTATTTTAATTAAGAAATTTTCTCCTCAATTTCAACTTCTTGTTGAGCAATTTTTTATAAATTTTGTAGCTCCTTCTACCTGTATACAGCAATTTCTTTCTATAATTACTCGATTAGTTGTTTATTCTGCTCTTTGCATTCTTCTCTAACCTTATCCCCTTAGTTATTCAATTATTGATTTATCCTTTGCAAATCTTCTGCTTTTGTTAGGTGTTCCTGTGCTTCAGTTAATCTGTTCTGCAAGAATTGATTCTCCTACTAGCATAGCTCAGCTTCCTTAATCAAAATATTTATCTATGAGTTTAATGAATCTGCTTGCATCTGCTTTTAGCCTAATTCAATAGACAGACTATCTATCCTAGCAATCAATCTTTACCTTTCTTCAATTATAAGAGCATTTTCTTCTTTTAATCTCTTTATATCCTCCATAACATATTCTTCTAGCAGTAATTTTTCACTTCTCAACTCAATTTACTTCTTTAAGTGTTCTTCTATTTCCAGCTTTGTTTTTTCCTCGCTTTTATTTCTTTTGGTTTTTCTGCCTTTTTAATGAACATCACTTGATTAAGAGTCGCTCTATTCTTCTATTTCCTCATTATATTATTTTTTGAATCTTTTTGAGTCGCTGTAGCTTTTTCTCAAAGGATTTTTAGAGTTATTTATTTATCTTTCTCTACCATTTCTAGTATTTTTATTTTAACCATAGCCATAATCATAATCATCAAGATATTCATTATCTCCACCATCCATCAAATCTTAATTGTAACATTTATCTTTATTCTTTTAATTATAAATCCTGCTTTTTTATTATTTTTATTTTTTTTAACTTTGACTACTTCTTAAATCTTCTTCATATAAACCTTCTTCTTCTTCAGAATTATTAGGGCTCTTATTAACATACTTAGAGCTTTATTTTCTCACCCTCTCGTTAAACTTAGGTGAGTGATTTTGATTACTCAAATCTTCAATATCAATCCCTTATTTAAAAAACTTATTTTTCAAATCACTAAATTACTCAGCTAAAGCATTATAATTTAAATTTAATTTCACTTCATCTTCTTTACATTTAGAAAGAATTTAAAGGAACCTAATGGAAAACTCTTCTATTTAACTTGTATATTCTTTCCTTAGAACAAAAAATTTATCTAAAATTTCTTTTTAAACAATATTATTGAGATCTTCTTTAAGATATTAAATGGTTTTCATCAACTACTTTATTTTAATACTAAATTTTATCTTTAAATCTTCAGCATTCCTTAGCTTTTTGCTTTATTACTCCACCAAACTAGATAAATACTCTTTTTCCTTTTTAATTTACTCCTATGAGTCTTTTGAATCATTTAGCTTGGCATTTAAATTCTCTAGTTTACCTTACAAAACAATGTTATTGCTTCTTAAAGATTGAATTTCATTCATATCAACAGTAATCCCTTATTAGCGTTTCTCCAATAAAAGCATCATATCTTGATTTTGTTTTTTCTCAAACTCCTACTCTTTCCTAATCTCCCTCAATTCAATATTTAATTTATAGTTTTCTTAACATTGATTTTCTGCTTTATCTTTAAGTTGTTTAATCTATTAATTTAATTTCCTTTCAATGTCTTTGAATTTACTTTATATCTCTTAATTCTGTTCTTCTAAATTCTTTATATCTTCTTGTAATAGCTAGTTTTCTCTTTCCTTGCTATCCAATTCATATTGTGCTTGCTTAATCTTATCTTTTTGTTCACTGAGTAAACTCTACTTTTTACAGAGATCTTGATTTAATTTTTAGATCTCTTCTTCATATTATCTACATTTATTCTATGAAATCTCGCTTTAAGATAAGTTATAATTCAAAGAACTAATTTAATCTTTTAGCTTTTCAATCTATTGTTGCTATTATTTAATCGTATTATTTAATTCATTAACAGTATTGTTTTTATCTTTTTCGCTCTTTTCCAGAATCTCTTGCTTTTCTTTCTTAACAGCTTCAAACTACTCCCTAGATATGGTACTATCTTCAATACTTTTAATTTTATCTTTCATTTGCATTTCCATTTGCTTCATCTCTTGCTTAAATTACAGCTCCTGAAGTTGTAAATTTTTTTCAAACCCTTCTTTTTAATTTTCTAGTTCAACCTATATTAAATAAGTTTTAAAAGTTCAAGAAATAATACTTCTTAACGAATAATAAAATGTTAAATTCATTAATAAATCTTGATAAAAATAATATCTTGTTATTAAATTAAATTTAGAATTATTATTTGATCTTCTTTAATTTTAAAAATGATATAAAATTATTAACAAACACTTTTCTCTAAAATGCATTCTTAATCAAAGTTCTTTTTACTTTGCTTTTATTTTAAAACAGTATTTTTAAAAATGATTTCTTTAAACTTTTTTTACTTAATTTAAATGTTTCAAAATTAAATTAATTGATAAAAGATTTCACTTTTTTCTACTTTTCTTGTATATAAACTCTAATTTTTATATTAATTCATAGCTTTGAAAAGACAAGAAAATATCAATCAGATTTAACAACTAAATTTCCAAAAAAATAAAATATTTTAAGCTTTTTAAATAATATGAAACTTGCAGATTTATTTGAGGTATTTTTGCTATGATAAAATTTTAAAGTAAGAGATTTTGATTAATCATTTAAATAAAACCTATTCATCTATTTAAAGAATTTTCAATATAGATTTATTTACGATGTAATTTTTATACATTTTAACTAATCAACTTTTATGATTTATTTTTTTGGTTTTTTCGAGAAAATATTGAAAAATATTTATTTGCTGTGCTTTATTTAATTGAGAAATAATTAAAATACCTTGGAATTCTGCTTGATACTTGAAATAACTGCTTCGTATTATGCTTGGACTTGAGAAATCTATGATTCAATATGCTATATTTACTTTTAATAACCATTTTTTTCTTCATTGTCTTGCAGTTGGAGTTAGTAAATTTGCTTATTTTGCTCTTCTTACTTTTCTTAGTATTCTTGTAATTTGTTTTTATACAATTAAATTTTTTCTTTGTATTTATTGACTGTATTGAGGATAAACTTTTTTTAGTTTTCTTCATTTATTGCAATAATTTGCTCATGCTATTTTTGGATCAAAAGATTTTCTTTTTTCTTATCGTTCAACTGATTTTCTAGAGACTTTATTTGCTTATCTAGCTCTTATAATTGGTTCTAATTCAACCTGATTTCTTCATTCTGCTTAGTATTTGCTTCGTTAGACTATCTTAGAAGTAACTCAAGCTCTCTTATGTTTTTCTAGCATAACTCTAATTCGTTTAAATGACGACCCTTTATTTGAGACTCAATGAGATACTAATTTTCTGTTTCTTTAATTTTATTCTACTACTTTTAAATCGACATTGAATATTCTCTTATCTGTTAATGCTGCTTTTCATTTGTGGCTTCTAATTTTTTTATTCTGTCTTTGTAGAGATCCAATTCTATTTTTAACTCACTGCTGATCATTTCCATTTCTTCTAGATTTTTTTAGAATGTAGCTCTTTATTCGTTTATTTAACAGATTAATATCTCTTATTCAGAAGCTATTCGTTTGTTTTCCATTTAAAGATGTTCATTTTTTATTTTTAGCATGCTTATTTCTTCATTCAAAATTGCATTCGTTGAATGAATCTTATCATGTTCTTCGCTCATCTAAAGAATCTCATTTTGAAGTTCCCTTTGAATCTTTATAATGAAAAAGTTGTTTTGTTACTCTATTTACTCAAGCAATTGCTTTAAAAATTTGCAAATAGTAATTCTAAAAAATTTTAGTGCGAGCTAAATCTTTGGCAAATTAATTAATTAGAATTGAAGAAAAAATAGATAAATACCTCGAATTTTTCATGAGAAATATTTTAGCAATATTCCTTAAGCATAGTGTATTAAGATTTGAGTTACTGACTTTGCGTTTATCTCTCAGACTCAAAGATATCAAAAAACAATTCTGTCATTCTTTATAAGATTTGATTGCAAGAATATTCATTTTCTTTTAGACATTTCATATTGGGATCATCTAAAATTTAATAAAATGATTATTTGATAACAGAAGTTATTGAATCTCTTGTTTTTAAATCATCCATTTTATTTATGCTTATTGATTTTTTACTTATCCTTATTTTTTAATCTAAGTGACTTGAACGTTTACAGAGATTCTTTTAATGAGTTATTGCTATCGTTGCACTAAATAACTATTTAAAATGGATGTAGCTAGCTAAATCTCCTAATTTAATTTTATATATTTAGAATATTTTGCTGAATGAAAATTGTATTTGAGGATACAGTTGAATGCTATAACTTGTTTAGTTTATACCCTCCTAAATATAAAAATTAAATTGAAATAAATCAATAATTAATGTATTTTTTTTGTTTTGTTTTTTTTTCACTTTAATCGGTTGATTTAAGATAGATTGGTTGATAGCTTTTTTGCTTTATTTATTTAATGGATAAAGCAAATAAATAAATAAATGAATTATTACATTAATTTCAAATTATTTAACAAAAATAATAATTGTTGTATAAAGATTTCTTAGTTTTTACATATAAAATTAAGAGTTCCATTAAAAAATGCATGATACAGAAAAATTTCTGTTTTATAAGTTCTATTTGTAAATGAATGAATGAATTAATATATCCGTTGAAAGTTATCAGCTTAATTTGTATGTAAAAAATAAACCTCCTTTTTCTTGATTTACTCTTATTTTAAATAATTACCACATCTGTTATTTATAAAACTTAGATAAATAAATTTCTTTTTAAGCTTAAATTGCAATGTTTATATGATAGATAGATGTAAATGCATTAACTTCTTATATTTCTGATTTGACAATTAGTTATCATTCAAGTATATTTGCTTTTATTTGTTAATTCACCTTTTATCTATATCCTAGTGTAAATTTAAATAGAATAAATTATTATTCATAATTTTAAAGCTAAGCAAGTAAAATATGTTAAAATTTTTTCCTATTCCAGCATCTTCGCTAATATTTAGTATAAAATTCAAATTCTTTTAATGTGATAATAAAAATCTATTTCTTTACTTATTTTTGCTCAAACCGTTTTATTTATTTATTTTTTTGATATTTAAAATGTATTTCAAGAATAGATTTTTAATTTGGCTTATCAAAAAAATTTAAAATAGTTAAAATTTTAATCTTTGTTTACAAGTCATATAGATTTATTCACTCATCGTATTATTTTTTATTACTTAAATTGAAACATGAAAATTAATTTAAATTATCCTTTACCATAAATTTATACCTTATGTTGTAAATGTCTCTATCAAATAAATTTAATGTCTCCTTTAAAATTTTAAAAGCTTATGTAAATATTATTAAAAAATTAATGTGTAAAAATGTTTCCCTTTCAATTTTAGACCCTTTAGACTAAAGAAGCAAAATTTTGTTTGGTAGAATATATTTTAAAACTTTATAATTAATATGTTAAAATACTCTGTAATTCTCTAAATGTTTTAATTTTATCATAGTAAAAAAATTACTTATTAATAACCTTTCTGCCTGCAAAATTAGTGATGTGTTAACAATAAATAATTCCATTTAAACAAAATGCTATTAATAGTAAAACTATTATTGACATAATTTATATTAATATTGAATAAAATAATTTAATTTAAATCTTTACTTCTATTAGGGACTAATAAAAGTTACTTTAACTCAAGCTAAAATTCTTAAAATAAAGATGCATGCTTAAATGATTTGATGTTTGTTTGCTAGTTCATTAAGATGAGAAAAGATTCTGATAATATTAATAATGTCATGAATTTTTATAAGGAAGATTTAGTTTGCAGAATAAAAATGTAATAAAATGAATAAATAATAATTTGAGAATATAAATAAGAAGATCCAAAAATTTTAACACTCATTTTGTATAGAATTTAAAATCATTGCAATAGATGCTTATCTATGAGAAGAGCGCCTTAATTAAAAAAAACAAAGATATTAGAAATTAATCAAGCTGATATAGCCAGATGCATACAAAAATAATAATATAAGATATGAAATGAATGAATGGAATGTTTTTATGCCTGCATGCCTTTTAAATCTTTAGATTGAAAAATGATTAATTAATTATTAAAAGTAAAGAGAAAGGTTAATTATAATTTAGAACTTTGACAATTAGTTATGCAAAATCAAAGAATATTTAGGAGGAGGCAATCAATCAATAAATAAATCAAATAAAAACACAAGTATATCAAACAAGAAAGTAATAAAAAGCAAAAAAGAAAAAAAATTAATAATAAAAAGAAGAAAGAAATAAAGAAAGAAAGCAAAAATTAAGAAACAAGATCTAAAACAAAAGATAAACAAGAATAAATACAAAAGAAACAAAAAAATTAAAAAGAAGCAAGTAATTAAGTAAGTGCATATAAGAACTGATTGTAATAGGTTATGATGTAAAACTATCCTCCTGAAATATAAAGTCTTTTCCAATCTTAAAAGCTTGATTAGCAAAAGGTGCAAATCCTTGACTAGGTTACAAAGCTGATGGCATGTGGTGATAATTAAAAGGTTTGATATTACTTTTTGTTTTGACATAATTTTCGATATTCCTCTACCAGCCTAATAAAAAAATAATTAAATAGCTCACAATTCAGGCAAAAAATCCACAAAAAAAATTTTTTAAGCAGAATGCTGCTATTTTGCAAAAGGGAAATATTAAAATCAGTTAATTCAGCATTTTAAATAAGCTGTAAAAGAGCTTAAACGAATTAACTTTATAGATTTTTCCTTGTTTTTTTAATTTTATGTGCTAAATTTATGAAAATTGTTTGATTTTTTGCTTATTTGTAAATAAATAGATGCAGATGGCTCAGCAAGTTTGGAAAGACCTTAAAGAGAACACTGAATTTTGGGTCAATGTAGATATTGTTTTAGAGACTTCTAGCGATTATCAAACTAAAATTCTTACTTTAGTATTGATGGAAGATACTATCAAGGTAATTTTGCTTAAATCATTCATATGTTTCATATGCAAATTTCTAGCTTGCACTAAAATCCTACTCTCTTTATAGACAAGTTTACTTTAAAATATTTTACCAAATTTTTTTTAGTTTTGAGCATTTAAGCGAGCAAATTTTTCAAAGGAAGCAGTAAAAAGGCATCAATTAACTTATTTAGATATTAATTATAATAAAAATTACATTTTTAAGTAGGATTTAGTAGCAATATAAAAAGCTTTATTAGTAGCTAGCTTGCTTTCAATTATTTATGATCTTTTTCTAATTTTAAAAAAGTAAAAATGGTAAGCTCTCCCTCAACAAACCCAAGAAAATTTAAAGAACTACATCTTAGCTTTTGTATTTAGGTAAAGTCAATAGCCTAATCCCACTAGAGATTCATTAACACTATTAAATAAATGCAACTCTATAATCATTTAAATTTTAAAATTTGAATGGAATTCTACATGGAAGAACTTTATCCCTGATATCTGCTAAACCTCAAGAACAGACCCCAATATTTGCGAAAATTCCCTCCACTTACTCAAGATGTTGAGGTAAGCTTTATGCAAACAATATAAAACTAAAATAAACCATAAAGAAACTAAAAAATATATTATTCAATTCGTTTTTCAATTTAATTTCGATACCAATAAAATAAATAAAATTAGTATACAGGTTGAAAACTTAAATCTAATTCAAAAATAGATATATACATTGATAGATAGATAGATTGATCGATAAATAGATAAATAATAAATAAATAAATTAACAAAAGTTATTATATTTTAAAAGATACAAAGATATACATGCCTACAAAAAAATAAATAGAATTTTAAATAAAACACTCTTAAAAGAAACAACCCAGAATAAATCATCAAAAAGAAATTATCAAAGTTATTTTAGCAATAGCAAGCAGCCTAAAATTAGTGATATAACAAATATAAGACAAAAATAATACAAAATAAGCAATAAATTATTAGAAAAAAATAAAAAATTACTAGTTATTTTAATATAAAAGAGACAAATATGTTTGCAACACTAATTTTGGCAAGAAATAAATTGAAAAAAGATAGTTTTTATTTTATTTAATAATTTGATTCATTGATTTATTTAAGATTTAATAATATTTAATAGTGAAGAAATCTTCGATTATTCTAAGAATGAAATGACCAGCTAACAAATTATTTAATTGAAATCTACTATGAATGAGTAATTCTAACATATTTATGAACTCTGTTATTACATTACTTCTAACTCAGCTCAGTAAATTAATTATATTTATTTGTCTTTTATCTTTTTTCCTAATAATATTTACTTAATTTATAGAAACTTAAATGCTGTCAAACCTAGTTTAATAAAGGCTTGTCTTGAAACTTTCCATGTTTATCTTAGTTGGATTCCTTTAGGTTTTATTATTGATACTGATATGGCTGATATTTTCCTCTTCTTTGTAGTTTAAACAGATTTTAAGGAAGTTGCCATAAAATGTTTAACTGAAATTATTCTATTGAAACTAGATATTTGCCAAAATACCAATGAAGTTTTGAAAATGAAGAACAAAATCCTTGATGTTTACTTTAAATTTATCACAAAAATCTCTGAATCAATTCTTCCTTACAATATTAGCTTACAAAATCAGAGTAAACAAATCACAAAAAACCATTATTATAATTAAAATTATTTATTTTATTTAAAATAGGAAAGACACTCCAAACTCATAATTAGTTTAGATAAATTGATAAGTTTGATAGCATTTGTACTAGCATTGTTATATTCTTGACATCGTAAACAATTAATTAATTAATCAATTAATTTTTAGATAAAATAAATTGCAAATTTACAAATAATTTTGAGCATTTAAAATATCAAATTAGTTTTTAATGCATAAAAATTTGTTTATAAAAATAGATTTTTCTAAACTCATTTGGATTGGATCGAAGAATTGGCAAACGACTTCTAAAATCCTGACAGAGTTATGATGGTAGAAAGCATCGATAGAGGTTTATAATACATTGTTGGAATTAACGAAATCGAAGATGAAAATATTTTTAAGACTTGCGTTGATTTCTGGCATTTCTTCACTAGTGATTTCTATAAAAAGACTAATAAATTAAAAAATACTTAAAATTAAAATGGAGGTTAAATCTCAAATCAATTCTTTAATGTAATGAGATTGAATCTCACTCCTGAGGCCAATAATGACGCTATGACTATTTAAAAGACTATTTATCCTAAGATAATGACCTAAGTCAGAACTATTATTATTTCCAGAATGGCTAAGCCCCAAGAAGTGCTTATTGTTATTGAAGAAGGTGTTCCCGTTAAAGAAGAATTAGTTGATACTGAAAATAACTCGCTCTACGACCTTCTTAAGGAAATCTTGATCAATCTTTCCAAGCTTGATTGGTCAGATATGAGTAGAATTCTCCTTAGTAAGCTCGAAAAGCAAGTAATCTATTTAGTTTACTTATTTATCACCTAAATTTGTTTAAAATTAATAAATAAAGCTTGATGGTAGTGAATGGAGCTACGATAATTTGAATAGTTTATGTTGGGCTATTGGTTCTATTTCAGGCTCAGTTAAGAGCGAAGAAGAAAGAGCTCTTCTAATTTAAGTTATTAAGGTAAAGATAAAAAATACTTAAAAATAAGCTTTTTTTTTCTCTTTTTTGATCCAAGAATAACTCATTAAAATTAAAAATTAATAGGGACTTCTCAATTTGACTGACACAAGAAAGCAAAAAGAAAGCAAGGCCGTTGTTGCTTCTAATATTATGTATGTCGTTAGTTAATATCCTGTCTTTTTAAAAACTAATTGGTCTTTCTTAAGAACCGTTGTTAAGAAGCTATTCGAATTCATGGGAGAAACATTCCCTGGTGTTATGGTAAATAAATGAATAATTCAAAATATGTCTTGAATTTTATATTAATTTTTTTTCTATTTTTAGGAAATGGCTGTAAATACTTTCTTAACTGTTAGTTAAAAATGTGCAGAAGAATTTGTCAAAGCTTAACAAGAAAAGACTCAAGTTTCTAAAAATCAAACAAAGATGAATGAAACAGAACCTTACATTCAAACATTAATTAGAACTATTGATGAAAAGGCTGCAATCCTTGAACCTCAATACCGTCTCACTTTTTACGAAGCTATTGGCTATATTATTAATGCTGAATCTGATAGCCAAAAGCAATAAGTTTATCTCGAATCTTCTCTCCGTTCTCAATTAGAAAATTGGAAACAAATTATATTCAATGCTCAACAAAGTCCTGCCATCCTCGATAAAGATGTTGCTATTTAACAAATATCTTTGTTCTTAAAAATAAATGAAAGAATTTGCTCCTCAGTTGGATTCTGCTATGTATTTATTTTAGGTAATTAATTATCTTAAATACTATAATCATAGTGACTTCAAAAATTACTTGATTAAAGAATAAGTTAGCTAATTTATTAATTAATGATAATAAACTTCCTATTTCATTTTAATAAATGTTAAAATATTTTTTGAATATCACATTCCCCAAAAAATATTTATTGAAATTTATTATTTATTGTTTCAAGCAAATTAATTTATTTATTATTATTAAAAAGGTCAAATTAGCTTGGGAATGAATGAAATATATAAATTCTACAGCCAAAATATAAACTAACAAGTGCAATAAGTTGGTAAGCAAGTTATGAACTACTCTACTGTAAAGAAATAAAGAACTATTAGAAAGGATATAATAAAGCTCTACATATGTTTCTTCAAGTGGTGCAGAAAAGGTATTCAAAATTAAGTCTATTTTTATATATTAACTTATAATGAATTAAAAAGACACTCCCTTATTCCAACCCACAACTGTTGCTCAAAGTTTGATTGAACCCTTGTAATAATTGCTTGTTGACTATGTTAACTGCCTTGAAGACTGTAGAGAACCTGAACTTCTTACTCTCTATCAAGTTATTTTTGAAAACATGGCCGAATACATACAACCCTTGATCCCTGACACCCTCAAGGGTATCTTCATGGCAACTCTTGGTATGATCAGTAAAGACTTTAGTTCTTTCCCTGATCACCGTATTGCTTTCTTCAAACTCTTGAAGGCTGTAGTTTAAAATGCAATTGAAGGTATTAATTCATTTTTATTAATTTATTATATTAATATTGATTTTCATAAATAGCTTTGTTCAATATACCAAGTGACTCTTTTAAGACTATGATTGATTGTATTGTTTGGGCCTTCAAGCATCATATTACTGAAATTTCAGACATTGGTTTAGATGTCCTTATTTACATTATGAAAGTAATATTAAATTAAGTGATATTTATGAGTATTAATTAATTTATTTTTAATTCATTTATCAGTAAGTTAACACAAATCAAGGAATTGCTAATTAATTCTATTAAATTTACTACTTAAATATCTTGAAGGACATTGTAGAAGTCCTTACTGATGGCTTCCACAAAAGTGGTTTCAAATAACAATGTACAATTTTCTAGATGCTCATCGGAATAGTTAAAGCTCAATTCGTAAAATCATATTTGACATTTGGAATTATTTTTATAAAAATATTTTATTAATAGTTGACAGTTCCCATCATAGAAGGATAAACCATCGATAATGCTACTTATGTTTATGAATTTTTAACTAATGCTCTTTCTAATCACTTTAGTAATGTTTCTCTCTAAAAAACCTAATACCACATAAAGAACTTATTTGATAAATACGAAAATCCTCATGATTTTAAGGTAATAAATTAACAATAAAAAACCATACTTTCTAAATTAAAAAATATATTTTATTTTAATTAAAAAAACTAATAAAAACAAATAAATAAATAGGTGGAACTTAGAGATTATTTGATTAACTTAACTATGTATTCTAATGATAATGAACACTTGTATGATAAAAATGAAATACAATAATTATAATAGCAATAGATACCTTAATCACAATGAAAAACAAATCTAAAGACTGTCATTTGATATTTTTATTGAGACAGACACTCTCTTATTTATGATTTAAAACACATACATACATATATTATAAAAAATTTCGAGTTAATTGTAAAATAATAAAAGTATTTTTATAACATAAAATGATTATTCTAATTGCACATATAAGTAAGTAAGTAATTAATTAAGCTAGCTGCCACGCAAATGACCAAAAAAGCAAAAATCATTTTTATATTTGATTCATTCACAAATTATAACTATAATAAAACAAAAATCAATCAATAAATCATTATTATTATAATATTTTAAATTAAATTAAAGAAGAGTGAAGAAAGTAGTAATAAACTTAGTTAATAATTAATTCCTCCTCTTCCTCACTTTAGTTAAATTTTTAATTTCATATCTAATATCTTTAACAAATTCTGTTAAATTAAATAAATAGATACAACTTCTTGTTCAATAGTAATCTCTGTGTTGTGTATTACTAATTTTTAAAAGATAAGCAATTCATTAATTCATAAATTAACTTTATTATTTTTTTTATTCTTCCTTCTTTATTATTCTAAAAATTTTATTATAAATTAATTCTTCTATTCAAATTCTTATTATTCATGTTATAATTTCGTTTATTTACATTTATTTTTCTCAAGTTTTATAAATTAAGGTTTTAAAATTTACCAAAAATACATTTTTATAAAATTTTTTGTATGTTTAGTCTTATTTTTGTTAATTAACTAGCTAAATTTGTTAGGATTTATTAATTAGAATTTAAAAAGGCCTCAGGATATTTAGGCAATATAAATTAAGCTTTAAAAGATTACAATACTTTAAAAAAATAGTTAAATTTCTCATTTACTATAAATAACCTCAAACTTTTTCACTATTTAAAATATTTAAAATAATTAAACCTTGCATTCCCGTAAATTAATACTTTTTGTAGGGATTTTTAAGAATCCATAAATTTTTAATAAATTAACCATTAACTCTATTAAAACTTTTGGAAATTCATTTGTTTTAATTAAAGAGTATCTACATTATTCTATTCGTTTATTCAAAGATAGATGCAGATTTTTAAATAATAATTAAATAAGAATATTATTTTTTACTTTAGAAATTAATGATATCATCTTTAAATTTAATTGGTAAATTTATTCATATAAATAAATGCTTATTTAAATAACAACTAAACAAATTTAGAATTTTTTTTTAGATGTAAATTTTTTTCTGGAAGAATTAATTACTTTAATTACTTATGTAATTTAATTATCTTACTTACTTCAAATTTAATTTAATGAATAGATTTAAATTTTTTATTATATTTTGAATGGAACAATCAAAGATTTTTTTTAATAAGATTTTGACGTACTGATAAGAAACTAATTTTGTGATAACTTTTGATCATGCATGATATAGAATAATCTTCTATTAGTAGTTTATTAGTTTTTTTTAATATTTTTAATCAATATTTATTTGTAATCATTAGTATAAATAAAAAAAAACTAAAAAAGCAAACTTAATAAGTCATATATGTATCTTTTACTATCAATTTTTTGATAAAAAATTAATTAAGAAAGAAATTGATAGATAGCTTTGGATGCAATAGTTGTACACAAATAGCTTCTAAAATAGTTAATAAATGAGCACAAGTGTAGAAGAATAATAAAAAAGTACCAGCAAATTTTAAAGAAAGCCATATCGGACAGATTCTTAGAGACACTGTAAATACTCAAATCACGATCACTGTGATGAAGTAAAGATAATTTGAGAATAATTAACATATTTCATTTAAATTAATACTTTTAAATAATGTATTAATTAGCATAAGAAATAACATAAAAAGGCTTTTGAATAAACTCAAAAATTTTAAAAGAATATTTAAAAAGTCAGCCGGCAATTATTTATTATTTAAGAATTATAATAATCATTTTATAAAATAGAATTAAATGCATTTGAGCAAAAACAAAATGCTTTAAAGCATCAATAGTGAGGAAGAATATTAACCTAAATAAATGGAGCTAGATTAATTAGAACTTAGAAACAAAACAAGCTCAAAAAATATATCTTAGATTTATTAAGTTATAGAAGAAAAAGAGTTTGAATGCGGATGCAAACCTTCTATCATTCCATTTGAAAAAGAAGACAGCTGGTAAATTTTGTTGATTGGTAAACTAAATGATCCTGAAGTATTCCCTCTCTTTTCTTAAATTATAAAGTAAATTAAATTAAATAATCCATTTATATCACTAAAAGTTAAATTAACTTAAAATGTTTTTACTTTAAATATAAGTTAAAAAAAAGCTTGAAGGAATTAAATGATATTTTATATAAAATATTTTTTATATTTAAAGATAATTTAAGAATAAGAAATGTTCCTTTTATGTAGAAAATCACAGCTTAGAAAAATTCAAATGTCAATTAATTTAAGATTAATTAAACGAATTTATAGAAACAATAGTCGAGTTTGATTCTGCTAATCATGAATTAAATATAGATATTATAATTACATTAGGTGGTGATGGTAAATAAATTATTAACTACTACTATTGATATAGATTTAATTGAATTAATTGACTGCTTGCTTGCTTGTTATATTATATAAGTATTGACATTTTATCACTTAAAAATAGGTACTATTTTATATACTATGAGTCACTTTTAAAACAGAACTTCTCCACCTATTATAGCAATAGAAAAAGTAGATTTTATTTAATTAAAAAAAATTTTAGTCATATACTTCTTTAATTATTCAGGGGACTTTAGGTTTTATGTGTATGTACAACATTCAAAACATAGAAAAGGATTTAGAAAAAATTTAATAAAATGTGAAAGCAAATAAAAACATAATGGTTGAGAGGAAAATGAGGATTCACGCTAAAATTGTAAGCAACTTCTTTATTAGCTTTAAATTAACAACAAAATTAAAACAATTTTAAATAAACAAATTAACAAATCAGAATTATGAATTTTCTGTATCTAATGTTAGCAAGCAAGTCTTAATGAAATACTTTCTCATTAATCTTCTTGATTTTATTTTAGAAATATTATTATTATATCATACAGTTAATAAATTTTTATAAAGTTAGATGCAAATGGTAATATAGCAAAGTAGAACGGAGTTGAGAAGAAATACCACGCTTTAAATGAAATAGTTATTGATAGAGGTTAAAACGCCTCATGTAATTATTTATTTATTTATTTATTGATTATTTAAGCAAATCATTTAACGAAATATTTTTAGGTTTAAAAATGGAAATATTTTTAAATAACGAGTCACTAACAAAAACACTTGGAGATGGATTGATATTTTCCACTCCGACTGGCTCAACTGCTTACTCTTTGAGTGCAGGAGGACCGATTATTTAAAATGAAGTAAGAAGCATATCTTTAGTACCTATATGCCCATTTTCACTTTCATTCAGACCCATAGTACTACCTGAATGCAGTGAATTAAAAGTTAAAGTAATAAAAATTATCAACACATACGATTCAAAAATTAGTTTTTATCTTTTTGAAATAAATATAATTATTATACTATAACTAGCTTACTGATGATAATAGAGGCCAAGGAAAAATTTCTGGAGATGGATAAAAAGTTTTTGACTTACTACCTGGAGAAGTAGTCCAGATAGAAAGTTCTGATTTAGATGTCTATGGTAAAATCATAATTTTATAAATGTAAATCTAATATTTATATGTACTATGAAAAATAAAATAGTTGTTAGAGAAACTTTCAAAGCAAATAATGTTCATGAATGGATGGTTAAACTAAAAAAAATGTTAAATTGGAATTCTAACTTTTCTAAATGAAAACTATTTTAAAATTAATTATTTTTTTATGAAGATAGTCTATCAATAAATAAGCAAATAAATGAATGTATTAAAATAAAAGAAGCTATATAAATTTAAATTAAATAAAATAAATTAATTAATTAATAACTTACATCTATCTATTAAAGATATAAATTTATATATATACTATTATTAATTTATTTTGTATAAAACAAACTGTCAGTTTTACTTCTCTTTAACTATTAAAAATAATAAATTAATTAATTAATTAATTACTTATAAATAAATACAAACATTCCTGAAATCAAAACATAAAAAAATCAATATATAAGTTTGTTTCAAATCAAATTAATAAAATATGATAAAATATTTTTAATATCACTTAAAATTGTAAAGAAAGAATAAAGATTTATGCAAATTTGTTAAAAAACTATTTTAATTGATTGAAAGCTGTTTTTTTTAAAAAAATATTGATATGATCAAACTGAATTGATTAAAAAAATCAGTATTTTTTATATAAATAAATTATTTAATTAATCCTTTTTTTCTTTTTTTGTTGGAAATCAACCTGATTTAAAGTTATACCAAAGATTTTTATCACTAAATATTTTATATAATCAAATTTTTTTAAAGAAAGTATAGACCGATTAATAATTGGATTAACTCAAAAAAAATATTAAGTAAATTAAAGTGGAATAGTATCTAAAATAGATAAAACATATTATTAACAAATGAATAAAATTTAACTCAATAAGAATATAATTGATATGCAAGTATAATATTAAAATGTTATAAAATGTGAAATACATAAATTACAATATTCAGTTTTACTTAGTTTAATTAATTTACCATTCCAATCAATATTGATTAATTATATGAGAATTTCTGCAAGCGATATACATATTAATCTATTTATTTATTTAGTTATTTAATTATAATTATCTATATTTTATTTTATATTTTAAATTGAAGGTCTGACTTTATTGAGCCTTATATTTAATATAAATTATATTAACCCATTTTTTTATAGATATCTTCAGTAAGTATTAATAAATTTTGAGAACTGAAAATATATTTCAGAGAATCTTATTATTTTTATATTATTTATTAAGCATATTGATCATAAGTAATTAATATCTGAAAAATTTATCCATCTATTTTATTTATTTACTTTTTTAATATCAAGTTTATTCAGATATAAATATTTTATATCAATTATTTATTTATTTATTTATTTATTTATTAAAGCTGATTATTAAATTCCTAATAAATTAATTAACTAACTAACTATTAAAGTGATATTTTTAATAAGAAAAAGAATCTATCTACACGAATTTTATTATAATTAAGAGCTAAATTTTTATTTGTTTATTTGAATGTGGTTTAATTGTTATTACAGTTTAGAATGTTGATATGTATTATAGGGAGAATATTTAATTTAAGGGGGGAATTTAATTAATTAGCTAATTGATTGATTGATTTATTACTTACTGACTTATTATGTTTATTTACTGATTTACTTCATTTGACACATTAATTTTAAATACATTTCAACTAAATCAAACAAGAAATAGTAAATAATATTAAATTTGATTTTATATAATATTTTATTGGATGGTGAGCATAGTGAGTGAAGAGGATAATTAATAGAGATAGTATTTTAATTTATTTATTTATTTTTTATTTATGTATTTATTTTGATTAAGATAGGAGAAATCTTTTAAAGTTTAGATAGATAAATAATTTAATTTGTTGATTGATTGATTGAATTAAATCTTGTTTTAAAAGTTAGATGCAAGGTTTATTTATTTTAATCAGATATCATCTTCCATGAAGTTTGGATTTAAATCTTCAGCGATATAATTATTTTCTATGTCGTTATCATTTGCCATATAATCATTTTGATAGTTATAAAATTCATTATTCTCTTAGTTAGCTGGAATGAATTCATTATCGAAAGGATTATTATCCACAAAATCTTAATAATAAGGTATATCTTAATAATTATTAGATTGCTGTTAATTCAAAATAGGCTATGCGGAGGGTATTCCTTGCATATTTGATAATTAAGGAATATCTCCTCCTTAGAAACTGCTTTAGTGAGGACGCTGTGCCATTTACATTGGTGAAAATATGTTATCATCATTATTCATCATATCTATTCCTTATTATCCCATCATTTAGCTGCTTTGACCATACATTAAGCCAGGAGGTTAGTCAAATGAGTTTCTCTCATAATTAAAATTATAATTTATACTCTGCTAGTTCATTTACAGTGAGGGTTGATTGTAGCTTGAATTTTAATCATACATCATAGGTTCTTAGTAATATTAATTGCTCAAGTTTGTGTTACTATTGAAATTAATGTTGTTGTTAGTGTTTATCATATTGTTGCTATTACTGTTAAATGGTATTTAAATGTTTTATTGCTAATTTGGAAATTAGTTTTAAAGAGGTTATTACTGAATGAACTATTATTTTTATATATCTGGTGGCGATAGCTAAAATTATTGTTGCTATTACTACTATAATTACTGTTATTGCTAAAGTTCTAATTGTTTTTATGCTTCCTCCTTTTGCTATTGCAACAAACGAGCAGCTTCCTCTTTTTGTTCTGCTTCCTTTTATTTTCTTAACTGTTCTGCCAATGCTCTTTGTTGCTACTTCAACTTTTTCTCTTTTTCTTTTTATCTCTCTTCGATAGTTTACTTTAGACTTTGTACTTACTTTTAGAATATTTCATCATGGTCTCCACTGTCATCATCATCCACCCAAAGCTACTAAGCTCTAGAACTTTAATAAAAAGCTTAAAAATATGTACGTTTGCGACGGCGTTCCATTTCTTAGATATATGGTTATTGTATTACTGCTTTTATTTTTTCTTACTTTTATTAAAAAAGAGAGTTTCTAAATAATTAACGCTGCTTTTCTTTAACTTCGCTAATTAGCTTTTCGTTTGAAGGTAATATTTTAAGTTTTTTATCTGAGGTACTTTTAGATTCTCTCTTATTATATTATTCTTCATCATTACCAGCAATAGAAGATATCTGACCGTTTGCAATTAAATTAGAATTATTTGAAGAAGTTAAGGGATTTTGTGATAAAGGATAGGCATTGTTGTGACTAGATGAAGAAGAAATGTATTTAACTGCATCAGGATTAACATAATTGTATGTATTATAAATGACTTCGTTGCGATGCGGTGTGAGGAGATAAGAAATTTTTCCACTTTATATACCTATTATTTCATTAAAGGAATCGAAACTACGATCTATGTAGCTTACATTAGAACGTCCTAAACGCTTACGAATTAAATATGGTAAAGTGTTTGTATTTTTTAGTTTTTATTTCTTTTCTTCTTGCATTTCTTGATTTTTACTTGCTATTTTTTCGCTACTATCTAAATTTTCGAAGTTGATAGGAAGTTTAAACTAATGAAAGTAAATCACAAAGCTAGATAAAAACTAAGCAGATTCTATATCTCTATCTAATTTTATTAATGGTATATTCTTATGACTTATTTCTTATTAACTTATAGTTGGCTAGGCATTAATACTAAGAGTTTTATTGGTTTCCTCAATCATTTCTGAGTTGGCAGTTATCTCTGGATCTATTGCAGGTTATTCTTATTTCTTTTTTCTTCTTTGTGCCTGTTTCTTTTATATGCCAGGATTTGAGCTCTCTTCCCTTGCTTTTTCGTTAACTGTAGACTAGTCAACCTCATGAATAATTGATTAAGATTCTTTATCCAAACAAGGTGATAGAGCAATCTGAGCCAAAGGATTCTCATCTGCTACTTTTGAATCCTCTTCAGCTTTTTAATCTTTCTTAGTTTTTTTTGAAGGCTTTTTCTTAGCTATATCTTTAGGATCTACCAATTTAGATTCAGCTCTTTCTTTTTTAGTTTTCTTTTTTGTTGTTTAAACTACCTTTTCACTCTCATCTTTTTATTTATTTATTAAATAATTTATTAATTTATTTATCAGTTAAAAAAAGTTTGAGATTGATTAATTAATTAAATTATTATTTGATTAATTTTATTCATTTTGCAAATAAAAAAATAAAACTTTGAAATAAATTTTGCTTGTTAATTTCTTCTTTATCTATTTGATTGTTTCTTTGTTTATTTAATTTTTTCTTTCTAAAAAGATAGAAAACTCGTAAGGATATTTTTGATGTAAACAAAAAAGATTAATTTGTTGCTGATTATTGATAAAAATTTTGATGCATAAATTTTTGATTAAAATCTAAAAATTTTCTAAATTAAAAAATCAAAGGTTGCTATTTTTATTTTGCACTTAAAGAAAGTTTTTTGAAATCAGAAATTTTAATAAAATTGCTTAAATTTTATCTTAATTCTAAAAATAAATTGATGATAGATGATAAAATAATTAATTACCTTAATTTCCTGTCTCTAAATTGGGATTGATAGATGAAGTTAGAGGCTATCCTTCTTCTGGAGCAGATAAAACTGTTTAATTTAATGCATTCTCTTCTTAATTTTTTTACTCTTTAGGTTTTTTTTTAGTTTTTTTAGGTTTTTCTTATGGCACAGCTGCAGGCTGCTGTTGTGAGACTTATTCTTATTTTTCTTCTATATTTTACTATTCTTAATTTATTTCTGCTTATTTTTATAAATCTTTCTTTTTGCTTGGCTTTTTTTTAGGTTTTTATTCTACTACGGGTTGTTAGCTAGTGTCATCCAAATTCTTTGCTAAATTGCTTGCATCTTCTCCTTCTGCTAACTCACCATTAGCTTACACTTTTTTAGTTTCATCGCTAAATTTACTCTTGTCTGAAATTTTTGGTAAAATGATTTTTGTTGGCTTTTTAGGTACTTCTGTCACTGGCTGAACATTATTACTCTATTAAAATATTTAAAATAAATTTAAAATTTAGCTTCGAAATCATTCAAATATTTTATTCTTTGCAATGTTAAACTAAAACTTTATCAGTTTATAAAATGCTTTCCTTTCTAAATTCGTATCTTAATAAAAATGGCATGTTAAAAATTTAGTTGTTATTATTAATTTTTTTATTTAAGAATATTTTGCAATTTTTATTTCTTTCTTTCTATCTATCTATTTATCTTGCTTTATTTCTAATTTCTTATTAATTGACTTGAATCCTTTTTTTAGTTTAAGAAGGGCGTTCGTTCAAATACCTATTTTAAGATGTAGTTGCTATTAATTATAATAAACAAAACTTTCATCTTTTTGATAAAATGCTTAGGCTATGCTGATCATCTATGTAAATATACATTTTTTTTCTAAGTTGTTTGCTTAACTTTTCTTAATTTGCTAGGAGCTTCTTTGTCTTACTAAAATTTAGGAATATTTTCGTTTTAAATAAATATTTTAAAAGCTTTGAATGAAAATTGAAAAAAGATAGAAAGAAAATGAGCAAGCGCTTTTCTTCTCTTGCTTGGTAATATGTTTGTTTTATTTTTGAGATCAGGCTTCTGTTTTTTCTTGCTTAAATATTTATACTAGTTTGCTTTAATGAGGAGATATGTATGATGATGTCTGTCATTTATTCAATAAAGATGATGAAGAAGAAAAATATAGATATAGTATAGCAGAAAATACTGACCAATCAATAATCCATAAAAATAATAAATAGCTGAAAATGAAAGGAGAAAAAATGATTGGTTGGCTGGTAAAAATATTATAAAATTCTAATTTGATTTCTAAATTTTATCTGATATTGGTTTTTAACATGCGAACTAGTGCTTTAAATAAGCAAGATATTTTAAATTACTTCGTCTGCATTCATAATTTCATCAGCTTTTTACTCTTTTAGTTGACTTGATGTGGGAACTTCCTTACTTGGCTACTCTGCTTTTGGAGCTTTTGGTCTTGAAGGCTTTACTTGCTTGGGAAGTTTAGGCTATATGAGACTTGTAATTTGCTTGATTTCTTATTCACGCGAGACAAATTTATTTACAATTTGGAATTCATTAGTGAGACCAGGAATGGATTTATTAAATTCTGTTATTTATATGTAAGCAAGTTCTCTTTTTAGTAATTCTCTCTTCTTAAGGTTTAATGCTAAAACTCTGTACTTTTTGAAATCTCCTTCTAATGAAAGCATCTTCTCATACGTCTCTTTGTTCTCAGGACGAGCTGATTTTCTAGTTCTCATACGATTCTATTCACGAGGACGAAAAGCTGCATGGGCATTTTATTCTTCTGCTGATGCACGCCAATATCTTCTCATAAATGGATAAAGTTCTTTTTATTTTTCAGTATTTTTTTCACCTTATCTTTCATACTCTCTTTCTCTTTCACGCTTCCAATACTGGTAGCATTCATCGAGCTCATTATGGGCAAGACGTTCTTCGTATTCCTTTGGCAAATCCATCATAATCTCTTAAAAAGAAGCTGTGTTGTCTCTTGTTGACTTCTTTTCAAAGTGAATGAATAACCTCTCTAGCTATTCTTCTGAAATTAAAATAATACTAGCATCATTATTATTTTATTGGGATTTCCCACTTGCCTCGTCAACACCCAGGATGCTATTTCCATCTCCAGCCTCCTCCTATCGCTGTTTTTGCTATGCTATCATTTCTTCATACTTCTGAGGGTTTTCTATTTTAAGATTTTGCGAATAATTTTTATTCAATTTTATTAAAAATTCGATGTCTTAATCCCTCAATTCGTATGCCTCTGGTTTGGGCAAAACTTAGTCGTGCCTTATACGAAGATATGAATACCCCTAGATCTTCCTCTTCTTTTCAGTATTTTCAGAGCTAGCCCCTTTATCAGGAAATGCCCCATTGCTTCCAAAAGCAAGCTTGCTGTATAGTGCGGATTGCCCAGGTCCTGAAAATGTAGTAAATATAGAGGCTGAAGAATTATTTCCTTAAGCAGCGTTATTATTAGAAGGATTCAAAAGCTAAGGAGTTATATGAATTTCTTAGCTTTAAGAATTAATTTTACCAGATGCAGAGACTTCAGGCTGAAGGTTCTAAGTATTATAGTTAATGGACTAGCTTAAATTATTATTAAAGTTCTAACTATTCTCTTGACTCTGATAATTCTGTTAAGAATGCTGCGTATTTTAAACATCTTAGATATTACTATTATCTAATTTCGCAAATTCATCATACGATGACATTCGTTGAAAAAATTGCGAATACTAGTATGTTCTTGGCCGAGAACGGTTCATTTAACAATTACTATTTAAAATTTTAATAAAAATGAGAATAAATTTGGATCAGATAGCTCTGATTAACCTTCTTCCTTGTTTAATAACTACTTAAAAAACTCTTTGTAGGCTCCTCTTCGATTTATTCACCTATAATTGCCAGCAATTATTTTTAAGTGCTACTTTTCTTATTTTTCCTTATTCTTCTTCTTCTTGTTCTTTTCTTATGATTAATTGAGTGACCTATCTATTAACTCTCTCCCTTCTTCAAATTATTAAAATCAATATATTCCTCTTTCTTATTACTAATAATAATCAATTTATTAATTAATTTTTAATATCCCATCTTCTCCATCATATTAGCATAGTCCCTTAAATATATATACACATACATACATATATACATGCAGTCAGTCAGGCAAGCAAGCAAGCAAGCATACTAACAAATAAATAAACATATATAATATCCAATGCAAATAAATAAATTAATAAATAAATATAAATTAAATAAACAATTAATCAACTCAAACATTCATAGATTTATTATTTAATAATTTCCTTAGTTCTCTCATTCATTTATTTTCTCCTTCTCTATTTGTAATTTCAATTCATAGATTTAAACACTATCAAATAAATAATATGTAAACAAGTAAATAAATAAATACCTAAAAAGATAGATGGAGATAATTAATTCAGGTTACTACATTCTAATTTTAGATTCAAATAAGAAGGTATTCATAAAATACTTAAAATATAGTATCCTGAATCGATTTACCAAATTAAAATCTTAATAATACTATTCAAATTATATCTAAATAGAAGAAATGCTTTCACTATATAATCTATTAAATTAGCTATCAATTCATTAGTTGATTGATAATATCCAACCAAATTCAAAATTATTCTTTTTTAGATTTATGAATGTATTAATTTTTTAATTTATCTACCACTTAGCTTTCAACTATTTTACTTTGTATTTGAAATAGTACATTCAAAATTTTAACTTGCTACTACTATAAACCATTTTAATATGATTTAAAACACCACTAAAATCTGAATAATATTTTAATAAAATTTATAATTTTTTTTGATAAATACATTTTAATTTACTTCTTACACCAAACTAATTTTAGTATTATAGTATCTTTAAAAAATTAAAAGAGATTTATTTTCAAAAACTCAATTAAAAATAAAAATAATCAAAAAAAATAATTTTAAAAATTATACTCAAGTAGAATAAATACTTAATTTCTTTAAATTTAATGTTTAGATTTATAAATTAATTCTATTAATTGAACTTATTCCATTTAGCGCTTTTTTAAAAAATTCAAATTAACACATTTGACAAAATGAAATAAAATTACAAAATGAAGTATGTATAATTTTATCAAATTAAATAAATTAATTAATTAATCAATGCAAAATTTTAGTTTTCAATTTAATTTAAAATTAACTATTTCAAAACTATCTATGCTTATGATTTAGATCGATTTTAAAATTTATTTTTAATTAATCAATTAAATAAAAATTTGAAATCAAATAAAGTAAAAATAATGTTTGCTCAAAAAATAATTATGAAAAAAGTAAAATACTTTTGATTTAATAACAAAAACATTTATATAAATTTATTTTCATGCATGCTGTATATTAGATTGCAATTTCTGATTAAGAATGTTGGGAGGAGCTTCTAAGTGTATGAGCTTATTCTTATAGACTTCCAGTAAGAATCTAAAATCAATTTATCCTTGTTGTTTTTCTGCAAATCCAAGTAATGTTTACCAAGAATTTTAATGAACTTATATTTTTTGAGATTCAAGTAAGTTGCTAATAATATTTTAGACAATATGTGTGGGCAAGAATAAATTTTATGAATTCTGACTCGAAACTACTTTAGGTAAGGATATAGATCTCTTTTTAGGTGATCCACTCCTTCCCTCATTGTTTTAATCTTGTTGTTGAACTTCTTTTTTCGGCTTTTCACCCTGAGAGGTAGCAATAATTTAGTGAGCTTCCATAAATTATTAAAGGAGTTGCTTTCTATTTCTTGCTATAGTCATTTAAGTTTTATCATATTCGCTTGATTATTCCCACTAAGTAGGATTTATACTGTTTTGTGCATAGTAATCGTTTATACTTTTTATTATTTTTGAATCACTCAGTGTCTGCATTAATTACTTGCTACTTTAATTTAAAAGACTCTTTACAGTTGTATTAGTCTTTTGCTTTGACCTACTATTAAAATTTTCTAGCTTTTTTGGTAAGAAATCCATCATCGTTTTGCTAGCTGATATTACTTGCTTGTAATTTTCATTTCTTACAGACTGGTTCCCCTTTGTTTTAAAATCTATCGAATTTTCTTTTGAACTCTCTTCTTAATTAGAATGTGATGAGAATCCAAACCTTCTCACTCTACAATCCTATTTTTTTTTTTAAATAATTTTAATCAATTCAATTATAAATAATAAGAAATTAAATAATTTACTTCGTATTTCATGAAAGCAGATAACCACTCTTAAAGATCAATAATCCCATCTCCTTTCACATCAATAAAGTCAAACATATCCCTTAAAATCTAAAAACCAAGATGTTCTTCTGATTTTGAAAGATTTTGAATTTATTCCATAAATTTGCTAAAATCTTAGAAATTCATGTAACCCTTTTTAGAAGAATCAGCCTTTTTTTAAATGAGTGTTAAATTATTATTTTAAGCTATTTATTTTTTACTTATCTAAATGCATCTTTTGGTGTGATCATATATTCATATAGAGCTTTCCTAAGAGTCACTATGCGGTTGCTTGATCTCTTAAGAATAGATTCAGTATTACTATCAATTTTTATGCTTTTTAAGAATTATTTGTAGCTGCAAACTTTAGAAGATGTGGGATCAATAAATTAAATTATCAAATTAATATCAGATCCACTTAAACCTAGGTTCAAATTTTGTAAAATATTCTTGAATTCTATAATACTTACATATCCCAATCCAGAAGTATCAACTTTCTAAAACTCCTGCAGTATGTTCTTGTTGCTTAAGAATAGTAAATTTTTCATCCTCTTGAAAGCCTTAGCACAATCATCATAGCAAACACTCTCTTAAGGAGGAAACGAGCTTGAGCAAAGGCTAGAGATATTTGAAGACTTAAATGATCTAAATTATTTATAAAAAAATAAATATTTAAATCAAAGGAAAATAAATATCTGACAAATCATGTTATTTTTTTCGAAATTCAAAAGTTATTTGAAATAAATCAAATCAAATAAAAAAAAAATAAATAAAAATTTTTTCAAAATAAAATGGAAATTTATTTAATAAATTTTCTTATGATAAAAATTAAAATTAAATCTTGGTAAATCAAAATTTAATATTAAAAATATTAGTAATCACCTTATTTTTTTATTATAAATAATCAAATTTTCATTTATAATTTAAACTTTTTAAAGAAATTAACTTTTTTTATCCATTTATTTTATTGATTTTTATTATTAAAAAATATAAATAAATCTTTTATCCAAATCCCTAAAATAAGTTTTTTAGGATGAGAAAAATAAAATTTTTGAAATCATAAAAAATAGATTTTTAAAATGGTTGAAATAAAAATTTTGAATGAAGTTTGAATAATTAATAGAAAGATTACTTTTGTTTGAAACTATTGCTAATAATCTGTTGGTCTTTTGAATCTAACTCAAATATTTAGCAAAATTGCTAGAAATCAATTGTGCTTTTTAAAGCTAATTATACATTGATTCCTATTTGTTGAATCATTTATAGCCATATTTTTTATTTAATCGTTGAATTATATTGACCTGGAAATAAGTTGCTCATTGCCTTAGAGAAATTAAGAAAATTAATAGTTAGTTTATTATTCGATAGATAATTGAATCCTTCCAAAATAGTACTAAAACTACTAAGCAGGGCTTCTTTAATTTCTTTCAATTTGACTTCTTCATATCCTAAATTAAATAATTTAGTCATTAAAAATAATTAAAAATGCTATTTATAAAAATTTACCTAAGTAATTTGATAAGCAATTTTTCCAATCCTTTATTGTTATAAAACCTTTTTTGTGAGGATCTAGATAGGAAAATAATTGCTAAGAAAGCTTGTCTGTAAGATTAAAGCCATGGAGAGCATCAGATTGCTCTATCCATTTTACAAACCGTGAATAAGTAACTTAGGGTTTATATCCAGAGACAATCTCAAATTACTCTTATATATTTTTTTCTTATTTAGAAAAGTAAATAGATATTTACTATAAGCAATTTTTTATCCAATTTTAGTTATCTGGTTCAAACCCATTAGATTCGCTAGTCTTTATTGAGTCAGAGACTGTTTAGTATCTTCCTATTGATTTAAATGACTTTAAGCTCTTCTAACTTATTTAACTTATTTAATTCTTTGGATCTATTAATACTATAAAATCATTTCTGTCTATGCTATTTTTCTTAGATCTGTCAATTAATTTAAAAAGTCTATCTAAGTTTTGAACTGTTAATTCTTTTGAACTCACATTCACATTTTCTAGAAGGAATTTCTTTAAATCTTCTTTATTAATATACCCATCAAAATCCTTATCAGCAATCCTGAAAGCATCTAGCGAGCTCATGTCTAATTTATTTAGAATAAAATTTAATAAAAATTGCTTGATAATCAAAAAAAAATTAATTACTTTGAATTGCAAACCATTCTTGAACTTATTTAATAAGCTAATACTAGTAATCGAAGTTATCGCTTATTATAGGCTCTGTTTGCAAGATAATTCTAGATAAAACTTAATGCCACCTAGAATAATCAAACATTCCTATTCTTAGGTAGTCTAAATAGGAAAAGAGTCCATTTATTGCCAACTAACTTAGCTAAAATTGCAAATTTTTCTATAGGTTCTCATTTAATTCAGAAATAGTTATAAAACCATCATTATTACTATCTAAAAACTTGAAACTATCATAAAGAGAAATCTTTCTTTCTACTAAGTGATTTTTTAAATCTCTGATAATTCTTTCCAGTTAATCAGTTTAAATTTCTTTAGTAGGAAAAACTCTGTAATTTTCTTGATTTTTGGTAAAACTAATTTTTAAACAAAAATTTAAATTTAAATTGAATTAAAATTGATTTCTAAAAAATTAAAATTGTATTTTGAAGGAAATCTCTTCAACAAATATTTTTTTTCTTATTTGAAATAAAGTGAAAAAAGTATTTCTAAAATAATTAATTACAAAATAAAAGAATTTATTTTTAATACGAGAAAATAATATTTTAAATTGGCTTATTATTGTTTTTTAAAACAATAAAATTAATTATAAAGAAAATTTGATTCTTTTCATAAATATTTTTATTTTATTTAAAATAAATTGAAAGCTTCTAAAAAAAATGAATAGTTATTTAAAAGAAATAAATTATTGTTTTATTTATTATTATTTTATTTTTAAAATTTAAAGCTAAAAATCAAAAAATAGGTATAAAATAATTCCATTTTTGCTTTATAAATAAATCATGTGGTTTTATTCAAAATTATAATATTCTTAATCTAATCTGTTTATGTTTTTTTATTTTATTATTTGAGTTTTAAGTTTTTTTTTCAATCAAAGTGTAAAAAAAAATAAAAAAATGATACTAAAAATAAAGTTCAGGTTTATTTCTAATTTACATATCAAAAATTAATTTATATCTTTCTCTGGTAATTTATGTATAAGATTAGCTTATTGTTTGTTTTATTTCCAAGTTTATTGGAAATTATTTTTATTTTAGTAAAATTTGTAAAAAATTTTCACTTTTAAATTTTATAAAAACCAAAAATTGTAATTTAAAAAATGAATTTGGTTTTTTAAATAAATAAAATTGAATGTTTGTTTTAAACAAATTACTCGGATTGGCTAAAATCATTATGGCCTATAGACGATTGTATATACGAATATCTCTTCAGAAATGTTTCTAAGTCAAACTTATCAATAAATCCGTCCTTGTCTATATCTATAATATCGCAACTGTTTGCTATGATTTGAGGATCTTTCTAAAAAATGAGTTGCTGCAAACCTTTCACAAAATTGTTTAAAAGCATTCCTTCTGTATTTTAATTGCTTTTTTTTTGCTGATTAACTAGTTTGAGCTTTTACAAAAACTTGTGGACATCATTATTGCAATACATTTTTATATAATTCTAAATTTATGTAGCAATAAAATCAAGTCCTTCTTTAGAATTTTAAATCTTAAGTGAATTTTCAACTTTCTATAAGAATTTAGAATAATCTATATGAAGTGATGCATCAGATTTTTCTATTAACTCACAAATTTTATCTATTTCTTAAGGATTCAAACCTAATTTGCATTAAAGTAAGCAACTGCTAAAATTTATCATATCTAAATATCCTCTATTATGAGCATCCATTTGTTGTAATTTATTTTGTAAAACATCTTTGTCTAACCTTGAATTTAAATTTCTTTTAATTTTTTTATACATTTCCATAAGCCATTCATCGGAATTATCTCCTCCATCTTCTTTTTTAATAAAATTTATTTAAAAATAAATAAATAAACATTTGTCTTCTATGTTTTTAAATAATTAATTAAATTCAAAAATAAATAAGTCTTACTTAAATTTTGTTTTTTCTTGTCTAAAACCTTAGAGCCTTGTTAAAGTGCTTCAGATTTTAACCCGTCTTATTCATTAATTTAAATTAGAGTACTGCTACTTTAATTGGTAAAAACAGAAATTAGGTTTTTAACACTAATAGACTATTTATCTTTGAGTATAAATTTTGTTATTTTGTCAGATTCGTTCAGCTTGCAATTCATAAGCCTTTTAATACATATAACAACATCTTAAAAAGAGAGTTCCAATTTATTTTTAGAAATTCCCATATTTTTCATTAATTCAGATTAATTTATATTCTCTCTACTTTTGACTGATTAAATCCATTCTTAAGGAGTTCCTTTTTATTAAGTAAAATAATTTATGTTCAAATTAATTTCTCTTTGATTAAATTTAATAATAAAAAAATCTTAATCTTTACTGTAAAGTTTCGTTTATTTTTAAATATATTAATTAATAAATCTATTGGAAATTATGTTTTAATAAACCTGAAAACCTCAATATTTTTTTTTTGAGTTCATCAAAGAATTATGTATTAGAGTAAATATCTATTTTGTACAATTAATTTATAAAACATGGATTTTATAAGTTTTTTAAAAATTTAAATTTTTATCCTAAATATTTTTCCTAAATAATATCTATGTAAGAGGTTTTAAAATGTAAGAGAGGATGGGATTATTTATTTATTTTAATTAATCAAAAACTAAAGCAAATAATTTTAATTCAAAATAAAAATATAAAAAATAATTTTGAAAGATTAACTGTCAAAAGTAAAGTGCTAATTCCATTCTTCTTAATCAATAAGTCCGTCTTTTTTATTGTCTATGAATTTGAAGAGCTATTCTAAATCTTAATCTGATATTTCAAAGCTGATTTTTTACAAGCCGCCCTTAAATGTAGTCTAATCAATCATTAAATTTTTCAAATGTTGATTTCCAGTTCCTTCATTTAGAACTAATTTAAAGCTCTACATAAATTTAAATTAATTTAATAATTAATAATGATATCTAACAAATAAAAAATTTTTTACTGCTTCAGAGCTCATAAATTTGTTTTTTATAAAATTTTAAAATTGTTTAAATATCTTATAGTTGGCTATTGTTTATGCAGCGCTTTCTTTAGGCTAATTGTTAACACTGGTTGTGTCGCTTTCTGTTTTAAATTTTTCTGGTTTATCTGAAAATCTTTTTGGCCTAAAAAATAAATTTATAAAATGAAGAATATTTAATAAAAATATAAAATTACCTATAGGCCTTATTGCCTACTGTGCCAAAAAGAGTAGAGCACGATGTCCTCTAGAATTGTGATATAATATCATCATTTTTTATTGAAAGAGCATCAGGAGTTTTGGCAAAAAAAATCTTTCTTTTCCAATCTTTTTCTGCATCAATATTTAGATTTTTTCCCAACCATTATTTAGCCCCTTCATCTAAGTTTTTATAGTTTTCTTCCTATTTGAAATACAATAAAATGAACATAAAAATAATTAAATAAATGTATTATCAATATATACTAGTTGCTAAAGCTTCAAAGAAGTTAAATTGCTTATTTTGCTTCTCCTCTAGTCCATGGTTTCTTTGAATATTCCCTATAAATATAATTCATTTATTTTATTAATTATGTTGGATTTAATACTCTTTTATTACTTGTAATTGAACGACAAGAAATTCACTAAAATTTACAGCGCAAACACTATTTTTTATCATCAAAGTACCCACGCAAGGTATTTCCAAAACGATAGCTTCATTTAATGGATTCTATGAGTAAATAACACAATGATTATTAATCAATTATCACAAATTAATTAATTACCTATTTTATTAGTTGTTCAAGTCGATATTTTATCCTTTAAATAGCCAAGTAGGCAATATCCTTGTCTGTTTTAGAAAGAGCTCCAAGCTCTGTAAATGAAAGTTAGGTCATTTAGATATTTCCATTTAGACTTGTTAGTTGAAATGGCCTCAAACCTTTCTCTCTGAAGACTCCACTTTTAATTTCAGATCCCTAAGCAAATTCTTTAGAAACAATAAAAACAGGTTCTCTATTTTCAGAGTTTCTACTTTCAGCATTTGTAGTATGCTTTTTTGTTATTAAAGAAATAATTTATTTCTACTTTAAAATACAAAGTGAAGAAACAATTTATTTTATTTATTTATTATGATTGTGCAAAGAAATAAAACATCCATTTTAATTTTGTATAATAAATGAATAAATGCTTACTTTTAAATCTATTTCTGGATATGAAAATGTAAAAGTTCCAAATTTTGGGATCTGCAAAGCTCTACCAAGTTTTAAGCTCTTGGAAATGAGGCTCCCTTTAAAATTTATTAATATTGTAATAACTTAGTTAAGAATTAAAAAAATTAATTAAAAACCTAATGCAGCCCATATATTGTAAAGAGTATTCGCATCAATAGCTCCTTGGGCTTTAACTAACCTTTTGATTTAATAAAAATTTATGAAATACCATCTATCTACCTTCTTACATTCATTTTTATAATGATTTTTTAATAATTAATGAATGAATAGCATGTAAACTCTAAATAATAAAAACAAACTATTACTTTGATTCATTCATTGAGCTTATTTCTTCCATAAGTTGCTAAGTTTTTTAACTTGCTCTAGATAATTCTGAGTATCTTGACTTGGACATATTTAGTCAATCCTAAATTTATTTTTACTTATTGTTTCTTATTTTATTATCTGAGTAATTGATTTCCTACTTACCTGTTAATAACTACTTTAATTAATATCAACAGCTAATTAATTAATTAATAAATTAATTATTTAAATAAATAGTATGAGGTAGATGAATTGTATTTTTTTGCTATAATCAGTTTCTTTATATTTCCCATTAGTTAATTCTACTTATTTTATCTATTATATTATGTTAATAAAAACTATTTATCATCAAATTAGTTGAGCATAAATTAATAAATAAATATATTAATTATCTTTAAAATTAATGAATAAATAAATATTAATGCATACTATCTGTCTTTCTGTCTGTTTGTCAATCAGCCTTTCATTCATCGTTTCTTATTAGATAGATAAATATATTAAGTAACACAAAACTAAAAATTGTTTATTTGCAAATTTATTAGACATTTATTTGTGAGTCAAAAAAGTAAATATACTAGATAAATACTTATAGCAAGTTAAGTTTGCTAAACCTCTTAAATTTGAATAATTTTACATACAAAGCATTCTTCTAAATGCTAGATCAATCTTAGTTTTTAAGAATTTCTATATTATTTAGTCCATTAAAATATAAATACTATTTTTCTTTAATTATTATTTTTTTAAATGTATAACTTTATCTGTCAGTAAATTATTAATTTATTGTTCAGTAAATAATTAAATAAAAGTTAGAACAAATATTTATAAAAATAATGGTATTTTAATTTATTTTTATAAACAATGTAATATTAATTTAATTTATTTCAAAGCTAGCTACATAATCAAATAATTAAAAAGTTTTTAAGTCTAGTGAAAAACTTAATAATTATCAATTGCTAACTCTAACAAATTAAATTAAAAATTAGAATTTTTAATAATAATTAGTATTTTAAAAACCAATATGAAACAAAGAGATATTTTTTAAAATTCGAATGAAAAAATCAAAAATCAGAATTAAATTTTAAAAATATTTGGTTTTGAAAAAATTTTATAATGATTTATTTTAATTATTTTGCAAAAAAATGATAAAAATATTATTAATTAAGCAGAAATTATATTTTATTTATTAGTACTCATTTAATAATCACATAATATCTTAGATGATAGACATTTATTTTATTTTTATCAATAACACAAAATTTTCGATGATAAATACTAAAAAAATGTATACTTACTTATCTTGCAAAAAATTTATTTGATTTACAAAATATTTATTTTGGCTTAATCAAAATAAGAATAATTCGAAATTTATTTGATAATTTTAATTCAAAAAATATTTTATAGAATTAAAATTTTCAACTATTTATTTTTAAGAGAGAAAAAATAATTAATTAATTATGCAATTATTGAACAAAAGATAAAGAATACCAAATATTAATATTAGAATATTATTTTTAATTAATATATCACATTTTAGTAAAATTTACTTTGTTGGCTAATTATTTGAATTAATAAATGGAATACTATTAATTATTTGTATTTAATAAAGCTTTAAACAAAACCAGCAATTAATTAATTAATAATTTTTTTTGTATATTTACTTTAAGATTAAGCTGATTGATTTGTGAATAAGAATAAATTTGATGAATTTACTTTGAATCTTATAGAAATTTAACATTATATTTTACAATAACAATCTAATTAAGAATTTAAGGATAAATAATTAGGAAGTTAGTGTAAAAATTAGAAAAAATGGGACCATGCTAAAGCTGCAAATAAAAAGAGAAAAATTCAGAAATAAGTAAAATTTATTTTAAGATTTTAGACAGATTAAAAAGTTTTTGTTCAAGCAATATCTAGGATATTATCAATACATAAATATGCATAATTTAATGTCGAATATATTTTTTTATTTAAAATAGTAATTCCTGATGATATTTCTACTATTAGAAAATCAGGTAAAGATACACAGTCAAAAACAAGCAAATAATAAAATGGATCATTTATTCAAAATTGGTCGGATTTGTAAATTGAATCATAGGAATAAAAAAAGCGAGAGCAATAGGGTAATGAAAAAAATACAGCACAAGGAAATTAAAATGACGAAAATATCAGAAGAGGAACAAACACTTATTTTTGCTCTATCGAAAATGATGTTGAAAGCAATAAAAATAAAATATTTAATAATGCAATAATAGATATCAACGAGAATAAAAGCGATATTGAAATTCTTCTTGAACTAGAAAAAATGAACTCTAACCTAAATTTAAACGCAAAAGACGAAGTTGAAGAAAATTAAAAGAAACCAAATTAATAATTTCTTGATTAACTAACGTAATCAAATAAAAGTTAGACAAGCAAAACTTAAACAAATAATAATTAAACATATACAAATAAAACCAAAGATAAAGATTAATAATCAGAACGCCTATCAATGAATAATATTCTTAAAGATTTAGACGACTGAGCAAAAAATTAAAAAATTAATGCTCATCCAAAAATAGATCAAATAGCTAAAATAGAAATTATTCATATCATAATTAATAAAATTAGATGCTTGCTCATTCAACAGAGCAATTACTAGAAATATAATATTAAATATAAATAATTAAATTAATAAAAAATTAATAAATAAATAAATAATTCAGTAGTAAAAAATTTTCCCTAACTTTAAAAAATACCACATCTTAAATTATTTTTAAATTAATTTATTATGTGGTTTGTAAATATTTTCATTAATTAATTAATTAAGAATGTAAATCATCATCATATCATAAGAATAATATAAACTATAGAAGATTGTTAATGATTTTGTTTTTCTTGTATGTACTGTTTGAATCATCCCAATCTTTAATTTATTATTATCAAATTAAGTAACCTAATAGTATTTATAAGTAATTAAATTCATCAATCAGTAAGTAAATAATTAGTCAGTCTCATATATTACAATAGAAATTAATTATTTTTGCCTTTTTTTTTTTTATCTCTACCATTTTATATTTTATTGGTTAATTAATTAATTGAATGGTTGATTGACTTACTTCTTTACTAACTTATTTACTGGCCATCTTATCATAAATAACAATTTAAATTCAATAATTTATTTTTTAAAAATTAAAATATTTTTTTTTAATAATTATTGTATGTGTTTATAAATTGTTTTCAATATGAAATAAATACTTTTTTTAATTTACTTAGCATATTTTTTCAATATTTTTCAAATTTTTTATAATATAAATCACTTTTTAATGTAAATTTAATGTACTAAATTTTTTGTATTTTTATTATTTAATATCATTACTAACTTATCATTCATAATAAAGCTATTGTTTGTATTATACTTAACCTAGTAATTAATTTTATTTATGTTAACTCAAAAATTTAGCTCATTAATTATAAACCATTTATTTATTTATTTATTTTGAACTAAGAATAAAATATTTTTTTTATATAAATTTATGTATCAAAATACTTTTTTTAATTTGCCAAGCAAGCAAGCAAACAGCTAAGATGATTAATACTAAACATGAGATAAACAATCAAAATATTTTTTATTTTGAAGGTATTATTTCTTGCTTTGATAAAAATCTTTATTCAACGAAAAATATATTTATTTATTTTAACAAAAAGCTAAAAAATATTTATTGATAAATTGAAAAAAATATCTGAAATTATTGAAAAAAAGCAATCTTAATTGATTTATTAGAAATATTGTTATTTTAATTAATTAATTATGGGTAATTAAATATTTAATAAGCTGTAATAGTACGTACTTCTACTTAATATTAATAAAAAAACAAACTCCTACATATATTATTTAATTTATTCATTTCTTTTGGTAGTAAATTTTATTTTATACAAACAAATCTTGCAATAAAAGCTTAATAAAAAAAATAGTCACAAACAAGCACAAATAAATGCTTATTTATTTTTAAATACCAAATGCTTTTATTCAAATAATGTTTAAATAATTTTATCATTGATATTACTTCTAAAAAATAATTAATTTTCTCAATAAAATATTTTAAAAGAAAAAATAAAATTAATTTTTGTTCAATAAATATTTAAAAAATTAGAAAATAATGTATTATTTTAGTTTTTTTTTACTTATTAGATTAAAATTTAATGAAAATAATGTAATTATTATTGCTTAAAAGTATAATTTTGTAAATAAATTAAATTAAATAAAATGAATTATTTATTATTTAAAACTATTAATTTATTTACAAAAATTTTTTTGTTCTCTCTCTCTTTATACTTAGTAGTTTTTATTCAAAAATGATAAAATAATTTATGATAAAACAATTATTTATAAATAATTTAACTACTTAGAATAAAGATATTCATTTATTTACTCTTTATGTGAGCATTTAAATATTTCCACAATTACTTTAATTTTAAGATTACTAATTGTTTGTTATATATATACAAATCAGATAAGATAATATCAGATTGAAGACAATAATCTTTTTCTTTATAGTAAACTCTTTAAAATTCATATTGAGAAATAATTGAAAATAATAAATCAAATAACATCAAAACAAACTGATAGAGTTTTAATAAATGCAATACGAACAACTAAACCAAATAAACCCACAACTCGGTGGTAACAACGATTCTGCTTGGGGCAAAGATCTTATAATCGTCATCTTTTATGGTATTTTCGGTGGTTTGTTCTATGCATTTTCAACAAATCCTGAGAGATATTCTAAATGCGATGATAGCCAATTTATAGATTGGACCAAATTAACTATGATTGTTTGTCTTTCTTATACTGCTGTTTCTTTAATCAAACTTCCTTTGTATATCTGCAAATTGACTTAGAAGTGTCCTACTCTTTGGTCTTCTCTTGAAGCAGTTGGCGGTATTTTTGTAATCATTTGTGGAATTGGTTTAACTGTAAAGGATAACAAAAGTTGTGGAGAATTGCATACATTAGCTATGGTTTTCTATATTCTTGTCTACATTAGTCTTGGTATTTTAGGATTGGTTATTTGCTGCTCTTGCATCTGCTGTGCTGGAATGGTTGCTAGCGCTTCTATGCAAAAGACAGATGATTTAGAAGGCAAACCCATGAATAACGATACCGCTCCCCAATATGATGGTTAATTATGAAAAAAACACATTATCTCCACATACTAATAAAAGTATAGCCACTTTTACTAATATATTCAGATGAACTTTTTTGACCGTTTTTAGGTCGTTTTATAATTAATATCAAAATTTGCGATATCAATCAATAAATCAAAATGGCAAAGAAGCAAGCAATTTCAAATTATTGAAAATTAATTGTAAAATTAAATGCATTTTATAAGTAAAATAATTAATTCTACATAAATAAATGCATACATAGCACAATATATATTTTTTATGTCAGTATTATTCATAGATTCGATTAATTTTCTTAATTTTATCACTATACTTTCTATTTCTATCATTGCATTCTATCTATACTTTTTAATATTGGTATTATTTGAGCCTAATTATATTCCTAATTTTTTTTAAAATGTAAGTAACAAACAAAAGATAAACACATACAATACATACATATTCACATAAAATTAAAATATTTAAATATATACGGTAAAGGTTCATATATTAAGGCCACCTTTATTTCTGTTTAGACACCTCGATTACCGGCCTTAATTTCAAATTTTTAAAAACAGGCCTTAATATATGAACCTTAACTGTATATATTATTCGTAAAAACAAACCAAATGATTTATTTATTTATTTTTCATAAAGTAAAATATTTGTATTAATCTGTGTTTATTTCTATAGAATTATAAAATCAATTAATAAAAGATTTAATAGAAATAAAAATACACATTTTATTGCAAAAAAGAATATATTTTAGATCTGATATAATCAGCCATATTTACCATCGTTTTAACTTGAATATTTCATAGAAAAATGTAGGTTTGTTAAAACTTGCATACAGATTAAAGTAAATATGCAGTATTAGCATTAATTTAAATAGAAATATTTGAATCAAAAGATATTCAGACAAAAAATGAATGATTGTTAAAGAAAATACATCTTTTTACTATTGTCATTCATTTAAAATTTGAAAGGCGATTTATTACTAAAATTATTAAAAGTGATTAAAAAAATAGGTAAATTAATTGATTTTTGATTCATATCAGATTTATTATCATAAAGAAAGGTTTGGCATTAAAGATATAAACAGAAAAGTATAGTTTGCTTGTTTGATGATTAATTTTTGAATTAATCTATCTATCTATCTATGGATATCTTTTAGATTTAAATCAAATTTGATTAATACATTGAATAATTAATTAAATAATTAATAATATAGAAAAATTCATAAGTTTTCAATTAATAAAATATCTTTGGATTGCAGAAATGGTAATTAGATTTGATTATGCTAATTTCGTTATGGGCATATTCTATGTAATATTTGGTGCCCTCTTTTACTTCTTCCTTGATGATTCCTCTAAATTTAGCTATTGTAGAGCCACTGATTTCCTTAACTGGAGTAAATACACATACATTGTTTGCTTTGTTATTGTAGGTGTTCTAGTTCTTAAGTACATCATTGCATATTTCACCATTCAACAAAGATTTCTCTAATTCTACCTAATAGTAGACCTTTTAGGAACAATTGCTGTCCTTGTTTGCGCTGTAGCATTGGTACTTAAAGACAGCAAAACTTGTGGAGACTTGCATACCTTAGCCATGGTTTTCTATATTGTTATTTTTGCCTTTGTAGCATTAGTACTTATTTTCTTCATTTACAACTGTTTTGCCTCTAAAGATCATGCCAGTGGTTCAGGCTATGTCAGTGTTTCCTACTCACATTCTTCCTACACTAATTGAATATTTATGATATATAAAAATAAAATATTATCAGCAAATTTGTCTAAATATATGTGTCGTTTTTATCGTTTTTTAATTAATATTAAATTTAGATATTTCTAATTAATAATACTTCAATTAATTCCTATCAAAACATCAAAATGTAACTAAAGATTTTTTGAGTTTTATTTATAACAGATTAGCAAAAAGTGTATGCAAATATATAAAATTCAAATTGTATATTCCAAAATATTTTTATTCATTTAAAATATATTTAACCAAAAATTTTCACTTCATTACATACATTTAAGCATTTCAAAAATATAATTCCAAAAAACTATTCATATCATTTAATATAAGTGCAAATTATTTATAGGCTGTAAAGAAACAAATAAATAAATAATTTATAATTTTAGTTATGCAAGAAGCAAAAATAGTATGGCAAAAGGATTCAATCCAAGCAAATTCATTTAAAAGTTAATTGAATTTTAGTAAATTAAAACTTGTGTAATTTTTTTTAAATATTAATCATACAAAATATATGAATAAATTTTACTTTTAAAGTTTAATTTAACTAACTAACTAACTAATTAAATAAGTGATATGCAATTTAAAATTTGATATTTTAAGATTTCTTATCCTTTTATTATTCGATTGGTATTTTTAAAAATGTTAATTCTTTTATTATAAAAGTTTATATAAGGTTTAAATTTTATTGACAAAGAAACTCTTTACTAAAAAGGTACTTTTCAGAGACTAATACTAAATAACTCAATTATTTATTTAATAGCAAAAATGAAGTGTAATAATAAGGATCAAAATAAAAATATGATACACTAAAAACCATACAAATACAATGAATAATATAAATATAGGTATTTTACTTAAATTAAGTGTCCTTCTTTATTATAAATATTCAAATTCCTTTATATATATATATCATTTGTCATTTGCTATTTAGTTAAATTTATTGATAATTTATCTAAAAAATTTATTTAATAGTTTTAAATTTATTCATTTTAGTTAAAAAGTATATACCCTAAATTTAAATTAATTCTCACAAACCCTCCTAAAAATCCAGCAAACATTAATGGTCATAATTTGAAATATTTAGAGGATACGAAGAAATTTATATCAGTGAGAATTAATGAGGATTTAAAGTAATCAGGTTCTATGTATGTTTATAATAATTATTCATTTGAAAACTTACTTCATATTCTAAACAAATAAACTAATTATTTTTTAGACTTTTGCTCATGATTAAAAAATATTTAAAAAAGTAAAAAGCTTATTTAATGTTTTTAGTTAAAAATGTAAACAGTAACCGAATTAGAAACTAACTAAATATAATATTTCGAAGTATAAATTTGGATTATATCATAAAACCTTATTACTCGTTTTTATATGAATAAAATTAGAAACGTCTTATAAAAAATTTATTGATATGTAATTCATAATACATTTAATTTGCTTGTAAGTACTTGTAAAAGCAAATAGAGTAATTGAATGGTTTTTACATTAAAAATGTATTGATTTTATAAAAAATTTAATAAATATTATGAATGAATGCCTGATTTGAAAAGAATAATATATATATATAAATATTAGATTTAATTAGAAAAATAGAAGTAAGTAAATAACTAACTAACTAACTAAAAAAATAATCAATAAATGATGTATGCTAATGAAAGGGATTGGAAGTTTTTCTTTTTGATGATAACGCTAGTAAATATCTTATTTGGTTCTTTATTTATTTTATTTCGCTAAGAACCAAGCTACCATGGCAACTGCAACAACAAAGAATTTTTAAATTGGACTTTAATATCAGCTTTTTCTTGCTTTCTGATAGGTTTATTGTCTCTTTTCACCATTATCTTAGTATAATGTGGCTAAAAATTCTTTTCAAATTTGTTAGAATACTCATTCTATGCTTGTATTATATATTCCCATATATGCTTAATGGGTCTCAACTCTTCTAAAGATACTGATTGTGGATAATTATACACTCTCACTTTATTTTTTATTATAATTTCTTATGCTCTTTACATTTTAATTTTCTTTGTACTCTGCCTAACTCTTTGTATATTTTATGGCATGGTTGCGATAAGGAGTGAAGATAATGCAGGTTTTAATTAATAATAATTTGCTCAAATCCCATAATAATAACAAGATTAGCAGTAACTTATATAGTAATAGCAAGACCCATAGCAGTAACCCTTAAATAATGGCAACAATTAAAACTATCAAGCTATCTGATTAGGGAATATTTTAAAGAAAACAAACTAAATAGTATTTATTAATTAATAAATTCAATGCAAGTGAATGCATAAATCAGCGAATCATCTTATATAAAACAAATCATCAATTATTTATTTATTTATACTTTTAATTATTAAAAATAGACAATAAAATAATTTATTTTATAATAATATGTAAATTTTATATTGAAACAATTAGAAATATTCAAAAAATCTAATTTTTATTTAAACATAAATAGGAAATTTTATTTATTATTGATAAATTAACATTAGCTCATTACATAGAAATATTTCAATCTTAGAATTTATTCATACAAACAAACTTACTTTTCATTTTGCTTAGGATTTTGAAAAATTCATTCAAAAAAACAATACCATTTTAATTTTTTATTAATAATCTATTTATTTTTGAATAAAATAAATTTCTTAATATTTTAATATCTTTTTTTTTTGAAGATCTAACAAATTAATAAATTTATTGATACAAAAGCTTAAAAGTTGAATATATTAAATTTATTTTAATATTTTGAAATCTATCTTAATTTTTTGGCAATAATTAAAATCTCAAAAATTATCAATTGTTGATGTATTAACTAAAATATTTTGAAAGATTTAAAATTTCTATGATAAAAAACATTTCTTAATTAATTAGATTTTTTCTACATATTGTAATTATTAGTTAACTTAGAGAGCGATTATCCTTTAAGTATGAGAAAAGGATCTCTAATTTTAACAATATTTTAGCTAATCTGAAAAAGGTATTTAAATAAGTAATAATAAGTAATAATTGTTTACTCATTACATTTTTCAAACAAAATTCAATACATTCTAAACATTTTTTTATTTTTCAAATAAATTTTTAAGTTTGTTTAGCTAATTATTTTTATTTATTTATTATAATTGAAAAATATTTTAATTTATAAAGAAACAAAATTTGAAAGAAAATTAATTTTTGAGTACATTCAATTTAAATGTAAATTTTTAGCTAAATAAAATAATATTTTAATTATTTAATAGATTTTATAAATGTTAGTAAATAAAGAAGTTTTAAAATATTGAAAAATCTTTCAAAATTTTAAAAATAAAACTTAAATATATATCTAGATTTATAGATAGATAGATGGATAGATGGATTAATAGATAGCAAGCTAGAATATTTTTTAAATAACAAATGAATTAATAAAAGCATTTAAGATTTATCTTTTTATTCAATAAAAATGATCAAAAATTAGCTTTTTATTAAATAAGTTAGCATTCTACCAAATTTAATTTATTGACGAAGAAAGAAAAATATTCATTTATTTATTTATACTTTAGTTATTCAATTTTATTAAAAAGTTTGAGTGCTTGAACAGGGACAATTTTAAAATCCAATTGATTGATTTATTTGTATTTTGCTTGTATTAGCTCCATACAATTTATTGTGAGAATTGGTTAAGTTAATTTTGTCCTTGTTTGAAAAAAAATAATAATGTTTAGCTTAATTTATTTTATTTAAGGAGTGTTGAACAAAAATAAATATATATGCACCTTTCAAAATGTAATCAGTTAGGATAATTTTATCAATTTTCTTAAAATAAGATTGATTATTTTGTGAAATGAGTAATTAAATTTAATGATTTTGATATTAGTAAGTAATTATAATGTATGCAGGTTTGATTGATTATTTTGTTATTGAACAGAGAAAAAATTTCAATGCGCACTCTACTTGTTTATTACGTATTTATTTAGTTTTAAAATGCTATAATAAGAAAATGAGCTAAATAGAATAAAATTTTCAATATAAATAATTTAATAAATATATCTATCTATCTATTATCATTTACAAATTTTTGTTAAGATAGATAGATAAATAGAGGTAAACAAGAGTAAAGTTTGACTTCTAATATAAGCAAAAAAGAAAAAAGGCAAGCTACTTTTGGTATATTCAATTAATTAATTAAAAAAATCAATAGTGTTAAATAAACAAAAACAGCATATTAATTAAATAGCTTATTCGATATTTATACTAACCAACAAAAGAAGTTAATCATAAAATGTTGAGCGGGTTCATAGGGACTGAGTGCTATAACTTAACTGCTTTACAGAACAATTAAAAGGAAATGAATGCAAAAAAAAATGAAAAGGAGTATTTAATGTTTTTGATTATTCTCTTGGAGAGAGTAGTTTTAAGCTTTGGTTTGATGTTTATTAAAATTAAGATTTACTTTTCCAACATGATTGAGAAATATCACTCACTTTACAAAATAATTGGAGAAATTTATGAAATAAACTTTGTTGCAGGTGAGGAAGATGCTAAGCTACGCGAAAGATTGAGAAAAAAATTTGATTTCTCCTTCTTTGAATTTGAAAATGGATTTGAACCTCATGAAGATGAGTTATTGTAATCAACTTTCGAAAATACAGTCTACAATGCTCTATATATTTCTGAATAAAGATAAGCTTAACTAAAGAAAATGAATTTTGCTCCTAAAATCTAAGTTAAGCAAATTGAATACATGAAAAAATCTCTAAGCAAAGATAGCAAAAACTAAATCAAAGTTGTTTCTTTTAACTTGAGCGAATAAGCAGAATTAAATGACACCCAACAGCTTTAGGTTTAAAATTGATAATACTCTTCAAAAACTGAAAATCACTCTCTATCTTTTTAACACCTATTTATTTAGTCAATAATTGAACATACAATAATAAATACATACATATTCATACATAAATATAAATAAATAAAACTCTGAATCAGATTTAAATTATCAGTCAATTAGTCCATCATTTAAATCTATTTCTAATTTATTAAAATTACAAAAATTTATTATATCTTTCTAAGTTTCTACTTCAGTACACTTGCTCGAAAGGAATTCAGCAAAAATTAAAGTCTCTTAAGAAAAAATAGAATGATTTGTTGTCTATTTGAAACTTTCTACTAGATATGGTTTTATTATTCTTAAAAAAATTTGCTATAATTTGAATAATTATTGTTAAACTTGCATTTCAATACTAAATGCATGCAAGCTAAAGCAAGTGCTAAGAGAAAGAAAGAAAAACTATTTGAAAAACTCATAATATTCTTGAAAGGATTTACACTAATCTCTCTTAAATAAAAAAATTCTTATATAATTTAATTAATTAGATAGATAAAGTGATATATTGATTGAAGGAGAAGATAGTTTTATCAAGTTTAGGATATTCAACAGACATAAATTAATTACTCAACCATCATAATTTCAATAATTACAAAACATCCAAATAAAGAAATAAATGACGCTTATTATGCCATAACAAACAAACAAGCAAATATTTGAAATAACTAGCTATTTATTAATTATTTATTCATTTGGAAAAACTAATAAAAAAATAATTTAAAAAATATATAATAAATTACTATAGAACTAATTTACTTACACTTTTTAGAAATATTTATATATAGTTTACTTATTTGTATATAAAAAACAAATATTTTAATTAATTTATTATTTGTTTACTTGTTTTTATTTATTTGTGATATCATCTTATCATTTAATAAAATTTCTACACTTTTCTTTATAAATTTGTGTAAATACTTTTTAATTGTTTCTCAAATTACTTACTTTCAAAAAAATTTAATTAAATATTCCTTAATATTATTTTAAAAGATTTATTTATTTATTTATTTATTTTTTATGTAGTAAATATGAATAAAAACACTAAAATATTTTTCCTAATAATTTATAATATAATTTTTTATATGGTAGAATTAATTGCTAAAAAATTATATACTTTTAAGATTAAATAGATTTATTTAAATTTTCTCATTTTGTATAAATTAATATAAGTTTCTACCTAATTTTTTTGTCCATCAACTCATTTTTTATTAATAGCAATTAAACAATTACAATTTAATTTTAACATTTTTCCTTTCTAAGCATTAGAAAAAGTTAATAACTAATTACTAATGCGAAGAATATTCTTTGTATTAAAAGATTATTTCAAATTTTAAATAAATTCATTGTAAGTAAATAAATAAATTAAGATTCATAACTCAAATTTATTAAAATATTTAGATATTTTATCAATTTATAATAATTTAATTAATAAAAATAAAGTATTTATTTATTTATTTATTTATTTATTTTTTAATCTTTAAAATATATTTTTTTTTTACCAAAAATAGAAAACAAAGATTATTTAAAAAAAATATTTCTAGTCAATTAAGCTTTCTAGATGAAAGAATCTAAGAATGAACTTCTTAAAATTTATTTAAATTAGCAAAAAATTATAAAGAGAGCTAAACGAGAATATTAATTTTTTTAAATAAATTAAAAAACCTTAAATTATTTTGTTTGTTTTTTTACTATTTTAATATTTTTTAAACTTATTTTTTTTGTGTTTTTCTTGAATTATTTCTTAATAAATAATTCATAGACTTTCACTACATTTACTTGCATTTCTAGGAAAGAGTAAAATATTAACTTGTTAAAAGTTAAGAATTGAAACATTATTTTTATAAAGATAAAATGAAATTCGAGACCAAATGTTTTATGAATTAATTTTATGTGAATGGGAAAATTATTGTTTTCAGTTAAGTTTTTGAATTTTTCAGGCTAGAAAGTAGGTTGATTGATGATTATCTATTTCAAATTTTGTAATAGATATAAACAATATTTGAATTATATGTTTATCAGATTTTTTTATATAGCTTAAAAAAAACTATATTGTTAGCTATCACTAAATTTTTATCAAAAAAGCAAATTTAAATTCTTAAATTAATTACAATTAATTGCATTAACTTTAAATTAATTAACTATTTTCATCTATCTTAACTTAGAAGTATATCAAAACTATAAAGCTAATTAGTATATAAATAGCATGGGAGCAAACAACGTTAAAGAATAATTATACGAAGCAGTAGAACAATCTGATGAAGCAAGAGTTGCCTAGCTCATCAAAGTACTATCTATTGCATATTATTATCAAATGGCTTTTAGCAGAGAAACATTTGATTGATTTCACTTTTAATAATAAATAGGAAAATCCCATTTTACTTAACGCTCCTCTAACTGAGGACTGCTAGAATACAGCATTGTCAAGAAGTGTTTGGAGGAACGATTAAAAGCTAGTTAAATTAATTTTAGGAGTAATCAAAGACATATTATTTATTTTTGATGTATTTTTTAACATATATTATAAAAAAATTAGATGGGCAGTTAAGTTAATAACACAGCCTCAAAAGGAATAAGTCCTTTGATGTGGGCAGCTAAAAGAGGACATATTGATATGGCAAAATTATTAATTGAAAATGGCGCATAAGTTCTATAAAGATCAGAAGATAATCAAAGTAAAATTGTTTATAATTTATAATCTATTCATAATTGATGGAAATTTTGAAATTCGAAGAAATATTAATTTGTTTATTTATTTATTAAATAAGAATTTACTCCTCTTGAATGCGCTATAGTTATGGGTTAATATGAAATGTGCTTATACTTGCTTTCATTGGATCTAACTTAATTAGAGTAAATTATAAATTTCTTTTGTTTTAAAAACTCAAACAATTCTATAATACTATAGAAGTTTACAAACTCCTGAAGTATATTAAAAGGGAGCTGAGGGTAAGTACTTAAGCTATTGCAATTACGAATAGTTCTTGGATCATTTGAAGGCTAGAATTCCATTTGAATCTTGCCCTAATTTCTATTAAAGACCTACTAGTAATTAATTAATAAATGTTTTTTAAATAAATAAAATCTTAATTTTCATAAATAGAACCTGAATTAGTTGATCCTGTAATAGATCCTCGTGAAACTTGGGTTCAATTCATTAAAAGAAACATTGAATTCGAAGAACCTCCAGTCGTAATTTATTAATTTGAAATTTAAAAGGCTTTTATTCAGTTTGATTTCTATTTGTAGGTTGAAAGAAGTGAATTGCCTCAACATTTATAACCACAAAACAGATTCATGGGTAAAGTAAGACAATATTTAAATGGCAAGAGCCCATATCCTCCAAAATAGCCAACTACTTTAGAAGATAGAAATAATGTTGAGTTATAAGATCCTTTTGTTGATAACAGAGTTTAAATAGATACCCCTCAAAATATCAACTAAAAAGAATAAAAATAAGCAACACTCTAATAAAACGTATACTCTAACTAAGGAAGTTAATTCAATATAGATAATTAACAGAGTAAAGAAAAAGAAATTGATGTTTGAAATTAGTTTTCCTAATTAATTTCTTTCTTTTTGGAAAAATTATATCAACTAAAATATTAACCAAATAATTTATTAATTAATGCTATCTAAAATTTCATTAAAAAATATGTTTTTATGTCATACCTTTCATCCATTCATCCATCCATACATAATTTTATTTTTTGTTTTATTTTTAATATGTTCTTCAAGCTGTTTTACTTCAAAATATATAATTTAAAATATATCAATAAAATAACTTATTAATTAATGCTATCTAAAATTTCATTAAAAAATATGTTTTTATGTCATACCTTTCATCCATCCATCCATCCATTCATCCATCCATCCATCCATACATAATTTTATTTATTGTTTTATTTATAATAATTATTCTTCAAGCTACTTTACTTCAAAATAAATAGTTAAAAATATATTAACAAAATAACTTATTAATTAATGCTATCTAAAATTTCATTAAAAAATATGTTTTCATGTCACACCTTTCATCCATCTATCCATAAATAATTTTATTTATTGTTTTATTTAATTATTATTCTTCAAGATGCTTTTACTTCAGAATATTTAGCTAAAAATTAGAAAAAAATATATCTTATTTTAATTATAAATAAGTAATATAAAAGAGATTATTAAAAAATTAACAAACAAACGAATTAATTTTTAAACTTAAAAATAATTTATGAATTGTAGTTAATTGCCAATATTCAATTAATAAATGTTTTTTCATGCTTTTTTAAATAATTTTATTTATTGTTTTACTTTCACTAATTAGCATTTAATTAGTTTTTATTTATAATTTTCATAATTAAAATTGTTTATTTATCTTTTTTATACCAAAATAGATTAATTAAATTACTTTGTTTATTTTTTTTAATAGATCACTATCATTTTTTTTATTTTGGAAATTTATATGAATTTGATTACTTTGTATTTTAGTAAAAAAATATCAAATGTAAATTTGCTATCATCAAAATAGCTTAAAATAATTAATTAAAAATATCTTTTTGTCAATAACTTTTTGAGCTATATAAATTCAAAGATATTTTTGAATAATTATATCTTTATCAATTGCGATCAACATAGATATTAATTTAACTAAATTTAAGCATGTCAAATAGGATGTTTGCTTTATTGAAAGTTTTACTTTTACTTATTATTTTTAGGATGAAGTAATTTGGCTTTGATTTTTTAGTTCAAATAAATTTTTGTACAATTCCTGAGGTAGTTTGTCAATTTGAATGAAAAATTAAATTTTTTTGTATTTTTAATTAAATTTAATTAATTTCAAAAAAAAATTTGGCATGCCCCATTACTTTTTGTATTTAATTAATTTTTTATGTTGTTTATTTTTATGTTGTTTGTTTTTATTGATATTTGATTTTTTTTTCTTTTTTTCTTTTTTATCTTTTTTCTTATTTTAATTAATTATTTGTTTTTTTGTTTTCTTTTTTATTGTTTTTTTCTTTCAATTAATTTTTTTAATCTTTTTTTTTGTTTTCTTTTATCTGGTTTTGTTTTCTTTATTCTTCTAATTTGTTTTCTTTAATCTTTTTAATTTATTTGCTTATTTGTTTGTTTTTTTATTCTATTAGTTATTTTTTATCTTATTGTATTCTTATTTTCTTTATCTTTATTTATTCATTCATTAATTTTTTTATTTTTTTAACTTATTTTTTAATTTTGAGATATAATGCGAGAGAGCCATGTAAGGACTTAAAAATATTAATTTATTTATTTATTGATTTTTTTAATATTTAATGATTTATTTATTTATCAAAAATTTTTTTATTAAAAATGCGAGATATAATGCGAGGCCTACGAAGAGGACTTTAAAATTTGTTTAAAAAATATTTTTAAAAAATAGGTTAATATATGATTCAAGGAGGGCTTTTTTAAAAAATATTAAAAATAAAGGCTTCAGGATTTTTTGCACGGCTTTACGATGGGCGGTACGGTGAACTTTGATGGGCGGAACGATATAAAGGATTCGCATAATCGGTGAACGATTTTGATGGGCATTATTAGCGAATCCTTTATTTGAAGGGACAGCATTCATTATTCAAAATATGAATAATGAATGCTTTAAAAAATAGACAAACATAAATTAAATAAAAATGAAAAAATAAATGAAATGAAATAAAAGAGAACAAGTGGAAAAAGAAGGGAGGACTGAGTAATACAGTTGAGGTGGATACATACAATCTCGACTTTTGTAAGAATGACTACTGATATAGTTTTGGATTTAGGGAATACTTTTTATCTATCGAATAGGTTCGGTTCCGTGAATCGAATTTTACTGTTGACTCTCTGGATTTAAAAACTTAATTTAAAAAACTTGAATTATTTCTCCAATAGATAATGTATTTTCTTCCCTGCATCTGCCTAACTAAGTCACTGATAACAAAAGTCCCTCCCCAATACCCTCTGAACATGAAACGTATAATTAATTAACAAATAAATAATCATATGATTAATTTATGTGTCTGTCACCTGTCTTCACCATGCATCCATCATCTACTTTTTTATATAATAAAATAATCCAGAGTAATTAATTTTAAGCAAAATAATGTTACGCCAAGCCTATAAATAAATATATTAAATATAGGCTTGTAAATAGTTTTTTTGGTGCAGCATAAGGATGGGAAAGAATTAACTAAAAGGATCAATCATTTGTCAAAAGAAGGTCTTTTAGGTGTCTAATTTTTATTTAAGTAAGGAAGAGTATCAACAAATTCTTTTAAAAAAACAAATGTTACTTCATCTATACATTTAATATTATTAAATGTATAGATTAGATGAGGGGGTTTATAAAAAGCAAATAGCAAAGAAATTCATTTTTTCAAAAGCTGATCATATTTGTTTCAAATTAGCGCTTGCTAAGTTTAATATAATAAAATTATGTGGTTGGCTTAACAAAAAATTTATTAGCCAAATCCACAATTTTTTTGGGTTTTTAATATAGAATTGCCAGTTATACTGATTCGACAGTCTATGTATTTTCATTGATTTTGAAAATATTTGTAAAAATAATAAAAGGGGAAGAGAAAGACTTACCAGGAGATTGTTCCTGTCCCTGTACACATAATCTTATCGGTCACATAACATAAAGGTTATGGATACTTACGATTATATGTTTCTCCAGCGACTTTGGAACACTAAAATTTTAAACTTACTTTCACATAGCACATACAATCTCAAAATTCTCTAAATAAAATTCGAATCAAAAATAGGCATTTTTGAAGTCGAACGCTTTTTGTTAAAAGAAAAACGAAATCAAAAGAAAAAACTTACTTCAATTTTTTAGCAACTTTATTTAAAAGGTAAAAAATAGCAATCAGCAATCCTATTTGATAAATTACAAATTTAAATAAAATAATAAATAAACTTAGCTGAGAAGAACGCCTCAAAGTTAGATTCAATCTGAATGTTTTAGACAGAGCATTTAGTAATTTCTCCAAGAATGGATCACCAAAAGGATTTCCTTGTGATTCAGAAAGAAGAATAGAGAAGAATAAAAATAAAGAAACTCCCTTACAAGTGTTCCTCTTTGATTTGTCTTTTTTCCTTCAATGCTACAGCTACCGATAAAGCTTGAGATCTGCCTGTGAGAAAGAAAAAATAGGCTGTATATTCCCATAAAGTGCTTCTTTTCTCTTCCTCGGTTCACCATAGAAGTATTCTAAAACAAAAGATTCCACAAATACTAGGTCTCAACTCTGTAATCAATTCAAGTTTCCCAATAATAATGAAAAGAAAACAAAGTTTCAACTTTTCTAAGCTTCCTCTAATATCTCAGATACTTCTAAATCTTGGTGATTGCGATATCCCTGCATTCGCTATGCAGATCTCCAATCAATACCAGCATCCTTCACAAATATCTCCAAAATACTCCTCAAAGATTCCACTAGCTCAGTAATCTCTTAGACATCTCATGCTTTACTGCAGAAGAAACTGCATTCGAAGCGACCCCATAATGAACTTCTCAAACACAAGAGTCTCCTCACTCTTCAAACTTCTTCACTTGTAATCTCCTCAGGAATTTCCATAATGTACAGAGATATTAACTATAGACATTTTGTAGAATTGAAGATCCAAGATTGTCCATAGATTCATCGAAATGTCGCATATCCCTTACATAGCCTTCTCAGAATCATTCCAATCATCTCCTTAATTTATTGTCTAGCTTGTCCAAAGAACTTTCAAATGAAGATCTAACAGAAGCATTAATTATTCTCAGCAAAAAGCACAGACATAAATGGTTGGTTATTATTTTCTTCGATTAGTTATTATTTATGTTTTGACTAAGATTTTTCTTTTTCATTTTATTTACTTCATCTCATTGTTTGTTATTATTTTTAATGATATTCATTTTGTTTTTTGTGTTTCTCATTTTTTACTTTTTATTTCTTCTTAATTTAATTTAAATTTGAATTTAATCGTTACGATTGATTGTTTATTTATTTAATTTTTTAATCTTTTTTACTTTAATCTTATTATGAATATCATTATTCTAATTGCTTTAACATTAATTCTTTTAATCATTATTATTTATTTTAGAGGTTAGTTCTATAGGACATATCTTTAGGCAATTTTTAGGCAAGATTATTTATTTAGCTCATTTAGAATCAATAAGTAAGCTTCAGAATTAAGAAAGTCAGCGTTCAAGTCTTTATTTTTTAAAATAAGAGGTTTACAAACATTTAGAGCTATCTACTCAAGACGATCCCTATAAAAATGAAATCTTGAAATAGAAGACTACTCAGTAGCAAGTCATAGCAGGCTAATGGTAGAAATGTGGTATGTCTCTTATAAAAAATAAATAAAGACTCAGAGAAGCAATTTCACTTAAAAAGAAGTCCAATTCATTCATTAGCCACATTTGAGCCTTAAGCAATCATAAATCCAAGGAATTTATCTTCATCATTTTATCTATCTTCTAAAGAGAGAGTAGCCATATGATTCAAAGCTATCAACTCAAGACGATCCCTATAAAAATGAAATCTTGAAATTGAAGAATACTCAATAGCCAGAAATAATAGGCTAAAGGTATGAATCAATAGCTTCTTTGACTCTTGAGAAGAAATAAGCTGATCAAACCAATCAATCAGACATCTCACTTTCTTAAAGAAATAGAACCTTTATCCCATTATTAGGAACTATCTCAAAAAGCAAGAGCCAATATCATAAATTTTCTCAGTTCATTTTCAATAAAACAAATCTAATAATAATCCTCTAATTATTGCTAAGGAAGACTCTTAACTGGAGTTGTCAAAGCATATTTTCAAGTGGCTTTCAACACATCTTACAAAGTAAATTTTAACTTCTTAGTTACATGATCTCAAAATTCTTTCTATCATGAAATATAACTCTTTTTCGGTCATTATTGCAATTATAAGCTTATCATTAAATATTTCTTTTTATTGGATATTGTGTGCGTAAAATCGGATTCCAATGAAAGAATGTTTTAATTGCTTATTTGTTGCAATTTATGACTGCTTGCTTGTTAATATTCAATATGAATTGAAAAAAGCAGAACTCCTTTTGTTGACAGAAAGACTAAAAGCACCTTTAGGAAAGATAAGAGATATTAAGGAATCAATATGCATCTTGAAAATAGAATCTAAAAGAAATCCATTTCTACTATCGAATTTTCAAATCTGCTTAGAGAATGCAAGATAATTGAGTTAACGAAAGACATCTAATTTAATCCAATCAGGCAATAATTATGCATCAAACTTCTTTTAAAAAGAGGTTAACGAAAGAGGTCTCATACATGGACTACTTCGATGCCCGATAAAGGTGATAACATGCAGTGTGCTATGAAGGTGGTCTAAGTCTCCATAACACATCCTTTATCTTAAACATCTAAAAATGCCAAAAGGGGTAAAGGAAGCACAGAGATCTTAAAATTTCATTCTATTTGAGGGGGAAAAGCCTCAAGAATTAGATCTACTGGTGCCAGGTAGAGGTAGGTTAGGCCTCAAGAGCAATTAAAGGTGGTCAGTCTCTAATGTGCCCCTCCCTTTTCACAAAAATTCTTCACCCATGTAGAATAACCATCTCTGTTTACCTTTTAATAGATGCCACTTGCCTGACTATAGATTATCAGTCAGTCTCCAATCACCATTAATGGGATCTATCAATCATCTTACATCTTTAAAGTTTCATCTTCAATCCTTTAGTAGAAACAGACTAACTTTTTTCATCTATTCATTTCCTATACTTCATATGTTTTTCATCCATCATCATGCTTCTCCTCTAGTCAAAAGAGGCAAAGGTAATAAATATGATGAAAGAAAAATGAAATAATAGAAAAAGAGAAGTATTGACTCATTTTAAATAAGTTATCTCTTTATCTTCCTATTCCCATCTGTGGTTAACTTAAGCAAAGATGGTAGGATACTTTTTAAAATGTCAAATATCAACGTGGATAAAATGTTATATTTATGTAAATTATATTAGATAGACAAAAAAAATGAGAAAATTAGGCTTAAGAAGTTAAAGTTGCCTCAAACAGCAACATCTTTACTTGCTAAGCGATGTAGACTGAGAGTTCCAGAATACAAGAACATTTTCACAAGACTTGAGAAAATTCTAGCGAATTCAGCTAACAATTTTTCATAGTTTCTTGCCATTTTTATATGTCCATAAAACTAATTATACTCCTCTTACTTTTTTCTTATTAATTCGTAACGATTAGTATATCTTTAATTAAGAAAAAAATTCAAAAAATTGAAAATCTTAGAAAAAACAAAAATTAAATTCTAATCATAAATTTTATTAAATACTTAACAATCCCTTGAATACTTAATAGTTTTAAAATTTGATTTATTTTCAAAATTCAAACAATCAAATAGTTAGTTAATTAATTAATTCTGTTATTTCCATCTTGAAAAGAATTATCAAACAAAGCAAAAGACTAAAAAGCTAGGAATGTTCATATTTATATTTTCAAAGAGTAAAAATTTATTAATCAATTCTATTTTTCTATTCATAAATTATTTTTTTTCTTTCTAATAGAAGCACAATTTCCATACTAATTTGATATTTTTTTGCTATATGATCAATAGCAATATAAATTATATTATCTAATCATTTTTCTAATCTAAATGAGTTAGTAGCAAAATATTTTAAATAATAATATCTTAATTTTTTATAAATAAATAATAGATAATCTAATACATTTTTTAATAAAATTTAAACCTAATATTTAAAATAGAATTAAATCATTCATATTTACTTGCGATAATTAATTAAAAATGAATAACTAAGTAAAATAATCTTCAAAAGTTTATAATTTACTAAAATAAAATCTCTCATCTTTATTACCCATTAATTATTAACTGATCAATTGATTAATTAATTAATTTTTAAATAAAAATAAGATTTTCTATGCTCATTTTTCTATCTGTTTAACATGTAAATATGAATCATTGTAAAAAAATATATTATGATTATTTTTATAATTTAAATGAGTTTTTTACAAAATATTTCTATTTTAATTTGAAAATTTATATTTTTTTTATTTTATAAAAATTTAGTAAATATGTAATTATTTTATTTTTAGATTAACAAATTAATTTTGTAAGAAAATTTTCCCATACAAAATCGAATATTTACTTGCATACATTTATGATCAATAACAAAAAGATATGAATTATTTCAATTTTTTTTATCAAAGTCATTTATAAAATAGAATTAATAAATATAAAGTTAACCAAAATCTAATTGAAAAATTCTTTGGAAATAATTTTAAAAAAATATTATTTCAACTTAATATTGACTTTTGAATATCTGATTAATCTTTTGTTTATGAAATAAATTATTTAATATTAGTATCATAAAAAAATGGGTTATTATTTAATTAAAATTTTCGCCATAGTATGTTTAAAAATTCCTTCAAAATATGTTTGTTTTTTAAAGAAATGCTTGTATAGAATTTTTTCTTATATTTATGATAAATAAAAAGAGACTTAAATATTTGAATATTATTTGTATCAATCAATAAATTCTCAAATTATTAATTTGTGAATAAATATTTGATATTTTTTAGAAAAAAATTAAACAAACAAGCAAAATATATATATCTTTTGTTTGCAAAATAATTAGTTTGTTTTTATACATTTTTATAATTGTTGATATTTGATAAGCTATTCCCATATTTCTAACAAATTAGCTGATAATAATTTTAAAAATATTTTTTACTAAATATCTAATAAATACTTTTATCTACAATTTAATAATTATTTTATAATAAAGCTATTTTATTTATAACTTTTTCAGATATATTCTTGTATATTTTTCTCACAAATCAAATCAAATTATTTATATATTGATTCTGTCATACTTTTAAAGAGATTGTTGTAAAATTAAAAATAAACTTTTTCTTTAAGATAAAAATGGATTTATTTTTTATCTTTTAAAATTTTAAATTTTTTTAATTACATTTTTATTCCACATTATTACTAGATTTATTTTATAATCTATACTTATTTTTGACAGATTTTTAATACAAAATAAATTAAAAACTAACAATATGATTTTTATCTTCAATAAGTAAAACTAGAAAAAAGCTTTTAGACCTTATGGAAGATTTTTAATTAGATTAATTTATTTATATATGAATTGATATAATTACATTTTACATTTTTATAATAATTAATTTAATATTTCCAAAAAATTAAAATATAAATTTAACAATAATAAAAAAATGTGTTAATTAAGTATAAAATTAAACAAATTTTTTAGATAGATTGAATAACATCTCAGTCTTTGTCAAATTATATTTAATTTTCGAATCTTTCTATTTTATTCTATCTTTTTTGGTAATTGATTTCTTGTGTTATTTCGTTAGTAAAGATAAATGATCCATCTTGAATATAGACATTTTCATCTTTGTTGAAATTAAAATGAGGAAAATCTCTTATGCTGTATGCAGTTGATTGCAAATTAAGATTGTTTTGTCTGACAAAATCAGAATTTTTAATTGCCCTATTCATAGCTTTATGAGGAGCTTAATACAATTCAAATACATCATTTTTATCTTTTTACTCTAATTCTTTATAAAATGCCTAACCTTATTGATTAATTAATTCAGAGCCAACTTACAATTTTTTTATTAAAATTGACCCAATAATTGTACGACAATGGGAGTTAACTTTAGCTGTAATAGAGCAGCAACATTTTTATCCAAAGGATATTTGTTTTTTTAAAGCAGCCTCAAAGTGGATTAAATATTCAATTAAATAGTTTCTTACTTAATTAGAAATTAAAATTTCTTACTCACCATCAACTTACTATTGCATTTCTGGTTATAGAGTTGCTGCTGCGGCTTGATCTAAAGAAATACCTATTACTGGTGGTGGCATATTCATATTTTACATATTTTAGTTTTAGTCTTATTAAACATTTATATTTATTTCGAATTTATCTTATTTTTCAACAATATTTATTTCTTTAACGTTTTCTAAGAGCTAGTTTTATTATTAGTTATTATCCATTTCATTCATTTAAGGAGGATAATCATAATTACCTTGTTACATGTTAATATCCTATTATGCGTTGAACATTGGGGGTTATTATCCATCAAATTCACAATTTGCAGGAGCAGGAGGGAGGGGAGGTTCAGAAGAAAATTGCATTTAAGGAGGCATTGCAGGATCCTAATAAGTTGGGTTATTATATCCAGGTTCTGATCTAAAACCTCCATGAATTTATGTCTTTTTTTATTTTGGCTTAAATGGCTTCAAGGCTTCATCAAAGTTAAATTTCATAAATTATGTCCAATTCTTTAGATTGGCTTATAGTTCCTTGTTATTTTAAGGTAACTTTTGGAATGTGACATATTCATCGCAGAGATCTGAAACTATAGCTTGAATTACCATTTTAGCATTATCGAAGTTTCCCATGGCTCTTTGAAGATAATTTAGCTTTTTCTCAAAAGAAAGTAATTTAATTAAACAAAATCTATCAACAATATCTAACATAGTTTCATTTAGCTATGCTCTGTTACGAGTAATTAGAGTAGCTGCATCTTTTCTCATAGATTCAATAACAGTTATTTTACCTAAATTATATTCTGATGAGAAGGTACCTTTTTTCACTAATTCTGGCTTGTAAGCATAGGTAAGAATATGGTTATAAGAGGGATTCAATTAATCAATCTTTTTCAGGACACTTTTCGCTTTTGTGTATATTTTATCACTAGATGGATTTGAGCAGCAAGAGATGCTAGTGTGAAAATCATAAGTATAAGAACAATCCATGAGATAATTTCCTATTAATGCCTTTTTAGTTTCTTCATCAGGATCTACCTTATTTAAATCCTCTTTATCTTTTTAATCTGAGGCAAATTACCTGTATAGTTCATTCTCTTAATTTCCTATAGTAACACTAGAATCGCTATCACAATTAGGGTGAATTAACCAAAATTCATTATAATTTGACCAAGGACCCAAAATGTAAGCATTTATTTTGTAGTCTTTAATTCCTTTGTAGATATGAGGTTCTCTAATTTACTTCATAGCATTTGTTTTTTCGCTATTGATAAGTGAGTATTCATTAGTCAAAATGATAACTACTTTATTTTTATATAGAGTTGACAAAGGTTTATCAATTGGACCAATATAATCATAATTAAATCCTTGATAATTTGATATATTCCATAAATCAACATTACCACCAAAGGATTCAGCAAACTATTTTACAGAATCTATAAAAATACTAGATGTTTCACAGTTAAACACAAGCAAAAAATCAGAATTTGGATCAAAGTTATGTCCTTCTGTCAATTAAATATGGAAATTACGTGTTTAAATGTTTTAAAACACCTCTGCTTGATTGTGGTAATATCCTAAATCCAACTTAGCTTGCATTCTTATATTTGTGTACAAAGGCAAATTTTAATCTTTAAGTTTAATTGTTCCACTGATAATTTTTTTTTCATTTGGGCCTATTGAAGTAATAAACTCTTGCTCAATTATGTAATTAAAATTTTCATTCATGCTAGGATTAACAAAATTTTTTTGATTTCTTGCATTCTACCCCCAAATGCTAGAATTGCGATAATCTTTATCTTAGTCTTCAAACATTTTTGGGATAAAATCAACTGTTTGTCTTGTATCACATAAAATTAATCTAAAGTTAAGCAATCTATTGTGATTAATACCAATAGGCTTAGTAGAGCGGTTCCAAATGCTTATCGCAAAAGGGGATTCTTCTCTAAATGTGACAGATCTTAAAAGTTGAACAGGGGAAATTTCAACAGGAAATCTAACAGTGTATTTATTAGTTTAATCTGTAACAGTCTAAAATTCTTTGTTAATTCTTTCGACCTTAGCCCTGTAATCGACTACAGCAGTTTACTTAAAAACAGAGTCAATAGCAGCTTTAGTGTAATCTTTTATTTTAAATTAAATTGGATTTGCATCTGTAATATTAAATACTTGTCCTATAGGTATACTATGAGGAATAAACACAGTATCAATCGGATTGAAGTAAATCCATTAATTATCCTGCAAATATAATGCAATCTATTAAGCAATAGGAGTATGCATACCTCCAATATTTAAAACCTCCATTGCATTTATCATTAACGATTCACCAGGTTCTATAATTCCATCGTCAGACTAAATAGCACAAACTCTGTCTATTTTGAGATTATAACGATATGAGTACTATTTCCCATCAAGTATGTAAGCAAAAGTACCATCTCTTCCTGGTCTTCCATTTCGACCACTAACACCATCTCTACCTATATTTATTATGAAAATACAATTTTAAAAGCATTAATTTATCCATACAAATCTTTCTATAAACAAATATCAAAATAATCACAAAAATCGAATGAATCTATCATTTAAACAAAATATCATGGTAAAAGTTAGCTAAGAAATGATATTTTAAAATAAATTGTTTTATGTTTATTAAAATTTAAATAAGCCATTTTAATTTTTTACCTCTAAAACCTGGCATACCGCTATGACCACCAGGATTGCTGTAGTGTCTTGTAACTCCATTTTAGGTTTCTGACCATGAGTAGCTACTACCTCCTCTACCTCCAAATCCTCCAGAACCTCCACTACCTCCTGGACCTCCTAATCCTGCGTTGCCACCTTTATAGAAAACTTAATCAATAAGCATAAACAAATCCATATCTTAATTATTAGCGGTTACAGTAATAGCTCCACCATCACCTCCATTACCTCCATCGCCACCATTGCCTCCATCACCACCATTACCTCCATTCTATCCATTAGTACCGCAAGAATATCTAGTTGCACTATGTCCACTCATACCATCACCTCCTCTACCTCCATCTCCACCAGCACCTCCATGTCCTCCATGGCCACCGTTGGAAATGAGATTTACTTTATTATTTGAATCACCTAAAATCAAATTATCAAAAAGAGATCTCTAATTTAATTCATCTATAATGATCTTTGCTGATCCATCAGTTCTTAGAACTAAGTTAATATTTCTAGCGTTTGTAGCATCAGTTCCAAATCCACCATCAGAGCCATCTTGCCCACGCATGCCCATGATACCACAAGATCCGCTTCTGCCATTAATACCTGTTGAACCGTTTGTTCCACTATAATCAAAGGAAAGCATTACTATTAATTGATTATTTTAATTAAAATAGCTACAATTTTTATATATTTATAATTATTATAATAATAATCAATCATATATCCACACAACTTAATCTTCATAAAAAATGTAATATAAATATGATAAAGTGTAATAATAATAATTTAATAATATCCTTAGACTGTAAAATTATCAAAATACAAAATATTAATTAATTCTGAGCAAAATAGTTTGGTATCCTTTTTAGGGTTTACTTAAATTAATAAAAGCCTGATGTGAATTAAACACCTGATCATATCAACTAATAAATGTTGATATCTGTCTATTATGATTTTTCTAATAAGGTAATTTTAGAATCTAAGATAGAAAAGATATTTGATAATATCAATATATAATTTTAATTAGATTTTATTAGGATGAATTACTATTCAAAATAGTTTATTTATTTACATTTTCTTTTTTGTTTATTAAGGTAAAATGAAAACAAATATAATACATTTACATTTATATTTAGATTAAACAATATGCTTTTATAATTTAATAAGTTTAAACAACTCTAATTGTTATTTTTAAAATAAAAACAAAATATTTTTATTTATTTATTTATTTTTGCATAAATATCGGCTGTATAGATCAAAGAGTTTCTTTTGGATTCTATTTATTTGGTAAAGATTTTTAATTTTTAACTTTGCTAAGTAAATATTTATATTTTAATCAATCACTCTCTGACTCATTGAAATTAAATCTGTTTTTCAAGTTGTTCTATTTTTTATTACCTTTTAAACTAATCTGTTGTTTGTGTGGTATCATCAATAAAATAAAAAGATCCCTCTTAGATTCTATTTGGAATTGTATTTTAATCTTAATTTTAATTTACTTATTTGATTAGTCTCTGTTCGTTAAATTGTATAAAACTTTCATAGAATTTAGCATTTTTTGTTTACCTTTCCACAAATACATCTTTTTAATAGCACTTTTAAATTTCATATAAATTTGGTAAAGCCTGCTTTATTTGTTATTGTGATATTTATTAATATTACAAATATTCATTTTTATCTGTGAATATCTTGCCAATTACTGATTCAAGAACATGCTTGCAATAATTAATTATTTCAGAAACATTAGCTGAGCAACAACCTTTTTTTTGTAAAGCAATTGCATACCAAATCTTATACATTTAAGTGTATAAATATTCCTTGATTTTATTTTTTACATTGAAGTCATCTTAAATTCTTACATTGTTCAAACTTTACTATTCTATTTGGAGATGAAACTAGTTCTTTTTCAAAAAGTATTCCTAGAAAGAATACTACATGAATTGATTCCATTTGTTCATATAATAGGGAATATCTGTTTTATTAATCCCTGAATGAATGTATGCTATATATTCATCAGCCAAATCAGAGAGAATACAGTCTATTACTAATTTTGAATTTTCTACTTTATTCAAACATCTTGATAGAAACAAAAGTTTTTTTTCAAATGAAATCAATTTTATAAGAGAAAAGTAATCAATTTCGTCTAAGCTTTGTTTTTCTTCTGCAATACATTAGCGTTCGATTATGCTGCACTAGTCTTTTCTTAGCTATTCTATTACTTATATATTGCCTAATTTACAAACTTTAGAAAATATTGACTTTTCTATATACTCAACTTCATGAGTGTAAACTACTTTATGATTAAATCTTGAATTATGTAATTCTGCTTTTTTGTAGATTTCATCACTTTTTTTATAGATACGTTAATGATTAGGAGTAGAACAACAATATAGCCTGTCAATAAAATCAATTGAGTATGCTTATTGCTGCATTTATAATGCAGTTAATTCCTTCTCTTTTAAATTTTGTTAAATTACAATATTTTTGAAAAATCCTTTTTTGAATCTATGAAAGAGTTGAGTTTCATTTTCAACTTTTTTTAAGTTAGCATCGATTTCTTCTTAGCACTAACTAGTAATAAGAGTAGCATCATATAATTTTCTATCTCCAAAAATATACTAGCGTATATCATAAAATTTAGCTGCCTTATAAATGTTTTTTTCTTAAATTAACTTCACAGGATTAATTTATTTTCCGTCATTTAACTCATAGTTGTTACAAAGAATGACAACTACTTTTTCCTTATATAGCTCCTTCAAGGCTTTATCTTCTTTGCCAATATAATCGAAATCAAAACCTTAGTAATTACTGATATTCCAAATATCAACAGATGATCCAAATTGATATGCAAAAGAAGTAAATGAATCTATTAACTCTTTTTTTATCTGCTGATTTGTTATAATTAGAAACTCAGAATTAGGCTTATAAGTGTAAGCTTATGATAGCTAAAGAGAGAAATTCCTCGTCTATATATTTTAGTATTATTAACTCTAATTGAAATAATATCCTAAATCCATTTTTATCTATAAATGGACTTTAGTATTAAAAGGAGTATCAAAATTCTCATTGAATTTTAAGGTTCCGCTAATTATTCTCTTTTCATTTGGCATTAAATTAGTGATGAATTCCTAGTCTAGCATTATTTTACTATCATCCTCAAATTATGGATTTATGTAATTTTTTTAAGAATAAGCAAGAGTTGCAAGTTTATTTGAGTTCCTATGCTATTTATCATCATCAAATACTTTTTTTGGTAGAAACTAAACAACATTTTCTTTATTGTTTAAGAGTATTCTAACGTTTAACAATCTATTTGAACTTTCAATACCTAAGGGCTTAGAGGAGCGATTCCATATGCAAAACGCTATTGGAGATTCTTCTTTAAATTGAATAGATTTTTGTACTTCAATTAAAGATAGTTCTACAGGAAACCTAATTTCATAATTTGTTGCTACATTAGAAACTTTATGAAAAGATTTCTCAACTCTTTCTACAGTTGCCTGATATTTCAGTTAAGTTTACACTTTGTAAACTGTGTCTTCATTTACAATATTAATAAAAGGATTAACACTAAATTTCAAAGGTTTTTCAAGCTGATAATTTTAACCAGAATCGATACTATTTTATATATATACACAATCTTCTTTTTTAAAATTTAAATATTTATTACTAATTAATTCCAATCTAATTTATTAATTAATAGGCGTAGGCATACCCCCTTCATTAACAAATAACATATTTTTAATTTAGAGTTCTTCACCAGGTTCTATAATAAGATCATCAGACTCAACTTTTTAAACATTTTTTATATTTAATTCATATCGGCTACTGTGAATTTAAGAGCCAACCATAATTGAATATATTCCATCTCTGCCTTTGTTACCATTCTTGCCTTGATATCCATTTGAGCCTCTACTTCCACTTCTGCCATGACTTCCTCCAGGATTATAACCACGATCTCTCCCATCATTCCAATGATGACTACTACCACCTTGGCCACCAGAACCTCCGTGTCCTCCGTCTCCTCCATCTCCTCCTTTACCTTCTTAGCCACCATTTGGATTTACATTTTCAATTATCATTAGTAAGTCCATATCTTATTTTTCTAATTTTACAAAAATATCAGCTCCATCTCCTCCATCAGCTCCGTCACCTCCATCTCCACCTCTCCCTCCATCTCCTCCATCTTCTCCATCTTCACCACTTTCATATCTAGTAGCATTTTTACCTTTCCTTCCATCTCCTCCTTTACCTCCAGTACCACCAGCTCCTCCATCACCACCCTTACCTCCTTAAGCAGAAAGCATAACCATATTAGAACTGTCCCCAAGTGTTAATAGTGTTATTTTATTTTATTTATTTAATTCAATCATCACTATTTTGTTAGAATCTGATTTCATTTCTAAGCTTAATTTAGTAGCATTTTATCCAATTGAGCCAGAACTTCCATTCTCACCTCTGCTGCCATTTTCTCCATGGGATCCTGAATGCCCGTGATATCCATTTACACCATTTTCACCACTAGCTCCATCATAATTAAAATTAATCATAAATAATCTTGTTGCAAAATATTGATATGCTAACAAAAAATATATCTTTTGAATCTTCTATTTAATCAAAATATTATTATTGATTAAGCTATTTATTTATTTAAAAAAAAATCCAGAAAAAAAAGTGAGTTTTTTGACAGATAATCAAATATAACTTAATAAATTTTTTATAGGTTAACAAACAACTTTTTTATTGTTTTTATTATAGAAGAATAAAAATATGTCTTTTTTAATTAATTACTTTTCAGGTCAAAAAGTTATTAGAAAAAAAAGATAATATGAAATAGTTTGTAATAAATAAAAACATACTTTTTTACTGATTTAAATGAATAAAAACATACAATTTAATTTATTTTTTAATTTGAAATGTCTACACAAAAACATTAAATAATTTCCTATTATTAAATGTCTTAGATTACTATAAATAAGTTATTGTCTATTCAAATTACAGTTTAATGTCTTTTTAAATATATAATATAAAATAATTATTAAAAAATAATTACAAATTTAATTAAAAATTTTCTAAGAATATTTTAAATCAAATAAATAAAAACCATCTAAAAAAATTAAAAAAAATATTTAATAATTTGTTCATATTTTAATGATATATTTTTAAAATAACTATTTTAATGAGAAATTTTGTTCTTTTTTTATATTTCTTACAATAGCCACATAATAGATAGTAAAGGAATAATAAATAATTCTTCCACAATAAGGATACACTATATATATTTTTGCTCAATTATTTTTTTAAATTATTTAATTTTTATTTAAGTTTTATTGATAATTTACTTATTGAGGATAGATATTAGCTAAAATTTTAAAATTAAAAACAAACAAAATGATATCCGATAATATATTCTTAATTTTATATTTTTATGATAGATTATTGTTAAAACTAATTTATTTTTTATGTTTTAAAAAATATATTTTTTTTAAATTTGATTTAAAATTTGTATTTAGTAGTTTATTAGCTGCAAAACATAATTTCATGTAACAAACAATACATAATAAATATTGCTTAATTTTAAAATACTCTTGAGCTTGATATTAAATAAAAAGATATTTCAATCATAAATAATTTAATTTATTTAATATTTAAATATAATGAATTAATGCTTATTTTTTATTTAAATTTAAGACTTTTTTAACTCTTAAAATAGAAAAATAAATACTTACATAAAATGTAAGAATTAAATAAGATAGATGTGTAAAATATTTCAACACAATTATAAAATTTATTGAGTAACTAAAAAAAAAACCTTTGTTTATTTAATTTAATTTAGAAAATAAATTAATGATTAAATTATGGTATTAGTGATTTGTTTTAAGAAAATAATATGATTGATTATTAATTTAAGTGCTGTTGATAGAAAATCAAAGCAGATAATTACTACTCAAAAAAATATGATGCTCATCACATCAAAAAACTGATGTGAAATATTAATTATTAATTAATTAGACTTTAAATGGTTCATTACTTAAAAGCAAAGTGAGGATTAAAACATGTATGTAATGTACGAATAATTGAATGAAAGAATGAATGAATGAACTAAAATGTGATATTTAATAATTGAATGTATACATTAAGTCATTTATAGAAATATTAAATTAAATTAATATCAATCAATTTATAAATATAAAGGCAATTAGAATATTTTATTTAGTGAGAAAGACAGTGCTATCAAAATAAATCATTAATACATAAAATCATCGTCATCTTCATCATCATTATCACCACCTTCACCTTATCCACCTTATTATTATTATTGATTTGGGTTATTACCTTATTGTTATTAATTTTAGTTTTATGATTATTATTATGCAGCTTCTAATTCTTCCTTTTGGATGTGTTCAGCTATTTAATTAAATAAAAATTTATTTAGAATATTTACTATGTGAATGGATGAATGAATATCTTTTTTTTCAACTATTTCTTATTTTAATTTAATGATTTATTTATATACACAATTGCTTTTTTAAACTTGCTTGCTTTCTTGAATTAAAAAAAAAAAAGTTAATATTTCTTACAAAGAAGAGTACCGCTTTCCCTTGCTTCGAAAAGATAGTTAATTGCTAATTCTTTGTTCTTGTCGCAGGTAATATATGCTTCTAAGGCGTCATTTTTATCAAAACCCATAGAAATAATGTCATCAATATCAGCTTTTTCTTCAGGAGTGACTTGGATGGCATTTGGAGGTAAGGCTAATTAATTTTAAAGATTAATTTTTATTAAAAAATAAATAGAAAAACGAAGAAGATATGCTAACTAATCAATTCTGCTCTTTTCTATTTTCTTTAATCAGATCAGATTATTTAAATCAATCAATAGAAAGATAAATAGATAGAAAGAAAGAAAGACAGATACAAGAATTTATATTCTTTTTGTCTTTAATGGAAAAGTAAAAGACTTTCTTTTGTCAATTATTTTAGCATTTAAAGTCCATGAAAAATTAACAATTTAAAATTATTACTTTATCCACCTTCGTTTTCAGAGGCAGCAAGGAGGAGTTGCAAGAAAGCTTGAGGGTTTTATTGTAAAAGTCTGGCAACATCAGGGTTAGTTTAAGCTAATTATTACATGACAGGTTGGAGAAGAGCAGGGTTTTAACGAATAGCTTAAGCAATGTGTTGGAATTGAGGATTTTAAGCTAATTAAGCTAATTATTCAACACCAGGACCTTGTAAGCCTTGTAAAGGACTCTATTATTAACTAGGTTCTTTAGGAATATTACCACTGAGTAAATAATCAACTGCTCTTTCAGGATTGTAATAAGCGGCCTTCAAAGCTTAAAGAACCTTAGGTCTTTCAAAACCCATTGATTCAATTTCTTTAATTTTGGCTTCCAATTCAGGACCTTAAAGGAGATCACTACCTGTTCCTTAACTTCCTGTTTATTATGTTGTAGCGGGTTAGGAAACAGCAGGCTTAGGAACAGTAGTGGGGTTAGTAGCAGTTGTTGAGGCAGCGGAGGTAGTAGAAGTGGTATCAGATTAAGCTTATTATGGAGCATCTTCTTTTTCTGCTTTCTATAATAATGTTATATTTAGTTTATTATTTTTTAAATTATAATTGCAATTTCATTCTTTCTTTCTTTCTTTCATTAAATGCTAGCCATAAAATTTTCTCTGCTTTCTATGCTACTTTATCTATTATTCATCTATTAAAATGCTTAACAGTCACTAAGATGATTTCAGTGTCATGTCACATTAAATTGTGTACAATTCGACAAAGAAAATATTGATTTTACTTCATTTTTTGAAGAATTTTTCTAATTTAATCATGATTAAAAGAAAGCACACATAGAAAGAGAAATAAATAGATAGCCGCATTTTGAAGAAATCTTAAAACTAAGATAATATTACCTTTTAAAAGAACATGAGAATAACAAAATCATTATCTTTAATACCAAGTTCGCCAAGAGTCTTAGAGTCTTCGGTCAATTATTTACCTTTATGAACTAACTTAATAGTATCTTTTTCCTTTTACTTTTCAGTAGCAATCTTCTCCTTCAATTCAGCAACCTAACAAGATTATAAAATATGTTGAAAACAAGTATTTATCTAGCTAATTCTTAAAATGTCAACAAGAATTCGAGCTCTCCTAAAACAAAACATTTTAATAAATTTACTGTAGCAGTTTCTTCAAGGTTAACATCAAAAAAATCAGTGCCCTTTAAAGTCTTAATGTTGATCTTCATTTATTTTAATGTGTTATCTTTTAATATAATTTGCTCTTCTAAATTTTTCTTTTTTAATTTTTTTCAAAATTTTGTAATAAATTTATTATTTTATTTACTCTGTATAATTTTTTCTGTTGATGTATGTAGACAGACAGACAGCTATTTGGTTGATCAGAGTTATTATTAAGAACAGAAAAAAAAAAGAAAAACAAATTAAAGTAGAATCGAACTATATATATATATATATAATATACTGAAAGATACATACATACTTATTTATCTTCTAATTAGCTATCAATTATTGATTTAAAAGATTATTCATTTCATATTTTTACAAATATTAACAAATACAAACAAGATATAAGATATCTATCATATTTTAAAAATAAATTAGCTATATTCTATGCGATTTTTTTGTAATATTGATAGTCAATAATTTAAATCTTACCAACTAACAAATTAGATATCAGAAATAAAATAACTGCATTTCATAAAAGCTTACAAAACTATTTTTTAGCAGTAATATTATTTAATTCTAAAATACTTTACTTTTAAAGTAATAACTTTTATCAATTGATTTTTAAGCTTATTGAACTCTAAAAAAAAAATATATTTATTTTAATAAATCCTGAATTTAAATATTAATTTTAATTTCATAATTTTTAAACAAAAACAGCAAAAACTTACTAGGAAGTAAATATTAATTTTTTAAAATCTTAATTTATTTATTTATCATAACCTAAATATTTGTAAAATTTAAATAACATTTTTATATTATTAAGAAGATAGAATTTTTATTTATTTAAGGAGTTTAAGGAAAATATGTTTGCTTACTAAAAAATATGATTATGACTAAAATATAAAATCAAAAGTATACATAAATAGCTAATCATAATTTTAATATCAAATTCTACTTTTTTTATTAATAACTAATTAGTTAGTATTACATATTTTATTTCTTACTAATTCATTATTATTTTTTTAATATTTAAAAATTTTGAATAATATAATTATATTTATTATGATATTCTATTAAATTAAGCTTTTCAATTATTTAAAATATACTTAAATGAATATTAAGTAAGAGAATTAACAAGCAGAGTCTTTATTCATCAGGGGGTAAAAAAAGACCTTTTCCTTAAAAACAACCTCAAATTAATACTTATAAAGCAATCCTCTTGTATCAATTTTTCCCCAAAATTCATCCTCAATTTATTTATGCTTGCTGTAATTTATAGAAAAAATTATCATAAGTATTTTTTAATTTAACTTTAAGATTAATCTAACCTAAAACATTCTTTTTTTACTTAGAATGATTTGTAAAAAGGCTTAAATAATTTATTTCAAAATAAAATATAAATTTTATAAGTTTTTGGTAATTGAAAAGTCTGTGGTATTAATAAAAATTTATAAATTTTCATGCAATAAAATTCCTAAAAGTGCTACATTCAATATTTTTAAGAAATTACAGTAAAATATTACGAATTAATTACAACAAAAAATTAAAAATATTCTTGATTAGTTGACAAGGAAAATTAAATTATTTTATTTTTTTGGATCATGAAATTTTTTACATTTTACTTTTATTTTAAGATAATAAATTAATTGCTTATAGAATATTTTTAATAAATATTAATAATAAAAATATTGTAGATTAAAATATTTGAAATAAAAAGAAGAAATTTTAATATTTTAAAAAGTATTTGATGCATTTTCATGTTATCCTTAAATTTTTCCTTTAAATTTAAACATTTACTTTGAAATTAATCCTATAATTTATTATTTATATGAAATTTGATTTTAATATTATGAGCTAAAATAACATAAATAATATAACATTAACCCATCCATATGCTATTTATTTTAGAGAAAGTTACTATAACGAGAAAGTTGAAAATTTATTATGGCATATTCAAAAATGCTATAAAAACTTTTAATTTATTAATAGTTTTATATAAATCAATTACCTATTCTAATAAGTATTAACGTATTTTTATTTATAAGTGCAATTATTAGATAGTATATTATCTTAATAATAATTAGCGAAATAATTAAGTGTAATTTAATAGCATGTTTTTTGATTAGGTTGATAACTTGCAAAACCGAAAAAAGTAGAAAAACCTATAAAATTAACAAAATATTCCATAAGGCGATGATGATGAAGTCACTTATGGTAGCTTTGGAGATTTTAATTAAGAAATAAAAGACCTTAAGAATTAATTTGAGCAGATTAATTGTATGCATTAATGTAGAGATAATCAGGAAGAAAATAGCTAAGATTAATCTTAAGAAGTTTAAATCTGTTTTGAAGATTAAAAATATGTCATAAGTAAATATCTAAATATTTTCAAATAGAAATCACCACATTTTTTTATTAAAAAATAAAGACTCTCCTCCTTAGACGATTGAATATATAAATCCATTTAAAATGTTAGAGAATCACAATAAAAATGTCAAAGGTTTTTAAAAAAAGCATAGAAAATCTATATTTTAGGAAGAGTCGCTTTTAAAATAAATGACATCTATGGTAATATAAATTATTTTTGCTTATTTTATCAATTTATTTAAACAATTTAATAGAATTAGCAATCTTTAGAGGTTAGTTCAAGCAGATATGAGAATTTGTTTGATCACCAAAACGCTATTGAAACACTTAATGATACTAAAAATGAAATGATAGGCATCAAAAACTAAAAAATATAGACTAGTTAAAAACTTTAGAGTAGCTTATAAGTATAATAAGATAATGATAATTCCTAGCATAAGCTAAAAAAAATTGATGCATGTGAGTCATAAATAAAAAATAAGAGCTAAAGAACATTATTGCAAAATATTTTTGAAAAGAGTTAACACTAAAAAAAGAATATAAGCTTAGCCAAGAAAGTAGAACTTTATAGTAAAAAATTTATCACTCTACTTAAAAATAAGAGAATAAACAGAAGGCCTGAAAATTTGACTGTTGAGTAAAGAAAATTAATAAATGATAATTCAGATCAAATTAACACCTTTTCAAGCTTTGCAAGGTCTAACTTTCTCTTAAATTTGATGAATTATCACTTCTTTAAATTTCTAAATAATTCAGAATCTAATCACATTTTCATGCCTACAGATAATTTCAAAATAGTTTGGGACTCTTTTTAAATTATTTTCAATTTTATTTTTCTCTTTGCTTATTCGATATTTCTCATATTTTAAGAGACAAATAAAGATCTTTAGTATTTAAACAATGCATTTAAAGTTTTTACTCTATTTTCTTTTTTAGATATACTTATAAATTGCAATTCATCCTATTATGTAAACGACTCGATTATGATTGAGAGAAAGTAAATAATCATTAATTATATGAAATCTAACTTCATATTAGATTTTATTAGTTTCTCTGCTTCGATGTATTAGGTAATCAACTACCATCACACTATTGTGTACAACCCTGATCACTAAATTCAAATTTACTTAATAAATATTTTAATATTTTTAAGATTCTGTGGTATTTATTCAAAGAGGAGAGTTTTTGATAATATACAATAGCTAAGCAGTTTCTAAAGACATTCTATCAAAATATTCAATCAACTCGTATTTATGGTTACAGTTGCTCATATAAGTAAAGAAATATAAATTAATTTTCAAAAATTCGCATTATTTATTAAAAAACACAATTTTATTATATCATTTTTAGTGGGGATTTTTTGGTATTTATTGGGATTATATGAGCAGCTCCAAGGCATAGAAGTAGTTTGGTACACTAAATATTAATAGAATTTATAACAAAGTGTTTAGCTATATATTTGCAGCTTTTACTGGAGTGTCACAACAATGATTACTGGTATTTAATAAATAAATAAATAATTTAGATTCTACAATTAAGAGTTTATATTTAAATATATAAATTTTAGTTGGGTATGGAGACATTACACCTCAAAATTCACTAGAAAGTATGTTTTGTGCTGTTTCTATGATAATATTTAGCTGTGTATATGCATATTCTATAAATAATATTGGTATTATATTGGAGGAAATTGAAAAAGCATCTAAAGAAATGAATGACAATATAATTGTTATGCAAAGGTAATTAATAAAAATAAATAGAGATTTTATTCATTTTACACTATAATAATTCAATTAGATATTTGAGGAGAAGAAATGTTCGTACTTAGCTAAAAGACAGGATTAAGCAATATTTAAATTTTTTAAGTCAAGAATAAAGAGATAGAAACAAGTAGGCAGAAGATAAAGTAATTGGAATACTTTCTAATAAACTGAGAGATGAGCTGACTTAAGAAGTCAATAACAAAATGTTAAAGACCTGTTCTATTTTTTATAAACTATTTTCTTAATAAACCTTAATTAATTTGTCGAAACATATAAAAGAAATTGAAGTTTCTCCTAATGAAGTTATTTATTGCGAAAATGATATTGGCAATTAAGCTATCTACTTTATTTTAGATGGGCTTATTGAAATTTATTCAGATCATGGTAATAATAAAACTGTATTAAATGTATTAAAATAAAATCAATACTTTGGAGAGTTTTCATTTTTCACAGGCTTACAAAGGAGCTATTCAGTTAGGAGTGTTAATTTATCAACACTCTTTTATTTGACTAGAGAGGATTTCTTATTTGTAATAAAAAATTGTAAAGAAGACTTTCAAAGATATAAAATGTTGGAGGAAAAGGCTTGCATAGGCAAAATTGTTTCAGGCATTAACATTAAAGGTTGTTAAGCTTGTAATTCAATCGACCACTTCATTAAAGATTGCAATTAGATTCATTTAGTCCTCGATTAATAATTTATAGCTCTAAGACACAATTATTATGAGTTTTAAAATAGAAATTCTAAAATTGCAAGAAAACTTAGAAAAAATTAACTTAAATCACCTCTGTAATAATAATAAAAACTTTCTATTTATTTAAAATTGAATTAATGTAAACAATTTATTTATTATAAATAAATAGATTAGATATCAAAAAGAATAAAGAATTTTCAAAAATGTTGATGCATAAAATATCTTAATAAGGTGGATAAGCTTATGATATAGTTAAAATGTATAGCCTTGAGGACTATAATTATCAAAGTTAATAAATAATCCAAAATTAGTCCTATATAAGTGACAATAGTGAGACATCTTCAAATAGCTAGTCTGATATTGAATTGAAGAGTAAGAAGTCAAGTGATTATCAAGAGAATTAGAACAGTATTAAAAAAAAATTTATGTAGGAAAACCAAAATAAATTAATAGTTTAAACAACAAATTAATCATAAATTTCGATGTTATTTCAGGAAAATGCTACATAAAATAGCGAACATACTAAACATACAATAAAGACAATTGAATGCCCTAATTCAATAGTCTTTTGCCCAGGTACAGAAAAGAAGCTGAATTAAGAAGATGTACATTCGAATTCACCCTCTTGTAGTGAAATATAGTTAAAGTAATTAATCATACATATTTTTATAAAAAAGTGTTTAATCAATTAATATTAATAATAAAGCATAAACGAATTAAAAATTCCTTCACTTTTAGAAAACAAAAAGCATAGTATGCAGATAAATTCATCAAATATAGAAATTTTCGAAAATTAAATTAAAGCAAAAACATTTACTGAATTAAAAAACGAAAATAATGTTAAACCCACAAAGTAAGCTTTCATATAAAGATGCCATAAAGAATAAACAAGGTAATTTGGAGATATAGAGAATAATAAATCAATTTTATTTCATAATAGTAGTAATATTGCTAGTAGTAATAATATGAATAGTGTTAATAATAATAATAATAATAATAATATGAATAGTGTTAATAATAATAATATGAATAGTGTTAGTAATAATAATATGAATAGTATTAGCAATAAATAAAAACTAAAAGCAAATAATTCAACAACAACAACAGAAACATTAAAAGTTTTTGACTCAAACCTGTATGAAAATTATGAATAAACTAAAAATTATTCAAGAAAAAAAAATTCATCCAGAACTAAGTTCAATGATGATGACTAAAATGTTTTAATATAATAATAGCATTCAAGCTTGTAACCATTAATTTAAAAAGTGTAACCTTCTTTCTAAATTTTTGAAGAGCTTGTCAAAGAATAAAATGATAAAAAATAAGTTACTCTGAATGAAAAATAAACTTCTGAACATAATTTGTAAGTTGAAAATTAAAATTAAAATTAAAGAGTTCAATTCATGAATAATTAATATTTATCTGCCTTAGCATAAACATTTGATCATTAAAATTCTCATATAACAGATAAAAATCTTGTTGAATTGATGCTGGCAGATATTCTTACCAAAAAGAGTGCCTCAAGCTAATAAAAAAACATATTAATTAATAGCAACTAATTCTAAAATTTCGATAAAATGTATATTTTTTCATGCTTTTTTCCTCATAATAATTTTAATTAAGTAATTTATAATATCAAAGTTAAAAAATCTTAAAAATATATCAAAAAACTGACCTAGAAAATAAACACGAGGAGATAAAATATTTATATGCAAGATTAACAATAAATTAAATCGTTTATATAAAAAGTATTTACTGGATAATAGTTTACTACTTTATTAGGTGACTCTTAAAACACTAAATATAATCCTACCACACTTTCATATGGCATATGCTCAAAAAAAACAAGATTATATCCAATCAAAAAAAATTTTATATAATGAAAAAACTAAATTTATTTATTTTAATTATTTAATTGCAATCAAAATAATTTATTTGTATTTAAATTTATTTAATACTTTAATCTTAAAATAAATTAACTTTAACAATTTAATTAGATAATAAAAATATAACATAAAAAAATAATATTTATTTAATACAATAAGAGGATAAATTTATTAAAAAGATTCAAATTGTTTATTAAATAAATTAATAATCATTAATTTTACAAAAAAAATATCATAAAAGTAAAGTTTTTTGATAAATAGTGAAATAGTTTATTAAATTTGTATATAGATAGATAGATAGATAGATAGATAGATAAATATATTTTTATTAAATGAGTGATCTAGGTAAATAAATATATAACACAAAATATAAGTAAGACCTATATGATATATATATGCATGGCAAATAAATAGTATTTATATAATTTTAATTAAACTATTAATACAATTTAAGTAAAATTGATCTTCAGCAATTAATTATTCATTTATTTATTGATAATATGATTATTATTTTAATATTATTTACATTCAATTTATTTATTTAGTTAGTTAGTTATTTAGTTATTGGTTTTTTTGTTTGTTTGTTTATTTATTTGAGTGTTTTTTTTAAATTTTTGTGAAAAATATTTTAAAATTTAAAAAAGAAGCTGAAATTTTCAATAATTAAAGTTATTTAAAAACTCCCTTTGTTTTTATGTTATTTTAAAATCTTTTGCATATCTACCTGACTAGGCACTTTAAATCATCATAATTGTTTAGAAAGAGTTTTTAGAATTATTTTGAATCTGACCTTCAATAAATTAGTCTGAAGATAATTTATTTTTTGGAGGTATATATGGAGGAGTTGCTTACTTATTAAAAAATATATCCCAATCAAAATCTTCAAACCACTCATGAGATTTCAGTGCACCATAAGAACCACCTAAACGAACTTCTGGTGATTTTGCCATTAGTTAACTAATCAATTTTTTATCGCTGAGTCTATTTTTCATGTGATTTGGAAATCTAATTAATTTATTAAATAAATAAATAATCAATTTATTAATAAAATATGATTGATATACCCTAGCCTTCCTTCAAGAATTAATTGATAAACTTCAATAGGATCATCTACATCTTCTCCATATGGTAAATATCCAACTAGTAATTCATATAAAATAACACCTAGAGAATAAATGTCTACAGCAAATCCATAACCTTTCTACTAAATTACTTCAGGGGCCATGTAATGAGGAGTACCTAGATTTTTTGTTTGAGAAAAAATCAATATAATTCAAAAAATGTTTTTCAGGATATCAATTTATTTATGAAGAAAGTAAGTAAGTAAGTCAATAGTAAAACTTGATTTAATTTTATTATCTTTAAAAAAATGAAATTTAAAAAGCTTTCAATTGATTTTTTTTTAATTTATATTGAAATAAGATAAAAACTATTAAAATACTATGATTACTATTTACTTTCACACTCATTCACATACTCACTTATCATGAATTCAATATAAAAAAGCTAAAAATTGCAAAAAATTAATAAAAAACAATAAATTTTGGACTATTAATATTATAGATTTATTATTTTTAAATAAAAATAAACAGAAATCAAAATATTTAAAGAAAACTAAAAATTTAAAATATAAATGAAAATAAACATCTCATGTGTCATGTCATATATATGTTATCTAAAAAAATTTCATTTACAAAAACTCTGATTTAAAAATGAAGTAGAAAGATTTTAATTTTATTACCAACTAGTGAATATGTTCTGGTTAATTACTGATTTTTATCATAAAGGTACTTAGCTGTACCCATATCTACTAATTTCGGCCATCCTTCATGATCTATTAGTATATTTTCTGGTTTCAAATCTCTATATACGATTCCTAAAATTTTTAAATAGTTAGTTGATTAATTAACATACATTCAACAAACCATTTATTTTCAATTTAAGAATTAAATTTTTATAATCTAACTAAAAAAATTATTTAATTTTTGTTATCTTAAAAAATAAATAAACCTAAAATTAATAAATTAATAATTAGGTAACTAAAATAAATTAACTATTTATTATTTATCATTTTCTAAATTTTGAAATCTAATATTAAATAATTAATATGAAAAATTAATTAAATTTACCTTAATTATTTAGGTACTGCAATGTGAGTATAATGAATGCGGTGTAAAACTATGCCTATTATTTATTGAATAGACCCACTTCTCTCATGACTGTGAAAAAGTCCATCCCATTAATGAATTCGTTCATAAAATAGATATGGTAGTTATCATAAAAGGAACGATAATACCTCATTATGAAAGGAAAGTTACATTTCTATAAAGTACTCTTTTCACGAAGAATGTATTTTTCGATCCCTCTTTAAAATATGTAATTGCTTATGAACACTTTCATTGCAAATAGTCTATCTTTTTATTTCTCATTAAATTTATTTGATTTCTTTTGTATTTAAATTTCTGGATTTTTTTAAGAATATTTGCTCTTTCTTATATTAAAATTCTAATTTATATCTTGTTGTGTGCTTATTCTTTTATTATTTGTTGTAAAATCTTGAGTTTGAATGTTGTTAAAAACCAAATTAACTGAACCAAAATTTCCTCTTCCAAGCTCTTTTATATAAACTAAATCCATCAATTTCATGTTCCTCAATCCAAGTAAATCATCATCTTCACATAGTTTTTTATCACTGCCCTTGCTGAAATAGACAGAATTTTCATGACTCTTTCTGTTTCTAGTTACAAGCTGTTCATAGGAACCTCCAAGAAGAGTTTCGATCTATTCTTTACTAATTTCAGCTATTAGCGACTCTTTTTCTGAGAAAACTAATTAATTGTCAGTATATTAATTTGCTATCAAGCACATACTGCCTACCACTTAAGCTTTTTCGTACATAGTATTGTTAGACTATTTTAAAATATAAATATTTACATAGCATCATTCACTCACCATTTCAAAAAAGCTGAATAAATAAATTAATTAATTACCTTTTATACTAGAATTCCCTCCAAAATTACACAAATTTAGTTTGGGCGAGCTTGATTAATGACTTCTTCTTTATCCATCACCTTTCTAATGTTCAAATGGCTAAAAAGTTTCTCTCTTTGCATAGTTATGAGTTTGCATAAAATTTTATCTTTCTCAAATGCCCATCTCATTAGATTTCTGAATGCTAGATATTAAATTTTATCTCCTAATATTTCCTATGTAGCTTTTCTAGATAGAGCAAGCAAAATTACATCAAAGCTCCTTTAAAATATTAACAATATTAAATTATTAAACAATAATAAATAAACTAAATATCATAAAAAAGCTAATAAATTACTTAGCCTAGACAGTCCTTGTCCTAATACTCTTATTTAAATATAAGCTACTCTCACCAAACCAATCACCACTCTAATTAAATTATAAAAAATATTTAAAATTTAACTTAATTTAGAGTTTTTAATTACTTGAAGCTATCTTTCTTCTATCTAATTTTAGCTTATAATGCTAACTTAGCCTGACTTAATTATATAAAAAGAGTTAGCATCATCTCCTATGTTGACAATTGTTTCTCCCTTATGAAATTTTTGATAGGTAAATTAAGAAGCAAGCAAATCCTTTTGTTCATGAGTAAAGTTGGAGAAAAATGAAACATTTTCTAAAAATTTCCTATTAACTTCTAGGTCTTACTAATTTATGTGTTTGATGACATTTCTATTTTTTAAAATATTTATAAATAATTTTAATGAATCAATCCAATCAATCAATAAATCATAATATAATTTGATTTTTTGCAATATTTTATTATTAATGATAAAATGAGCATAAATTATAATAAGAATATAATTTTACAGAAAGGTAACACGATCAATAGCCCAAAGAATTAATTAAACACCATCCTAAGCAGCCTAAGCAGAAGCTGATCTTGGGGAGTTATAAAGCAAAGCTAACTCTCCAAAGGAAGTAAATTCATCTAAACACTTTTTGAATTCTTTGTTAATTTTTATATTAACATTTCCTTGTTCAATGAAAAAAAATAGTGAGGCTTCATCATTTTGTTCAAATATAAATTCTCCTTATTTGCAGGTGCATGCAAACATTTTGTTAACTACTTGATTCATGTGCTGCTCTTCTAAATTTGAAAATATAAAATGTCTTCTAATAGCTGCTTTTATTTTTTATTTGACTTCTTCAGTCATAATATGATTTTCTAGCTTGACAATGTTTTCCAATATTTTTATCTAGTCAGAGAAGTAAAACATGTCATTAAAACCTTATCTTTATCTATCATTACGAGCAATTTATTTAATGTTATTGTTTGAGTTCCTTTATTGAGAAGGGTTTCTACCCATTTCATTATTATGAGAGTTAGGAAAGTGTATTTCTTCACAGCTTGCAGGAATTTCTCTTTAAGAATTATTTCTTGAACTTTCATTTGTACCTATTGAAATTTATTTTTGCATTTCTCCAATGAGCATATCTAGTGTTAATTCGTCTCCTTCATTCATATTAGGTAAAAGTGTCATTAGTTTCTTTGAATTTTAGTGATATTAACTCTAATTGAAACTATGCTAATCTTCTTCATTTGGAGTTTTCTCACTAATTTCACTAACCTTCGTGAGATTTTTTTTCATTTCCCTGGAATTCCTAAATTAATAAAAAAAAATGATTCTATTTTTTGATTAAAAAAAACATAAAATAGTTTTTATCTTTTTTCTCATTTCTCAAATTTTAAGATCTTATTTAATAAAAATAATAATATTATGAATTATTTCATACAATTATATAACTTTAATTCGAAGCAATTTTTTTTTCACGTTTAAACCAAATGGTTTTTATTGAATGAAATATGTTTGTCTATATTTTACAATTAAAGCAAATACTCTCTAATTTTTTTCATTCAAAAGAATATATTAATCAACTCTACTTCAAAACATAATAACTATTTTCAAAGTAAATTTCTATAAATTTAAATGCCCTTTTTCAATAAAACTAATGTTTAAAAGCAATTTATGCTCTTCTCTATTATTATTTTTTTTTAAAACTAGCAATTTAATGAAATTTTTTGAGTAAAAACTTATTTTTCTTCTTTTATTTTAACAAATTTTAATATTTCAAATAATTTCATTACTAATTTAAAAATTAAACTAAGCACTAAATAAATTTTAAAGCTTGTTTTAGAACGCTTTTATTAGAAGTTAATTACAATTATTTTGGATTTGACTTTTCTGAGCATAAATCCACTTTAAAAAAGCATAAAATTTGATGATTAGAAATTTAAATAAGTTAAAATTGATTATGAAGCTTTTTAGATTTATTGTTCTGAGGTGTTTTTTTTTATCGACCAAAATCAATCGAAAGTAGATAGAAGAATAAATTAATTTTTTAATTAATTTTTAGGAGTGAATTAAATCTGAATTAGAAGATATTTTTTGCTTTTAAGAGTATTTATCTATTTGTCTCTCAATTTACTTTGAATAAATAATATTGGTAGCAATTATTATTGTTATAGATACCTTAAAATTTTAACCAATTAAGAATTCTATCAAAAAATAAATAAATTAAAAAAATAATATTTAAACATAGTAAATTACAATAAGCTATTTGTTTCGTTATTAATCTACATGCTGTTCTTTAGATAATCATTTTCTTCATAGTTATCACCTTCTTCATTTATTTATCCACATTTATATTCAATTGATACTTTGTATTTTTGATCTTAGACTGCTTAATGAAGCGGAATTTAACTGCACGATTAAGAATAAAACTATTAGCAACTTATTTATTTTGGAATGTAATTAGAGCTTTAATAATTAAACATTTCTAAAACTTCATCTTAATTTACGCTACTCATAGATTAATCAGTTTATGTATTTTATATATAATACAAACTTTATTAGTTCATGCAGCTTTTTTATTAATTTATATTATTATTATTTGAATCTTAGCTTGAATTGCTTTAGGATCTATTTTTTTAATTATCTATAATCTATTCATTTGAAGGAGATTCATCTTTATCTGCTTCGCTTTCGCTATCTGAAGAAGAATTTGACTTAGAAGAAGATGATGATTGCGATGAAGAATCTTCTTATTATAATTCATTAAATGTATCAACCTATTTCTTTTATCTAACTTAAGTTTATTCATTTGTTTATCCTTAATTCTCCTATTTTTGTATATTAGTTTAAGCAGATTATTCATCTTGAATATGACTATTACTAAACATCCTTACTGAGTTATTTGATCTTCTCTACAATTATTTTTCATTAAGTCTTTTATCGCTCATTATCTAAAGGTATATATTGCTTGTAGATTATGGCTAAGAAATCTTTTCATTTGAGCTTTTTTTAATCTGCTCATCTTATAAACTATGTGATTGTATTGAATCCTAATAAGCTTAATTAATTTCGCTTGTATTTTTTTCTGCTTCTTTGTTCATTTGATTACTATTAATTAGCAAATAGTATTAATTCCTTATAAAATCTTTATAAATTTTGATAATCCCAAAATTAATTAAATAAAGTTTTATTCAAAAACACTATCAACATTACTATGTAAATAAATAATAGCACTTATTAAAAAGTAATTGTGCTTTATATTCAAAGTTCATTTAGTGGATTTTGTTTTTATAATATTTGTAATCACAATTAATATTTTTACTACTGGGAATATAAAACTATCTGAATTCCACACAATTTCTACTTTGTATTAGATACTAGCTAACTATCTCTGCCATTCCATATTTTTATTTACTACATATAAAATATTAAAAAATAAAAACCTGTAATTTTAATTTGAATTTTCTTTGAGGCAAGGTTATTTTTTAAACGTTAATCTCATAATTTAAGATTTTTTGATATTTTTTAACTATAATAACAATGCAAACAAATCTCATATAGTACCTACTTTCTTTTAAAAACATATTTCTCAAAAATTTCAAATATAAATAGTTTATTTTTCTAAGTGTTTGTAAATAATAACTGTAAAATTTTATTAGAATTCTAAAATAAAAAAAAAATTTGATATACTTTAAATTTATAGTTTTTCTAGCTATTAAAAAAAATAGAAAATATCATGTTTATATTATTTTTTTTTAAAACCAATTTTTTAATTTGAGAAATTAATAGGAGTAGGATTTATTAATGAGATTATCCTATATATTAATTAGTATGACTTTTCAAATAAATTTAATAAGTTTTGTGACTAAATTATCTTATTTGTAAATTTAAAATAATTTAAAAGATAATTCAATGCAGATAAATTACAAGTCAGCTTATTCAATATATATTTTTTTTAATAAAATTGAATCAACTTTATTTTTGTATTTTACTTTTAAAAATGATTAAAATATCATAAAAAGGAGCTTTTAATGCAGTTAAGCTAAAAATTTCTTATTTTAAATTAAATATATTGTATATCCATCAAATTAAAAAATATTTATTTAACTTAAAAATATTTGTTTAGAAATAATTTTTTTATTAAATCATTTATATAAAAAATAAAAGTATTTTATAGAATAAAAGTATTTTAATTTTCATATAAATGTATCTATCTATGTAATGAAAAAATTAATAAATAATAATTTATTAATTAATTAATTTGTAAATAAAGTAGAAGTAAACAAACAAACTTGTTGCAATGGAATAATTAGAATTTAAAGTGAAAATTTAATACAAAAAGACTGAATTTAAAAAACCTGAATATTATTTAACTAAGCTAAGAGAGGTCACCTAAGATTTAAATGTTTCATTTCCTGATTAAGAATTAAATACATATGGTATTTAAGGAATTGGAACATATATAGATCTATCGGGTAAATATTATGGCAATTTATCATAAATGAATCTTCTTAAATAACTAGAAGAAAGATTAGAAAAATTAAAACTGTTCCCAACTACTTCAAATGCTAAATATAAGAAAATAGAATTTATTGAATACCAAAACTTATAAATTTCAAATAATTTAGCTAACCAAAGTTCTTAAGAATTAAATTTAGATACTAATTAAAGTATTAACAATAATTTTAAATAAAGCTAAGTTCAACATGCAAATAATTCTTTGATTAATGAAACTAATACCTCATAGCTGCTCTAAATTGTAGAAAATTAAAACTAAAGAGAGCTTTCAAAAAAAAGTTGTAAAAATAGTTCATATGATTTAACTAATAATAGTAGTTAAGTTATTTAAATATAATAAGAAAATGAGATTGAAAATAAATAATAAAGCAAAAATCCAAGTCAGAATTAGAGTAATTAACTTGATATTACTTCAAATAGTTAGAATAATCATATTCATGAAACAAATTAATAGTATTAATAAAAATAAGTAAACTAATCTTTTAATAATAATCATTACTAATAGCAAATTGATTAATCCAAAGAAGAAGACGAAGATTTGAAAAATAAGAATATCATATAAACAGAAAAATCTGATAAAGAAGATTCAAATTCTTAAAAATAATCCATATAATTAAAAAATGAGATAGGAAATGAATAATTAATTGAAAATATGAGAAGCAATTCTCATTAGAAAGAAAAATTAGAAGAATTAATAGAATCTATTAAAGATTTGAAGGAAAAATCAAATGAACAACTGATTGATATGATTGAACACATTAAATCATAACTTTAGGACATACTAAAAAACTGTTTGATTGTAGATCTTAAATGAATAAAGAAATAAATTAATTAACTTTTTTAAATCATTAAATTTTTATTAGTCATTTTTTTAAAAAGTAACTAATATTAAAATATAAAATCCTAATAAAATATTTTATAATTCAAATTTAAAAAGACTATATTATTTGAATAAAAATAAAATAAATAGTGCTGTTGTATATTTAAATTATTTAGAATATTTGTTATTTGTTAAATGAAATCTAAGTTAATCAAGATAAACAAAACATTTTATATAACTAGCTGACCATTTTTCCATATATTATCAACTTGATTTAACAAACAATAGTTTTTACTCACCATTCATTATCTAAATAATAATTAAAGATTTGTCTAAATCATACTAATTTAAAAATAAAATATAGTTTTTATTTAGTTTTTATTGCAAATGTTTTCTTAAATATTTAAATTATATTAACTCAACTTATAAATATAATTTTGGATTATTCCTTATTTAATGTAATTTTAATAAAAAAGTATATTTTTTTACTTATTGATTTCTTTAAATTTTTATTTAGTTTTGTAAATACTTAAAAATTAATTAAAGGTTTTCAATCAATATCTCTTTAATAATTAATTTCTGATGCTAATTAATTTTTAGCACGAAAACATACATATTTATTATTCAATTGTTAGATACAATTTCTTAAATTCTATTTAAATTTATTGATAGATTTATTAATAAGTTGATTGATTTAAGAATTAGGTGATTTAGAGTAAATGGAATAAAGTAATGAATAATTATTTATTTTTATATTTTTTATTAAAGAAAATTATACTTTCTTTCTTTTTCTCTTTAAGACTAAAGAAATAAAATAATTTATACTATAATTAAATTTTACAGGGAACATTAGATATAATTTGAAAATTCATTATGTGAGAAGTAGTTTCGGCACCTGCTATAATTATTTTTCATAAATGACTTAACTAATTTAGTTGGAAGGTCTAAAGTTTAGTTCAGAAAATCTTAGCGATTTAGGAGGAAAGCGAGGAGTAGGTTCATTTTTTGAATGCTGCTGCTATGTAGATCCTTAAAAATGGACTTCCGAATAACAAATTCACAAAGCCATTTATACTATCTTATAAAGTAGAAATATGTTTCCTTCAAGAGGTTATGAAGAGAGACTTAAAGTTGAATAATTCTGTAAATCATAAAGCGATATAATGCCTTAGACTTTTCATACTAATTAATTTCCGACTACTCAAAGTACATTAATTACTTAAAGGTATCCTATGTAAGATTTAGAGAGATATTTATCTGCTCCTAATCCATTTATAAACTAAGATGATTTCTTATAAGAGTCTGAAAAAGAAACTACTTGTGATGTTACTTCATAAGACATACTTTCCTGCATAGATCAAAACAACAATAACTTAAATTATAATGATAGTATAAATTTATTTGCATAAACGGAAGTGAGTCAATAAAATAAAAATGATTAAAGAGGATTGAATAGCTAAATTGATATTTTTAGCAATTAATAACACCAAAATGGGTTGATATAGACTTAAAAGGAATCAAATTAAAATGCTTTTCTTGATGTTTAAGAATCAGATAAAAGCTATCAAGATGAATAAAAATAAAATCCACTGCCCTCACCATCTTCTCATTCCTCATAAAATAAATGGCATCCTAGTATTTTAAAAGATAATACTGAAAGCAGTATAATGTCTTAATAATAAGATCTTAATTTAGAATAATCTTCAATAAATTAAAATACGGAATATTCAGCATTGCAAAAAAATGAAGAAACCAATTAAAAAATAGATGTATCTCTAAATAAATCTAATGATGATTATATTTCAGAAAATAATTCATCAACATAAAAAACATAAAATAAACTAGTAGTAGCACAAGAGAATATTGAAACTAGAGCAGAAGAAGAAGAAGAAGAAGGACAAGAAAAAGAAAAAACTAAATCAAACAATTTTATTTAAACTATTGAAATAAATAAACTAGTAGCAATAGAACATGTTCAAAAGAAAAAAGAAGAAAGATAAGAAAAAGAAGAAAATAAATCTAATGATATTGCTTAAGCTATTTAAAATAACAATTCTTTTAATGATGAAGAATCAGAAATCAATTCTTAAATTCATCTGAATAATACTTAATGCCATTCTATAACTTCAAATAAATTAAAAAATACTGATGATAGCAGAAACCTAGGTGAGTCAAAGTTATAAGAAATCAATCTCAGTGACTCTGATATCAAATATGAAGAGTAGAAAGATCATGTTCTGAATATACATTAAATGAAAACTGTAGATATGCAGCAAGAAAAAGAACAGGTCTATAATGAATAAACAAACTATTAGATTAAAATGCTTATAAAAGAAGTAAACTTATAAAAATAGAAAAATCATTAGCTTCTAAAAGAAAAAGAAAAAGACAAAGATAAAATAAATATTTTAGAATCTAGTGCTACTTAATATATAGCAGAAAATTGTGAGTTAAAATAATAAGTAATTGAATTGAAATAAAAATTAGCCTAGACTGAAGTAAGAGATTTTGATTAAGATATTTTATCTTAAAATATTGCTTAGTTATAATAGATAAACTAAGAAAAGTACGAGCTAATGTAACAACAAGAGAAAAGCTCAGATATATTTAAGGATTTGTACATAAAAGAGTTAGAGCAAACTCTAAATCAAGCTAGAGATGAAATTTTATTTTTGAGGAAGGAACTATCACAAAAAAATGAGATGTCCGAAATCCTTAAATAGATTCAGTAATCTTTAAAAAAATGATTAAAAATATCTTTGCATTAGATTAAAAAAATTCAAAAAGTAAGTATTCGATTTTAAAATAAACACAATATATTTCATTATATTTCTGCTTGTTTGTAAATCAATAATTCATTCAAAAGATTCATTCATTCATTCATACATACATTCATTCAATTAATCTTTGAATTAATTCCCAAAATAAATATCTCTCTTTATCTAAAAAAATAAAAGTATTTTTTAATTAGCAGCGAATAAAAGTGTTTTTTAATTAGTAGCTAATAAAAGTGTTTTTTAATTAGCAGCGAATAAAAGTTTTTTTTAATTAACAAATAACAAAAGTGTTACTATCTCAAATAAAAAATTATGTTATATTTTCAAATAAAAGTGTTTAAAAATAGTAATTCCTTGTTTAAGTAGCTGAGACGAATGGCTGAGGTATATTAAATATTATCAAAATAATCTAAAAATTCCTCAATTCTCGAGGAATGTCTATTAATTTTGAAGAATATAAAAAAAATTTAAATAAAAAAAGGATATTTGAAAAGAGGCAAAATCAAAGAAATAATTAAATTATGGAAATTGAAATAAATGAGGAATAATAATTTTCAAATTTATTCTTTTACAAAGTATATAGATAGATATAAGTATAAATTAAATTACTTTTTTTAAGGTTTTTATAATAATAGATGTAAATAATATGATATATAAAGGATATTTATTAGCAATGCGGCGTCAGAAATATAGTTCATCATTTTTTCATTTTTACACTTTTTTCTTAAATTTTTAAAATTAATTCTACTAAAAAATAAAATTTGGGATTATTCCTTATTTAATTTAATTTTAATAAAAAATAAAATTTGATTTCTTTATATTAAGAACATTTTTAGTTTTGTAAATACTTAAAAATTAATTTAAAATTGTCAAAATCACTTTCAAAATTAATTTATGATGTTAATTAATTTTTAGTATAAAAAAAGTATTTTTAATTGAATTATTAAATTGTCAGGTACAATTTCTTTAGATTTTATTTAAATTTATTAATAAATTGATTAATTAGTTGATTGACTAAAAAATTAGGTGATTTAGAGTAAATGGAATAAAGTAATGAATAATTATTTATTTTTATATATATTATTAAAGAAAATTGTACTTTTTTTTCTTTTTAAGACTAAAGATATAAAATAATTTATTTTTAAAACTAAATTTTACAGGGAACGTTAGATATAATTTGAAAATTCATTATGTGAGAAGTAGTTTCGGTTCCTGCATTAATTATTTTTTATAAATGACTGAACTAATTTAGTTAGATGGTCTAAAATTTAGTTCAGAAAATCTTAGCGAATTAGGAGGTAAGCAAGGAGTAGGTTCATTTTTTTAATGCTGCTGCTATGTAGATCCATCAAAATGGGCTACTGAATAACAAATTCACAAAGCTATTTATACCATCTTATAAAGTAGAAATATGTTTCCTAAAAGAAGTCATGAAGTAATGCTTAAAGTTGAATAATGTAGATCATAAAGCGAAATAATATTTTAGACTCCTAATAGGAATTCATTTCCGACTTCTTAAAGTAGATTACCTACTTAAAGGATTCTTAATTAAGATTTAGAGAGATATTTATCTGATCCTAATCCATTTATAAACTAAGATCATTTTTTATAAGAGTCTTAAAAAGAAACTACTTGTGATGTTACTTCATAAGACATACTTTCCTGCATAGATCAAAATAACAATAACTTAAATAATAATGCTAATATACATTTGTTCTATCAAATGGCAATGAATCAATAAAATTAAAATGATTAAAGAGGGTTAAATAACTAAATGAATGATTAAAGCGGATTAAATAACTAAATTAGTAATTCTAGCGATTAATAACACCAAAATGGGTTGATTGTATAAAATTAAGTTGCTTTTCTTGATATTTAATAATAAGATACAAATTATCAAGAGGAATAAAAAGAAAATTAATAACCCTCATCATTTTCTAGTTCCTAATAAAATAAATTGCCTCCTCTTAATAATTTAAATGTTAATAATGAAAATAATTAAATGTTTTAATAGTAAAATTTTAACTTAGAATAATCTCAAATAAATTAAAATTAGGAAAATTTATCATGGCAAACTGATGAAATAAATGAAAAAATAGATGAATCTCTAAAGAATTAATCATTTTAAAGTTTAATAGTAGGAAAAGATAATATTTAAAAGAAAATAGGAGAAGAACAAGAAAAAGAAAAAACTAAACCTAACAATTTTATTTAAGATATTTAAATAAACAAACCAGCTGCATAAGATGATATTGAAGCGAAAAGAGAAGAAGGAGAAGAAAAAGAAGAAAATAAATCTAACAATTCTATTTAAGATATTTTAATAAAAAAACTAGTGGAATAAGATAATATTGAAACGAAAATAGAAGAAGGAGAAGAAAATAAAGAAAATGAATCTAAAAATAATGTTTAAACTATTTAAAATAACAATTCTTTTAATGATGAAGAATCAGAAATATATTGTTAAATTCATCAGAATAATACTTAACGCTCTTCAAATAAATTAAAAAATACTGATGATAGCAGAAACCAAGGTGAGTCAAAGTTATAAGAAAGCAATCTCAGTGACTCTGATATCAAATATGAAGAGTAGAAAGATCATATTTAGGATATACATTAAATGAAGACTGTAGATATGCAGCAAGAAAAAGAACAGGTCTATAATGAATAAACAAACTATTAGATTCAAATGCTTAGAAAAGAAATAAAATTAGAAAAATAGAAAAATCATTAGCTTCTAAAAGAAAAGAAAAAAGACAAACATGAACTAAGTATTCTAAAGTCTAGCGCTACTTAATATATAATGGAAAATTCTGAATTAAAATAATAAGTAATTGAATTGAAAAATGAAGTAATTGAATTGAAAAAAGAATTAGCCTAGACTGAAGTGGCAAATTTTAATGAAGATATTTTATCTCAGAATATAGCTTAGTTCGAGCTAATGTAACAAAAAGAGAAAAGCTCAGATATTTATAAAGATTTGTACATAAAAGAGTTAGAGTAAACTAAATAGCAAAATAGAGAAGAAATTCTATTTTTGAAGAATTAGATGTTAGAAATTCTTAAATAGATTCAATAATCTTAATAAAAATGATAAAAAATATTCTTACATTAGATTAATAAATTGAAAAGGTTAGTTTGTAAGTATTCAATTTTAAAATAAACTAAATATATTTCTGCTTGTTTGTAAATCAATAATTCATTAAAAATATTAGATTAATACACTCAATCTATTAATCTTTCTTTTTCAATAAAAATAAAATTCTTTATTAATTGAAAAAATAAAAGTTTTTATTTAATAAAAAATAAAAGTGTTTTATAATTAAAAAATAAAAGTGTTTTATAAATAAAAAATAAAAGTATTTTATAAAACAAGAAATTCTTTTAGATTTTTTAAATAAAATTCTTTGTTTAGAAATAATAAAATCTTATATATGCTAAAAATAGTGTTTAGTATCCATTTTAAATTTATGCGAAAAGAATTTATTCTTAGCAGTAGTTTGTAAAAAAAAGAAATAAAAAATATAAAAAATGAAACCAGATACATAGAACCCTTTATATATATGTAAAATATTTTGTCTAGTTCTTCTTTAAATTTTTATTATAAATTTAGATTTCCAAACAAAATTTAAGCGCGATTTTTGTTTGAAATATATTTTATCAGAAGGGTGAAAGGATGAGATAAATTTATTGGTTAATATGTAAAAATTTCATAGTAAAGCATGAATTAATCTAACAATTGACATACTGATATTTTTGAGATATAAATATTTTAATCTCAAATTATGTATCTTTAAGGAATTAATTTATCTTAACCATATTTAGATAATTTAATTAAAAAATATCAAAATTCAAATAATTTATCTAGAAAAAAAAAAATTAATAATCAAATAAAATGGAGTCTTTCAGAATTAAAGTAAACTACGTAAAATCGAAACAAGAATATCCAAAAGAATTGATATACGATTTAATTAAGTAAGATATAAAAAAAATATATATGTCTAGAGTAGAATTTAAAGATGAATTAATTGATGAGCCAGGAACAACTAGTACTTATGATGGGTCTTTTTTTTCCTTTAAAATATAACTTGAAAAAAATATTAATCCTACTATATTCTTAACATAATTAAGAGATATATGCCTAAAATATAACTTTATTTCAAGTTAATCCAGAAAGAATTATTAATAATACAAATAATTTGAATTAATTGTTTGTTACATAAATTGCTATGAAAATAATAAAAGTGTTGAGTAGTTAAAAAATATAAATTCTTCACTTAATAATAGTTTTCAAAGTTAAAATAATTCTTAATAATCTAAATAACTTGGATAATAATAACAAAAAATAATTAAATTTGAGAGTCAGAACAACAATAGCAATCATGAATTATTTTTAGGATAGTAAATATTAAATTAATAAATATCGATAGAGAATGATTAACTTGATTAAATATTTGAATAAATAGATATATCTGATTTAAAAACTCAAATTAATGCTTTACAATAAAAAAATGCTTAATTAGAAAATAGTTAGACATAAGCATAAATTATTATAAATGATTAAACTGAAAAAACTTAAAAATTATTATCAACTTAAAATGAACTGACTGAAAATTAAAATTAATTGAAAAAATAATTGATAAATTTTGAAACCAATAAAAAATAATTTGAGGAATAAATGTAAGCTAATGAAAAAAAGAACTTAGACAATTATAAAGAATTAGACTCAAAAATATATTTACTAAAAGTGGAATATGATTAATAGATAGAATAAATAATTAACATTAACACTTCTAGTTAAGAATCTTCCAAAATCTAACTTAAATAATTTGAATCAACAGTAGATAACATAAAATAATAACTGGAAGAATAGAATTAGAGTATATAAAATATCAAATAAGTGCTTAACTAATTGCAACAAAATTAAATCAATTATGAATAATCTATAAACAAGCTGTAAGAAACAATTTAATTGTTATAGGAAAAAAAGAGTTTAGGTTCAAATGAAAATAAAAGCTTAACAAATAGTGTTATCTCAGATTAAGATAATTTGAAAACCTAAAGTAGCTAAAACAAACTGGAGTTAGATTTAGATGAAAAATAAATTGAAACCCTAAATGAATTATTATCTCAACTAAAATAAACAGTATTTTAAAGTGTAAATTTCATCTCAAGAAGTGCTTTTAAAATGCCTTTAAAACTTATTTCTTTCTTTTCGCCATTTAATTTAGCAAAAAAGGCTCTAAGCATACTTAGCTGAAAAAAATACCAATAAATAAAAATAATTTTTTAAAAACAAAATATTTTTTATATTGAATTGATTGCAGATAGTTCTATCTTAATTATTTTTTAGGTATATTTATTTTCTTGTATTAAGTACATATTTTTATAAGATCAGTTTAACTTTTTTAATTTATAAGAACCTTACTTTTGATTCACATTTGATTCTAAATCAAAATATACCATCTAATTTTTTCTAAAACTAAAATGATATTTTTTTAAATAGTGTTTGATGATAGTATAAAAAGATACTCAGTTTTAATAAGATAATTAATTTTCTAATATATTTTAAGTATTTAAAAAAAAAAGCATCTAAAAAAAATAATCTAAATAAATATATTAAAAACAGCTACTTTTTTCTATTTTTTTACATTATTATTCCATTTAAGTTAATAAATTAAATAATTTAAATTACATTTGATGTTAATTCTGTTTTAAGATATAAAATGAATAGCATTTAACTTTTTAGAGCAATATATTTACATCAAGATAGACCTTTGAATCGTGATATTCAATTCACTCTAATTTTATGCTGAAATAGATTTCCCTTTAAAATAATAAATACTTTTTTGTAGAAAGTTTTAAATAATAATTTTTAAAATTTTACTGAACTGTTCTTAATAATGAAAAATATAAATATTATTATTACAGAGTCATTTAAACTATCAAACAACTAAACTATTTCATGAACGACTGAAAATTATATGAAGTATTTTGAAAAGAGGAAATTAAATAGTAAAATAATCCAGATTATTTGCTAAATTTTGGTTTTATTACTATTTATGATTTAAAGTAGTAAAATAAATAAATTTATAAAGTTTTGATATTATTTTGGTTGTTTGTTTGTTTTTTGTTTTGTTTTGTTTTAGGGTTGAGGTTTTTAATGCTTTTAATATGATAAAATGAATAGAAATTTGATTCTTGAATCATTAGATTATTTCTAAAGTGGATAATAATACTAAAAATAATAGTAAAAGAATTTATAAATTAATATTTATTAAATCAAAAGGAGGACAACTAAGAAATCATTGATTGATTATAAACAGTAACCAAATAAACTAATAAAAAAGGGAGATCTCTACTATTTAATAGAAAAATTAAGCAAAGAGAGAGAGAATCACCTTCAAAAACATTATTGAGATTAAAAGAAAGTATATTTAAATAAAATAGCCAACAAGCGCTTAAAAAAAACATGAGTGTTTTACAACATTATTTGAAGAGCAGTTTACAAAAGCTATATCTTGCATTAACACTTGTATTTGTACTTAATCTTTCAGTGAGTGTAGTTAAATGTGAGAATGTGTTGCCTTAAAATCATTAACAGGATATAAAAACAGATAATTAGGCACTTAAAGAAAATGTTTAAGTTCAAAGCTATTATTTGAGCGAGTAAGAGTATAAATTAATAGACTTGGATGATATTTATTTAGATTATCAATTTAAAAACACTATTGACACGAATTGTAATAAAGAATATGTCGAAATAATAACAAGCTAGAATGAAAAGCTTGTCTAATATTATGAAAATACAATCAACACTCCTGTTATTAATATAATAACATTTGCTAGCTAAAAGATGTTGAAAGTAAATGCTGTTGGACTTCTTTCAAATACTACCTTAATCACATTCATCGATGATGCATCTTCATTTGACACTGAAACAGACAAAACCTCTACACATCTTAAGAATATCTAGGCCTATCCAATTGCCAACTAAGACAGCTGTGAGAATCTTAAAAAAGCCAGCAGCGATTCTTTTATTTTTGAGTGTTCAAAATTTGATAATAATAAATAAGTAAATGTTATTACACTTTACAAATTCAACTCTAAAGATTTCTCAAATGCTAATGGAATTGATCTTTCAAATATTCAACCACAGTAAATTACATTGAATTTTGATCCTAAATTTGCTTTTAAATCTAAGAGCCCTGACTAAAGTCCACAGGTATTATTTAATATATAATAAAATATATCAATCATATTCTTATCATTAGAACATTATAAAGAGTTTAATAATAATCAAAATAATTTCCAATCATCTAAATTTCAATTATATTTTTACTTATAATTAATCTAATTCAAACCACAAATTAGTGAACTCAATAAAATCAATCAACATTTTTTTTTAGATATTCTGAATTTAATAATTTTTTTATAAATTTTAGTAATTAGAAGCCAGTTATTAGCTCTTCTTATAAGAATATTAAAATTGCGTAAAAGATACAGGATTTTACTTTAATAGTGATACCAACGTCTAACACTATTTCCGTACATGCAAGTATCATGAAACACTTATGTAAACGAACTCAGACTAATAAATCTATTTGGATAATATTGTGAGCTTTTTTGAATTCTATGACTTATCAATTGTACAAAGCGATGGATCAGTTACAGGAAAGAGCCCTACAATTAAATTTAAAGACGAAAACAAAGATCTTACTATAAAAACACAAGGAGTTTAATAAGCAATCGATAACTGCATTACAGTTTTAGACTATGATAACGGTCTACTTTTCTTTATCTATGATAACATTTCAAATCAGTACTAAAACTAAGATTACTTCGTGAAATACTATTATGATCAAAAGTATATCAATCTGTTCATCTAAAAAAATAAAGATATAGAATTTTCTATTTAAGATAGCATTCCTAACTACATGGTAGTTAACACACAAATGTATATTTTGATGTATCAACTTAACTCTTCATCTCAAGTTGGTATAAACACATTCCCTCAAACTGTATCTATTTCTCGTTTTGTTAATTCAGTATAAACTATCCATATAGAAAATAAAGAAGATGGTGATAAGCATAAATCAGAACAAGATAAAACAGATTTTGTAATTCCTGATATTAAAAATGTCAGTAATTTTAGATCAATAAAATACAACTTTGATCAGTATCTTTACTACATTGAAATAAAATTTAGTGATCCAAGTCATGTGAGCTACTTTTTGATGGTAAACAGAGCACTAACTGATAACACAAACAGTATCAAAATGTATTTATTTAAACTTGTTATTGTTAAAAACTATTCTAATCATTATATATTTAACATTTTACTAGGAATTAAACAGCTATCGAATTAGAGCAGTTAACACAAAATAATTATTCAAAAATCTTTCACTATTTCATTCCAGGTTTGTTCTATAGCAATATAAGAACAAGAGTAAGACTTTTCTAAATTGGTGAAGATACTGGAAGTATAATCCTTAAAAAGTATAGTGATGATTAAATATCTTAAGCAAAAAACAATCTTTCAATTACCACATACTCTTGGAAGAGTGCATAAATTATGAAATTATATACCAAGCAATTTGAAACATACTCTTCTTGCAGTATAACAATGCATTTTGAAGCTAAGCCAAGCAGTAACTTAATTAAATTTTATTTTAAAATATACTTGAATTTATTCATTATAAAAGGCTAAGCTGTTGGAACAAAAATAGTACAAGGTATGATAAACTTGATTCCCAGAAATTTCAATGGTGTTATCTCTAAAGTAGGATTAAACATATAAAAGAAATTCTTTAATCCAAAGCCTATATTCGAAATTAAAGATTGGTTTTTTGGAGCAGGTATTAACTATTCATATCAATCTAAATAAGATGTAACATTAGCTATTAAGTACAATTCTTCTACTATAATTTAAGGTAATATTATCTATTATTTATCATATTAACAGTCTTTTTATAATTATCATAGCTCTTATCTTATTTTTCACCTTAAACCTTTTTTAAAAATTTATATTGATAGCAAAATCTTAAGTTTAAACAAAATTTTGATATATTTTGCCTTAACTTTTATAAAATTTAATGAAAACTTTTCAAAATTTACATAAAATATAATCAATAATTTTCAAAATTGTAATGTTTTTTTTTTGATTTAAAAACTTACTTTTGAATTTATTATTTGTTTGAATTGATTTATCATATGGCTAATATTTACTAAAAAAATAAACAACAAATATTTAAAATTATCAAAGACAATTTAATAAATATTATTTAAACTAAAAATAGAAATTGATTCAATTTAAGATAAATAAAAAGTATTGCTTGAGGAGCAAGAAAACAAAAGCACGTTGAATTTAGATGAGAATATATGTAAGCTAAGTCCATGTGATGAGAAGGTGATAGCTGCTATACAAGTTGGAGAGGATTATTACATATTTTACTAAAATTGTTTGTGCCTTTTTTGGTTTGAAAAATGTACTGTTTAAACTCCAACAGGCTTATCATAAAATACACCTGCATGCTAGAAATCAAAAAGTATGAAAATAAGTCAAAAAATAGAGAGTATTATCTTTGATGGTAGTAAAATTTTAGCTCTTGGAAAATCACTGTTAGCAAACAGCAATACCCTTTAATAATCTCCTTCATTAACTTTAATGAACGTTTATGATGAATTATCAACTGAAGGTGATGATTCAGGTGGAAAGAAAAATCCCTATGCAACTGACACAAACTTAAAGAACTCAACTTTACCATAGAATTAGTGTGATGCTCCATAGTTTAGTAACTTCCTGTAATAAGGACCTAAATAGTCAAACTAAAAGAAAATCCATATAAAGAAAAATTTACAAACTGAATAAAATGATTCATAATAAGGTAAACCTATCAATTCTGGGTAATTCAGAAGAAAAGCTTTCACACCTCCTAAGAACCTTAATCTGAATCTTAATTTTAGCCTTGATAAAATACAATTCGTATTCATTTACTGTATTCCAAACACTATAAAGTATGCTCTGATAGTTTAATCTTAGCTGTTTAAAATTAAAAGCATGGTCATATTTAGTATCTAAAATTAAATCCAAGATGTTAGTATCTATACCTTTTAAGACACAGACTAGCTACAAGACAGCTATGATGTTAGTTTGCTCGACTAAGGTATCATCTTTGCAGCTCATAACTAGCAAGATAACGTTCCTGGAAGAATAACAATTTACAGAGTGAATTTTATTTCTTAATAAATTACTGTTGATAGATACTTTACTAAGCAAGATATGCTCCACTAAATTCAACAGTTTTAGCAAAATATTTTCACTGGTTAGTTCAGTAAATAAAATTCTTAAAATAAGATTAAAACATCAGAGCTCAATGATGATGTAAAATTCTAAGTATACTTGAAAGAAATGAAATAAAAAAATATAGTTTATGTCAACGACTTTGATAATTTCATGAATAATTTTTCAGTCAAAGTATGGAGAAACGATGATAAACAAACATATCGCTTTTTGCTTATTGATTTCCAAAACAACTGTCTCTTTGATTATTTTCTCTATGACTTAATTTAACCCATTTTCATTCGCTAAGTTAATCTCTACGACTTCTAAATTATAACAAATTAGTAGTTCCAAATTACAAATAATATGATTTCACTTCACGTTAGTAAGAATTTTTCAATATAAATCATTTAAATATTATAAAATTATTTAATAGTGGAAAAAAAACAATTAGAAATAATAAATAATTTAAATAATTTTTTATAAAAAAAAGCTAAGAAAAACTTGGATTACTTGATTTCACTTGAGATTAACGGCTAGTCGATCAACCAAATTAGAAAAATAGAATTACAATAAGACAAACAAGTTAGAGTTTAGTTTTATTCATATAATTTTTTATTTTTATCAATTAAACTTTTATATTTAATAAATAGAGCTTTAGTTAGGTTCAGCAATCTCTTGGTAATCCATACTAAGAAGGAACTCTTTGTGGAGTTTTCTAATTACCTTCTCCAAGTATAAAGTGTATATTCTATCCATAAATAGAATTAAACTTTGATTATAGCCTTAACAGTAAACAAAATTAAGATCAGAAAACTAATTAAGGTAAAATTAAAATATTTAAGTAACATGTAAAACCATTTAATTAATTATGTATCTAGCTGGAATATTACTTACTTTTAAATTGAAATTTTAAACATAAATGTAATAATTTTGAGTTGAATTTTATTAAAAACTAAACTCTATCATATTTTTCACATTATTCAGATATATTTTTAAAAAATATTTTTTTTTTATTTAAAAACTTAAAGAAATAAACAGTTGTTTATTTTTTTAATTATGATATTTATAAATCAAATTAAAAAAAAGTAGATTTAAGCTTATTGATTTTTAATAAAAAAAAACTTTAAAAAAAAAATAAATAAAATAGCACTTTTAGTTTAATTTTTTTTTTAATTTATAAAAATTAATATTAATTAATATAGTCAATTAAGACGGATATTAAACCTCATCTGACAAGCAAGTTGATTTTTCTATTTACTTGTCCACAGACTTAAATCCTGAGTAGACTTAGATAACTCTTTAGACTGATTTTAGCAATTTTGATACAAATTTGATTTAAGAAGATAAATCTCCTATTTATTATGATGCATAGAATAACAGTACTGTATTAGAAAATGATGGTAAAAACATTAAACTAAAGCTGAATACTACGTTTGTAAAAGGTTCGATTGGAGAATATTATTTATAGCCTTTAAATAAATAAAATGTAAAGGTTAAGGCGTACATAGATACTGACCAAATTTAAAACCAAAGTTTGTCTATGATTTCGTCTCCGTCATATTGGTATATTAAATAAACTGTCAGAAATCCTTATCAGATAGTATACTTGCTTGATAGCTAGCTCCTAGTTATAAATCAAAATATGAAATATGAGTTTAAAGAGATATTCAGAATAAAATATACAGATATAGAAATAAAATAAAATTTAAAATTAGAAGCAAAGCTTCCTGATAATTTGAAGTTATGCGATTGCTCTGAAATTTATTCGAACAGTATTTTATCTAGCTAAACTACTACTACTTATCTGTATATCCTCCTTTGTAATTACGATTCCAAAAATAAAATTTACATCACATTTAATGTAGACATTAACCACTACTCTTCGTTGGAAGATTAATAGAAAGACTGGGAAATAGTAATCAAATAAATAAATAAAAAATAAATTTTTGTTTTTATATTTTAATTTAAATACTTTTATTAAATAGGCAATGAAAAATAATGTTAGATATGTTGACATAAACTTCATTGAAGAAGATTTAGACTCTATGGTATCTTAATCTCAAATTAAGAATATTTAGATTATTTCCCTTACTGATGATCTCAATAATTTAACTGTAATCATTAGATATATATTCCATTTATATTCATTTTTTAATTTATTAAACAAGGGTTTTATATTTATGTTGGTGAGATATTTGAGTGGAGATCCAAATGATGTTAAAGCATAACATGATAATACCATTTACATTTTATGGTCAAGCCATGATCCTTACAGCACATATTTCTAAATGTATGAGATAGAATAGATAAATAGTGCAGATTTTGGCTTGAACTATATTTCTGTCTACAATTTTGTTGCCAGCTTCCCTTAACATTATCCTAACTAAGCAAGATTAGTTATAGAGGAAAATCAAAGCAAATAGGTCATTAAAGATTTCATTTTTAACATAGGCTGGGATGATGGGGAGAGATATGTTATCCTCGCTTTGCTCAAGCTATCTTTGCCTCCCATTTAATAAAAGTAATTAATTATTTATTATAGTTAATTAGTTAATCTCGTAAATAGCAAAATATATATTTAAAATATTTTTCTGTTTTAATTATAATCAGTGAAAGTAGCACTAAACAAAGTACAGGAAATGCAAAGTTAGTTTTCAATGCATATTACGAAGACATATATTCTGATTTGTTCAACAGCTTTATTAAATCATATTAAACATATTTATAACCTTTTACACATTTGAGGAGTTAAATTACATTCCAGCCTAACACATATGACTCGAGCGTTATCATTATTAATGAATTTTCAATTTTAGAGTTTACAACATTCTAATCGGAAGATCCATATGCTATAATAAAAAAGAAAGACGCTAAAAACATTAGTTCAAAACAGCTTTGGCATGACTCTGATTTCAAAGATTCAGATAATATATCGAAAATTATTACATACAGCTAGTATGCTTGGTGCAATAATTATTTCAACAATAATTAGCAAACTATACTCAAATACCATAACTTTTTTATCATAATGTGTGCTCAAATAAATAAACCTAGTATTAATTCTACAATACCTGATAGAAATTCTACAATTTAAAGTATCCTCAAGGTATATAAAATTCATCAAAATTCTGACGATGGTGAGGATGGTGACGACTCTGATGATTCTGATGGTAAACTCTTTAAAAATAAGGGTAAATTATTCTTATTTATTATAAAAAAAATTTTAATTTTAAGGAAAAACATTCTTTTTTCAAATTTTCTTATTTTTGTAACCAAAATATGGCAGAAAAAATATAATAAAAATGAGTTTGTTTTAATTATTATTATTATTAGAATTTATCAGGAAAAATTCATAAATTGATTAAAAATGAAATTTATTGTAATCAATTAACTTTTATGAATTAAAATCAATAATACTCAAATTGGATTAAGAAAACTTAAAAAACAAAAAGCTAAACTTAAAAATCTCAAACAAAATAACTTTGAGAAATATTTTAATTGATTAAAATAAAAAAAAATGTTCAATGAATACTTTTTTATTATTTATTTAAAAATGAATATAAAATAATTGAAGTTAATTAAAAAACAATATCAACAAGTAACAATCGATTTAAAAAGAACTTATTTGTAAACTAAATTTTTTATTTGTCAGCCCTAAAATCAGCCAGTTAAAAATCATTATTTTTCCATTAAATTTTTACCTGATATTTGATTAATTTAAAAAAAATACAAAATAAAAATTGATTCATTCATTTAATAGCCAACATTTATTGACAAATTTATTATAATCAATCTCTAATGCTTTTATGTAAAGCAGACGAAAGTTGTTTGATGCTCATTTTCTTATCACTCATTTTTTTTATTTTAAAAAATTTAAGCCAACAAAAAAATATTGAAGGGTAAAACTACCTTAGTAAGCAACCAAACCGTTTCTATGGTTTAATCAATCAACTATACAAATGGCTCTAACCCAACTATTGCGCTATCTTCTATGTCTTTTAGATAAGAAAATTAGGACCTATACTTTGATATTATTTTATCATAAGATGGTAATTTCAAACTATTTGAATACCCTGTAAACGATCAACCTTACTTGATAGTTAAAAGTGATATCTCTGATAAATCCTCTGTTGAGGTTTGCACAAATAATAAATATATGATACCTGTATGCAATTAGGCCATTTTTGTAAATCCAATTATAGATACAAATGATTAGTCTATGAAAGAATGGCTTAAATTTACAGGATTGGTGGCACTGCCTCTTTTCTTAACTCTCAGTTTTATATTTGTTTCTTTTATTTTTATGAAAAAGCTTCGTAAAAATAGATAGGATGAATTTATTTAGCTATTGTAAAACTAAAGCACACCTTATTACAAAAGCAAATCAGATTTAAGTTTCGTTGACTCAGTCAGTAATTAGTAGAAAAATGAAAAATTCTTGACTTCATTCTAACCTTAAGTAAAAAATCCTATTTACTCAGTGTCAGAGCACGCTCTCTTTACTTTTAATGATAATCAATTAAATGCCTCTACTGAGTTAAAATGAAATAAAAAATTTAAATATAAGAAATAAAAAATTTTTTAAAATCTTGTTGTAAGAGGCTGTATTAAATTTTAAGCATTTTGTATTTTTTGTGAATTTAAATGTTTAATCTTTCAAAAAATATTTCATGTAACATTCATTTACTTAATTTAAGGTGTACATTTAACTTTTATTTTTATGCAAAATAAAAAATATTTTTAAAAATTTTTGAGTGAGTATTGATATTTTGAAATATTATTTATACATCTTCTGAATAGATTTAAACATCTTTACTAAAATCACCAATAACTTAGTTAGTAATTGGCTTGAAAAGTTAATTAAAAAATTATGAATAAATTTATTAAAACATAATTCTTTAATTTGACAATTGATTAACTTACTTTATTAAAATATAGCAAATTGATGAATAAAGAGCATATTTTTTTTTTGCAAAAATATTTGATATAATTAAGTTTTTACATAAAAATACAAAGCATATTTTATGAAGCAATTGTTTTAAATGAACTTTTATAAAATCCACTAAATGAAAATTATTTTTTTTTTAACTTTAATAAAAAACACTTAAAAAAAAAATTAATATTTTTTTATTTTATAAAATGAAAAAAACAAACAAGTTTATTTTACTTAAATTATTATCATAAAGGCGTTTCTTAACAACAAAATAAAAATAATTTGGCAAGAAAATTGTAAGCTATTCAAATAAATAGTAAAATTTACTCTTTTTATTAAACAAAATTATGTGGTTTACAGATACATAACACACTAATTTTTGAATGAAAACAAGAAATTAATTAATATACGTCATAATTTTCATTTATAATTTTATTATCTTTTTTTGTTATAATGCTGAGTATTTTGAATTAGTATTTTTTACTAGTTTGCTTTCAAAATTAAAGAAATATAATGCTTATACTCCTCCTTATTTGATAATCTAGATTTTTATAGCCAAAGTTTTTCTGAATGCGTAAGGTAATAAATAAAAATTTTAGAATATTTTTAGCTTGTTAATAAATTCTTTAACTTTAAATTGCACCTACCTTCGATTTTTAAATTTTTTTATATGCTTTGCTATATTTTCTAAAAACTGCATATTTCTTAAGTAAGATTTTCGTACAGCTTTTATAAAACAGGATCTATGCAATTTTTAATGTGTCTTTTAAAGCTTTTTATAATATTTTTGTAAATATTTTTTTTGTTTTATTACAAAAAGTTAGTAACTTCTTCATTTTCATCATATACATTGTCAGAAGGAGAGGTTTATTCATATTAGAAATTTTATTAATTTGAGTTTAGTTAGTTTTAAAAGTTTTTTATGTATTCTTTATAAGAAAATAAACAATCATAGTTGTTATCGTATTTGAAAATCTTGTATTTACATCTTTACTCTTCATAATCTTATTCGTATATCTGTTTCTTCCTTTATTCATTTTACATCTCAGTTAATTATTTGAAGTTAATAAATTTGAATTTTGCTCTCTTTATTTCTTCCATTTTTTATCTTTTTAATTTTGATTTTTATTAATTATTTACTATTTCTTTTATCAAGTTTTATGAGGTTTTTAGTGAATTTAAAAAGTTAAATATATCATCATATGAAAGTCTTTTAGTTAATTTTACTGTAGAAAAAAACAAAAGAAACAATTAATTCATCAAAAGCAATAATATTAAAATCAGAAGTAATTTTATTTCAGAACAAAATCAACCCTATCTCTAACCAGATTTTATCTTATGCAATTTTCCCTTATTTTACTAAGTAAATTAAAACAATTTTTTCATAAAATGTTAAAATCAATGCCAAAAATATAAAAACCTTTTGATTTGAATGTTTACTTAAATTAAATTCTTAATAAAAATGAAAAAAATTTAGCTTTTAATTTTTGAAAAGCTCTTATTTTATTTATAAATAATTAATTTACATTTTTTATATGAATAATCATGGAAATTCAATTAAAATAAAAATTTGTCTCATAATGCTTGCTCTTACTTATTCATAATATTACCATTATTAGATATTTTATATTAGTTTTAGCAGAAAATTTAAGTTGTAAAAATAGATATTTAAAGAACACATAGGCATAAAAAATGTTAGAAAAAAATTTAAAACCAGCCTCACTATTCTTCTTTTAAAATATACAAAATAATAAGTATATTAATATATTTATTATAAACATCAGTTATTTTAAAAATTATAATTCAGCATACATTCTATTTTTGTGAAAGAAGAATTATTCTTTTTGAAAATAAAGAAAGTCGATTAAGTTAATTAATTCACTTTATCATTATGTAAAAAAATTTACACAATTAATTAATAATTAATGATTTTTATTTAACATAAAAAAATTAAATGGATTAATTTTATATTAGGTATTATTTATGTGACTTTATTAAATAGTATTGTAATTTTATTTCAGGTCAATAATCAAATTATTTGATATCAGTTTTATTGTTATAATTAAAGTTTTCAATTTTTATTTAAAATCAATCTATCTGTCACATTATTTTCCTTTATTAAATAGTTTCTTTTAAATTCTAAAAATGGTGAATTTTTTTGTTTATTTGTTTGTTTGATTGTTTATTATTTTTTTTGGGAAATAAAATTATATTTAATTTTAATCTTTTAAAATAATTAACTCAAAATGTAAATATTTTTTGATCACAAATTTAAAAAAATTAAAATATTTTATATCATTATAAAAATCTAAAATATATAATACTTTGCTTATAATTATTGAATTATCAATTTATTACATTTTTAAATTTATTTCAAACAATAGGGTATGAAGCTTATTCGCAGATACCGCAGGTATTTAGGTATTTTGTAGAGGCGCCCAGTCTAATGTAACCATCTTCACCCCAAGAAGTACCCCAAGAATTCTTAACTTTCCATTGGTGGGTTTTAGAATTATAACCAACAAGCAATACGCCATGGTTTAGATTATCAAAGCAGTCGTTGAATGTGCCAAATTCATAATATTGCCAGTTAGTAGCATCAACTGCAACAGAAACAGGCTATTGTTAAATAGCAGCAACTAATTCATCACATGATTATACATCTACAAAGGATGAAAGTCCATAAGTTGTAGGATACTAAGTTCCTTTACATTTTTGGTCAAAACCTCTGTAAGTATATTCTTTTTCAGTTGCAATGTTATTATCGTGAATGAACTTAAAAGCGGCATCCATATCACCACCATCGCAACCCTCATTTCCATAAGAGGTAGAGCAGTCTACTAGTTCTTGTTCAGAGAGAGAAGGAAGAGTTCCTGTAGAAATGAAAGTAGCAGATTCTAATGCACCTGTAGCAGAGAATGCCCAGCAAGAACCGCATTATTCTTAATCTTTAACAGGAGTAACAGCACCTTTTTTAGTCCAGTCAATGATGATATCATCACCTAATTTCATATTTAACTAAGCATTTTTGGGATTTGATTTAAAGTTTTATCTTTTAATAGTGTTTGTCTTTAATCTGAGATATCTCTATTAAAATTCTTCACTGGTTAAGTCCATGAATTTAGTTATGCCATAGTTTGAGTGTCCTTCAATTTTTTTAAGGTTATCTCTGAAGACGGCAAATCTGTGAAGCTTTTCTTCAATAGTCTTGTAGGTGATTGAGTGTTTTTTAAGGAACTCTTACCATTTTTGAGCAGCTATAATGTCACTGTTGATAATAACTTCTTCAACAGATGATTATGATTCAATTATCAAAACAGCAGTAGATGCTATGATAAAAGCAGCTGCGACAAATACAATTAGCTTTTGCATTTTAAAAATTTTGTTTTTAATTTAAATATTTTGATAAATTATTTATATTATAGGGATTTCCAAAATGGTATATAATCAATTCGCTATCAATAGATTTTCCTTTTTTTTGTAAGTTGATATTTTCAGTGGTATTTTAATTAAAGTTAGGACGCGATTAAATTTTCCACTTCATTTTATTTGTATTTTTTAATTGTTTCCTTTTGGATCTTTTGTATGGTAAAATCAACTATAAGCAAATTTAATTTCTTATCAATTTATCCCAAGAGACGATAAAATCTAAGTTATTATTTCTGCTCTTAGTAAGGAAAAGAATTTTTAAAGGTTTTCATAAAATTTGACTATAAATTTAAAAATAGCACAAGAGTTTGCATTAATTTATACCGTATGGTAATATGTTTCATATAAATGATAACTTTGACTTAACTTTTGTAACAACTAGAAAAATCGATATTAACAATAGACATACAAAAGTCTTAATTAAAAGTTAAGGATTATTTTTGAAATAAATATTTTACGTAAATTAATTAATTAGATGCTTTCAAGCTAAATCTTTTATTAATTTTTTGGATTTTATTTGATTTACAATTTATTATTCTCCCTAATATCTTAATTTGAGATATATAAAAGTTTACACAAATATTTCTGATTCAGAAAAGATTCATTCAAAATTTTGTAAAAGAAAATATAATATGAATTAATATAAGGATTTTATTCCACTCTTACTTACTTACTTAATTTTAAATAAATGAGGAATTGGTTAAAAAATGAATTTTTAAACTTTTAAATCTTCTTAAGACCATTATTTAACTTTTTTTCATAGTGTTCCATATTAGTTCTATGGGATTAAGTTTGTGTGATCAGGGAGGGTTTTAGATTCTATTACCTGTTTGGAAATTTATGTACCCCATTCACTATTTTTATTGGGTATTGTATTTTAATAATATATTTATACATTCATAGAGTCCAAAAAAAAATAAAAATATTATATTACTGTTAATATTGTTTATATATCTGATAGTTTAAAAAATTAATGGATGAAAATTAATTTATTGTATAAGACAATATCAAATTAAATTTAAATATTTTTTTATAATATTGAAGGATGTTTCTTCAGGGTATTGAGGAAATATTTATGTTTTGAAATTTTATTAAAAAATTATTAGACAATTCTTGAATGAAATTTAAATAAATTAATTAATTTGGATTTGAACGGCTTATAAAATTCCAAGATTTCCACAAAGTCGAAAATATTATTTTATTTATATAAAAATACGGGTTAGCTGTCTTTGAATCTTTATAAAAAGTAGCAAAATTTTCAAACTATTTTATGTTTTCTTACAACCTTTCTATTTTCTTCAAAATATGAAAAGCGAAGCTACAATTCTTATGGTAAATCATCTTTAGTACTTATTAATTAATTAATTATTTTTAGAGACTTTTAATCTCTATAAACAGTAATAACATTGAAATTAATTTAAAAAAATGATATTAATAGCAAATTGAAAACTTGTATTATATATCTAGAAAAGCATTTTTATTATTTATTTAAAAATTCACCATTTATTTTAGAAAACTTTTTATTAAGTAGATATTTATGTTTAACAGAAAAAAACTCTTTAAGATTAACTTCTTAACTTAATAGAATTAAGATAAATATATTTAAAAATAAGAAGTTTGTTTTACTCAAACTATTTCCAAAATAAATTAAGCATCTTGGTTTTTTAAACTAGTATATTTGGTTAGATTGCTTTCAAAATCAAAGAAATATAATTTTTATATTCCTCCTAATTTTAAAATTTAAAGTTTTCAAAACCAAAATTTATCTGAGTGCATAAGAAAATAAATAAAAATTAATGTTTTATTTTCACTTTTTAATAGATTCTTCATATTTAAATTACACATAGAATCAATTTTTAAATTTTGGCATATTCTTCTTTTTAAATACTAAAAATTACGCTTATATTTAGTAATGTTTTCGTATATTTTTTATAATTCTGGATGGATTTGATTATTCGTTAATACATATTAACTCTCAATAAAATTAATTATTTTTAGAATTCAATTATTATTTCAAATTCTAATTTCATTTTATCAATACATTTTAAATATTCGAATACAATTTTTTTACAAAACTAAATTGTAAGCAGCTAAAAAAGAATAAAATCAGCCTATTTATATCAATTTTTTGTAAAGAAATAAATAAATAAATAAGATAATAATCACAACAGAGACATGCTATTGTTGGATTGCAAGAGTTAAATAATCACAGGATTAGGATTATAAATAAAATAAAAACAAAAGTTTTAGAGTGAAAAGACCCTTTATATTTTTGGTCAAAACTAAAAAAAACATATTTTTTTCATTTATTTTGCTTATAAACTTAAAAAAAACATCTAAGTAACCTCTATCATAACCCTTCTTTTCATAAAAAATATACAATCTACTAATTCTTACTCTATAAGAAAAGTAAAATCATTAAAATGATTTGAAATGAGCTAATAGAAAACAATATTGAGAAAAGTAAGTATACATTATTCTTAATATTTAAAACCATTGCAGCACCTTATTTGGTCCAATCAATCAAGGATCGTATCATCATATATATTCATATTTAACTAAATGATAGAAATTAGATTTAAAACTCTGTGTTATAATCCCTTTTCAATTTAAAATGAATTTTTTCTACTAAAATTCTTCACTTATTAAATCCATAAATTTAGCTATGTTATAATTTGAATGTGCTTAGATTATTAAGGTTATCTATTAATTTGTAAAATTAAATTTTGAATTATTTTTTAATTAAATTTATGCCACTAATAAATAAGTTTTCCACTTAATTTTACCTGCATTTTTTCCTTTTTTGATGGCAACATAAATTACTATTAAATTTCATTTAATATCAATTACACTCATATATATTATAATCTAAATTATTACTTCTACTTGCCTCAACCAAACATAATTTTTAATATTTATTTTAAATTTGGAGATATAATTTCAAAATGGGACAGATACTTACATTTAAATTGAAGAATCCCTTTTAGGATCATATAAATTATAATTTTGGCATTAATTAACAAAAAAATGTATTAAAATAATATGAATAATAAGTCAACTAATCAATTAAACTCTTAATTTAAAGTTAAGATTAGTATTTGAAATAACATCATTAATTCAAATAGATAGTTCCAAAAGAAATATTTTAATAAATTTTTGGGTTTTTTATAAATTTATTATTAAAGCTTACATGAATAATAGAAAATTCATAAAAGAATTTAAATAATAAATAAAATTTCTATTTCTACTTGATTATATTCATTACAAAACTTCATTTTTTTATTGATATTTTTTTTAATTTTTAAAATGTTTTACAAAAAAAAAATTGTTTGTAATTTATTAATATATATTATCTTTTGATTTGAGAATTGCGAAATTGAAGTTAAAAGTTTTATGATAACTTAGTATTACTGAATAAGAAAATTTATTATTTTAGTTAAGCTAATTAATATCCATCATAATAAAATTTCTTAAGGTTAGTGTTACATACATATCTCATTCCTAATTTGTTGAAAAATAGTTAAGTTTTTTTTATTTATAAATAAATTCAATATTTTTTACTTTATGATGAGGACTGAATCGACTTGATTAAAAATCTTTACATGTCAAGTTGTTTTAATAAATATTAACAATTATACTAATTAATAAATTATGAATTTAATGAATTGTTGAAGTTTTAAAAAAATATTTGCTTTCTCTAAAATAAAAATCATTTCAGATCAATTTACTTTACTTTTATAATGATTTTTTGTGTTCGAAACAATAATTGGTTAAATTAAACAATATTAATTTAATTAAGTTTTGACTATTATACAAACAAATGTTTGTAAATTAGTAACATCTTTGATTTATTTAAATTGCTCTGTTTAAATGATTATTCGATGTATTTTTACTTTAATTTAATTGAAAAATATTAAGTCTTAAATAAAAAAGTGTTACTTATTACAGATTGATATTGTTTATCAAAGTACATTCGTTTTTGGTAAAATATTTTTTTTTAATTTAAGTAAATAAATAAATCAGTTATTTTACTCAGAAGATATTTGAATGAACTTAAGTAATGTTAAAATTTAAATAAACCTTGATTATATTTTTCATTTTAAATTTGATCAATCAACCAACCATCATACAAACTACATAAAAAATATGAAGTGAAAAAATTGGAAAATTTTCAAAAGGTTTAACAAAGATACTTAGCTTTTATGTTATATGAAAGTTTTAGTGATGAGAATATAAAATAATTTTGTAAGTTTTATCTGGGAGTAACTTGTATCTTCTTTATTATTTTTAACAAAAAATATTATAAAATTAAGATAAGAAATAGTAGTTATAGATAGATAGATAGTTAGTTAGTTAGGTAGTTTGCTGCTACTTATAATATATTAAAGTTATAATGTAAATTAAAGGTTTCTTATATTTTTTTATTTTGAAAAATATTTTACACGCTTTTAAATGAAACATTAAAAACAATTAAAAATAAAGTAATATATTTATTTATATATTTATTAGTTTATTTATTTATTAGTATATAAATTACTTTCTTTTCATTTTTTACTTTTTCTATAGTACTAAATGTGTTTAATAAGTGTGCCATGTTCATAACCCTTTAATAAAAGAGATATAGAGTTATTATATACTTCTTTATCTTTTATTTTAGAATTTTTAAGCCAAAATTCTTCTATATTTTGTAGAAAATGTATAAATATTTTATTTAAGTTTTAGCTTTTTAATAGGTTTCTAAATTTTAAGCTTGGTCTAACATTGTCTTTGAGGTTTTAACTTACTCTCCTTTAAATATGCAAATAATTCCAATTCTATGTAAATGACTCATATAATTCTATTAGTTTCTCATCTTTACAGCTAAGAATATGCTTGTTAAAAGCATACAAAATATTTTTGTATACGTTTAGCTTATTTTTACCTAAAAAATCCAATACATCTTTCTTTTCTTGAAAATCTTGGCTACTTTCTAATTCACTCACATCTATTTCCAACTAGGACGATTCAAAATCTACTTTATTTTCAATTATATATGCAAATTTTTTCTAATAATAAATAGTAATAACTTACTTTCATGTCTTTAATTTTAAGACTCATTACATATTGCAGTAGCATCTACTTAAATTTTTAAAAAGTTATTTTTATAATGTCTAAAACATTCAATTGCGACAGAATTATCCCTACAATACAGAATGTTACGATACAAACAATTTTTTTGCTATTAAATAAATCCTGCTATTACTTGAATACTGTTTATGTGATTTTACGCTTGCTTTATTTGTTGATAAGCAGCAATTTACATATTATTTTTGGAAATATATTGACTTTATTTTATTTGAGTATCTTACTTACTTAATTATTATTTGTTATTATTTACAATTCTAACAATAAAGAATCTACTGAATTGCTGTTTATAAATCTAAGTTATTAAAATTGATTGTATTCACACCAAATGTCTTTTTTTTTAAAAAAATCAATTCAAATCAGCAAATTCTTAAGAGTAATCATAAATATAATATTCATATTATTATTCGTTTTTTTACAATATCATAATTAAAGCATTTAAATTAAATAATAATTTCTTATTCATAAAAATATGCTAACAAAATTGTTTGATTTTTATAAGTTAAATAAAATTACATCAAATTTGCTTTTAAAATAATTCGTAATAAAATTATTTTTGTTAATTCCGAATTTAATTTATATTTAATATATTAATTATATTTAATAGAAGAATAAAATTATCATTTTAAAATATCTTTATAAATATTTGGAGAATTTATATAAATCTATAGTTTATAAAATTTTTAAATAAAAAATAAATATTTCAATATATTATTTATTATTTTATTTCAATTATATGATAATTTCGAGTTTAAGATAACTTTAACATAAATACAGGATTACATTTATTTCAAATTATTTATATTTCTAATTAATTAATAGCTTAATCTTGTTCTTTTTTTATATTACTTTCAAAATAGGTGTCAAGGAGTGTCTCTAATTTAGAATTTTTTATTATTTAAGATTACCATTTTTAAAAAATACTTTAATACCCCTTTTTTACAACTAATAGCTACTCACTAAAATTAATTCCTCCTCATATATTTTAGAAAAATACAAGCATATTATTTAGAGATAGATAAAAAATTGTGATAAAATTAATTTTAAAAAAAATAAATCTAAAGCTATAAAACAATATATAAAGTTTTATTACTAAAAATAATTTCTGATGAAAATACTCTTGACAGTATTAATTTTATCCAAAGTTCTTATCTTAATTATTTGTACTAATATAATATTGATTTATAGATATTTTTAAAAAGTATTTAATTAAAGAAAATAATATTTTGTGTTGATTAAGGATTTCAAAAAATTAAATTTTTAATTTAAGCTGTGGTATAAAGCATTTGAATGTAAATGCTAATATAAAAAAACTTATTTACATAATTTTTTAATTTTGCATCAACTTTCAAATCCAAATTGATAGCCCATATTTATAACTAACTGTTTAAACATTTACTTGATTTTTTGATTTTTAATCTATGTTTCTATTTACGCAAACTAAAAAGCTTGATTTTATAAATAAAAAGAAAGTACATTTACACTAATAATTGTTAAAAATAATATATATTTTAAATTATTTTTAATATACTTATAATTGTTTTCATTTTAGAAATAACTAAACAAAGCTTTTGAATTTGATTTTTTGGGAAAAATAACTGGCTTATTTAATTTTTTAAAAAACAAATCTCATTTTTATACTTTTATATAAATTTATCTACTGTAACCCTCAAAAAATTAACAATTCATGCTTTTATAATTTATTTTAATACATAATCAATCTTTTTTTTTATCTAAATTTGAATAACGATATATTATTCTTCTTCTTCTACTTCTTTGTTTACTAAATTCTTTTATTTTTTTCATCTAATCTATAAAAATAACTCTATTTAAAACTACATATGCAGGATTTGTTTCCTTTTTAAGAATTAGTAACAATTAAATGCATTTCAATGGTTAAAACAGCCAATTTATTAATCAATTTGACTGCATTAAAAATCTTATTTTCCTATTTTTTGATATTTTTTATCTGTTTAGAATCATAATTGAGTAATGTAATCATTTAAATTCTTTTAATATTTGAAACTAATCAATTTAAAAGCTAATACAATAATATTATTTGAATTATACTCACTTACTGCAGGAATAATTACAAAAAATTTTTCAATCTTAACAGTAAGTTGTAAAATATATACTAATTAAGTGTATTTTATAGCTAAGACAAGCATTTTTTACCTTTTTTTTTATGAGATATTTTCAAAAACCATATTTAAATGAATTATATATTGATATATAGAGAAAGAGAAAGATAGATGTTATAATTTATTTACAAATATCATCTTTCAAGCTTATAAAATCATTAGCTAAGGTTTATATAAAAATAAAAGTGTAATGATTATGTGAAACAATAAATATAGTAATCATTTGTATATTTAATGAAGCAAATTTAATGCTACGCTGAAAATATTAATATGAAAAAAAACATAGAAATAAGTATGAGCTTTGAAAGACTAATTTTCATACTGATTTCAAGAAGTCAATCAAATTTATATTTTGATAATTTTAATGTAAAATAATTAAGGGAAAGATAAACTCAAATATAAGCATTTTTGAAATGGTAAGGAGAGGAAAGTAGCGTACTTTAATAGAGTTAAATGAAATAAATGGTATTTTTTGAAACCTGCTTAAATAGTAGAGAGTGTAGCAAAATTAATAAAATCAAGCCTACAAAGAGAAATAAATTAAATTTATAAATTGTATTTATTCAATAAAATAAATAAATTTACATAGAAATGAATGATTAAAGAGAAGGACTTGAATTTTTTATTTGCAATTCAATGTTTTCTTTATTAATTTTCTAGAAATTAAAATATAAAATCACTCTCACTAAATTTTTGCATAATCTCATTATTGATTTATTTATAGAATATAAAAACAGATTTAAATCAAATAAGCAAAAGAGAACTATTAATATAGTTATCTAAGAAATTCTGTTGACTGAATAAAAATAATTAATAACCTGCTTTGAATTTAATTTAAAAATGAATCAATATTTTTGTTTGTAAACAGAGAATAATATAAAAAGAACTACACATAAGAACGCTCATTTTTTGTGTTTTTTATAAAACTAAATATTATTGGCAAGTATATTCTTTTTATATGCCTCTATAATAAGATTTATTTGCTTTTTTATCCCCTCTTTGTCCTTAATCTTCGATTGTTTAATCCATAGGTCGTCTGAGTTTTCTAAAAAATTTATAAATACACCCTTTAGGTTTCTATTTTAAATTAAATTTTTTATTTTCAAATTAGATCTTCCACAGTTCCTTAAATTTTAATAAACTCTTAGGCTTATATGTTTATATTCCCATTTATCTTCAGTGAGTTAAACATATTTTTCCTACTAAATAGGATCAACACACTCTTAAATGTGCTTGAAAAAAGCAAAAATTATATTTTTATAGGTATTTAACTTAGATTTTTCAAGAAAACTCATGATTTCTCCATCTTATTCCTCCTCAATTTGGTCAGCATTATGTGACTCATGCATCATATTCATCATTTCATAACCTTTTTTATGAGTTAATATGATGTGTTAAATTTTACAACAAAAACACATTCTTTCATGCGAAAATAGGCATTTTTAAAATTTAAGTAGAAAATGAGAAATAATTTTACTCGTAGAGTCCTCAATTTTTTGAGAAAATTAGTTAGCTCTAAAACTTTTGATATAGTCATAATATTGATGTATTACAGTAAGAAGATCCATACCAACAAATCTGTAAGAGCATCTTCTTTTTTATATTTTTTTCAAGATACGTAAGCTCGAGTCTACTGTAACTGGTTATATTTTTTCAGAGCGATAGTCAATCTGTCTATAGCCTACAGTTTTCTTTGTTGACATTATATTTTTTGTTTTATTTTTCTATATTACTTAAATTTTTCAACAACAAATTATTTATATCGTTTTTATTAACTTTTTATACCAAATATTGTCTGAAATAAATTATTATCTAAATTAATTTAACAAGCTTTTTTTTCAGTCCTTAGGTGGTTATCATATCATTCATAATTATAATAAGCGTTTAAAATCAATGTTTATGCATCTATGTATATTAATTAAATAATGAATAAATAATCACTTTTTAAAAGACAATCAGCATTTTAAAACCCACCCTATGATGTTCAAAAATTTGTTTTTAAACAAGTAAACAAATGAAGCTTATTATTATTTTTACTAAAATTATATCGAAGCCAATTTAATGCTCATAATTTTTTAGAGTGTAAATTAATAACATACTGTAGGTATTTAGGATACTTCTACAAAAAATTTTTATTGCCATCTATTGTTTATAAAAACAGGTAGTTAAATTCTCTTAATTGAAAATTATATTTTTCATTTATCTATGTTTTAATAAGCAATAACCACCAAGCGCTTTATAAAATAGATGAAAAATCTTTCTAAATACATAAATGTAAATATTTTTTTAAAAATTCAATGTACTGAATTGTGAGAACAGGACGATTGCAGCAAGCTAGGTATTTAATTTTTCATTAGGGATTTAAAATATTTTTTATTTGAATCAAAAGAGTTTTGTCAATTATTTTTTAAGTATAGAGAAAAAGTCAGCATTTAAAGACAATTTGTATTTTTTTGTGAAAATTTAGGAATGTTAACACAGTATTTTCTAAAAAAATTGATCTTTAGATTGAAAGTCAAAGTAATTTTGTTTGTTAGAGAGTGTTTCGAAATAAATCTTTTTTTAAATAAATTCATTTATCTATTGTTTGTTTTTTTAGATTTTGGTATTTATTTTGATGGGATGTGATATATTTAACTTGTTATCCTTCTCAAATATTTTGTTATCAAAATCATTTGATCCCTTTTATTATAAGCAGTTGATAGATATTTATGGAATCTTATATATTTTAGTTTGTAAACTCACTTTTTAAACGAATATTTTACCTTAAAAATAGAATCTAATGATTTAAAAGAAATATTCTTGTCAAGATTATTAAAATTCATCTTAAAATTATAAAAGAAGAATATATTTATTTGTTAACTTTTTTGTACTCCCAGGCTTAAAAAATTAGCAAAAAATAAACAAAGAAACAAACAAATAAAAAATCTGCTCTAAGATTTTTATCATGATTCATAAAAAAAAACAGTTTATTAGAATTAAAAATTGAAAAATAATGTTTTAATATCAATTTAAGAATTTCTGATGATGATAAATAATAAATGTAATTTGAACAAAAATGAAAACTATTCGGTATTATTAAAATTATTGTTTTTATTAAAAATATTGATTTGTATCTGACTACTAAGTGATTGAAAAAGTGTAGTGTAGAATACAAAAAAAAGTTAAATATATAAACAAACAAATAATCTATTAAAATAATCAAATAAACTATGAAATAAATATATAAACAAACAACAAAGTGTTAAAAGAAATTATATATATACATATATTTATTTACAAAGTAATAAATAGTTTAATAAAAGAGATTGCCATCAGTTTTTCACTGTAACATTAAAAATCAATAGCCTATAGGCCTTGAAATAATATTTAAAAATAATGAAGCTTTCTTTTTCAAGGAGAATGTGGGTTTTCAATTTCACCCCATTGATCTTTTTGATAATTATATTGGCATTTATAGTAAGCTTGACGCTTTCAGACGTCATCACATAAATAAAAAAAAGTCTTTACATATATGTTGCAAACGAATAAGTAGAAGGCATTTTAAATTAAATGGGTGTATATTCTTTTAAAACATAAACTAACGTAACATACAATCAATTGTTTTGGAAAATATAATATTATCTTAATCAGAAGCTGGCTTTTAATTAATTAACGCGGAATCTTGATTTCATTTACTATCCTTTATTTCACATCTTTGATGAATCATCTTTCTCTAATGCTTATGAAAATTCTAACACAAACTACTTAATGTGGATGAATTTAAAGGCCAAGAGTTTCAGCGAACTTTCAGAGGACACTCAAAATTTTATTAAGTAGCTTCGCGTTTCTTTTTTTGCAACCCAGATTGAAAATTTATCTATTAATACCTCATATTACTGGAAAATATTTATTGCTAATTCGGATGGTACGCTTGTTATTTAAGTTTTGGATAAGTAGAAGTTTTTTAAAGGTGATTTTTCAAAGTTGCTATAAATTTTTTAAGGATTTGATTTTGACTCCAGCTGCAGCTATACTAGCGAGGAACCGCTACAATCACAGATATATAATAGCCTTCGGTATACAAACCTAGGTACTGATCCTCGCTGCTGGAGGGTTTATTCATTTTGTAACTCATTTAACCTCTTTTCATCTAATATTTATTTCAAAAGCATGCTATTAAACAAAACAGAAGAATATGGAACTTGCCAAATATAAAGTTATTAAATAAATCATTCTAAAAGCTGTAAACATCTTTAAATTTATTTATAATTTACTATTTCATTTCACGAATTTATAAATAATTGAATAAAGATTACAATGTGACCATCTTATAGAGTTTTGATAATTATTAATAGCTAACTAAATAGAATTCATCACAAGGATTACTCACTTATTTTAGATTTAATAACAATGAGATTCCTTATTCTCTAGGCAGTGATAGTGGAGAAGATAATAATAATTCATAAGAAAATAATAATTCGCTTACTCTCTTTGATATTTATGGCATAAAAAATGAGAACTCGATTAGTAATTTGAGAGGACTGATTGATTAAATATCTTAATTAGCTAATTAAAATTCTGATATACGTATCCCATAACTCTATGCAACTATATATGATACTTCTAATTCTGGGTAGCAAGTTCTTTTGCAGATTAATTCTGAAATTGAAACATAATTAATGTCTTATTCTTTGGATCAAATATTTAGAGTGTTAGTTTTCTCTCCAATTTATTGTATTTAATATTTCAAGAACCTTTCAAAAAACAAGTCTTTCAAACAGTCAAATCCTTTTTTCTACTTAGTCTTAAATTTTGATATTCAGACATTTAACAAATATACAAACCAAAGCAATCAAGACTTGTAAAAAATACTAGCGTTATCAGTTAGTGTTACCTTAATTTTATTTGTTATTACTTTACTTCTTTCTCATTTTAAATTAAAGAAGTCGATTGTTTCATTTATTGACAGCATAGACTGGACAATAGAATTAATGAATATAATTTCTAATGAGAGCATTTTTGATTCTAATGTGAATGAAGATTTTATTAATGATTTCTTTAAAAGATACTGTTTAAATTAAGAAGCAAAGGAGCTACTTTAGACTTATTTTATTTTGATATTAAATCTCATAAAGACAGCTAATGAATATTTTTAGGAAGGGCAAGAAGAAGCTGCTCTTCAAAAATATAACGAAGCATATACCCTGTTTACAAAATTAGGAAATCAAAGTGGCATAGGTATTTGCTTAAACAACATAGGCAATATTCACTTTAAAAAAGAAAACTATGTCGAAGCAGTAAATATTTTAAAAAAATATTTATAGTATTTTGGCTACAAATATTTTTAATTAACTATTTAATCATTGATTTAATTAAATTTATATTTGTATAAATTAAAAGTGTTTACATTACAGCAAGTCCTATTAGATATCTCTGTAAGAAAAAGAATACATCACCTCTTAAATGATCAATCATCCCAAATAAAAAGAAAAGCTAGATTAAGTTAAGCTCATAATTGCTGTCAGAGCTTTTTAGATTGCATAAACTTTCTAACATGTTAATATCATCCCAAATGAAGATCTCACATCTTTTCAAACTCAAGAATAGGTAAATAATTATCGATTCACTCAATTATAACTATTCTCACAAACAAACTATCAATCATATTGGAATTTGTTAATATATTAGGCTTCTCACTTGCAAAACACGAATACTCGCTAATCAAACTAGAAAATTATAGCAACACCCCAAATTAATTCTATAGAGTCTTAGATTAATTAAATTAAATCTGAAGCTAAAAAAAGTATTTTTTAGACGAAACACAACAAAATAGAATTTGATTATATTATAGAGGAGGAAAAAAAGTAAGGATTGGAGGAAGGTATTAATTATGAAAAGTAGCTGAGCGGACTCCACCTAAATTTAAGAGAAAAATAAATTTCATAAGAATTTATTTAAGAATACTTCACGCAAAAAAAAGTGAAAAGCGAAATATTTATTAAATAAGCCAATTAAAAAAAGCAATAATAATAAATATATGGTAATGAATAGAAAATTTAAATATCCAACAAAATCTCTTGCCTGAATGAAAAATCACCATCTCAGCTAAAAATTAAAGACAATTAAAAAAAATATGATGTTGCTATTAAATACTTCTCTGTGGCTTATGAATATTTCAACCAAAACCAAACGAAAAGATCAATTTCCTAAGTCACTTATATTTGTATTTGTATGGCAGAATGCTATCTTAAATTAAAAAAATATTCCCATAGCTAAGGATTAATTACTGAAGCTAGAAAAAAATTGTAAAAATGCAATCAAATAAATTTTTAAAAATCAATACTAAAAAAGAATATTTAGGATGTTGATTCAATTCTTAGTAATCATTTAGTCAATAGTAAAAATTAAAAGCTTAACTTTAATTAAAATTATAAAAATTTATTTCAGTGTAATTAAATTTCTACCCCATAACATTTTTAGCTCACATAGAGTGTTTAGTCTAATCAGAGTAAGAAAGAAAAACAAAAAAATCAAACTAACAAATTTAGGGATACATTTTTCGAATTATAATCACCAATTTTGTTTAAGGCAGCACTCCAAAACAAACAATTCTTAAAATAGAATTTTTAAAATTTCACAGTGAGCATATAGAATAATATATTAAGAAACGCCAAGAGACAATTATCAAGTATAGATAGCATAAACAATATATTAGAAAAGAAGAATTTTAGACGCATTAAGCGCATTAGCTCAGCTAAGCTTACATTCCAAAATAATAACAAACTAAAATAACTTTCACCTAATTCATGCAAAATCAATTTTTAAAAATGTCCATCTATAGTATGCCTTGATAATCAGAACATCAAAGATACTTCAAATAACATAAAATAAGATGGAACTCAATAAAATTACATAGAAAAAATCACTAGCAAACAAAAAATATTTGATACACAAAACAGAAGAGATTTTAAAAGCTTTGATAAAATGGTAAATGAACTCTCAAAATATCAAAATTAAACTCAAAAACATAACTACACCGATAAGAATTTCAATCAACTAAACAGCTACGAATAATACTGCAATGCACACTAAGGCTGTGATGAAAAACAAGAAGAAAGAAAAAGAAATATTTCTATTGATTAGTATATGAGTAGTTAAAAGTAAAATAATTAAGCTAAAAGCTCTTTATTTTAAAAGATTCATAACAGTGTAGAATATTTAAATGGAATTGATAATATAATTCAAAAGAAAAACTAAAATAAAACTGAAAATGACAAAAAAAGTGAAGAAAATTCTAAAAAGCTTCAAGCGTTTCCAGTTTATTTAAACCAAGCAAATAAAAATGAAAATGATTTTTAGTAATATAAATTCTAAAAAGCTGATAGTATATAAATTGAATAAATTCAAGAATTTTATAATACCAATTAAATTAAATAAAGTAAAGAAAATAGTGCGTTTTTAAGCCCTAATATGTCATATTAAAATACTGCACGTCCTTTCCTTAATAATTTAGAAGCAAAAATGTAATCAAAATTGAATAAGTCAAATGATAAATTCAGTTAAAGCTAGTAATATGCAAACAACCACACCAAATAAGAAGAATAAAATGAATAACAAAACGTCTTAGAAAAGTAAAAAGGTAAGCAAAAGAAAAAGAGCTTACTTAATTTTATATCTGAAAAATTGAATGTATTTTTGAATTAAAATAATAAAAATACCATTCAAATTTAAGATATATCTGAAATTTCTAACAATTTATAAAACAAGTTAATTTTTGATTAAAAAGATGAGCTTTTTCTTCCTTACAGTGTCCTACAAATGAAAATCAGTTTAGTTTAAGGAAAATTTTATAAATCCTAGGGGGAGAGATATTTCTTAAAAGCAGCCTCTTAATTTATAGAAGTTCTAGAGTACTTTGACCCTAACAGCCAAGAAGACCAATATGATCCATTAGATAAACTAGAAGCGATGAAGGAGCTACTTTATATATTCTAATGGTACAATTGTTAAGAACAAGCTCTTCAAATTTCTGAAGAGATAAATAAAATGGAAAACTCGTAGGTCATAAAAGAAAAATTATCTAGACCATTATTTTTCATTGACTCATTCATATGAACATATAATTAAGAAAAGTCAATCTGATTATGGTTAACATCAACAATCTGAGTTTGCATCTAACCTCTCTCTGTTAAGCTATTTAATACAGATTATTCATTTAACAAACATATGAAGTAAATAGAGGATCAAAACTAGTTTTAAAACAACTAAATTACAAGATTAGTATGTATTTAGTTTGACGCACTAATTAATTAATTAGTTATTTTTATATTAATTTATGTATATAGTTCTTTTCTATCCTTATAATCTCTAAGATTAAATTCATCTTATTTAATCTATCATTCAAACATTTCAATCTTGTTTCTCTACTTAGCTTACGTATTCATTATACATATATTTTTATAGATATTGTTCAAAATTAAATTAGTTTAATTTATAAATTTAACTTTAAACTGATAAAATACAAAGTAATTTTTTGTATACATCGCATCAAATGATGTAATAATACTTGTTTGGTCACATTCCAAAATTTTATCCCTGAAAACCAATCATACAAATAATCAATACTATAAATTGAAAATTAATTATTTTTATATAGTGTAGCAAACAACACAAAGTATTTTTATCAGAAAAAAAGGAACATTTTAAAATGATTCCATTTTCTTTCATATACTTAAAAAACCAAATTATTTGAAAATAAAACTAGTATTTTTTCGTTCTTTTCATCTTTAATTTCTACATTCTCTTGTCTATTATTAAAAACTATAAAATAAAGTATTTTATTTGATCATGACCATCATACTACTTTAAAAACTTATATATATGCTAATTATAATATATTAATTTGATTCTTTATCAAAATATTTATGTACCAAAGAAAATAATTCATCTCTTATTATTAAAATTAACACTTCGTTTGAATCTAAAGATAAAAACATCTACAATTTTGATTAATCTTGATTTAATATTCCTAATAAAGTTAATGATCTATTAATATTCTCTTAAGAAATTATAATTAAAATTAGCACTAAACTACTAAAAAATAGATCATAAAACCATGCAATATAATTTTAAATGATGTCTTATAGAATATTTTTTTAGTAAATAACTAAACTACTAAATATTTTTATATATTTTTAAAATATTTGATTTTAGGAAATCTAATTAAAACACAATTAATTTATTGTTAAAATTATTTTTTAAAATATTTAACTTCCTCCCTAAAGTTTGATTATGAGTCTTTTTATGTGCTAAAAATTTTTCAAAGAATGGGTATTTACCTTTATGTGCTAATATTGAAGAATTTACAGTATTTAATTTTTTTTTATGACCTTTAGCTATATAATTTATACTATTTATGCTATTAATTTGTTTTATCAATTATGTTATTTGTTAAGTGGATTAATATATAGGTGAAGTGTGAATTATTTATTATCTTTGATAATTAATTATAAAAATTTTTAAAATATTTTAATTAAGATTTATTATTTATTTATTTATTTTAAAATTTAGTATTAAAATTAAGGTTTTTATTATGTTCAAAATCAATTTATTTTATTTTATTTAGCTTAAACATTTTAAAATATTATAATTAAATTAATTTTTAAATTTGAAGGCACATTAAGATTTTTTATTAATGAACACTTTAGTAAAATTCACAACGATAAAAATAAAAAATATTATTAATAATAGAAAAAACATTTATTTCTGTTTCTTTAAAGAAATAGAACATTTAACATATATTATTAAGAAACTAATATTTAAAAAAAAAATTTAGAATTTAAAAATATAGCTAGCTAATTAAAGAAAAAATATAGTTTTTTTATAATAAGGAAAGCAATAATAAAATTTAGTCAGTCATTCAATATTTTATTATATGATTCGCAGACGTATATATAACAAATAAAGATAGACAATTTTCAAAACGTTTCCTTTTATTTAAATTTAATTGGCATCAATAATTAGATTTAAATTATTTTTTTTCTAGATTAATTTGTTTTAAATATCAACAAATCAAAAAAAAATAGAACTTTGATTATCTAAAAGTAGCAAAATGGATTCAAACTAGCTAAAAGATTCTTACAAGTTATTATAAAGATAAATTCTACTTTTCATTCTAATTTATATATTTTATAAAAGAATTGTTGATGAGCATGTAGATAAGAGGTTAAACCTTAAAAATAGCTTCAAAACAAACAGCGAAATTTTATGCGTTAGGTTTGATCCTGAAGACTCTTTGATTGCAACAGGTTTTTATTAATTAATGGTTTAATTGTAATAGTAAAATTTTTGTAATATTAGGTAACCTAAATGGATCTCTATAGATATTCCACCTTTAATCAGGTTTAAATTTTGTTGAATTCGCATACAAGATTCAAATTTTAAAATGATAAAATGATTAATTGATAATTTTTAAAAATAAAAAGGATACTAAAAGCTAAATATAAATGTATCGGACCAGGGTAATCCCACTCCTTGCACTGTTCTTAGGTATTCTTATAGCATAAATATTAATCTATAAAGTCTAAATAAAATCAGCAGCATAATCAATAATTTAACAATCTACTTAGATGAAGAAAATCAAGATAATTATTGAGCATTCATTTTTATAAATAATAAAATAGATGGAGACCACCAAATTCCTCAGCAACAGTTAAAAATGTGATCACAACTGGTGATGGAAACGGAAATATAATATAATGGCATACAACTTCAGGTTAAATAAATAGTTTGTAATCATTAACTTATTAAAGATAATGTAAATTTAGGAAAGGAGTTAGAAAGGATTAACGAAAAAGACAATTAGATTTTATGTTTGGATTATGACAATAAAGGTTAGTTTCTAGCAACAGGAGGAAAGGATAGCACCGTAAAGCATATTTCTATTTTTTGCAACGATTTTTTTGCAAATATATTTTTACAAGGATATCAAGTATTTATTCAAAATAAATGATAAAAAATTAAAAAGAAACGACTTTAATTTTTGGTCAGTTAATTAATTTTGATGAGATGATTTTTTTTATAAAATTAGCAATAAATCTAAGAATGAATTTTAAATTTATTTCAAAAAAAGAGTAGAAAATCTTAAAATTATTTGGATAAGTATTTTAAAATTTTAATAAATTAAATAAATAAATAAGTAAGTAAGTATAACTCTTTATTATTTTAAAGATATTTCTAAAAGATAAACTAATTAATATATTTACAATTTTCATGAAAGAATGTTTTTAAATGTATGACTAAAATAATTTAAATTCATTTAGGAAGGTATATTCTTAAGTTAGGGAATCATTGTGTCATTTTTAGAAATAATTTTGTAACAAAAGTAATTATTTTAAAGATTAAATATGACAAATAAATGCCTACTTGAAACTATTTAATAAGGAATTAATAGCAAATTAAATTGAATCTAAATTATTAATAATATTTATAAATAGATTAGAGTATATGACGAAGTCAGTAAAATAATTGAATATAAGTTGCACGGACCTGGGTACACGAATGATTACTCTCATTAAAATAGAATCTTTAGTGTAAAGTTCTTGCCAGAAGATAGCAATTTGCTAATTAGTGGTAGCTGGGATTAAAATGTTAATTTGTGGGATCTGAGAGAAAAGAAATGTGTGGGTAAAATTGACTGGAAAATTGCATTATATATTATGATTGATGGAGATTTAGAATATTTATTTATTTAATTACTAACTATTAGGAAGCTTTATTGGAGGAAAAATATCAGGAGATAGCATTGATTACAAGAACGGAAAGATTTTAGTTGGAGCAAATACAGCCAAAGATCAAATAAAGATATTTGATTATAAAGAGAGGAAGCTCATAACTGAAGTTGTCTATGATCCAAATAAAAAAGAAAACGGTGCATTCGTTTTTGGAGCTTAATTTTAGAAGAATAACGATGATACTATTTCAGTTTGTTCTTCAGGTCGCAACGAATTAAAAGTTTTTGATCAGTAAAAAAATTATTAACCCTTGTCTACTGTTACTAATTTCCCTAAAGGTGTTTACTCTCTTGATTATGCTAATCAGACAAATAAAATTGCTTTTGGAGGTGCTGATGGGTTGCTAGTCGTTGTGAGTTTACTGACAAAATGAATTTTGATTTAAGTTATAACAAACAAACAATCTTTACAACTAAAAATAGAGTTTACAATATAATTAATAGCTAGAAGAGTAAAAAATTAATAAATTCAGAAATTTTATTAAAATTATGTAAATAATAATTAAAAATGATTTTTTTGCGTTTTAGTATAAAAAATATTATTTCAGATAAATTTTATCAAAATCAAATATCAAACACATCAAAAATTAAATCTTGAAATTCTTAAAATATAAATATTCTATTTAATCACTTTAATCATATAAACATTTTTTTTATAAAAAATATTTAAATAGAAAATATGCTTAATGTATTTATTTGAATTAGTTATTTTATCAAAAAAAATAATTTTAATATAATTTTATCAAAAATTTATCATCACTCACTAATAAATTGAAACATTTTCTTATAAAAATTTAAATATTTCATATTATATGTATTCTTACAGTGAAAAGCTACATCTATTAAATATAGAATCAAGCTAGTTAGCTTTAAATATTAAATTATAAAAAATATAATTTGAGTCTTTTTGTATTAAATGGTTTTTACTTTTCATAAGTTAATTCAAACTAATATTTTTAATGTTTCCAAAATTAATAATATTATATATGATCATTTTTAAAATAAAATATTTATTTAATCAGATAGGTGTTATTTATATGTAAATATTCTTTTAAAGTTATTTAAAAATAATATTTAAATAATTAACGGAAATATTAATTGATAGGAACTGACAAATATATATTATTTTTATTATTTTACACATTCTATTTGTTTAGATAATAATACAAAATAATAATAATTAATTAATTAATTGATTTCTAAACTCTACTAATGTATCATTCATTCATTAATGATTTAATAAACTTTAATTAAAATTTTTTTTGAAAGCGTAAATTCAAAAAAGTAGTGTTTTGATTATATTTCTGTCGAGAATTTTATCTGATTTTAATTATATTACTTCAAGCTTTATACATATTTTATGTGATATATCTAGATAATTTCTTAATGATAATAATATATTTTAATAATATAAACAATTTATAATAAAGCATTTCTTGCAATTTTCATTGCTAGCACTTAAGGTTGAGTCTGCACAATGGACACTTTTAGTCCTATAATAACCACTTAGTAATGCAATAGTTATGATATGTATGGGAACAAGGTAGTTTGATTAACTTTTTATCTGATTCATACTTCTCTAAGCAAATAGAACAGATGATGTCCTATTCTTAAAGAGAATCTAGTTATTCTTGTGTATAAGAAATCTTTTCGAATTTTTTAATTTCACTTCTTGAAAGACCATTTGCTTTTTAATCTTGTATTCTCTATTACAATATCATAACATTTGAATTAACTCCTTATTATGCCATTTATTACCTAAAAGAGTCTATCCAAATCTACTATATTGAAGATTCGACCACATTTTAGTCATTATGTAAAAACTAATTTATTTCAAATAGATTTTATATTAAAAATGAAATTAATCAAATAAATATGAGTTAGTTACTGTTTGTTCAGCTAGATTATGAGCTATTTCAGAAATTTCTAAACTTCTATCATCGCTTTGACTTTCTAAATCTCTACTATTGTAATAAATTTATTAAATAATTTAGGCTACTGGAACAGGTATTTAGCCACCACTAAGCTCTCTTCTTGGATATAATCTTGTTAATCTACTGCGTCTGGTTACCCTAGACCTCTAAGTACTTGAATTTCTCACTAAATTAGTAAAGCTTTTATATATAATTAATAAGTTTTAGCTAAAATTTTTAAATTGGAAATGTTTTAAAATAAAAATAGATTTATTTATTTATTTTCTTAAAATAAAGCTTTATTTTGCAGATAAAATAAATTTCTATTTTTATTTTATTTCATTGATGAAAATTTTTTGTAAAAATCAAAGAAATACAAATTGTTTAAATCAATTAAAAAGAAAATCTATTTCTTACTCATCTTATTCACGCTAATAAACAACGCATGTTTAAATCAAGCGGATTATAATAAATAAAATGCTTGTCAAAGTCCAGAATATTAGAGTAAAATTTCTATCTGATTTGTTAATAAATTAGTTTACTATGACAATTATGTTGCATGCCAAGTAAATCCATAGTGAATAATTGAAAATAGTGTTAATTATGTATTTGCAGATGCTTTTTACTGAACTTTATTTAATTTCAGTTTATGTTGAATCATTTCTTGTAGCTCTTCTTGATCTTCTACCCTCAATTTATGGTAAATTTATTAAATCACTCTCATTCATATTGCCTAAAACTTAATTTATCTGAGCATTTGTATGCTATTAGTACTCATTTTCGTCATTTTGTAAATGCCTGGAGCTTCCTCTATTATTTCTTTAATTGTTATTAGAGTGCTAATGGTGATCTTGATAAGAAATTCTTCTTCTGTTTTCAAAAGAATCTATGTTATTATCCAATGAAGAGTGACTAGAGATATTATCTTAGATATCTTCGCTACTCTATCTAATGCTGCTACTTTAATTATTTTGAATTTCTATCATTTAGAGTTATTAAATTAAGTTAGGCAACTATTGCCCTGTTTATTATTAAGCAGATAAACTCATCTAATTCTAATTATTTAATTTATATATCAATTTACTAAAAGTTTTTAAGATTTTAAGATTCTGTGCTATTGAATGGTTATTTTATGTGATACTTAAGTATTAATTTTACTTTTTATAAAAATACAAATTTTTTTTGATACATCAATAATATTTTGATAATAAGCGTAAATACTTTTCAATTAAATACTGCTGATATTATTAATTCAAATCAATGTAGAAGCTGATTAGGAATCACAAACACGCCTAAAAAAATTTATATAGCTGTTTAAAACAAAAGTATTAAACGAGTAACAATCCAACAATTATTAGATCAATTATTTTGTTATTGAAAATGCATACCTGCTGGATTAATATTAATTAATTAATTGTAAAGCTTCATCAAAATTATAGTTTTAAATTTAACTCATTTTTCTCAATAAAATATAACATTTAATTTATAAATTTGTCTAAGCTCCATCCATATCCTCAATCTTTCTTAAATAATCTTTTTCAAAAAAATTAATTATCAAGTTTTTAAACAAAATTAAAATAACAACCCTAAAAAACTTTTACAATTTATAAAATTAAACAACTGATTATTTAATATTAAACAAAAAATGGTGATTTCAAGCAATTTATTATATTAAATTTAGATGGTAAAAATTTAAAAGCACAATTTTTTTACATTGTTTATTAAAAATACTTTTTACTTTTCTCATGAAAAATATTTAATTTCACATTTAAAATAGTTACAAACACATCATAATATTTACAAAAACGATAGTTTCAACCAAATTTTTTCATTTTATAAATTTAAAAGCATTATTTTTTTATAATTTTTATATATAAAAATATTTTTGCTTTTCAACAAAATAATATTTTGATTTCTAATAGCTAATAATATTTAGAAATGCGATCGTTTCAATGAAATTATATTGTTAAATTTAAATTTAAAAACACAAACATTTTTTTAGTATAAATATTTTTACAGAATAATAGAAAGTATATTTTTTCTTATCATCATGTTTCTTAAAATTATAACAAGCTTTCTTTATATTTGCTTTTAATTATTCTAAAAAAGTGACAACTCTTTTGAATTTTATATTTCGAAAATAGATCGACACAATCATACAATTTATTGTGAAGTAATATTAATATTTCATTGAATTAATTTTGTTAAATTTAGTTTCGTTAACTTCTAAAAACACATTATTAATTTATTTTGAAAGTATTTTAGCTTAATAAAAGCAATAATAAATTATTTTAATTTATTGCAAAATGTTTACTTAAATTTGTTACAAGTATTTTTAATATATTTCATATAAATAAATTTATTAAATATGCAAAGTTCATTCAAAACTTTAATAAAGTTCATCATCGCTCCAAATTCCATAAATCTTTCTAAAGCCAGAACTAGTTTTGAGATTATAAGTTCCTTCGCCGTGCATTTTGTCATTTAGCCAATCTCCTTCATAGTAGCTTCCATCTTTAAATTAATAAAATCCCTTCCCATTTCTCTTATCATTTCTCCATTACCCATTATAGAATTCATTTTCTAAATTTTATGTTAATTAAAAACATATTAAATATTTTAATAAAATTATTAGTAAAAAATACCTTTAAATGTTTATTTTCCTATTCCGGACTTCATTGAATTTTCAAATGAACCTTAGTAATATGTATTATCAGGGAAAATATACCTTCCTTCACCATGCTTTTAATTGTTTACCCATTAACCTTCGTAGATACAACCATTTTAATAGAAATACTTTCCATAACCTTCTCGAATTCCATCTATATATTATCCCTAATACTTATCCCCATTTTTAAAATAATATATTCCTTCTCCATTCATTTAGTTTTTACTAAAATCTCCTTCATAGTATTGTTAATTGGCATGTATGTAAATACCATAACCAGAAATTAATCCATCTTCATAGTTTCCACTATATTCATCCCCATTTTTAAACTTCATTTAACCCTAGCCATAAGGAAGATCATCATAAAAATTACCTTCGAAGTGGTTACCATCCTTGAACTCTAAGGTACCAAATCCACATTTCTTATCATAGACCCATTCACCATCAAATGTATCCCCGTTAGCAAAATAGTAAATACCTCTACCACATTTTACATTCTATTTAAAATAGCCTTCATATTTCTCCTATAATTTTTATAATATTTTAATTAATTTTTTTCTGATATTTTGAAATTATAAATTTCACTTTGTTTTTCATTAGAAGTCTTCCGTAGCCTTCTTTCACGTTTCCATTCCATTCCCCAGAATAAATGAATCCTAATCCATGGTAATAGTAAGTTCCGTGTCCTTATCTGAGATCTTTGCGAAGTTAGCCTCTGTAAATATCTCCATGATTGTAAAAATAAACACCCTCTCCATCGAATTAGTTGTTCTTAAAATAACCACAATAAATGTCCCCATTTTACATTTTTAGGATTCCAAATCCGTTTCTAAAAATATTTTAATAGTTAAAAAAAATCTCAAAAACAAACTAACAAATTAATTAAAACTTTAAAAAATAAATTTGCTTTCAAAAATATTTCTTTTTACCTAACAATGCTCCTGTCTGTAACTTGAACTTATCCTTCATAAAAAGATTTGTTTTTATATTATATTTTTTTAGTATCTGGGAATTTTTGAAGTTGCTAATACAATTCAGCAATTAAAGCTTCCTTATCTTAAAAATCTTAAAATTCTGAAAAAAAGAGATTTTTATTGTCTTCATAAATCTACTCATCTATTGTTTTTTCAATGTAGGAATCTAATGTGCTGTTTTGATTGCTTTGGTTTTAAGGATACTCGAAATTATTTTCAACTACTTAATCTACTTGAGGTAAATAGCTTTGAATTCCAGAATCTTAAGATGAATTTTTGTAGCTGTTTCTCACTCCTTTTTTATCAGGTTCTTAGTTGGCTTATTGAACTATTTATTCAAACTCTTAAGGATCAAATTACTTAGAGCCTTGAGGTCTCTGCTTACGAAGTTGCTCAAAGAATTCTTTATTTTTTTGTAGTTAGCTCATATAGTCTTTTACATTCTTTTAGATTGGTGATTTGTAGATTAGAGAGTTTTATTCTTCAGGTTCTGACTCTTAGCTTTATTCTTCAATAAAATCATTATTTTTGTATAAGCTATTTTTTTAAAAGTTAGAACTTGGAGTGTATGAACTGCTGTTTAAATTATTCTAACTGCTGTTAAGCTAGGTGGTAGGGCTGTTTAGTTGGTAATTCTATGGTTAATTTTAATTATTTTTTTAATAAGGATAGCTGTTGTAGGTATTTTCAGTAGATTCAGGAGAATTATTTTAATTTTATGCGTTCTTTTACTGAAATTAATTTTTTTAAGGTTAATAGCTGCTTTAAATTCCATCATATTAGTTATTATAGACATTTGGTTAAAAGTTAGATTCCTAAAGATATTCTGAGCGATTTTAAAATCTACTTTCTGAGTTATTTAAGTTGGGATAAAGCTACTGTATTATTTCTTGTTGCTAATTATATCGAATAGCTTCTTAGACTATACTCGAAGACTAATCACTAGATTAATTCAGTGATCCTCCAATAGAATTAATCACCTGAATAACATTAGTGGGAAATTTGTAGGCGCTTTAATCAATTTAGGAACTCCTAAAATTATTATCTTAGTTAGAAATTTAAGAATTGTTCATCTGATATTGAGTTATGCCATTTTCAAACCCATAGCCATCTTAAAACTAAGGTGGAGTTTGTCTAAATCTCCAAGATGATTAATTGTCCTCGTTTCTATAACTTTCTAAATCATAGTCAGAAGAAACTTTATTTTATTTTTTCTAAGGAGATAAAAATTGTTAATTATCATTTAAATCACTTCTGTCGTTTTACCTATTGTAATCTTTACCACCATGGTTTATTTCTCTTTCATTTTAAATACTTTCAAAATTTAGTTTGTGCTGATTCTGGAGACTTCCTTCATTATCAAAAACTGCAACAGAATTTTCATTAAAGCTATGGATGTCATGAGATTTTTCTTGGCTGTCAGGATTGAATGAGGCATATAAATTTGATTGCTGCTAGCTTTCATTTTGGTTTTAAATTTGATTGTTTCCATCTTAGTATTTTCTATTGTTATAAAAATCTCCTTTATTACTAGCATTCAAAACTGAATTTTCAATGCTTCGTTACTAATGTTAATTTTAATTATCAAGCAGTTGTGAGTGATTATTTCTTATTTTTTTGAGCTCTTCTTCTTTAGAAAGATTTATTTATTGCTGAGATTTCATTAAGTTTTATTATTTTAAATTCAAATATTCATTTTCTCTTGCTTTTAAAGTTCTATAAGTGTCCAAAGTGTCCTTCTTGTTAGCAGAGTTTTCATCTTCTTCAAGTATCGTCGTCGAATATGTTTAATTTTCTGGAAGTTTTACTTTACTTGCTTTATCTATTAATCTTTAAGAGCTTTCTAGAACTGATTAAGATTGAAGTAAAGCATCGTTTGACTCTTTTTTTAACTGATTTTATGTCTTTTTGTGATTTTCTATTCTTTCCTTTTACTCATCTCTTACAGTTGTATCAGCCTCTAATTTCGGCTTAACAACATAGTTAGTGTCTACTAAAATATTAGAAAGAGGAAGTGGTGGGGGAGGAGGAATCAAGTTTTATGGTGCAGGAGGGATACCAATTAATTCTTTATTTTTATCATTTTTTATTTCTTCTTTTTAGTCTGCCTGCTTTGCATTATTTTCGTCTTTAATTTCCTTTTTAACTCCTTGATTTGGAAGAAAGAATGGAAGTCTAACAGGTGCTGCTTAATTATTATTTTAAAATAACCTTTAAAGAACTTCTTCTTTTTTCCTAATTTACTCTTATTCATTATTTTCATCTGTAACTTCTAAAGAATTTTATATCATACTCTGTAAATGTTGTATTGGTTATTAATTATTTTTATTTTTTTCTTATAAAATGCTCATAGGAGGTGCTGAAGGGATTCCATTTAATAATGGAGGAGCTTTAGGAATCCCATTTATTTAAGGTGCAGGAGGTATACCATTTAGCTGAGATCCTTGAGAGGTATTTCCAATTGGAGGTGCTGGAGGAATACCACCTATTGGAGGGGCTGGAGGTATACCACCAATAAAGGGAGCAGGAGGGATACCTGCTAATTAAGGCGCTGGAGGAATGGTATTTGTTTTTGGTACTTAAATTCCGTTTAATGGAGGTGCTAAAGGAATTGTATTAAGAGAAGGTGCCTAGGGTATTGTATTAACTTGAGGTGTTTTTAAATGGCTATTTTCATTCAATAAAGGAGCTTATGGAATTGTATTTTTTTAATAGTCATCTTTAGCTCCTTTTTAGGATTATGCTGAAGGAGCTGAAGGTAATTAAGGTGCCTATGGTATTTCTTTGGAATACTATTGTTAACTCGAATCATTATTAGAAAATTGAGATGAAGGACTAAGGAGAAATTTACTGTTTTGCTAATCATAATTTTTATTATTATTTGGTTACTGCGAATGGTTTTCATAATTAGACTCTACTTTTTAAATCTGTATTGAGGGGAGATCTTTGTTCATGTATTTATCATTATCATTTTAAATTTAGTTATAAAAATTGAAATCAAACTATTATGATTAATTATTTGATGAAGAGTTGTTCGGCTTAAAATATTCAGACGAAATTTAGTCTGGTTATTTTTTATAAACTACTTAGTTATCTTCTCCTCTACCTTGAACAGCAAATTTTCTATTTTTTTATTCTGCATCTTTGTCAATACTTTGGAAAAGAAATTAATTATAATCGTTGTTATTAGAGTTTTGATTGTACAAAGAATTTTACTAGTTTTTATTACCACTTTCTGAGGAAAGTTAATAAGAAGGTGAAATATTGTTTTAATTGGCAAAAGTAGGAGAATCTTCAGCATATCGAATGTTGTTTGCATATTCATTCCTTTCAGTTGGAGAGAGCTGATTGTTAGAAAAAGGAGTAACTATTGGGTTAAACTAACGAGATCCAGAATTGTGAATAGAAGGTATATCCCATTTGCTTCTAGTCTTTTAATTTCTATTTGAGTCTTAATCAAACTGAGAACTGCTTCCAAGAGGGTTTATCACTTAATTGTTGTTTTTATTACTTTAAAAATCTTGTGGAGATTAAATCTGTTAATTATATTTTCTATCTTAAAATTCGTTATTTTAAAATTCATTATTTATTTTATTTTGATTATTGCTCAGATTGTTGTTGTAATAAATAGGTTCTTCTTGGTTACTTTGAAAGGCTGAATTAGAAAATGTTTGCTGTTCACTAGAATTATTATTGTTATTGAGAGTATTTTGTTTTTATTTTTATGCGAAGTTATAATTAGATGGAGAATTTACAACATTGCTTTTTATTGGGAATTCACTGTAAAGTTACATTTAGATCCTTTATTTAGCATTTGCTATTGTGTCATCAGCGATTTAGCTGTTATTTATTTGAGATTAATTTTCATAGAGCTTCATAATTTGTCTTGGTGTTTATCTGTCATTAAATTTAAGAAGCTACTCAAGTAGAAGAAACACCCTTTTGGGATATTTCTCTGCAACGAAGTTTATTCTCTCAAAAAAGTTAGTTTCATCAATCCTGTAGCTGTCTTTGCAGTAAATGAGCGAAATTCCATTCGCATTTGGATTAGCACAATTTAACAAATCTAGTAAAAGTGCCCCAAAACTAAAAATATTTGATTATGTATTGTTGATTTCTATATTTTCTAACTTTTTATCAAGACATTCAAGCTCTTCTACTGATAAATAGCAGTTATAATGTTTTTCTTTACCTGACAAAACCATGTCAAAAGAAGACTACATGAAAGGAAAGTAAAGTATTTTTACAAGGTAGCCATCATTAATATTAGCACTCATTTACTTTAAAAATACATTAGAGCTGTGAATGGCTAAAAGAGAAGATTCGATTTTGAACAAGAATTATATCGAGCAAAGAAAACATTTTGTGAGACTATCAATCAAATTTTTATCTATCAAAGTCCTCTTTTTAGCTATTTTAATCAAATTCATATCGTAATATTCAATCAAAATATAAATTCTAACTGATTTCTATTGAAGTTCTTCATAGCTAAATGCCCTGAATTAATTAAAGAAAGGATTTTCATTAATTACCTGTAAAGTTTCTAGCATATTAATTATTTTTGGCGATTAATGATCATAGAAAGTCTCTTAAACACACAAAAACATTTCATTTGTCTTTATATTCTTTTAAATATAAGTCTTACAAACTGACAGTCCATATATCGTCTCATCCCTCACCAATTTATAGTTTTCTCTATAATCCTTTTTATAGTTTATCTTCAGATCTTTAACTGTAGAATTCTCAATCAACTATTCAAATTGCATAATAGAAATAATCTCACTAACTAAATTTACAAAAAGCCAATAAATAAAAACAAACTAAAGAGATCTATGGTAGAGTTATCAAAAGGAAGCTAAAAAAATCAATCTTCGATAAAAGATAATATTTTTAGTACTTTTTGAGCTTTAAATATTAGATAAAATTTTTATAATTTGTGACTTCTGCCAAAAGATTTAAGCTTTTTAAGAAAAGTAATTAGCAAATAATATTACAGATTTTTTTGTTAAAAAATTTGATAAGGATTCAAACTAATTTCAATCAAAAAATAAGTATTTGATATCCAATATTTTACAACTATTGATTTTTGATTTGATTACATAATTATTATGTTAAAAAGATGATAAATAGATGATAAAATCAGTATAGACTTTATTAAGCAAACAACCAATAATGAGAATTCTAATATTTTTATCATACATATTAATTTTCTATTGCAGTCAAGTTGAGTATCTAGACTTCTTGTTTGTAAGTAACAAAAGTTATATTCTTTGGTAAAAAAATAAATTAATTTTCGCTAAAATAAAAATAAAAAATTAAGATTTTTCAATATTTTTTACAAAATATACTATATAATCTTTTATAAGAATTTATTAGGAGTTGGATCGAGTAAATAAATATATTTTGATTTAAAACTTAATTATACAATAAAAAATCAATAAATGAGCTTAATAATCAATAATATATATATTATATTATCACAATTAATCTTTATATAATTCAGGGTTAATTTATTCACCTTTTTCTTAGTAGAATTTTGCTTCTTTCTAATTTCCCATTAGATTATAGGTATTTGCTATCATGAAATAGGAATCAGAATCTTAAGAATTAATTTTTATTGCTTATTGATAACACTATATTGCTTCGTCAAATTACCCCTTTGTGTAAAATATTTATCCTAATTATTTATGAGCATTAATATATTCAGGATTAATTTATATTGTTTTCTAAAGGCATTAAATTGATTCTTCAATATTTCCTTTTTTAATGTAAATTGCTGATAAATTATAATAAGCACCAAAATTTTAAGGATCAATTTTTATAATATCCTCGAAGCATTTTTAAGCTTCTTAGAATTATCCTAAATCAAAATATATTGCTCCTAAATTATTAAGAGCATATATTGATTTAGGTTCTAATTGTTAAACTTTTAAATAGCATTTTCTCGCTTCTTCTACATTCTTCATTTTTTCATAAGTAACACCTAAATTAAAATAAGTATTTGCATCTTAAGGATTTAATTGTATTGCTTTCTAGTAGAACTATTTTGCATTTTCATACTCTCCTAATTTTTCAGAAATAATTCCTAAATTATATACAACGGATTTAAAATTAGGATTTATTTCTAACACTTACAAAAACCAATGTCTTGCTTCTTAAAGCATATTTTATTTAAAATAGTAAAGTCCTAGCCCGTATTATGCTTCAAAATTTTTAGGTTCTATTTATAAAATTTTCATATAAGTTTATTTTTGTTCATCTTACATATTCATATCTTCATATAGATATCCTAACTCTAAAAGACTAAAAACAGACTTAGGATTTATTTCTAAAGCTTTTAAAATACACTCTTTTGCTTTCTGTGGTTTCCCAATTTTTTTATATAAATATCCTAAGGATGTATGAGCATTTTCAAATTAAGGATTAATTTCTAAAGCCTTCAATAAGCAGCTTTTTGACTCCTCTATCATATTCATATTAAAATATACTGCTGCGATCCTATAATATGCTTCAAAATCCTAATTACTAAGCCTTTATATGCTCTCTAAGCAGTATTTAGCTTCATTTATTTAACCTCCACCAGCGTAAATATTAGCCATTTGAAATAATTCTATCGGGTTCTTAATATCAGTTTTTTTAAGTATTTCTAAAGAAGGTAAAAAAACATAAGCAGTTTTATTAAAAAAATACTTTTATTTATAATTAATTTAAAATATAGTTCGTGGAGCAACTAATTTTTTAAATAAACCTAAGATTTTCATCATTTTTTTATAATTTATTAGCTTTTGTTTTATTTATAAATAATTTACTAACTAATGATAAAAAGATTATTATATAAATAGCTTATGAAGATCAAATAAATATTTTAACATATTTTCAAAAAAAATAAAATATCAATTAGTATTTTTAAATAAAAGTATTATTTTCTCACAAAACAAAGGAATAGCTAACTAATATCTTACCTATACATCTTTTTAAATAATTAATATTCATGATCAAATAAACTTTAATTTTTCTACTGTAAACCTCATTTTTAGTGTAAAATGAATTATACTTTAAACAAAAAATCGAAAAGACAAATTAAAAATATATATATTAAATTTGATAAATATTCTTAAGTAATGTACAACATAGTTAAACAATTATAAATAAGTTGATGAAAAATTTCATATTTCACTCTCTTTATTTAACACTAATTAGTTCAAGCTATTTTGTTAATTTATATATTTATTGTAGCTAAAAATATCTAAAATTTAAAAATTATTTTATAAAATTATGTATGTTATTTTTAGAAAAATCTAAAAAAGATCATCTTAAATTTATTAAATATTTCCCTATTTATATTTTTTAATTATCAAAATTTCTGATAGAATTAAAATCAACTATCTATTTTATTTTCTTTTTAGAAAAATCTAGAAAGGATCATCTTAAATTTATTAAATTTGTGTATTTATGTAAATATAACAGACTAATTCTTGAAGTATGTAGATAGAAAAATCAAAAACTTTTTACTCTAATTAATGCATCAAGTCATTAAAGTATGCATGTTAACATGTGGCAAATTAAAAAAATAAAAAAAATTTAAGAAATATCCTAGAAGAAATCTTAGCATAAATAAGATTTTTATTTTAAATAGTTTTAATATGAAGAAAATTTTATATTGAATTTATTTAAAATATGATCTAGTTAGCTAGCTTAGTTTTAGGCTATTATTTTTATTCATAAGCATTTCTTTTAATATTAATAAATTTTAGTTAAACAATAAGTAAATGGTATATGTATGTATGTATTATTCAAACTAAAAATAATTTTTAAAATTCTGAAAGTGTTAAAAATAAATACATATAAATAGAAAGAAAGAAACAAAGAAAGAAATTTACATCGATCTGATAATAGAAAATCAAATTATATTAATTCACATTATAAGATGGAAAAATAAATGCTTAAAAATAAATTTGAATTATTTAATCACTTTTAATAAATATTTTGAGGAATATAACAATTCTTTGGTAATGTAGAGGAGGAGTTTAGCTATTTGTTATTGTTGTTGTTGTTTTACTTATTGTTTATCCTGTATTTAGAATCGTTGAATACCATTTAAGGTTTAGAAGGTTTATTTAGCCAGTTATGTACTTTCTAACTTATTATATTCTTTACTTTTTCTTAATATTTAGCTTTTTTTGCTTTTTCAATACTATTTACAAGTTATTTGTCATCTTATGGATTCAAAAATCTAACACTCTTCTTTGATCTGCTTAAGCTTCTTTAGTTAGGAGATGCAAAACTAACGCTCATTGAAAGGTTTGTCATTTTATTTTGATCAATCTGACTTGGTATTTCCAAATCAGTGTGATTGAGACCTGTAAGAGTATTTTAAGTGGTTTTATTTAGATATTACTAATTATTCAAAGAGGAATTAAAGAAATTATTAGAGGAATTGTAAGGAGACCTCTATCTGTTACTTGCCTAAAGCATTTACTCATTCTTTTTTTAATTTTAGTAAATATTTATGCATTCAGTGATTTTGTTTTACAGTTTCATTTAAGATTCCTTTTCATTTATTTCTTACTGTATTTCATTTATTTTTTTCTTAAACACAACTTGCTCTTTAACTAAATTTTTACTATTTTCGCTACCTACTTAGAAGTCTGCAATACTTCTCACAAGCAGCCTTCCTTTATTCTATGAAAAGCTGACATCGCTTTGATTGTAAGAATTATTTGTATGGTTTAGCTTACTGTTATTATATTCAACATCATTAACCTTTTCTTACAAAGGTTTGTTTTCTAATTTAGTAACTTACGCAGTTGATTTGTTAGCGATATTCTAACTATCAGCTTTTTCTTATAACTAATTTTTAACTGCTTAGTATAATTTGTTTTCTTTAAAATCATACTAATTTTTATCATGATTAGCTTGATCCTTAACATTCTCTAAAAATGTTTACTTTTCTAATTCTTTTGTATCATTTTTACAGCCAATTACATTTTCTTGTTATTGTCCAGAAGGAATATTTCCATTTTCTAATCTATCTGTAAAATTATGTGTTTCTAAAGCAGACCTTGAAGAGTTATTTTAAATATCTTTCAAATAATTATTATAATTTTGTTTACTAATGTTATTGCTTGAATTATTTATTTGATTTTCATGAGATTTTACTTTAAAAGAGTTGTTTCTTTGTGACGAAGATGATGGTGTTTATTATTAAGTGAAAGAGTTTTGTGAGTGCTATTTTTATAAAGTCGATGTTTATTACTTGCTATCCTATTCACTTTAAAGAATATTTTGATAGGTATTTGCATCTTGATTAATAAAATGAGTTTGTTAGTTATTTTGTTTATAAACTTAATTAGAATAATCTGACTTATTAGTAAAGCTGCTACTCAAATTATTGCAGTTGCTATAAATTTAAATTTTACAACTATTATTCTGCTACGATTTACTGTTTAATTGCTCCCTTCCCATAGAATCATTGAGAATTTATGTTTTTCCTTATTTTTCAAAGCTCAATCTTAATTTTTATTTTCCTATTTCATCTACTATTTAATCTTTAATTTATTTCAGCTATTAATGCTTGTTCAGTGAGCGATTAAGGTCATCGTTCAGCATTGTTTTGAGTTCAGAACTAGACCTATTTAAGCTAGCTGTTTTGCTCAAATTGCTATTATTCAACTCGTTCTAATCATTTAAATCTTTAGAATGTGATTTAGATTTTTAATAACTTTTTCTACTTCTATCATAATTTTATTGAGTTCTTTTATTTTGAACTATTTATTGATCTCTCATAAATTTATCTAGTTGATAACCTCTTCTAAATCCATTTATTCCATCATTTTTATTATTACATCCTGCCATAGATCTTATCAAATCTTTATTATCATTAAGCTTTAATTAATCGCTCTAAATATATTTATTCTAGCTATTGTTCAACAATTCTTATCTAATTTATTCTTGACTGTTTTCGTTAGATTGATTTAGCTGTTTTGAAGAATTGATGCTATTTTCCTTATATTCTTTTATTTTTTATTAGACATTAATATAGTATTTAGTAAATTCGTCGTCATTTTTTTCTTTTTTCTATTCAATATTACTTAAATATCTATCGTTTTCTGAATTAATATTTCTATCTCTGAAAGAAAAGTTATGATGATGGTGGTAAGGAGGCAAATTTTAAGCTTACTAGTTTACATTAGTGCCTGAGCTACTTTAAGGAAGAGACTATTAAATTGGCTTTGAATTCTCTTAAAATGGGATAAATTATTTTTTATAATCGGAAGCGATGCTGAAAGAATTTTAATTGTTATGATAAGAAGAGTCATTGACCTTTTTATTATCAGCTATGTGTGAGAAATCTCTAACTAAAGCAGAAATATTAGATTGATCATCTCTAGATGTGGTTTATGTATTTTCTCTATTTTAATCATTATTTCTAAATTACTTGCTTTAATCAATTACATTTTGCTTTCCCTCCTAACTGTGTCTTCTGCTATTATTTATATTTGAAGAAACAAGAGAATTTTCATGAATATTTTGCTATAGCTCTCTATTTTCAAATATATTTTTTTAAGTAGCAAAGTTATTGGATTGCTGATTAAGATAAGGATTTTAATTTAAATTTTCGTATTTGATGGTTTTTTGAAATAGCTGAGTATTTTAATTAATCTAATTAGATTTTAATTAATGCTGTTCATCGTTGTTTGAAATGCGAGGAGTGATTTTATTGCTATCAATATCTTTGTTTTGAGAAAAAGATTTCATAAATTTACTATTATTATTGCTAAAGTCTTCTAACTCGCTTGTGCTTTCTTAAAGATTATGGTTATCTATTTTATCTAGCTGCTCGTGGAGTTCTCCATTATTTTTATTTGCATCTTCGATTCTCTTTTCAAGCTCTGCAAGTCTATTTTTTATGTTATTCTTTATCATAGAAATCTTTTTGTTTCCAACAATAACATTCTTAATTTGCTCCTACTTATCAATATTCTCCTAAGCAGTTGGTAACTTGAAAACAGATTGCTGTTGATTTTTAAATTCCATGTATTCCTTATTCATCAAGCTTTGCTACAGTAAATCAAATTTAGGACTACTTTCTTCAAATTCGCTATTTTATTCATGATTTATCTTCGCTTTGATATCAGAATCCTCTTCTGTTACCTCTTTAATCACACTTCTTTCTCCTACACAATTATTGGATAAGAAATAACCCTTGTTATGTTTGCTAATTTCATATTCATCATTTTAATTTTTATTGTATTTAAAGCCAGTATAGTTCTAATTTATTGATTATTTCTCACTGCTTTCTTAAGTCAATTCTTCTGATGAATTTTAGATTTAGCTCTTAGGTATTAAAAAAAGTGCATTTTTATTGCTGTAGTTGCTATTATCATTTTGAATGTTTTCTTCAACCAAAATTTTGTCTGATTTTGAAAGTTGCTGCTGCTGCTACAATAGAGGATATTATTGTCTTTATCTGGCCTCTCTTAAATTGTAAGGATTTATAACATCTTAGGTAAATTTCTACAGGTCATTTTTATCATCACTAAAAGTTACTTGTTTTGGAGATTTTGTGAAGCTATTGCTTAAGTTTTTTTAAAAATTATCTCTGCCACTGACAGTACTAATTTAGGTAGTCTGGTTTGGACTTTAAAGTAGTAAACTTTTGTAAGAAAGACTAAGCTACTTATTTTCATTCATTTTGTTGTTAGGCGGAGAGTTTATTTAAATATTTTAAAAAGAAACAAAATTATTTTATCCTTTTAACTGCTACTTTTATTAATTAGCTAATTATTAAGTTGCAGTATCAGTGCTTTTCGAAGTATTGTTAAACGATTAAACAGCATAACTCTATGTAGGAGAGAAAATTACGCTATTTTGGCTCTATGCTGATACAAAAGAAAGTTTCATAAAATTATCTTGAAATAATGATGAATAACAGCTATATTATTTTATAATTTCTTCACTTTTAAACAACAAACTACTACCTAATTGCAATGCTTTTAATAATGTTTTTAATTATTTATTTTTGAAAAAATAAATACAAAGATTTAGTTAGCTGATTCAATCACAGATTTTCATAAAAATCTTACTTGAATTCAATTTTACAAATAAACAAAAACCTAGCGAACATTTAAATATTTGCCTAGTTATTATAATTATCTAAATAAAAATAATTTGTTAATTTAATTTTTAAGATATAATCTTTCCAAATTCTTTAAAAATAAAATAAAAAATATTATTAAGTTGACCATTATAATCATTTACTGATTTTATACTTTCATAATTTCTAAATACACAACAAACATATTTTTTACTGAACATAATGAATAGAAATGTATTTACGAGCTACTAACGAAATAATGAATTTAGAAACACAAACAAACTAACTAACTAACTAAAAAATCAATTTATTAATAGATAAGATAAAATTTATCTTTATTGTAAATGAAACATTTTTTAATTAAAATTTATAATATTAGCTATTAAATCCATATCATAGTAACTATAATAATCTGAAGTTTAATTAAAGTTGTAAAATAATTTTCAATTTATTGATACAAATAAATCAATGATTAAATGAATAATTTATTTCTTTAGTTATAATATTTTTAATTTTAAAAAAGAAAAATATAAAATGAAACTTAAATTTTAAACAGTTAATTTGAAATAATTTATTTCTAAAAATTTAAAAAATCTAAATAAGATAATTCTTTAAAAATCAAATATTTAAAGAGTGAAATTGATAGCTTAAAATTTATGTATAACAATATTAAAGAAAAGCAAGAAAATAATAAATTTATTTAAAATTTATTCATAAGCATTAGAAATAACTTGATGATTAAACAAATTATTTTTTATTTTTTTGTTAGAATATTTTTAAAGAGGAGTAAAAAATGAATGATAATTTTTGAAAAAGCCAATAGAAATTATTTCTAAAAATGTTTAAAATCTAATAAGATAGATTTTTTTTATTTAATCATCTATCTATCTAATTATTATATGAAAATGTTTTTATAAATAGCTTTAAAGAAAATATTTTAGTTATTCTTCTAAAATATTTGCAAGGTAAAATTCAGCATAAAACAATAAATTTCATTTTAAGAATGTTTAATTGAGAAGAGTTTAACTAGTATTATTTTTTTATGCTAGAGTAATTTAAATATTAAAAAGAACAAAGATTAAATAAATGAGAGATTTTAAATTGCAATTTAAATTAACTTGCTATTTTTAACACTTAAACACCAAATAGTTAAAATTTAAATTCATTTAAACTTTTAATAAATAAATAATAAGATAGATAGATCATGAGGTTATTATTAAAATGAATTTATTCATTTATTTAATATTTTTTTTAGAACATACAACTAAATTTCGATGAATGTATTAATTAATTAATGAGTTAATAATTAATTCTAACAATTTAAATATTATAATTAGCCGCGGATTTAAAATAATTAAAAATCATTGCTGAAATTAAATTGTTGGTAGAAAATAAATAAATAAACAACACTTCTTTCTTTTTTATATTTGGATACATTTTTTGTTTGTTTGTTTTTGCAGTTTAAGCATTTTTTATCAAACTTTTTCATTCAAAATCTGGGAGTTCTATGCCTAGATAAGTAGCTCTTCTTAAGATATTTTCTTTTCCTTTTTTTAAGGTTTTAAGTAGGTAGATAGTTTGAGATGATTGCTCACTAAAATTGCGTAAGACTTCGTCTTCGTCTTCTTTCCAGAGTAAATTATGGTTTTGAGTTTATAAATAGTCAACAAGTTAATTGAAATCTCCAGATAGCTTGTCTAGAGTGTGGATCAAACTCTTTTTTTGTACATTTTCATAATTAGCTAGGAAGTGAATATAGACATCTAACTCCCTTGCATCTTTATATTCCTACTCACTCAGTTAATTAGATATTTTATGAGCTTAAGCTTGTTGTTATTGCTATTGATTTTACTTGGGCTATGGTTATTGAACTTCCATTTAGTTATTTTAATTCTTTTTATTTCTTGAATCAACTTCATTTACTTAATTTATCTAGCTTTTATTTTTTTAAGTCTTTTTGTATTGAAACTCTTTTTCTTCTTCCTCTTCTAAGTTATTTTGATCTTATTGTTTAATCTTTTGTGCAGGCTCCTTTTAATGATTATCTGGTTTGGTAGATTTGAGTTATTTTTTTCCATTTATAAGAATTTCAGGTACGTTTTCAGGCTTTCTCTTCAAAGGCAATTTTATTTCTTCTTTACTTTTACTTTATTATTGTTCAACAGTCTTTTTTGAAGGATTCTTTTAAGATTTACTTTCGCTACTTGTTGTTTTTAACTGATCCTTTACAACATATGTTTTGTTTCCATGCTCATCTCTCTCTTTTACAAGATATCCTTCAATGGATCTTTTCTCAATAACATATTTTGAAATATTTTAAAAATCAGAAGGATTTAATTCTTAAATGAAATCTCTATAACGACTCCTTATTGAATCTTCTGATCTATGAGATAACTAATTACTTGCAAGCTACTTAAAGACAGTTAATTTCGATTCCGAATTTTAACTAAACTCAAATATAATCTTTAAATCTTCGTATAAGCAATATGGCAGTTTAGTATTAGATGATTTTTCTTTTAATTTAAGATTCAAACCTTTTTGCTCATAACTCTTTATTCCATCTGAAAGCAATCTAAAAATATCAATATTGCTTTCTGTTTCTTTTTGTTTTTTCTAATTCATTAATCTTACTTCTTAAAGTGATAAATTGGTTGATTTTATTTAATAATAAATTTAATTTAATGATTTCAGATTTTTAATAATGATTTCAATCAAGCCCTAATACTACTACTACTATAAATAACAAACAAAAAAGCAATATAACAAATAAATCCTTAATAATAAAAACAAAAATAGATTTTTCATAATGAAATTTAAATATATTTATTATTTATTTTAGACTTATTCATAAAATAATTTTTTTATTTAATTTTTTGATTTAACAATTAAAGTTTGGACATCAATCAAAGCTTTTAAAATAAAAATGAATATTTAAAAAAATATTTATATTTTTTGTAAGTGTGAAGCTGTTCTATTAGCTTTAATGAAAATTTTTTAAAAAGTTTTATTATTTAAAACTTTTCAAACTCTGTTTATAATATCTTAATTTGACTTTTTTATAAAAAAGTGGAAAAACACAAAATATCAAAGTAATTGATTAATTTGAATAGTTAAATAATAATAATTTTAATTATTTAATGTTTTTTGATAAAAAAAATTTTAATTGTTAAATTATTTCAAAACCATCATTTATTAAATTCATGACATTATTTAACTATTAAATGAAAAAAAAAAATATATAAAATAATTAAATGACTGATTTATTTTATTTTTAAAAGGGTTTTTTAGTCAATAAACAAAATTGAGAGAGATATATAGATAGGTAGATTATTTAATTTACTATAATTTAAATTAATAAGAAATAGATAGATAGATAGATATTTAACAAGAATACAATTATAAATGAATCAAATATAAATCAGGATACACATATTTTTTTTATTGTGATTATGATTATTTATTTATTTATGGCGGCGGTTAATATTATATGGAAGTTTTTTTTATTAATAATTTTAAATTAAAGATTTTAAGAATTTAAATCTAAAAATGGAGGATAAATTGTAAAAATATTGTATGAATCAGTCAGTGTATTTATGGCTTTTTATGTGTTTGTTTGTGGTTATGTTTTAGTTGGTTTTGTTGTTATGTGAATTTATTTTATTTAACTAAATTTTGTATTATTCTAAACATTATTAAAATTAACAAAGCTTATTCTTTCAATTATCACTCTCAAAGTTCTTGAAGTACCTGTTAATTAATTAATTTAAAAAAATAGTTAAATAAACATTTATTTTGAAATTAATAAGTTTTATTTACTCTGTGAGCAAAGCTGATTGTCTCTTTACCTTCTTCACTTTAGTCGAATTCTTGTAATACATCAATAAGGTATTTAGTGAAGTTAGTTTTTATATAAGGTCCAACCTAGTTTTTATAGAAGTTACCAATATCAACAAGTAATGTCAAGCAGTTTCTAACGTAATCCTATTCATTTAATTATAAATAAATTTAATTAATTTTTAGCTGATTTCAAATATTGCTAAATTATTACGACAGTAGGATGGAGGTTTTTATCACATGTGAGAGTGATGAATTCAACGAGTTTAGGGCAATGATTAAAGAAGGTAGGGTTTTGTTGAGTATCGTTAATACCATGAAGAACACAAGTGTAGGATTCAATGAGTTTTTCCTTTAATTATTCAGAGTAGTCCTATATGTCTTGTTGGTCAGATCTAGACAATTCAACTGCTGCAGTAAAACCAATGTCAAATATTTTAACAAGGTTTTCAAGGTATGGAAGGGTATTTTCTTTAGTAGCAAGACAAATATCACCTATGCAACTGAAGATATTGAGCTTGACATCTCTATTGAATTGAGGAGATTCAAGGGCAGCAAATAAGTTGTTCAAAATATTAAGTTTGCATGAAAATTGATTATCACAAGCTCTAGCAACATCAGCAATAGTTCCCATGCAAGTTTTGAAGAGTTCTAAATCCTATTATCTCTAAGTCAAGGCGTGCTCAATATAAGGCCAAACCTTGTCTAAATATTTAACAAAGTTAGTACCAATGCATGTAGCGAGAGCACTGACAATATACATACCATCACTATCAACATTCTTAATATTCATAAAATGGTCAACAACTAATTAGAAAACGGTATCTGACATGTTAGGATCGAATTTATCATCTAAAGTTAATAAGCAAGCCTTCATTTATAAAATTATTTCATTAAAAAATTTTAATAATTTTTTTTTAGATAAAATATTTGTTTATTTATTTATTTTTGTATGTGAATAAATTGATTAAATTACATGAAGGGCAGAGAGGATACCAGATTGAATGGCATTTCTTCTTTCAATAGGCTAGATGGCATAAGAATCCTTGAAGAGAGTAAGGAAGAAATTAAGATATTTATAACCGATATTAACAGCACGAGAATAGTGAATGATGTTAAGGGCGGACATGAAAGAAACATCGATAACATTGTAGTTACCAGATCCTAAATCGCTTCTGATAGCTATTTATAATTAAATAAAATATTCTTTCAATAAAATTTCATAAAACTATTTTTATAGTTACCATTTTTTATGAGAGATTCTACGAGGATATCGAAATGTTGAGAAATAAAGTTTTAAGGATACTTATCCAAGTTTTCAGCAAGGAAGCAGAAGAACCAGCAAATTTGTCTTGAAATTGAAGGAATTTACTTGAGGGATTCAACAATAACAGGAAGGTCGTTGCTAATGTTTTATCTCAAAAGGATAGCCTTAGGATGATATTCAGCGATCTTAGAAAGTAATTTGGCACCACTTTCCTATTTAAAAAATAAAATAAAATAAATAAATAAGAGCTTTTCTAATTTGGATTTTTTTGTTCAGATGCTTGCTTGATTGCTTCTTGTGCTTATTGGCAAACAATAGATTAAGTAGTTAAAATTAAATTTATATGTTTACTTAAACTTTAAGGACAGGGTCATTTAAGGTTTTAACGTACTCTGAAAAGGCTTTGGTAATCAAATCTAAGATGACATTTTCACTGATACCTTCCATTAAAGAGCCAAAAGCAAGAATAGCTCCTTGTCTGTAGGTCCATTCAGAGTTAGTAAGGGTGTTAGTGATAAAAGCAGTGAAGGTATTAACAACTGCATCGCCAACACTTTCGACGATGGAACAGAGTGCTTTTTAGGAGGCTTCCTAGATAGCAGATTCAGCTTCAGAGTCATCATCCATGTCATTTTTTAAGAGGTTTTATAAAAGACATTAAACTAATTATTCTTAGACGAGTAAAATGTGGTTGGGGTTTTGAATAGCTTGGACATCAACTCTGTTAACTTAGTGATTCTTTTCATCTCTTTCATGGTACTCATTGGCAAGAGTGCTCCATATTTCCATAGCAGGAATACAGATATCTTCGTCGTTGTGGAGAATAGATCCCTAAGTAGCACTGAAGAATGCACTAACGTATTTGGTGAAATAAATATAGATGGCTTTTACAAAATCACTTGAACGTTGAAGAGCAGCTACTTTAATCTTTTGATCAGGATGCTATAAGGCTGTAATTAACAACTAGGCAGTATAATCTCTGACTTATTCAGCTTCTAAAATATCAGTCATAAATTCGACACAATCTCCCAAAGCAATTATACTGTTTTCTCTGATTTCTAAATCTTGCTCATCAGGAGACAAACCAATTAAAATAGCCATCAAAATCTTTTCTTTGGTAGCTCCAACTAACTTGTTACCTAATTTTCAATTAAATAATGAATAAGAGAATTTGAGAGAATTAATAATAGGAAAATGAAATCTTTAATTTTGAATATTTTTTCTATTTTTAAGCAAGTTATTATTCTCTTTTTAATGTATTTTTTGAATCAAAAAGCTATCTGCTACACAAATGATTCCTAAATTTTATCATCGTTGCTTGCTAGCTGGTAGTAGGCTTGAACTATTTTACTAAATGCTTAAGCATTTACTTAAAGGATTGGATAAAAAAATCTATATCCTGTTTGAAGTTTGCTAGCTAAATATTGTAATTCTATTTCTATTCAAGCTACTTAATTTTGTTATCTTGCTAAATAAGACTTTTTTGACTTGAAATATGAAAATTTAATGAATATTTTTTGTATTTTTGCTTACCTAATCTGAATTCTTTAAGTTTATCGCAAATTTGACCAAGAGTGAGAATAGCAGCCTTTCTAATATCAGTAGTGATAGTTGGTTAAGTGCTGTTAGCCAAATCATCAATAAGATTGAGCCATCTATCTTCAATAACTTCAACAGTAAAGATGGTAGAAATGGCCTAATATTTCAATAAAAATAATTAATGTGAAGCTCACCAAAATAAAATTTTAATGTTTTATTTGTAAAAATGGCTTCCGCTTTTAGCATAATTTGTTAAAATATAATTTTGGCAGTTTGTTTTTTGCTTTTTGGCAAATCTTTGCTGGTGTAATTATTTTCTAAAGGAAGATTTAAATTGGTGCTCATTTTATTAAAATAATTTGTTTGAGTTTTTTATTTAATTAATTTTTCCGCGAAGATCAAAATCAGATCCAAGAAAAATTAAAAAATATAAAGAAATATTTAAAGCTTATGAAAAAATTAGATTTCAAAGATACTAATTTCGAGAAAGTATTTTAAACAGAACAAGAAAATGAATTTTAAGATAAAAACAACCATAAACAGTTTGCTTCGATATTTTCATGTTGGTTTGTTGCTGTTTTGAGCTTCTTCCATATCAAAAACAAAAATATTTTACTGGAAAATTATTTATTGCTTACTATTTATTTATTTGGATGCTAAAGGAAGCGAAAAAAGCAGAAAGATAAAAAGGTGAAGGTTAAGTTTAATCGAATAGACTTACGTTAGCGCAGGCTCTTTATATTGAAGGGAATTTAACGATCATGACTTAAAGAAGAGTGTTTTTAATGCTTTCTCTTAGATTTGAGTCTAAAACATTCCATAAGTACTTTCCCTAGACCTAATTGTTTATATAAAAATGTTATTGGTTAAAAACATAAAACATCTGCAGAAGAATGAAGGTATTAAGGAGAATAAATTAGGCATCATTATCCCTTAGACAAATCTAAAAAGACTAAAATTGAAAAGAAGGTAATAAATTACTTCCAAACGAACTGATCTTTTGATAAGAGTACCAGCAAGTTGTCTTAATTATTCTGAATTGCCTTCGTTATAGAGCTCATTAACGAGATTCTTGAAGAAGCTAGAAGTATCGTTCATGCAGATTATTTCTAATTGCTTTTCAGCCTAAGCTCTGTCAGCGCCACCAGTCATGACGGTATTCAACAATTAGTTGAAGTCACTCATTCTATTCTTTTCCTTTATTTTGTTATGTTTATTTTCTTTCCTATTTCCTTTCCCTAAGTGGGTTTGTTTGTTTGTTTGATTTTATTTACTTTTATTGTTTTTTTTTTGATTTTTTAGTTTTTTGATACTATAATTTTAATTATTATTTAATTTTTCTTTCCCTTTTAAGATAATTTGATTTATTAGCTTCTTTTTTATTTAATTTTTACTAAGTGAGTTCTTTTTTGCTTTTTTTGATATTAATCAAACCACTTTAATTAATCTATTCAATCTTTGCTTTTCAAATCTTTAAGCATGCAAAAAAATAAACTTTCATTCATTCTTACATATAAATAAATAAGCAAGCAAGCAAGTATACAAAATAAACAATTTAATATTTTTTGCTTGCTTGCTTTATTTATTTATTTAATTAATTTTTATCCGCGAGACACATAAAAATTAAGATATTTGAATGAGCGATAAAATCTAAACAAAAAATAAAGCAACCAGATTTTATTCATAGCAAATTTCATTCATTTTAGCAAGCTAGATATCTCTTTATCTAAAAAACATTCATAAATTAATTATTTTTTCTTAGCTTGACTCATATTTATTTCCTTCATTCTTTATAAGCCTGTTTGCTCTTTTGTTGTTTATTGTCTCTTTGAATTATTTATTTTTTTATTATGTTATCTTTTTAAGAATATTAGAAAATTAATTCAGCGGAAAAATTTTGAGACTATCTCAGAAAATGAAGTTCATAATCCGAAAAATAGAGTGTAGACAAAAAAAAGTGCTGCACAAAGACAATAAATTGAATAAAATTAATTGAAAAAGTTCTATTTCTTTTTATTTATTTTTATCTTTTTTTTAATCAAATAATTTCAATTTCCCTCACATGAGCATCTCCTTTTTACATTATGTAAATTCTCATAGACACACACAGACATACTCCATCATTAATATCCAAGAACATCAATTCTTTTTCATTTAATGAATAAATAAAGTTAATTTTTAGAATTTTCTAATTTAAATTTTTATGTATGAAATTAGCAAAAATTAATAATTTATTTTAACACTCTAATTCTCACTTTAAATTAATCTTTTTCAAAATAGCATAATTAATTTGTTAAGCAAGCACCTCTTTTTAAATATCTTAATTAAATTTAGCGTATCTTTTTTATAAATATATTTAAACTTTTAATTACTTCTTTTGTTAGTTATATTAAATAACTGTTAAAATATTAAATTTTCAATCCAGCAAATCTAAGTAATCTTAATAATATTGTTTGTATTCTAATTCTATCATCCTTTTTAAGCTATCAAAATATATTATAAATCAAAGATGGTACAAGATTCATAGAATTCGGATATTTTTGATGAAATATAAACAGTGTTATAGAACAATACCTATAATAAATATTTTTTTCTTCTATCAGGTCCAAAAGCAACCTGTTTTCTTCACCTAAAAATATTTAAATTTAAGAAATCGGATAAAAGATTTTTTACTGATAAAACAAATTTATTTGAGAGAATTAGTAAATATATTAAGTTTATATAATAGAATTTTTATAGTTTTTCTCATAATAATGTATTTTATTTTAAAAAATTAAAAAATATTTTGCTTTCAAATTATTTATCATGCTTACTATGCTCAACTCAAATAAATTTATTTAAATGATTTTATATTTTATGAGACAAATAAAAATATTTGTTTGTTTTATAATGAATTTCACAATCTTATCATTAAGAATAAAAATAAAATATGTTAATAATATTAAAAATTTTTTAACAATGTTAAACTAAAAAATACCATTAAATAATTATTTTCTGTTTTTTGAGTTTAGCCTTACCTTTTATTTATTTTTATTAGATTATTACACTAATTTACTTTTTTCATTTTTCAAATTATTTTAAAATGTAAAATAAAATAATAGGTAAATTTTTTAAATTTTAAAGTGATCCTTTTCAAGTTTCTTAATTCTACAAAATACAATTTTATAATATTCAGGTTATTTGTATTTTTTTTTCAAAGACATTGATTTATAGTCATTTATGATAAAGCTAACTCATAGGTTGTTATAATATATACATTGAAGTAATATATGTATGTATGCATGTATTATTTTTGAGAACGTTTTTGTTAGTGCAGAAATATCTAAAAGCAAGAAATGATATGTATTTATTTGCCAAAAAAACATACCTTATTTTTTATAGATCTTTAAAATAAAAGAAAAAATGTTTAGTTTATTTATTTCACTAAAAAAAATATCAAGTAAAATACAATTTCAAATATTAAAGCACTTCTTTTATATATTTATAAACAGATACAATAATAAACATAAAGGTTAACTTACATAATCATGTAACTTTATATTTTTTATCTGAAAAATATTTTTCAATTAAGTTCTTTTTAGAAAATATAAAAAGATAAAAATGATTTAGTTTAAATTATTGCATCAGATTTAATTTATTCAATTAAATATCTTACAAACTAAGATTTATTATCACTATAATTTTTTTGGGTCTAAAAAAACATGATATTCATTTTTAGTTTTTTAATTTAAACCTTATTTTTTTTGTTTTATTTTACTATTCAGGAGGTCAAAGAAAACCTCTATTTAATTTGTTAGTAGAACTCTTTAGCAGGTAATATAAAGTTATTTTTTTCTATATTTTTATTTTATGAATTGGCACAATAATAGAAAATTATGTAGCCATATATTTTTTATCTGAATATCCTTAAATTGATTTATAAATTAGAAATTATAAAAGACAGAAATGACTTATCTTTAATTATTACCTCAGATTTACTTTATTAAATTAAATATTTTACAAATTTGTATAAAATTTTGCTATTATTTTTGTAAACTAAGCACAAAATATAAAAATATGACATTGGTTATTAATTTTTTTATTTAAATCTGATTTTTTTATTATCCTGTTCAGTAAAAAGAAAGCCCTGTTAAATGTATATTATAGGACAATTTTGCAGGTATTAAAAAAGTAATTTTTTTCTATAATTTAATGAACAGACAGACATAGTAAAAAATATTAAATTTTACTTTGTAAATTATATAATTATATATTTTTTATCTAAAGAATATTAATGCAAATAAAGAAAATATAAAAAGATGAAAATGACTTAGTTATAATTATTGCATCAGATTTAATTTATTCAAATAAAAATTTTATAAACTTGGATGAATTTTTGCTATTATTTTTGTAAACTAAGCACAAAATATAAAAAAATGATATTGGTTATTAAATTTTTGTTTTAAACTTAATTTTTTGCTAAACTGTTCAGTAAAAATAAAATCCTCTTAAATGTGCATAAGAGAAAACTTTTGCAGGTATTAAAAAAGTAATTTTTTTCTATATTTTCATGAACAGACACAATAATAAACATTAAATTTGACTAAGAAAATGATGTAATTACATATTTTTTATCTAAAGAATCTTCATAGAAATAATATAAAAAGATGAAAATGACTTAGTTTTAATTATTGAATCAGATTTAATTTATTCAATTAAATATTTTACAAGTTTGGATCAGCTTTTGCTATTATTTTACAAACAAATAATGAGTTTGAAAATTAATTTTTGAATTTAAAGTTGATTTAATAATTTAACAGAGAAGAAGGAAAATTGCTGTTTATAATGAATAAATGCATAATGGATAGATAGATAGAACTCTTTAGCAAAGAATAGAAAAAGGAAATTTCTCAAAAAATAATTAAGAAATTACTTGAATTTATAGACAAAATTGTATTTTTTAAAAATATTATGACGAATGAAGTTTTGGAATATAATTCGTATTCTGCATCATTTTTCATACATTGTTTAGATATAAATTTCTGTGCTAATAAAATATTATGTATAAATAGCCAATTTATTCTTAAGGTTTTTTAATAATAAATTCTTAAGCATTAAATAAACAAATATTAATAATATTGTAAACTGCAAAAAAGTATATTAAGAAAAAACAAAACATTCAATTAAAAAACATAAAATGATTTAAAGAACACTCAAGTCCATTTTGAGAAATAAGGGGGTTCCTGCTTAACTCCTTTTGATAAAACCTTATCAATTTAATTTTAGCACCGTTAAAACAGAAATGAAGTAATATAAAGCCGATAAAATAATTCGCGATACAAATTCATAAGTCATCTATGATATTTCTAAGAATCAATCTGAATGTTGGAATTGCAATTCTCGCAACTTTTAGTCTAATCTTTTTATTTGTGGTTCTTGCTAGCATTTACAAGACCCATCAGAGAGTATAACTTCAATGAATTATTTCAAGTTATTTGAAATGTAAACAATTATTCATCACTTAAAAACTATTTTTTGCTTTATCTAATTTGATGCTTTTTCTTTGATATTAATTATTTGAGCCTGGATATGGCTTAATTCAACTAATTCTTATTTTTATTCAACAGGAATTTATCATATGAAATCGATCACTAGGAATTAACATTACGCTATAAAGATTTGTAAAAGAGTTTTCACCCTGATAAGTTTTATGGCTTAAGAAACCCTGTAGATTTAATTTTTTCTACTTTGAAAGAATATCCATTATGCATAAAGAAAATTCTTAATAAATATTAAGATACTTTTTCTATTAAATTGTTTTTTTAGTTAGTTAGTTTGTTAATTTCCTTGTTTCTTCCTTTCTTTCTTTATGCATTTGGAATTTATACGCAATTAATTTTAAATACTTTATCTTACATAATTATTTTTAAATCTAGAAAATCATCAAATTTAGTGAAACATATAGCACTTACATCAACGAAGCTTATAGTACACTCAGAGATGATTTAAAGAGAGCTGAATACTTAGTAATATTTATTTTTAAACAAATTACTTTCACTTATCCAAAATTTGCCAAAATAACAAAATTAATTATCCGTTTTTGAATAGATTGACCTACTCACTCATGGCTAAAAAGCAGATCTAGAGAATAAAATCGATGAAAATAAGAATTTTTTGCATGAAATTATGATGGAAAGAATGGAAATCGAAGAATGCGAAACAGAGGAATAGCTTTAAGAAATATAAGAAAGGTTGCTTTGCTAGTAAAAAGAAATAAATTCCAAAATAGATAATTGTTTAAAATAATAAGATTATCAAAAAGCAACTGAATATTTAGTTAGAATGAGATATAATTAGTCTTCTTAATAATCTATTAAATCTAGATGTGAACAAATGATTCACTAAAAATGAGTGCTAAGATAATTTTGTAGCTAAATAAATAAAAAATAAATTTTATCAACTTTCACCTAAAAAGGTTTTATAAATTAATATATTTATAAAGGAATGAAACAATTGGGATAAATGCAAATAATAAACAAAAATCAATCAGCTAAGAAATACTCTATCTATTTAAAAATGAAAATCATTAATCAATTAATTTACTCCAACAATAAAAAATAATAATTATATTAAAATAATATTAACTCACCCAATTTATTTCTCATCCATCTATTAATATTGAATAAACAAATAATGTTTCAAATAATTATCATAATATTAAAATTGCAAAAAAAACAACTATGACATGCAATACAATACAATAAAATAAATAAATAAATAAATAAATAAATAAATGAATAATACTATTTAAAATATATTCCTAAACTTACTTTTTAAGTTAATTAATCACAAATACTTTAACCAATTTTGATAAATACTCCTTATTTAATAAGTCTTTCTTTTTATATTTAGTTTTGTTAGTTCGTATTTATAAAAAACACTTAATATTTGTATAATCAAATCATTTTCCTTGCTTTCTATATAAATCTTATTTAAAATAAATAATTGTCACATACATTAAAGGGTTACTCCTATAGAATACTTCAGAGCAATTTCTAACTAAATTCAAATAAATAGCTTCGATTAAAAAATTCAACTAAATAATTAATCAGTTTATAATCTTTAATTTACAAATATCAAATAAATTAAAACCTTTAAACATAAATAAATAAATAAAAAAACAAAAAAATACTTATTTTTTACCTTATTTTTATAATGATCAAATTATATTGCTTGTTTGTTTATTTATTTGATAATACAAACTTAATAAATAATATTTTTATATAAATTTTTTAATAGAAAAATATTTTGTATGCTGCTAAATTTTTAATTTTAATTTAGCCAGTTAATTATTTCGTAATATTGTTTAATAAAATTTATTTTATTTTAATTAGAACTAAATTTCATTACTAAAAAAATAAAAGTAAAAAATGCCTTCACTCGGGATCGAACCGAGGACCGTAAGATCTTCAGTCTTACGCTCTCCCAGCTGAGCTATAAAGGCTTAACAAAATAAATAATTTTAATTAAATTGTTAGTCATAATTTAATTTTTTTTATGCACTAGAAATATTTAAAATTTAATAAATAAATTTCATATATGTTTAAATTTAATTTAATTTCGATTTTGAAAAAGAAACAGAAACAATATTTTACATTTTTATTCTATCTTTATTTTGAATTTTATATATTTTTTGTAAGTATATTTTGATAGGCTATTTATTTGCAAATAAATAATTCTATTTTAATCAAATATTAAAATATCTTAAAAATTCATAAATCATCGAATGAATGAATGAATAAATAATTTATTCCATTTATCAAAATTTAAAATTTTTACTTGATGAAAAGAGATATTTTTATGCAAACAAGCAAAAAAAATAAATATACAAACAAACAAACTGTGTAATTAAAGCTGGCTATCGCAAATTACTTAAAAAATATATTTACTTAATTTCTTTGACATAGAAATAAATATTTACCTATTTGAATTACAATTAAATTTGCAAAAACAAACAAACAAATAATTTATTTATTTATCAGATATTATTTACATCAAAAAAGTTTTAACACAAACATTTATTCATATATAGGTATGCAAAATAACTCTCAACTCTCATAGCAAAGGCAGGGCTCTGAAAGGGAGTAACCATAGAATAACCTTCCTAGCAATTTCCCTAGGTTTAGTGTCCAAATACCTTCCCCAAGCAAGCAAAACTCAAGTTCAACTAAAATACAAAAAAAGAACGAAAACTTTACAGGTAGACTATTATTCATTCATCATTCAATTTAATTTTTTAGGACAATAAATTATATGAAATATATTATTTAAGGGCAAAAAAGCAAAATTATTTTCATTAATTCTAGGTTTTCTTAATAAAAAAATGGATAGCACAACTACTAAATAGGATGAAGATTCTATCAGCATGATATCGGGAATTCCTTAATGGTAATTTAGCTTGTTAGAATGACAAATAATAATAATATAATTAAATCTAATTAATTTGAAGGGAAGAAAGTTAGTTGAATGAGACTATTAACAAAGAACTTCACAAAGAAAGAAGTTTAGTTTTGCAGTATGTGAATTAAAGTTTAAATGACCACACTAATTACATAAAGGAATTAGGGAAGGAAATCAAAGATTAGCAATATAGAAATAAGGAATTAAATGATAAGTAATCTTTGATGATGAGAAACCAAATATCGGAGATTGAATAGAATTTCCGCTTAGAATTAGAGCAGATGAACCAAAAATTCACTAAAATGATTCACGAGTAAAAACACACTATTGAAAATTAGCTCTATGAAAAAGAGAATAGAATTTATGATTATTGCAACGAATTAGAATAAAGATTGGAGGTGAAAATAACCAGTTTAAATTAAAGGCTTTAATTATAGCTAGATATGAAAGATAACAAGTTAAATGAAGGCCAAGCTCTCAAAAAATTAGACTCTGACATTTAAAACATCAACAATAAAATTTAGCAAATTCAAAAGCTATAAAACCTAGATGATTTGACAGGATTCAACTCTTAGTTAGCCACTTTCTCTTAAGAAATTTAACAAATAAAATAACAGCTTAGAAAAAACAAAGAAGATGTAATTAATTTATTTATGAGTTAATATTTCAATTACTTTTGATAGATTTTTATATTGATATAAGATATTGCAATAGATAAAAATAAGCAAGGAAGCAAAGAAAGAAAGAAAAAAGAATTTATTTTATTCATGACATTGATATTATTTTAAAAATATAGTTAGACTCTAAAATCATAGAAATGAATTAGAATACAGTTCAGTTCCTCAAAAATAGCTTAAATTAGAATTCTAACAACTTAATCAGCAACTAAAATTATAAGGATAAAATATTTGAAGGACAAGTAATTTAATTTAATTGTTTCTTTGTATTTAATAAAACTATTTCAACATGAAATGATTGATATAATTTGAATAGAGACATTTGATGTACATTTATAATTAATATAATTTATTTAGCTATGCAATTACATAAGCAAAGAAACCAACGATAGAAATAAATATTAAATGGCAAAATATGATCTGAATTTTTATATTTATTTTAATTTAAAATATTTAAAGATTGAAGAGATATAAAGATACATAAGTGGGTTTTCTAAAGCTGTCTAAAATAGGCTGAATATTACAAATTAAGACTTAAATTTGTTTTTAGATAGTGATGGAAACGGTAGTTCTTAAAAATAAACTGGCTAGAAAAACCCATTTAGTTTTGGAGGAGGAATCAACATGTAAAATGCCGAGAGAGTTAGCACTTTGGGAACTATGTAAAGTGCTGAGTTTGAAGTGAAAGATAACAATAAAATAATCCTTAAAAAAGATCAGAACAGTTTTCCTTCAACTCCTAATCCTAATTAGCAAAAAAACCCTTCTTATAAATAATAATAATAAGTTAATTACTAAAATTTGAACAACACAGGAAGAATGTCTTACTCTCCTTCCAGACATACTAACTTAAGCAGTAATGATTACTACAATATATTTTAAGAATCGGCTCCAAGCTTACCTTACACTCCATCAACTCATAACGATAGCAGCTATTAATCTCAGCAGTAGTAACAGTAACAAGTTTAAAAGAAAAAGAAGAAAATATTTGGTGAAGATCCTCATCCTTTACCTCCTATTGCCCATAATAATTATTTATAACAGCCACCAGTTAGACAAACTAGAAACATTGACCCTTCTCCAACCAGAAATTAAGTTTCTTCTAAACCAGAACAAAAAGCTATCTTTGACAGTCAAGCACCTTAATCTGAGTAGATGTTGACATAAAAAACAGTAATAAATAAAAATGTTTACTAAAATGAAAATTACCAAAAAAATTATAAAATATTTTTATTTTTTCATTTAAAATTTAAAATTTTCAATTGACTTAAACATTTCTCTTTCATTTTAAAATTAATGAATAAATTTATCATTTTGAATTAGGAATCAGATTAAGTTGAATTTGCAACGATGCCAAACAAAGAGAGTTTCTAAAGCTAGCAAGGATATTATTCTATACCTCAACCTATCTTAGATTCTAAATTATCAGTAAAAGTTAATGAAAATGTGGAAGTATACAACGATAATAATTAAATGAGTGATAGTGATTCAGAAGAAGAATAATCTAATATATCTAATTTCCGTTTAAAAGATACAATGGATTTCATGTAAAGAGAAGTAATCTCCTAAGGACAAACAATTTAAAGCAATTAAATTTCACCATTTTAATAATAATAATAATAACAAATATAGTAATAATTGTATCAAAACTAATATTCGTAGTAGTAATAATAATAAAATATATTGTAACAAGATAAATTACAGACATTTCAGCTTTAATAGTAAAATTTAAATTCAAAAACTTCTCCTGATAGCATGAATAAAAATTAGATAAATCAACAATAACAATACAATACAAATGTATCCAATCAAGTAGTAAATAATACTAACCACAAAAGATTAAATACAATATAGGAATCTGATTAAGAATACTCAAGCAAAAAAGAGGAATCAAAAGTGATAATGAGAGAAGAGTTTACTTAGCCAGTTACTAACAACTATATGATAAATGCAACTGAACCCTAACAGATAAGCCTCAACAAATAACCTAAGCAAAATAGCTATGAAGATTATGAGAGTTTTAAAATAAATATGCCTAAATAAGAGTTAAGATATGATAATGACACTCCTTCTAAAAATAAAACTACACCTAAACATAAAATAACAAATGAAGGATTCAATTTTATGGTTCAAAGTAAGGGTAAATCAAGTTTTACCTAATAAATCTAAGGTCCTTCTAATTTGTAAGGTCTCATTGAAAACGACAACGATTAAAACTTTAAACCAAAGTGTAATAAAAAATTATTTATTCATTTCTTCCTTATACTTTATTATATTTTTAATATTTTAGTAAGCTAATAAATATATTTAATAATCATTTATGATAAAAAAGGGGGATTTGACTCTTAAGTATCAAGGAGTGAGGGAGGAGAAGAAATAGAATATTAGTTAGATGATGATGGATATTTATTAGATGAAAATGGAAAGTTTGTATTAGATGACAATGGATAAAAGATCTAATTAACTTAAGATAACATTAACTTTTTGGCCTAAAATAAAATGATATATGATGTATGATTGATTGATTGATTGAATACACTTTTCATTTAAAATTAATTAATTAATGACTAACTAAATATAACCAAATTAAATTTAATTATTTTCATTTTATATTTTATAAATAATTGTATCTAATTTAATTATTATTTTCTTATTATCTATTTAAAGTAATTAAATATTTTTACTCACATTTTTATTGAGTTTTAAAATAAACAAAAAAATAAAGAAGCTATTCATTTCATTGTTATAAAACCATTTTTTGATTTATTTACTAAAAATAGTAATTGCACCAAAACAAAAAAAAATTATTGAGTTGATTTAAATAAATAGTAATTTAGTCATACCAGCTTACTTAAAAAGGAAATATATATATTCATTACTAGCATATGAACGAAATGTTTATGTTTGTTTTTAAATATTAGAATTGAGAATGCTAAGTAAGGAAGTAGGTAGGTAGGTAAATAGTTAGATAGGAATTAATCAATCAATCGATCAGATATCTTACCATAGTTAGTATCAATAAATCACATACAAATAATCGTTATATCACTTATTTACTAAATTATAAAATACTTTAAATAAAATTTTTGAGCAGATTAATTTATTTGTTTATTTATTAATAACATTTATCATCATAATCAATAATTAATTAAGGCTTAAAAATCTTAATTTCAGTTTAAAGAAGTTTTTGACTATAATCGAATTGTAAAGCATACCATCCATAAATATTTATTTACTTATTTATTAACAGATTATAGAAAAACTTAAAGAAATTGATTAAGTTAAAATAGATAGATAGATAGATAGATAGATTGATTGATATTAGATTTTATTTGTAAAATTTCTCACATAGAATCAAGCTAGTGACCAAGCATAACCTTATGTGCTTGAGCCCAATTACCTTGAGAGTGCATCCAAAGGAAATCGGAAGAGTTCTTTGCAACATTATCGGCAAGCCAGAAATCGTTTTGAAGGTAATAGTGACACATAACTCTGAAGTCATCGAGAGGTAAGCCTCTCATTTCGTGGGAATATCCAAGAGGGAAGTCAATAGAATCAGGGCCGAAAATGTGCTTATGGAAATTTTTAACGCTGGAAGCACAAAGGACAAAACCGTTTTTAAATTTGTGACCATCAAAGTTCAAGAAAGCTCTGGGGACTGTCAAGTGATAAGGAGGAACAGTGGATCTTAACTATGTATCAGTAGCATATCTGAAAGAGGGATAGATAGAACGCTTATACATGAAATTATAGCCATCAATTACTTTTAAAACACAGAATTTATCCTAGTTACGGATTTGTTCGAGGACTTCGTACAAAGCATTAGTAGCAAAGAATTCGTTTTCGAGACCGTAATCGATTATATCAAGGACTGTAAGGGGATTAGTTAACTTTTCTTTTAGTCTGACTCTGAAGTCTTTGTTTGTTTCACCATCAATAATATTTTCTTCTTCTGTCAAGAACTTTTTGTGTTCTTCGAAGTTAACCTTTCTGTCTTTGTAATAGAGATCAGGGACAGCATCACATTCCTTATCGTGTTAGCCAGACAAATTGTAGAAACCATAAATATCCATATTAACTGGGATCTACTTTAATAAATCGCTGTTGGCGTGCTTGAAAGATTTCATCCAATCTTAAGCTAATTCGTTTTAAATATAAAGACCTGTCTTAGGATGTCTGACGAACTTCCATTCCTTTTAAGTCCAGTTAAAAGCACTTGGAACATTAAGTACAATCCATTTCTTGTAATGAGCCCACATTGTGACATAGAGTAAAGTACCACTCTTGCCTTTTTATATAAATAATATTTTTAATAACACATATGAGTAATTAGAATATTGTTTGGTAATTACCAGAACCACTATCACCGTATAAGAGAGCGCCAGAGTTGAATCCAATAAACTTTCTCAAAGAGTACTTTTTAATGTTTCTGGGAATCCATCTAGGTTCCTTACAGTATTTAATTAAATCAATTTCATGTTCAGTGCAATCCTTGATGCTAATTTAGAATTTCTCTTTGAGTTACATAAAAAACATTTAGTTAAAAATTGATTGTTTAAAACAAACAAATTTTACAAATATCTTCAAGGAATTATTTATATTGTTAAGGGTTGGAGAATTCAGGATGAGCTCTTTCATTAATTTATTTGAAGATCTATTCGAAGAGTTGATTGAAGACCTTCTTGCCAGTGAATTAGGGATTATCGATCTATTCTTATTACTTTAAAAAGAGAGGAAGAAGGGCATTAGGATTTTCGCCCAATTCTCTCAAAACAACATTAATAGTTAAATCAAATAAACTAGGTAAGCAGAAAAGTCTTTCGAAAAGAGTGTTATTTCTATAAGCTTCCAATTCTTCAATAGCAGCTTTGGCTTTAATAATTTAGGTAATTTTTAAAAATAAGTTAATAAATAAATACATTTTATTGAAATATTTTTTGTTGCAAATAAATAAATAAATTAATTGTACTTACCTAAATCGTGGAAAAGACAGGGATAAACGTCTTCATCTTCAATAATCTTTTCTTTAATTTTTTCAGTGGGATATCTCTTGAATAAGTTAATATAATTTAAAGGAGTTTCCTTATTATCTTAAATATGTTGCAAGTGATTAACAATCTTAGCTCCCTAATTTTTTCATTCATAATTAAAATAATTTAATTATAAAATATTATGAATGTTGTTAAATTAATTAATTAATTAATTAATTAATTAATTATTTCTAATAAGTTTTGTTTTTGGCAAGTAGACGAAAGCGTGTGTGTTTATAATGCATATTTCATTTAGGAATTTATTTAAATAGCTCGTAAAGATGATAGATACTTAAGAGAAGATTTTAAAAATACATTTTAAATTGCTATTCTATGTTGCACGATTTTATGCATGCATGCATGATTGCTTGCTTGATAAATAAATCAGAGTTTATTTTAAAGATTTTGATTTTATTAATTAAAAAAGATATTTTAAGATTATTCAATTTTAACTAAATAACTATTTTTATAGTGAATTGATTTTTGAGACGAACTGGATAAATTTGTTTGGATTTAACTAAATTGATAATTGTGTAAGTTATTTTAATTGGTTTTTTCATTGTATGTGCTTGTGAGCTTTAAAGTTTATTAACTATTTCTACTGTTGCCTATCTAGAAAAAAATATTTTTGTTATTTTTACTTCTTCTGAAATCATAACACCGAACTTTCTAGTACGATAGAACTCAACTTCGAAGTATTCACCGAACATTTGGTTGTTGAGGAAATATTTTTGAATGTCAGTTGCAGGGAACATTGTGTATTTGCCAACATCTTCGAAATCATGATCGCCGATGGGAACGAATGAGTAGACATTCAATTCAGGCAAATCATGATGTCTCATGGAATCTTCCTATTTCTTGTAGTCATCAAGTTTGGAGAATTAATTGGCTAAATCTTTTATGCGACGACGAGTATAAGCGCGGATTAAATCTTATTTAAGTTCTTCGCTCTTAATTTCTTGGAATTACTTCTATAACATGCTGATTTCAATAGATTGCTCCATTTGAGGGAGAATTTGCTTAGTGTAAGTTCTGAATTATTCAATAGGAGGCATTCTTTTATGAGTTGAAGAATCATCTTTTAATCTTCTGTTGGGAATAGTGGTTTTCTTTGCCAAAACTCTGAATTTTTCCTCCTTTGTGGCTCCCAAATTTTTGCCAACTCTTTTAATTGTTTCTATGAATCCGATCTTCATTTCTAATTTAAATTTTGCTTTTCTATTATAAATTCTGTGTCTCTCCTATTTGTTATCTTTTAATACTCAAGCAAAGAGGATATTGATAATAAATGTTTGTATGTAAAGATTCTATTTAATATACTCTATCTTTTTAAAAGATCATTGATTTATTCTTTTCTCTCTTCTCCTTATTTGATTTAGTTTAATTTCTCTATCGATCTACATTTAATCTTAATTACCAAGCTAGCTAGGCAGACTATTTCAAAGACTTGCATTTATATTAACAAATATACATATATTTACATACTTACCTTCTTCAATAATTAACACTTCTATTAATTAATGAGTACTCTCATTCATTTCTTATCAAATTAATACATCTTAATCTCAAAATTCACTTTAGCACATTCATTAAAAAATTCATTCACTTAAAAATTTTATTCATTTTTACAAAGAAATTCAAATTAAAAAATTCTAAAGTCCTCCATTTTATTATATTTTTATTTAAGGTAAAAATTAAAGAGTTAATTTTTAACTTTTTAAATATTGCTTATAAAAAAATTATTCATAAATTTATTTCCTTCTTCCTAATTTCTAATTTAATTTTTAATCATAATCCTAATTATTCAAACACTTTTTAAAATGGCAAAAAAAATTCATTATTAGCTTAAATTCACTTATGTTAATTAGCAAATAAATAATAAATAAATATATTTTTAAAATTATTTTACTTAGTAATGCTTTGTTAACCTCAAACAAGGATGAGTTTTACAATAAGACATGATTAATTTGCAAGTATCTTTTGATAAAATCAGATAAATTAAATTGTATATGTATGTATAAATGTGTTTATCTGCTTTTTATTATTTTCTAAGAGTTTTCAAGATAAATTTTTAATATGTTTTATAGAAACCTTGATTTTATCTTGAAAATTAAAATATTATTTTAAATAGAAATTTAGAAATGACATTTACTTAATTAAATTAATAAATTATTTAATTTATTTTATCAGTGATTATAATTATCTTAATTCAATATAAACTTATTTCTATACTTTCTAAGAAAATATTAAAGAAAGTTTTATTTTTAATTTAAGAATAATAAAATATTGAGAAAAAGTCATTAAGCTTAATTTAACTAAAATTTTAAGTAATTTATAAGAAAGGATAAAATACATATTTAATAAAAAGTTATAATACAAATTTTAAAATATAAATATTATCACTAAACTAGAATATATGATCTAGATAGATATATAGGCTGGAGATAGGTAGGAATCTATAGATATGGGAAAGAAAGTAAACAACCATCAAAGTATCAAAAATTATTTATTAATTTATAATTAGAATTTAAAACTCTTTATATATATTATTTATTTTGATGTATGTGAATTACACTATTTTTTGTATTTCCAATAATTAATTTTATTTATTTATTTGTTAATTTGGTTAATTTATTTATTATTTTTTAAATAATAAATTATATAATTTTATTATGATTTTATTAATTAGTTGAAAATTATATTATTTTATTATTTTATTTTGATTATTAATATAATTGTTAAGTATTTTGGGCGCTGTTAAATTAAACTTAACTATGTAATAAATAGATAGAATATTCAAATTTTTATTTTACTTGGTTATTATTATTTTTTTTTAATTCATTATTAAGGAAAATTATTATTTATTTCTACTTTTATCATTTGTTTGCTTGCTAAGTTTACTAGATAAAATTAGCACATAATTTACATTCTAGATGACTTCTTTGATATTTTGAATTAAAAGTACATACTTACTCTATTAAAATGAGATATCTAATAGGTGAATTAATTTAATTATTTACATGCGAAGAGATAATTTAAATGTTTTCTCAAAGAAATGTGTCTGATTTTTTATTTAATTTTTAACCTTACTTTGAATGAAAATTTTTTTGATTTAAATTAAAAGTATTTACTTATTTATTTATTAAGCACCATTTTAATTTTTTATTCATTTTATGATAAAAGATTTTTAATAAGATTTAATTATTATTTATTATTTAGAGGTAGTTTTGAGTTGAATAAATTTTGTAACTTTTTTTATTTATTTTTGAGGTTATTATTTGATGATAATTATTGTGGTTATTATTGTTGGAAAGAGTAGTATTTAAATTCCATTTTATTTACAAATATTATCTTTGAGTCTTTGAAAGTATAATCAAATAGAAAGCTGTTTTATATTATATATCAATATTTTATTGTTATATTTAATAATATAGATTTTTATCTATTTTAGTTAATTAGTAAGTAGATGGTAGGAAGGTAGGTTGGTTGGTAGATGTATCAAACAAAAATTTTACTATTTCATGCGCTTATTGTGTTGAAATACTCTTAAAAAGCTTGAAATTCTTCTTCTTTAATATTAATTTCCCAGTTTATTGTAGACAAAAATTATAATTCCATTTCTTATAAATCTTTAACAGGTATGTTTACTCCTCTAGAGTAGGCGTAGAGTGATAATATATAATCACTATATTATTTTTCTATAAGCATAATGGCGCAGGCAATCAATCTATTTTAAATAAAAAATTCTATTAGTAAAATTATTTGAAATAGAATATCAATTTGTATGCAAATAAATTCTTTTAATTAGAAATCTAATCAATTTTATAGTTTTTGATTTCACCAATAATTTTATGAGAGTAATCAATATCCTTTACAATTATGCGTGTTACATGAAATTTTTAGTAAATATTAATTTCTATGTAGGTATTTATAAATGTGCTGAGTTATTATGTTTAATTTTGTTGGCTTTTAACTGAAGTGATATTTAATATTGATGATAAAAATTATAAATCATCTATAGTAGTAATTATAAATGAACAAATTGCTTGGCTATTTTATGTGGGGGACTTATTTGAATTAGTATTAAGTTGTAAAATCTTATTTGCTTAGCTTAATTTTTTGAAAATTTGTTTTTCTATTTATAATTTTTAAATTAATCAAAGTATATATCAATCAATCAATCTATTAATATTTATTAATCTTTAATAATATATCTGTTTATAATTTTTAAGACTAGTTCAGCACTCACAACAATCAAATCAGAAGAAGAAAAATTAAAAAGTAAAGCAACTTTTTCTTCGTAATAGAGGAAGTATTTAAAAATAGTTTTCATGCTAAAATTTAAAAATAATATATTTAATTGATTGTTTCTATTTAAGATTTATTTAGTTGTAAACGTCGTGTTAAAGTTGTAAAATAACTTATAGAAATTGTTATGCCGCAATAATCATATGTCTGTTTTTAATTAATGACATAACAAAGAAAAGTGACTCGCTATATGAGTACGGCGAAGTGAAAATTTTTAGTATTATTTTTTAATAGTAAATTAGAAATCTATTTGGAAGCATGAATTATTACTTAATTTGATAATTTCGTGTGTAAAAACTATAGCAAATGAGTAAATAAATCACAAACAAACAAACAAACCAATTTGCTGGTTAAAAAATTTTGTATCTGCATACAATAAGTTAGTTATAACTTTATTTGTTTGTTTGCTTGATTGTTTGTTTGTGTGTTTATTATTTGGTTAGTTTTGGAAAGCTGGTTGTTTAGATCCTATTATAAAATTTCTATGAAAGCATCTATTATGTGCATTCATTAAAGACACTCAGCAGAGAAATTAAGAAAGAAAGAAAGAAGTCAATAAATAAAATATTGATTATTCTTTTTAGTTGTAAAATTGCAGACTTCTTTAGACAAAATGCCTTCTAAAAGAAGAATTTATTTGAGTATGAATTAACTATTTTTGTTTTTATATAACTGATCTATGATTTATGTTGCATAAAAAATTAAGATAAATGTGTAAAAAGTACCTTTAGCAGTTGTTTTCTGTGAATTAAATTGAAGAAAGGCTCAAATACTTTAAAATGAGCAAAAATGCTGCTACGAAATACTCATCTGGGCATTTCAAATTACTTTATATTTTGTATAGAAATTCTTTAATAGAGACTAAATTATTCTATGTGTATATATCTTATTAGGTTAATTTTAATTTTTGTAAATCTTCTTCCAAGTCAAATACAATCATCTTGTGTTTCTAAAAGTTGTAATGTGGAATCGCAGAGGAATTTTCCTGAATCTTCTCAAGGATTGCGGAGATCTTGCATATTGTGAGGTTCTTCACTTTTGGTCTCTATTGAATTAAATGAGAGAATAATTTAAAAAATGAAAAATGAATGATAATGAATTAATGAATGAATGATGATTATAAGTTGCAGTGAAAAGAATCAAATGCAACAAACAATCAGAAATAAAATAAATATTTTCTGATCAATGATTTACTTTTCTTTGAAATTAAGAACTGAAGGATAAATTTGGAGCTGAACAAGTGGATAACTATATTTGTTAACATAAAGTATGAGAAATGAATGAATGAATGTAATGCATATGTAGAATAATCAAATTATGTATAATTTGTTTGATTATTTGTTTAATATTAAGAATAATAAATTTGAAATAAGTAAATTAATTAATTGATTAGTAAGTACATATGTTTTCATTTGCAGATTTAATTATGCAGTTGAAAGAAGAAGAAAAATATTTATCTTAATTTTTTGCTTTAATTTTTTAACTAAAAGAATTAATTAAATTCAATGTAAAATATTTAGGCTCTTTTTCCTTTTTTATTATTTTTTTGTTTGCTTTTTTGTTTTTTTTTTTTAATAATTTTTTATTTATTTTTTTATTTCCCTATTTTTAAATTATTGGTTTTTTCAATCTTTTCTCTAGCCTTTTCTCAGTTATTTTTAACATTATCTAGTACTTATTATTTATAATATCTATTTTCACACATATAAATAAACATACAAAAACATAACATATCTTCAAAAATTATCTATATTAACTAACTAAATAGCCATTGTCCAAACTTATATACCGAATCCAATCTAAACATCAACCAAATAATTAATTCATCAATCTATTTTACAAAATTATCATAGTTTTAAATTAACAACCACGCAACTTATTTGAGCGTTTTCTCTGTTTTTATTTTATTTGTCTATTTATTTTTTTTTATGATATGATAAATTGATAATTCCTCTTACGTTTCAAGTAAAGGAATCATTTAATTTTTGCATTTATTTTACGCTTTTCTATTTTAGGAAGCTAATTTTCCCTATCCCCTTTTATTTGCCACCTTAGTAAACTGATCAAGTGCTTAAGTTAAGCAATAAAGATTATTTTATAAATTAATTAATTCTAATATTTTGTCAACTCTCTGTAATTTCTCTAATAATATGCGATAGATAGATAGATATATAGATAGATAGATATTGTGTGTGGAAAACAATTGTTAATTTTTTAAATTAGCTATACAATTTTTATGTAAAACTTAATTTAGACTAAATAAAATTAATTATGTTGCTTGCTAGTTAGTTTTATACCTGATTTCCTAAAAATATTTAAATTTCATTTCGTATGAATAATTAAGATAATAATACAGTTGAATAAAAGTTAAACTAAATTGTATTTATTAATCAATCTATTAACTAAAATTTGTTTGTTTCAGTTTAATCCTACTAATATATTATTATAAAAAATTCTTTCCTTAATCAAAAAGATTATATATAAAATCTTAAGTAAATCAGATTAAAGTTTCTAATTAAACACTTGTCAGAATTAAAATTTTAATATTAAAATAGATAGTCTATTATCAATCAAAATAAATGCTCCTCATTTTTAATAAAAACACATATATAATCTTTTAAGATTATATTAGAATATTTAATTTATTATTTATTTGCTTGCTTTTAAAATTTTTTATGTCTACTTTTCCTCTCAATTTAATTTGATTTTAGCTATTTAATATTAAATGTGTGTTCTTTAACTTTAATTTTGGCTATTTGATCATAGATAATACTGTAAATCTAATATTGGCAACCTTTATTAATTTCTCACTTTTTAGTCTAATTTATGCTAAGAGTGCGTTTAAAAATATTTAATTGTGTTATTAGTTTTTCTACTATCAAAAATTTTAATGTAGTTGATAAGGTAATAGGTTATTATATATATGGAAGGAATGTATTGATTGTGAATCCTAATTAATTAAAACAAGATTTTAAAGAGGTAAAAATTTTTTTTTTCAAAATAGTTAATTTCATTTAAAAATAACTTAGTAAATTAAATGTCTTAATATATTAGAGAATATGGTATTCAAATTTAACATTTTATTGGATTATTATTATTTTATTGTTTGAAATTAATTTTTTGTTAATACAATTTTAAATACAAATTTATTATCATTCATTATTAATAAATAAAAATATTTAAAATTATGAAATTATTATGATTGAGTAATACATAAATAAATAAATAAATAAATAAATAAATAGATATTGATTTATTTGTTCTTTGTTTAAAGTTAATTAATTGATAAAAACACTATAAAAATAGAAACTTTAGAAAAATTCTATATAAATATTAATTATTTAAAATTTACAAATAAAAATCTAAATATTTCCTTAAAGATCATCTAGATATTTTAGATGCAAAGAGTATAATTATATATTTTTATTTAATTATTTTTTATGTATAAAATTGAATAAATACATTTTTATTTAATTATTAGACAGACAATCAAACACCAATAAGTTTATATAGATAGATATATAAAAATATTTTTAATGAATTTTTAAAATTGAGTAAAGTAACTTAATAGAAAATTATATAAATATACAGAGCGATTGATATATAGATTATTTTGTTCATATTGTTATAAATTTCAATAGTATTTTTTAGATATCATCCAAATAAAATTTAGTTTATGCTTTATATTTTCAAGTTGATAACTTGCTGTTTGTAGTCACTAAATACTAGGTCTATCTCTTTTTATTTTAAATCTCCTTGTAATTGGTTGATATTCTAAAATTAATTTTTTAAATCTTCTAGGTGCTTTACTCTTAATTAAAATCCAATTTTTCTGACTAACTTTTCATTTTGTATCATCGATTCAATGATCTCTAAGGAGGAGATATCATTTGGCCTATTAAGCAGATTTCCGAATTTATTGATAGAAGTTTTGAGATTATTGATTTCATCATATATTTGTTTCTTTGTTGTGAGAAATTCTTTCATAAGCCCTAGTAGAATTTAATCGCTTTGAAGACTGTCTGATTCAGTTTGGCAATACATTTTTCTAAGATCATCAACAGTAACCACTTTAGTAACTAAGCTATATTCGATTTTGTATTGCTTGTTTTAATGTTATTCCCAGGTACATCTTTAAGGACATACTGTGCAGAATTCTTCTTGCATGGCTATGCAGTCAGATTTTTCGTTTGTGTATGTGCAGTTTTCATGGCAAGTTATGTTACATAACATACAAACAGTGTTGCTATACTTAGTCTGGACTCTATTTATGGTTTCTTGAGTTATTGTTATATGGTAGTTTTTGTTCATATTGATTTAGTCTTTGTTTTTGAGAATAAATTCCATTTGTCTCATTTGTGATTCTAGTTTATTCAGATTATTCTCTATCCTTGGTCTGATTATGTTCACTTAGTGTTCTATTTTTCTCTTTTACAGTTCTTCATAGGTGAGCTCTTTTATCTTTTTAGAAGGGTAAAGCACCTTTTCTAAGTGCTGGCTTCTGTATAACTGCTATTCACACTGTAGCTGTAGCTAGTCTTTTTTGATTACATTATTTTCTAAATTCAATTTTTTAGAGTTCATGTTTGATGTGCTGTTTTACTAATTAGAAGAAACTGGGGTTAAAATAACGTATTTGAAATAATCTTTATCATTTATAAATTTTTTTTGAAGAGTATCGGATGAAGATTTGTATTCATCTTCTTCATAGTATTCCTTATTAACATTTAGGTTAGAGAAAAGTTATTTTTTAGCATCTTAGTCATCAATTTTTTTGACTTTCTCTATTTCGATCTCAAGATTTCTAGCATACATTTTCTGCTCTAAGAGCTGCTTTTTAAGATTCTCGATTTCTTAGTTTTTTATTTCTAGCTAGAAGAGTGCATCTTTAGAAAATTGGTATAACTTTTATTGTTCAGGCTTCAAGTAAATAGTATTCGAGACTTGGTCTAAAATATCAATAACTTTAAAGTTGTTTTCAAAGCTTTTTTCTATTTGAATACCATCTCTATCAATAAATAGATAGTCACCTTAGTTTAATTATTCTCTAAAGCAACCAAGATTTAAATTTATATCTACTTATACTTGAGACAAATATCCTTCACAGTCAACGTTAATTATAGTACTCATGTAATAAATATATTTGTTAATGCAAAATTTTAGCTAATTTCTCTTTGTTTCGAAGTTGATTTGTTTGTCACAATATCTTTTGAAGAAATATTAATTATTAAGCTCAATTAGTGAAAATTTTATTGCCCATTATGTTCTTACATCAGGGTAGCTAATTAAATATCGGATAGCTCCTTATAAAAATTAAATTTTGATTAAAAGAATGTTTTATCAGAATTAAAAAGAATATTTTAAATTAAATTAAAACCTTGATCAAATATAATAATTAGTAATTTAATTTTCAAAAATTTTTTAAATAAAAAATGAAGAGCCAAAAGAAGAAGAAGTAATAATTTATTTATAGAATAAATAAATAATCACTTAATTAAAAAATTTATTTCAAATAATGAATGAATATTTAATATATTATAAAGTAGTTATAATGAAATTCCCATAAATAAATGGCTATCTCATTCATTTTACAAAACCTTCAAAACTAAGCTTGATGTAATTTTTTTGTCTATTTTTCATTTTTAAAAATTAAATTTACCTAGAGTAAAATTAATTGCATTTTAAATGTGTTTTTTTTCTTTCTATTCTAGCCTAAAGAAATTAACTTACACTTTTTTATATGATTTTCTAATCGATGAAAATAATATAATGATTATTTTTTAACAAGTATTGATTTTTCAAATAAAATATTTTATAAAAATTATTATTTTTACCTAAAAGGCTTTGAAAAAATTTTAAATATTAGAAGTATTATAATAATATAAAAATAAATATAATACAATCTTAAATTGCTTGTTTGCTTACTTTTTAAAAGTGGTTTAATTATTAAGAATTATATATTATCAAAAGAAAAGAATCAAAGATTAATGTAAAATAAACTAACTAATTATTATTTACTTAGAAAAAATATTAAATTTTGTCAAAGTTACTTATATTTTTGATTGCTATTTCAATTCTTAAAATATCAAACAACTTACCAAAAAAATAAATATTAACAATTATCTTATTAATTAATTTAGTAAGGTAATATATATATCTATCTATATCCTTTCTTTAGAAATAGAAATAATTAATTAATAAATTTAAAAAATATAATGGAGCTATAATTAATCTTGATATTAGTTTCAATTTTACTCTTCTAAACTATCATATTTAACATATTCGATTAAAATAAATACATCCCTTACTTACTTACTTACTTTTACCTTTATTTTTGGCCTTGCTAGAAAATAGTTTATTTATTCAGATTTTATTTATTTTTCTAAATAAAATTGAGATATTTATGACAAATTTATGAATTTGCTTTTAATCTAACAGACATTTAAAAAATCTAAAAACTAAATACTTACTACACATTTATTAATATTAAATTTTAGATATTTTTTTTAAAAAAAGTTTATTAATTAGTATTTAATTGAGAAATCTTACCAATATTTATTTATCGATAAAATTTATTTAATTTTTTAGCATACTATAGGAGTTAAGAATTGATAATTTAAAAAAATAGTTATTAAATTATACAAGCTTAATGAGTGATGGATAAAATAATAAATATATTCACATAATTAGATATTAATTTCTTGTTATAAATCACTATTAGTAGTATTTTTAGAAAATTTTAATAAAAAAACAACAATCATAAATTTAAAATGATAATAAATGAAATAAACAATTCTGATAATTCTAAATAATACTTAAAGATTTGTTTGTTTGATATTAAAAATTTTAACAGACTAAAATAATTTTTATTTTAATAATTAATTTAGATAGTAAAAATTGTATTAAATTAATTGATTTTTTATTCTATATTTTATTATAAAATTTAAAATTACAAAATAATTTAAAATATGTTGAACTAATTTAATAAATAAATAAATTATTTCATATATGTAGCTTTTAATGATATGATTGATAGCCGCCTTATTTTAGAAGGATTATAAAATTAATTTCTAAAAAAATTAAAAGCGTAAATAATTATTATTTGAAATTTTTCTCCTTATAAGATCAATTATCTAAAAGAAGAAAATAACAATCATATCATCTTTATGGTAAAATATACCATCCCCTTAGATATGGTGACTCTCTTTAAGGTAGCTTTAATATTAAGGTGGAAAAAAATTAAAAAATAAATAAATTTATTTATTTTATTATTTTTTTTTTTTACTTATAATGAGTATAGTTTAAAGAGGATATGATATTTGTTAATTTAATATAAAAATAAGAAGGTTAAAAATACAATTTTGTTTGATTAATAGAAGGAGTACTTAATTCAGATGTTGAAAATTGATAGATATATTTTTGAAAAAAAAAATAGCTCAAAAGTTTGTAGATCTAAAAAATGTTTTTTAAGCTCCCCTTTAAAAAAAATTTTATATTTTCTTAAGATTTTATTAAGAAATAATAAAGTTATCATCAAGAAATCAAAATAAATAGAAAAATTTATTAATAATCTGATTTTAATCTTTATTTTTGTTAAATATAAAAAATGAAAAAATTTATTTATAATTACAGCAAAAGATCTAAATTATGATACTCTAATTTCTCTTTAATTAATTTTGATTTTTAAAATTTATAAAAATGTTTTTTAAAGCTAATTTAAAATTGGAAGGAAAATAGGAATAAAAGCATATTATTTTGTCTTATATAAATTAAAATTGAAAAAAAACATGAATTTTTAGATTTTACTTAGGTGAATAAATAAATATTATTTAAATAAGCAAACATATAGTTAATATATTTGTATTTAATTAAATGCAAGAAACATAATATTTAGATAATTACTTACTTGAATATAAATTTTCTTATTATTTTCTTACTATTTAACTAAAGTAATCTTTTTTATTATTTATATTTTGTAACTTTAAAATCAATAGAATCAGATTACTTTTTTAAGGATTTTAATCTTATTTGCTTTTGATTTAAATAAATTATTAATCTTTAAGTTATATTTTATTTTAATTTTTTTCTATTTTATTAATTTTAGATTTATTAAATTAAAAAATTTGAAATATTGTCTACTTTAAAGTATTTAATTGATTTGCTAACAACTTTTACAAAAAAAAATATCATATCTTAAGAAAATAAATAAGTATTCAATTACAACCCAAAATCAATATAATTATTATTTAGGCACTGAAAATGGCCAAAAATAAGAAAGAATCTTTTTAATTAATTACTACTACTTTGTTTAGATTTAATATTTTATTTAGGTATTTATTTGATTATTATTTATTAAAAATAAACAAATTTTACGTTGTTAAGTAAATAAATATTTATTTAATTATAATTTAAAATCAATATGCTTATATTTATTTATACCATAAAAAATATTATAAAAAGAATCTTATCAATTCCTATTTAAATTGTTAAAATTTGAAATTTGTCTATTTTTTTTGCTATTTTTAGAATTTAATTTAATAGTAATTAGTTATTATAGATCAAACATTATAATTTTCTTAAGTAAACAAGTATTTCATAATAAAAATTCAAAACCAATAGAACTATTATGCATTATTAGAAAAATGGTAATAAAGCAAGCAAGAAACTTTTTAATTACTAACTAAAAACAAAAGTAGTAAACTAAAATTCAGATTTAAAAAAGCAACAAAAAAAAAATACTTATCTATTATGTTTATGCTTAACTAATAAATAAATAAATAAATAAATAAATAAATAAATAAATAAATAAATAAATAAATAAATAAACAAACATGATATGATATAAAAGAATCGATTTTATCTATACATATTTCTTAAGATTTTTTTTTTAATTAAAAACAGTAAGAATTTAATTTGTCTAATAATTTTGGGTGCTTGCTTCAAATTATTTAAATTAATTTGGTCATTTTGGAATGGATTGATAGATTTCTATTTCAATAATCATTTAATTTCAAATTTTATAATAAATTTCATCAGAAAATAAAAACTTTAAAGATTTTTTAATAGATAAATCAGTATTTTTGAGCAGCATCAATTATTAATTCATTAATTAATTTAGTGGTTTTAATTTTTAATGAAAAAAATTTTATTGTGCTTAATGCATACTACTTGGTTGGATACACTAATTCAATAGCGATTGAAATATTCAATAATATTTTTAATCTAATAATTATATCTAAAATCAAAAACTAATACAAAATAAAAATTAAATTAATTCAAGCTAGATAAAAAAAATACTTTATAAAAAAATGGGAAGCTTTAAGACTAATCTCCGCCTCACTGAGAAATTGTGCTACGCGAATTTAGTTACAGGTTTAGTTGGAATTATTACTGGAATAGTTTTATTAGGGGTTAATTCAGATTATAAAGACTTTGGAGAGAGTTATAATATTTATAAAGCATCTTATACTTTACTTATTTTAGTCGGAGTTTTTTTTGCAATTTTAGGTTTATTAGGTATTTGTGCTTAGAGAAAAAAGAGAAATTGCACTATGACTATTTATAATATAGGTGTTATTGTCTTGATGATATTTATAGGATGTTCCTTAATTGTTATGATTTATACTAAAGTTAAACTATCTTAGTTTAAGGATGATACAAATTGCTCCAAATAAAGTCTTATGAAAGATTTAAAAGCTACTTATGACGCTGGTAAAAGCCTACTGTGCAGTTCAAGGTGTCCTTGCGATGCCAACCCAATCTCTTTTCCTGCTCAAGTATATTCAAATTTTTATTTTGCTAATAATGGAGTAGAGAGATTAGATGAATGTAACAACTATACTCATAAAATAGATATCAATTTTTCATACGATTACAATAACTATAACGACTACCTTAGAAACTTGGTTAACCTTTTAAGAACAGCTGAAGAGTCATTTAATTGTAGCGGTTTTTGTAGTACAAATAGTTATTATGTTTTTAGAAACATAAACGATGGCACTCCTTCTGCTGGAAAGGATTGCAAAGAGGAATTCCTAAATTTTATTTCTAAAAATATAATCATAGCTATTGTTATAACATCTATATTAGTTGTATACATGCTGATAGTGACTTATCTATCTCTTAGTACTATGCTTAGTGATGAAAGAAAATAAAACGGAGGTTACTACTAAGAATAAAATAGAATCTAAGTTCCTAATCAAAATGAATAAAATAATGTTGAAAATATGAACTATATCCCAAATAGCAATTAAAATAATTTAGGAAACATGAATAATAACATTTATAATAATTATAACAATAACAATAACATTTACAACACTAATTAACCAACGAAAAATAATAACAGTGTTTCATATATAAATAGACCATATCCTAATAACTATCAGTATTAGTAAAATATCACTTATGTTCCAGGAATCGCTCCACCTTAGAATATTGAAGGACTACCAGTTATTTAAGAAATTTAATTGTAAAACTAAGAACAAAAATACCCTCAACTCTAATAAACTAATCAAGGTTATATTAATAACATGCAAACTCCTCATCAAGAAAATGCTAAATACGCTAAATATTGAAATATAATTTAGAAATTTAATCGTAAAACATATAAAAAAAATACCCTCAACTCCAATAAGCTAATCAAGGTTATGCTAATTAAAAGCAAACTCCTTATCTAAAAAATGCTAAAAAGTTAAATATTGATATAATTTAATTCTTTGATTTAAGTCAGTTTATTTAAAAATGTAATCTATTTATAAATTTTTATTTTGTAATTTACCTGTGTTATTAATTAATTAATTATTTTAATTAATTTAGTTTACAAATCATAAACACTCGCTCGCTCTATCTTAATTTTCATAAAAATTTATATTTATTTTATTAAGCCTTAAAAAATTAGTCTGATGATATAATAAATTAATTTTATTAAATATTCTATGTTTTTATTTTTTAATATGAAGGAAAATGTTTGCTAAAGAAAAATATTTTCATTTTGCATTAATAATTTAGGTATTCAGTATAAACCTTTTCTAAAATATTTGAAATAAAATATATGAAAGTAGAGATAAAAAATATTAATCTAACATTAAAAATATCATTTTTTACGAAAGGAAAAAGTAAGGATAAATAAAATAAATTTAGTCATTCTCTCTCCATATGTTAGTTACATCTTGAAATACGTATGATGTAAGATAAATTTATTATAACTATTTATTTATTGATTGTCAGTCAAATACTTATTTTAGATTTTCAAAAATTTATTACAAGTATTGTATTTAATCTAAAAATTGTATAGATAAAATATAATTTTTATCAGATATTCTAAATTTTTATTTATTTATTTAATATTAAGCAAAATTTATGCTTAAGAAAATTATTTTCATTTTGCACAAATTAACTTTTTCTAAAATATTTAGAATTAAATAAAAAATATGAAAGTAGAGAAAAAAAACTAAGCTAACAAAAAATTTCTTTTTCTACGAAATCAAAATGAAAGAATAAATAAAATAGATTAAATAAAATTAGACATTCTTTAGATATTTGTTTGTATATTTAATCTTGAAATTCATATGATGTAAGAAAAAATTATTATAACTATCTAATAAACTATTTATTGATTGTACTAATAGTTTTTTTTAGATTATCAAAAATTGTATTACAAGTATTGTAATCTAAGTATTACATTGATAATTTCTTATATGAATTAATTCAATTAAACTGGTCATTTTTTGATTGATTGATAGATTAATTTATTGAAATATATTTTGATTTTGAAATAGATTCTAAAATTTAACCAGAAAATTTAAGGATCGTATTAATTGTTTTACATCTGTTTGCATTGAAACTGCGATTAATAAGAAAATTATATTTCATAACTATTTTTAATCGATTTAGCTTTTAAAATTTAACAAACAAATCAAAGAGCATAAAAATAAATGCTAAATAAAATTTGTTTTTAAGTAAAAATTTAAATTTAAACATTATTTAAAATAAAACCTCAAAGAAACAAATAGAAAACAGGACATTTTAAATCAAATATTTATTAAATTAAGAAAATTAAAATTATTTACAATAAAAAAATTGACAAAATTTTATGTCAAGCCTTAAGAATAATCTACGTTGGGTAGAGAGATTTTCCTATGTAAATTTAGCTATTGGATTAGCTGAAATAATAGCTGGAGTTATTCTTTTTTTAATTAATTCTGAGTTTTAAGACTATGGACAGTTTTATGATGACTGCGAAGAATGTTTTACTCTACTTATTTTAATTGGAATCTTTTTTGTATTATTAGGTGCACTAGGAATATATGCTTAAAGAGTTAAGAGCAATAATTCTATGTCTATATACAATATTGGTATCATCCTATTAATGCTTTTTATTGGAGGATCAATAATTGTTATTATTCTTTTATAAGTATAATTATCGTAATTTAAGGATGATATCTACTGTACTGAAGAAGACCTTATGATAGAATTAAGCACTGCTTATAATGCTGGCAAAAAACTTTTATGTAGTTCTAAATGCTCTTGTAATGCTGATTAATCTAATTTCCCCCCTCAAATATATTAATCCTTTTCAGTTTCTAAAAAAGGAGCTAACAAACTCAATGAATGCTAAGATTATATTAAAAGAATAGATACTTAGTTTCCTTTTGGTTATGAAAATAAATAATTAGAAAATTTTGTTAGTCTACTTAAAACATCTGAAGAAAAGTTTAATTGCAGTGGATTTTGTAGTACAAATAGTTATTATGTGTTTAGAGATATGAATGATGGAACTCCTGTTGATGGATAGGATTGCAAAGTCGAGTTCTTAAATTATATTTCTAAAAGTGTACTCACAACTACTATTCTAATATCCATTGTAACTATCTACATCATTATAATAAGTTATTTTTCTCTAAGGATTATTTTCAGCCAAGAAAAAACAAATAATGAGGGTTATTACAAAAATTCAGATTAAATATAACTCCCCTAAATAAATAAATTGAATAACGATAAAACTATTTCTTAAAATTAAGAAAAAAATTAAAACAACTTAAAATGAATTAATTAATTAATAATGAATACCATTTAAAGATTATTAATAAGAACACTTAAAGTCTATCTAAATTAAAAGAAGCAGCAATAGTGTTTTAATAATTAAATAATATATTTAATATGTAGCAATCAATATCTTTTGTTTTATTTATTTAATATCCTAAATAGCCAAAAAATTATGAATGATACAATTATACCATATATAAATAAATACCCGACCAACTATACAGCTTATGAACAACTTAAAAAACATTTATTATTTATATATTTTCTAGTTAGTTAACTACAAAAATTTAAATGATCAAATTTTAAAAATATCTCTTTCCATCACATTTATTTATTTTTTTTAAATTATATTTTAATATTACATTACAAATATATTAACTTTTATTTATTTATATATTATAGTAATAATTTATAAACTTTAAATGGTTTAATTATAAAAAAATTTCTTTCTATCAAATTAATTTATAATCTGAATGTAAAACTTAAAATTTTAATTGATCTGACTATAAAAAATATCTTTTAAAATAACTTTTTAATTTACTTTTATTGACCTTGATCAATAAAATAACATATTAATAAATATAAACTAATCAACTAGCTTTGTTTAAACAAAAATAATAAATAATATTCCATAATAGCTTTAAATATTAAAAATAAAAGATGTTTGCTTCACTTTTAAAATTGAAATAAAACTAAATGAAACAAGAAGAAGAAAAAAATTTTTTTTATGTGTAAAGAATGCATATATTTTTTATTTCAAAATGATGGCTATTTGTAAAGATAAATAGCATAACATTTAAAATAAATTTTATAGGAAATATGTGAATTTTTTAATAAAGCTAATGAATAAGAATAATAATTAATTAATTTAAGAATAAAGAAATAAATAAAAAATTAAGATTGGAGAAATTAATTATTTTTTTAATTTAGCATAATTGACAAAATAAATAAATCATTTAATAACATTAATTAAATTAGTATTTGATTAGGAATTTTTTGCCAATTAATTATTGTTGTTTAAATCTAGAATTTAACATTAAGTTTAATAATATTTTTCTGCATCAAATGAGTGACCATTTCTTTTTCGCTTTTTCATATATGCGATACCTATTTTTACTTCTTCGTTTCTTAGATTTCTTTTTCAATTTAAAAAAAATAAATTAAAATTTAGCAGCATTAGCAATTTAATGATTACAAATAAAAATCTTATTTTGAAATTTCCTTCAGTTCACTAGGATCAAGGTCTTCTATAAATTTAATGGCACTTTACACTTATATAAAACAATAACCAGCTTCTGAAAGCATTTTATTTTTGCATTGAAACGCTGTTATAAAGCTAAAATAAAACTTATAAATATAAGAAATTTCAAACAAAAATTAATTAAATACTTAATATTTGAACAAAGTCTTTTAGGTTTTGATTTAATTAGGACATAAATGAGATTAGGAAGAGTCAGGTCAGCAGATGCTGCTTCATCTTTAAGAGATGACAGTTTTAAGACTTCTGCAATTACTTTTGTGCATTCTGAAAGGCATTTCAATTTTTACTCAGGAGACTTTTTATGGTCCATTGAGACTAATACTAAAAATTTATTATTTATTTTAATAAATTTATCAATCTGTAAGCATAATTAATTTAAATGTACTTTGAGAGCATATCTTCCAGATCCATTCTGAATGGGTATTGTTGGTTATTTCAAGATTCTCTGGTGTTAAGAAGTCTAATGATTTTAGTAAGATATAAAATGCTGCGTCTTTATAGGTTTATCTTTTAGGAAAAAGATTTCTATGAAATATTTTGTTTATCGATTTAAATAAACTTTCAATAATTTCGTTTTATTGTTCTTCATTTAAGTTTTTAAATTAAGGATATTCTTTTACTCCATCCTCAAGTTTATCTAAAATTATTGAATAAGCTTCATTTATCCCCCATATGTCTCTTCCTTCTTGGAGCAATAAATTTAGTTCAGGCAATTTGCTGAATTGCTAACAAGATATAAATAAATAAAATTTATTATTATCATTTAATCTTTTAAAATTTTTACTTCAATAAACTAGACTAAATTTTCACAATGGTGTTCTTGAATTTATTCTTTTTTAGTTGGAGATATTTCACCTAATTTAAATTAAATAAATATTTTATATAGCATATTTTTTCTATTTTCTTCACAAATAATCAAATCTTATTTCTAAATTTTAAAATTAATTATTTCATGATAAAAATTATTTTACTAAACAATTGTTTTATTAATGAAAGAATAAGTAAGGTATCTTTTTTTAGTAAAAATATTTTGATAATTTAAAATTTTATTTCTTTAGTGTATTATTTATTTATTTATTTACCAGTTAAATCTTTAACAAATTCTAGGTTAGCAGTTTTATGTATGCAACAAGATAAGTCTTCGACCCATATTTTAGAATGATCAAATTCAGAATACAATTTTTTTGATGTATTACTTAATTTGAAACGCGACTGAGGTGAGGAAATACAAACATTTAGCTAAAATGAATCAAAAAACTCTTTTATGTAAATTTTTCTTTTATTTTTTTCTTATTTTCTTATGACTTCTTCCACTTAGTTGATATTTAGCTTAAGAAATTTAATTAAACGAGCGTTATTAGTTTTTTCAAGAAAAGAAATTCTTTCCAATTAACTAATTCTCGCTTTATACTCTGAACTCATATATTTCCATATAAGCTGCAGATTATTTTGCAGGTATTTTGGATTTAAATAATTTTTTATCATTGAATTTAAGTAAGAAGCGACAAGAGGAACATTGACAATTTCAGAATTATATCTCTCACAAACTTACTGTAAAATAATAAATAAATAACTATCCCAAATTAATTTAAACTCAAAAAGAAATAAATGAATTTTAAAAAGTTAATTAATTAATTTATTATAAAAATTTAATTGAAAAATAATTTACATCTTCTAAAATTTTGAGAATAGAAGTAATGTCCAAATCATTGAATCCTGAAAATTAAGAAATAACTTCTAGCTTTTCTACACTTACAAGTATGCTTCTAAGAAGGTTTTTGAACTTATCAAAGTATTTAGAAGAATCTTAAAACTCATTTTCTTAGCTAAATCGTTAGTAAGGGAGCTTCAATGAAGGGATATCAAAGTATTAATCAAAAAAATCCTAAGCTCCAGTATGATAAAATTAAAATATTGTATAAATTTAGTCTTTTTTGAGAGTAACCCCATAGAATAAATCAGATCTATCATTAAATATTTTTTCTGCTTGAATATTGATAGATTTAGCATATTCGACAACTTTTGTTTCATTCATTTAAATAAAATCTTTATCATTAGAAGCAATCAGTTGGGCCATCTTTTAAATATTCTCTAAGCTCATATAAACAGAGCAGAAATCTCTAAAATTTTATAATTTTATGTTAATTTCATTATTATTTTTTAATTTAAACAATTAAATATTTCAAAAAAAAACATTACAGCTAAAATTATAAACTCTTCTGTTCAGACGGAATAATAATTTAATTTAAAATTTTAGTCATGTCTATATTCATAAGTTGATCATAGTAATGAGTCACATAATCACCTAGCTAAAATATTAATGAATTAAATCTTGCAATTAAGCCTTCTTATTTGAACACTTGCTTTTTCATTATCTAATTTGTTAAATAAAGCAAATTTTACAAATATTTAAAATAAATATCAAAATTTATTTACATTTTTAATAATCGATTGAATGTAAAGCATATTTTTTTACAAGATCTCCTACTTAGATTGATCCATATCTTAATATTTATTAAAACTCTTCATAAATATATGAAGCACCCAGTCATCTATGAAAAAGTAGCTCAGAGAATAGTAAAGCTAGGCATTAGTTAAATCAGGGTATTTTTTTTAAGCATGATATTTAATCAAAGCACAAATAATCCTAATATCATTAGGAATAATCTCGATATTCATGAATAATTGCTCCAACATATTTTAAATTATCTTATTAACCTTCTTCACCTTCTTCTAAATAATCTATATTATTGTTTAAAAAATAATTAAATTTTAATTTATCTTAAAGAAATTTCAAAATAAATTAAATTAAGAAAGCTGTTTTCAAAAATCTTATTTTCAATTCAAATAATTAAAAATTCATTTAAAAATGTATTTGTAAATTTTTAATATACTGACTGACTTTTTTTGTTTAATTAATAAAATATTTTTTATTAAACTGATTGATTCAAATTATTAATTTTAATTTGAAAATTTATAATTAATTAATTATTTACTTAAAAATTGAATTGTCAAAGATTTTAAAAAATAAAATTGGTAATTTATTATTGGATGGAAAGGAAAATTGCTTGTTTTTAAAATTAATTCTTAATCTAAATTAAAGGTTAAAAAATTTGATTTATTTATTAATTTATTAAAAGTTTCTTTCAAAAATTAGTTCTTAATTCAAATTAAAAAATTTATAAAATAAAAATTTTACTTTTTCTTTTTCTTTGTCTAAAATTTGCTTATGTTTATCATCTAAAGTTAATCCTCTATTTTACCTTTAAGTTGGTTGTTAAGCAGAAGATCCTTCTAATTATTATGGAGCTGACTATATAGACTCTTAAGAACCTGAAGAAAACAGTACGTTTTGGTGAACATTTTTAGAAGTTTTCCTTTGAGGGTTATCAGACTTAACTGAACCTTCAGACGTTTCCCACTCCTGTAAATTAATTATGTCTTAAAGCCACTGCTATCTATCTTAAATAACCATGCTATCACTTCTATCTAATTTCTACCATTGCATTTAATCGTCTTAAATTTTGATTGAAAAACCTGTTTCTGTTTCATTTTGTTAAATTTTAGGATTTGGAAAAGTGAGCTAAGTTGAGGTAGTAAACATATTTGCCTACTTTTCACCACTTTATTGCATCTAAAATAGAGGTAAACTTTCTTTTTCAAAATCAGGATCTGATTTAGTTCTTTTCCCATTTACATGCTTTCTTTAATCTAATTTTGAAATCTTTTATAAAAGATAAAATAAAAATGATTGAATTTTAATTACTTTGCTGTTCTATTTTAAGAATGCTATAAATTTAATCTGAAATAGTGTTTGATCTAAACATCCTAGATTTATCAAAGCTTCTCAATATTTCTTAATATCTTTCAGCTCTATTGCAGTTAGAGCTCTCTACATGTTCATTTCCTGAACTGAGCACAGTAAGTTTCTTTCTATTTGGTTTTGCAGATTTAAATTCACTCTTTTTCCTCACTACAGCTGAGAAGTCAGATTATTTTCTCAAACTTATTCTCCTTATTGATTCATTTTCTATACTATTTTTATTTAAATGATTATAATAAAACTCCATAAATTCAATATTTTCAAAAACTATTTTTTATAATATCATTGAAACTAAACTCTTTAATTAAAATTTAATTTCAAAGCAATATTTATGCTTAAATTAAATATATACTTTTTTTAAGAATTTAAATCCACTTTTTCTTTGAAGCAATTTTATCATTTTTTGATTTTACTTCTTTATTATGAAAAGATAAAAATATTTTACATTTCGTTTTCTAATCGAAGATCTTCTGTCAATTTAGAAATTTCGTAGAGAGTGTCTTTAAATATCTTTTCTAAGTTTTTTGTGTACTTTGGTTGATTAAAAAATTCTTTTATAATCTTTTTGGGCAGTGTGTCTGTACGTAGCATATTTTGTCTATCATTAGAAAGATTTATTTCCATTTCGATGTTTTTGTTAATAAATATCAAGACATCACTTGATATACCTTTTTTTAAATGAGACTGAAAAAACGATTGGGAAAGAGTTTAAGGCAAACTTCTTATAGCAGATGAAATATTCAATTGATTCTTTTCTATAAGTGTCAAAAGCAGTTTTGGCTTTATCCTTAATTCTTTGATAAAAGAAACAAAAGTATTTTGATTGTTATAAAACAGCTTTGAGTGCTCAGATGGTGGGATAAAGTATTTCTGAATATTTGATGTTATGTTCTGCATGCTTAAGAACGATTCATAGTATTTTTACTCTAAATGCTTTATTTTTTTCAACTTTTTCGCAAATATTTCCTTCTCTTTTTTTTATAAAAATAAAGATATTTATTAAATTTAATTCAAATAAAAAGATAAAATAAATTATTTCACTTAAAATATAATATGTTTTTAAAAAAAAACCTATCAACCAATTAAATTTAAATGGATTCAATCAAAATTGTGATAATAAACATTGTTTAAAATTTATTAAATTAGATAGAACTGAGTTATTTATTTATTTATTTTTCATTTTATGGGAAAATATCAAATAATTTGTAAATACATGATTCAATCAATTACTTGCATTTATTTTAATAATAAGTTGGTGTTGTTTATTTGTTTGTTTGTTAATTATATATATTTCATGTGAAAGTTAAATATCTTTTACTAACTCAATTCAATTCATTATATTTTTCTTTGTAGAATTTATCTAACAAAGTAGATTTTATTTTACAAAATTAATTTTATTTTGAAATATTGAAATAATTTGCATGATTCTATCTTATTGGCATTTAATATATCTTTATGAGCTATTAATATAACTTATTAGAGTAGAAAGAATTACCATTATCAAGTAAAATCTACTCTTGCTTCAAAAGATTTTAGAGTTTCTACCATTTGGAACGATTTTGTTCCTCGTGTTTTCTCTTTTCAACAGCTTATTTAATAATTTTTTTATTTTGCTAAGTTTGCTGATCATCTGATAAAATATTTTTTAAATTTTATTCCTCCTTTTTTAAGACCTATTGATTTGCTTCTAATTCATCAAAAATCATTACAAAGTTATCACTTGTTGGTCCTATTTCAAACTATATTTCACTAAAATTTTAGCTAACATTGCTCATATTTGAAAACTTCCTTTAAGGGTTTTCCAAATCTTAAGCACTTTAAGTCTTAGGCTAACCTTAACTGCTACTTTCTTGCACCTAATATAAAATAAATAATTATTTGCCTTGAAAATACCATTTTACCAAAAGCTAAATCTGTTAATAATGCATAAAATGCTAATTCATTTGTTTTAAAATAAAAATGTTTCAAATGACTTTACTTCTTATTTTGACATCAGCTGTTGATGGGTGCTAAATTAATATCAATATAATTTGTTTTGCTATTCCTATTATTACTTAAATATGTCAAGAGGGAGCTTTTATTAGTGAATAAATCTTTTTTATATTTGTAAAAAATTAGCTTGCCTTACTCTTAGAGTATGCAAATAATTAATACCTAATTTTTCTTTAAAGTCTAACAAATCAATATATTATTTATTTATTTTCAACTAAAATTCCTTATTTATAATGAATATTGATCAAAAGCCTTAACTATAATAAATTATAAAATACGTTTACATCCATATATAAATAAATAAATTCATTTTCATATATTTCCTAAATTAAATACTATAAATTATTTAAATCAATCAATCAATAAATCATCCATCTTTTTATGTTATTTATGCACAACTAATAAAAAATGATAAATTACCATTTTAAATAAACTAAAAAATTTTGAAGAAATAAAAAGATCATAGAATTTATTTATTTATTTTTCTACTGTTTTCTGATATCAAAAAAGTTAATTTAAAACAATAAATAAAAAATAATATCAATTTAAATAATAAACAAATCTCATCTTAAAATATTTATATATTTAATTAGAAAAAATATTTAATTTATTTTCATTTGTTGGCAATGTTAAAATAAATTTGAATTTTGTTTTAGATTAAATAATAAATATTTATTAATAAAATTACTCTTAATTAATTGAGTTTTGTGATTGCTCAAATAAACTAATCTTGTAAAAAATTAAAAATAATTTAAAAATTTTTGATCATGTTTAATAAATTTTTTAGAGAATTTTATTTTTGAAAAGAATTAATTCAAGAATCGAACATATTTTTTGAGATATAGTATAAACACTTGTTTTTAAAATAGAAATTTTTTAACTTAAAAATAAATAAATTTTTTGAGAATCTAAATAAATTTTTCAGTTTGAAAGTTAAAGTTTTGTTTAAAATAAAAAAGAAAAATTGTGAATAAAATATATATTTTATTTGGCAAATTAATAAAAATATAAAATAAATAGTTTGATTTTAGGAAAAATAAATAAACCTTTTAAATTAAATCATAACATTCATTTTAATTTAAAACATTTATTATCTAAGCTTAAGTCTAATAAAAAAAATTTGAAAAAAGTTCATAAAAATCTTTATTTTTAGCTAAAATAATATTAAAAATTTACTTGGTTGAGTTATATTTTAAGAAAAAATACTCTAGAAATAATTTTAATTTTAAATTAAAAATGATTTATATGTAAAATGAATGAAGAGTTTTGTAAGCACCTTTAATTTTTAATATTTAAGATCTTATCTTACATACCACCAATCTGATATGTCTATTTAATAGAATTACAATTTAATCAAAAATTGTTTTTTTGTTTGTTTGTTTGTTTGTTTGTTTATTTTTGCTCAATTCAAATCAAATAAAATAGAAAGTTAATTAATATAGAACATCTATTTATCTATCTTTTCTCCTATTTATTTGATCAGTCAGTCAAAAAAGAAGATGGAGGTAATTCTGAGTGAGTATCAATAAGACTAGTTAGTTGATGAAATGGAAATGTATATATATATAAACATTTTGCTCACTATTTATTTATTTTTTTTTTGATAATAAGTATAAGGAATATTAAATAAAAGGGGAAATAGTAATTAGTATTTCTCAGAAAAATTATTAGATTTAAAAATTTGTTATTATTAAAAGAAAAGAATAAAAAAAGCAAAAAGAAACAAAGAAAGAAGCATCAATTAATTAATTAACTAAGTCTATTAGATTTACAAAAAAAAGCTCAATAATTAAATATTAGAAAATAGATATACAGTAATGAATGCATTTAGTAATTTTGTTAGCTCATTTAAGACACCATCACCTGAAGATTTTGATAAGCATGGTTTTTTGACTCCTAAGTAATTTTTGGAATCAGGTGATTAATTAACTTTAATGGGATGGAAGTGGGAAAAGGTCGATGACAATAAAAAGCTCAACAAAAGTTTGACAGATCCTAAAAAGTAGTTTTTAACCTTTTAGGGAAGAAGTTTAACAGAATCAAAAAGAATGTTTTTGATGATTTAGAAGAGAAAGTTAATAGTGAAGGATTTGTTGAGACTAGCCAAGTAATTTTCTTAAATTTCTTTTATTTGTGTAAAACCAATTTGTTGTTGAAACAAAAAAAAAACAACTTCAAAAAATTTTAATAGCAAGAAAGCTAAAAAAAAGCAAATAAATGTAAAATTTAAAAAAACCTATATCTGATTCGTTCTTTATATAAATATTTAGCGTTAATCAAATGCTTAAGATAATCAAGAAGAAGAAGAAGAAATGAGAATATATAACTTTTCTATTACTTATGACACTTATTATCATGTTCCAAGAATTTGGTTTTCTGGAGTTGATGAAAACCAAAAACCTTTAAAGAAAGAATAAATGTTCGAAGATGTAATGCCAGAGTATAGAGACGAAACAGTAATAATTTTAATTTTGCAATTAAATGATTGATCGATTAGATGCAAATCAATTTAATTTTATGTAATTTTAACATTAATTTAAATCAAAAAAGGTCACCCTTGAAAAACACCCTCACTTAGGATATGATTAAATGACAATCCACCCTTGCAAACACTCATAAATCCTTAAAAGTTTTATTGATCAAGCAAAGGAAAATGGAAGAACTATTAAACCTAATCAAGCCCTTATTATTTTCCTTAAATTCGTAGGCTCAGTTCTACCCACTTTAGAAATAGAAACAACTACAGATTTAGAGATTTGAAATAAGAGTTATTTATTTATTATGTTTTACTTTCTTAGTAAAATAATAAGAATGAAAGAAAAAAAGTAAATATTTGTGTTAAATTAATAAGAATTAGTTCCTGTTATATCTATATATATATATAAATCAGTATTCAAAATGATAAAGAGATAAAATAAATAAATAAATATTCTAAGAATTTGTTTATCTTTTTTTACCAACTTAATTAATTAATCAACTTTTTACAATTGTGAATAAATGCTAACATAATATTTGGCTATTAAAAATGTTAATAAAATGTATAAAATAATTAATTGATATATGTATATATATGTTCATTCAAAATTAAAAATAATAAAAAAATATTTTTTTCTCAATAATATTATTTATTTTCCTTTACCATTTGTTCAAATAACCAACCATCTATGTATAAGTAAAGAAACATATAATAATTATATAAAGAATACCAAAATAAATTCATTTTAATATATTTATAAACAAATCTTACAATTGTTTCTACTTTAATTAAATAAATTAAATTGTTTTAAATAAATAATCGATATGTAAATATATATGTTCATTCAAAATTAAAAATAATAAAAAAAATCTTTTTTTGTCAATGTATTTATTTATTTTCCTTTAGTTCAAATAACCATCTATTTATAACTAAAGAAACATATAATAAATATATAAAGAATACCAAAATAAATTAATTTTAATATCTTTATAAACAAATCTTACAATTATTTCTACTTTAATTAATTAAATAAATTCAATTAATTACACACATTTTTAATATATTTAATATCTCTTTATATTTTAAAAATAATGATAAAGGCTATATATAAATAAAATAAATACATTCATTTAATTCATAACAAATTATTGTTTTAAAAATGTCTACTTTTTTGTTTTTTAGATAAATGAATGAATTAATGTTAATTTTACTTAATTTCTTTTAAAATAATTTTGAAAATTATTACAAAAAGAATAAAAAATATAAAAGCAGACAAACATTAAATTTGGTTTTATTTATTTATAATAATTAGTAAATGAAATATTCTAATAATTAATTTAAATACATAAATTCTAAGTTCTTTGTTTATTTGCTTGCAATAATAATATATGCAGCTTATTTTGCTGATTAATTCTATCTTGGCATCTATCTAAATCTTAAGCAAAGAAAGTTTTCATTTTTTTTTATTTGGATTTAATTCATTGCTATAATCTTGTTTGAGTTTTTATCTTATTTCTGATGAATTCAAATTCTTAGTCTATTCATGCTCTAAAACGAAAATGCCCTGTTGTTTTTTTATATGTTCTTCTACTTTTTTTTAGTCTCTCTAATAGATAATTAAGAAGTCAGCAAAATTATAAAATTAATGATTTAAGCCATATTTTAGTAAATCGCTACCTGCACAATAAGAAAACTTGATATTATATTTTGCGAATTCCCTTTAATACATAGCACATAAATATGGATAATCGATAAAGGCTTTACCCTTTTCGAAGTCATCAACAATAATTTCTTATTGGATAGATTTCTTTTATTAGATTAAATATAGAAGCTATTTCTGTCTTTCATCAAAGCCAAATTGTATATCTTTTATTTTTCCTTACATGTATGCATCACTTGCAACTGAGTAAATTCCCATTACGACATCATAATTGTTTGATATCAAGTGCTTTATAGCATCTTCCATCATGAAAAAATGACCTTCATGTGGAGGACAATAGCAGCCACTACAAAGCACTACTACTTTCTGGCGATCATTTTTACTTTCTTTTAAATACTTTTTAACCTTTTATTCATACTTTCCTTTGAAGTGATTTTCGAATTGACCAACAATTTAAGGATTCATTTTTCTTACTGTTTGTTTGTTTTTCAGATTTTTTTAATATCTAATTAATTGATTAATTATTTTTTTTGTTAATTTTGTTTTAAAAGATATAGAAAATAAGAAATCAAAATATATAAGAATTTTTGAATTAGAATATTGATTTTTTAAGTTGATATTAATTAAAAACGAAGATTGATTGATTGATTGATTGCCTAATAAAAAAAAAACGATACAAAAACAGACAGATCATGTTAGATTATATAATTTTATAAAAATATTTTTTAGTAAATAAAATAATAATATAATAAACAAACTAATAAGATAGATCATCCATCTATCTATTAAAGAGCAACAATAAATAAATAAATCATATAAGTTTGTTTATATAAAATAAACTCTTAAGTACACTTATTAAAAATTAAGAACAGAAACAATCAGATAGATAGATATTTACTATATAAATTTGCTAGGAAATGAATTTATAAATGCTTAAATATTATTTATTACTTAGCTTATTTCATAAATCATATTTTAAGTATATAATTTTAAGGTCTCTCATTAGTTATCAAATTTATCAAAAATACTTCTAATTTATGTGGAACTTATGCTTGTAGTTTCCTGATTCTACAAAACAATAATGTCATCTTTGTTTGCAATATTCTGTTCTACTTTCATTTACTCTCTCTCAAAAATAATGAGCAAATCTGCAAATTACTTGAATTATTTATGTATTTAATATTTAAGTAAATCGCTACCGACACAATAAATCAATTTAACATTTAACTGATTCAAGCAATTTTTATACAAAAGACATAATTCAGGATAGTCAATAAATCTTTTATTCTTTTCAAAATCATCAACTAGTATTTTTTAAGAAGTTTTAGAAGATGCTTAATTTTCCTAAATAATTAATTCAAGTTCTTGTTTTCTTTAGTCAAAATCCATTTAGAAATCCTTTACTTTAGATTGCATATATTAGTCATTTGCTACTGAATAGATACCCAATAAGACATTATAATTATATTTTTTTTATAGCTAAATAACTGCTTCTTGCATCATAAAATAGTGACCTAAATGTGGAGGACAGTAGCAGCCACTGCAGAGAATTACCACTGATTACTTATTACTCAGATTAATCTAGCTCTATATTTATTTCTCATATTTCTCTTTAAAATGCTTTTTAAATTAATTTTCAATTGATTATTAGATCATATTCATTCCTTTTCTCTAATTAATTCTTTTTCAATTTTAATCAAATAAATATTTTTGGTATAAACAAACAAACAACGCACACTATCATTTGATTGCTTTCTTAGAATAAATGAAAACTAAATATGCAAACCAATTTTTATTGCTTATTTGTGCTGAATTAGTGTGTGTTTGTTTGTTTGATTTTCTTTAAATTTTTAATTTAAATATTCTAATTTCTCTAAGAAAGTTTATTTATTTTAAATAAAAATAAAAAAAATTAACTTTTTACATTAAAAAAAATTTTACTTTTGATCAATTTGAAAAATCAATCTTGATTTAAGTAAAAAATTATATAAACTCTTGGGCAGTATTTTATTTTTAAATGAATCGTAATTGATTATTTAAAATATTCAATTTATAAATGGAAGAAGATTTTATAGTAAGTAAATTTAAATACAAAAAACTAGCATAAATTTGAATTTGATATATATAAAAATGTTAATTTTAATATTTTTTTCACTTTTAAATAATATTTTAGAAATAAATTTATAACAATTTCAATTATCAATTTGATTTGATTTATTTTCTCCTATTTAATTTAGATGATTAATTGTAAAAACATTAAATTGCCTATTCAAATGATTTTCGTTTATTTTGTTTATTTTATTTTTTAAGCTTTAAGGACTGCTTTCGTTTTAGCACTCTGATTCATCCTTTTTTTCATTTGAAATCTTTTGCGAGCTTTCCAAATTTTAGATTTAGTTTAAAGACTGGGAAATTGAAGAGGATTACTGAAATGACTGAGCAATTGAAATCTTGCTATCGCTATTTAAAATCTCTCTAGTCAATTTAG